TTCACTGTGCTTGTTGCAGGCCTGCTAGTGCAGCACTGGTTCAATCTGGCTGGTACCCTATTGAGTCTCGGTTGTTCTCCCAGGACGTTGGAAGAAAGCTTATGAGCCTGTGTCGCGTGTTCTGTTATGCTCATTTCCGGAGGCGCGAGCTGCTCCTGTGGATTCCAAGGAAAACCTGACTGGGGAAATTTGCGGCCCCAGCTCGCAACGCTGATTTTGATGTCATCGCCATGACCAAAACAAAGCTGTTGCCCCGACAAAGCGCCGGTATTGAACAAATCAAAATAGGAAAGCGCCGTGGTTCATACTTCGTGGTTCGCTTGTCCTTGACTCCCGGGGACGCCCACGACATCCGTTACGTCTTCCTGTCATTGCGAAACACCCAATTCACTGGATCAAGATGGGCTGGACCGCGTTTATTAAATTGCAACCTTACGTGCCGTGCGCAGGTGACGGGCCAGGGCTGAAACAGCCACTGGGCTTGAAACGAAAGCTTAGTCCGTGGTATACTTGACGCTTGTTGAGTTCTCAACAGTCCACCATCACCGGTAAAGTCAAAACAATCCTCGACTGTATTTGGGTTCCACCTCGTTACGCCAGCCACATTGTTTCCCGCTCGACGCCAAATACGACATCAGACGCAGAGGAGGGTATGGCCAGGCACACAAGACCAAATGGCCGCGTTTCTGGGCCCGTCGGCCGATGTTTCGTGCTGGGTGGGAACTGCAACCTTAAGGGCGGCTGAATATTGACTTTTGCTCGTGTCAGTCTTATCGACAGGCAGCAACCACGGCAGTTGGGGTTTCCCGTCCTGGAGGTTTTCCTGCTGGAAAGTTTCTTGTCTGACTTCTCGCAGAGCGACCGATTTGGAGCGACCCTCGAAACACATCACCGCCCCAAATCCGCGTTCAAGCCAAGTTTCGTGAGCTGCGGAAAAAAGCCAAGTCTCAGCCTTGCATATCCCATGAGGTCGGATTTGGGCTCAACCGTGGGCCGTTCTCGACCCAAGCAAGCCACTTTATGCGTGCATAAACAATTTTGTCTGCCTGAGACGAACACCGTCCCTTGTGTTTACCATGCACTGCGGGAAACGGGGCGGTGCGTCCCATCTTCGCACCCTCTTGGGACTTTGGACGAGCTTGGCCCGTCCCATGACAGCGGCTGTTTCAGAACGTCACCCTCCTGCAACGACGGTTAAAGCGCTGCTTAGGTCATCTTGTCCAGCTTTTTTGACGACATGATAATGATTGCTTCAGCTTTATTTGATCCCATCGACAGAACTGCTTTCCGAAGAAGAGGCACATGTTGCTGTTGAACTTACCCGCGGTCTGACCGGGGTCCGCTGCGTCCCACCAGACCAGTTGCTATGGACTGAACCTGCGGAGGCATTTGGCACGGACCCAAAAACAGCTGAGAGACGATGGCGACCGGCCAAGTGGTCGCGTTCGTGACGGACGCAGGCGAAGCTCTCAAGCGAGTTCTGGCGTGGGCACAGAATATGCCGGGAAGGGCATCCGTCACTTCGACTACCCGCGGAGGGGACGCTACGTTGCGGGAAGTCAACTCTCGAGACGCCAGGTGGTCCGGGTCATATTTTGTTGCTCCAGCCTTACGAATGCCCAGACCATTCACCCGCGGACGAAGTGGACCGCCAATTTGGCTTGGGCCTGTCACCAGTGTGGCTTGATTGTGCGGACTCAGTAGCAAACTGCTAGTCCCGTCAAGAAGACGCAGATAAGGTTCACGATCTTGTGGATTCCAGTGCGCCGGGTCCTGTCTACAGCAACCCGTCGTCGACCCGTTGGACTAGTGGCCGCATTCTTTGTCACGTTTCCCACAGTGTGGATTGTCCATGTGTCTGGAATGTGAAAGATATAACTGCCACGTGCGGGTGTTCATCGTTCGCCGGTTATGTCTTAGATTTGGAAAATTCCGGTCCAGTCATTCTTCTTTTTTGCCCCATGTATGGCCTTTTATGTCATTGTTTACTTCTAGGTCGATATGTTTTTGTCTTTGTGCCTGAACTTAGCACGCGGCTTCTTCTGCGAATATGATCGTCACATCCAGGAATGTTGCGCTTGAAGGCCTGCCGACTATCAGCGAAGAACAGGTGATTTGGTCTGGATCCGGTGCATTTTATACCGTCCATCTCCATGCGCAGAGCGGCCCTAGCAATATCAGCCTATGATGGCGCGAAAACTATCCATGGATGAAGCTAAATGTGTGAGTCTTGTGGTATCACCTAGCAACCGTAAGAATGAGACCGGACGATAGAAGAAAATCTCTGCAGCTACGGGACTCCTCTAGAAGCTTGCGCTCAACTGCATAGTAGAGACAAGGCACGTGCAAGGGTTCCGCTCGACTTCTCCTATTCTTCGGCCATGCCGACATCGAAAGGCGCTCGGGCACTTTCAGAACTGATGAGCAGGCAAGTCACAAATGACGTACTCACCGCATGGGCTCTGATATCAACAATTGGATGTGATATTTGATGGACCACAACTCATGCTTGACAGGGAAACCTTTACTGGCTGTGAAATTTGGCAGATCACATACGGATCATGTGAAGACGTCTGCTTCGGCGCGACTTGATCTTTGGTTTTGTACGGCTTGAGAGCTTTCCATCGAGATGGCCGCATTGTGTTCACAGGACTCCGGCCACTGCCATGGTGCCAAGCAAATGAGAGCTGGCTGAGACTTCAGCGGGAACTGTTGTCGATGTCAGACGGAATCAAATTTAATGTAGCCTCAATGATGAGGCAGCGTCGGCACCGGGGCCCTCAATGCTTAGTTGTTGTAAATCTCGTGATGTTTCTGCGTAGCACTGAACACATAGTTCTAATTGCCAACTTTTCAAATCATTATGCGCATCAATCAGGCCTGACCTCACATTGACTAATCAGAAGCAGTGACAATACATTTTATCCAGCGTCGCGCACTATTTGATCCTGTCTTTGAATGCAGAACAGATGTGTTCCGGCATGACGACTTCATGTTTATCCAGACCTTATGCTCATTCGAAGTCTCCGGCCAGTGACTCAATTTCCATACACACTGAGAAGAATTCATGACGTTACTGTAGCACTTGCTGATAGGCAGGATGTATTACTCAATCTGTGATATCCAACAGACCTTCAAGGGTATCACGCATTCTTTTTGAGCTCGAGCAACCGTCAGCATGGATTCGTCTGGAAGGAGGATCACCGTTGGCACAAGTACAAAATAGTTGAAATCATACGAGGAAATGTCCAGAAGACAGGCTGACCTTCTTCAGACTCGCAACTACAAAACAAACACCTAAACAGCACTTGGTCGAGTTACGAAAAACCGTAACAAATAGAAAAAACAATGAATGAAGAACACAGTGGCCCCCAGGCGAAAGAGGGCAGGATGGCTTCTTATCATCCCACTATACCTCGCCGCCCGGAAAGGATGCACCCGGGACCCCGTGAAAGCTCCTACGAGAGCAGCAGCGGACTTCTAGCACCTTTATGCCCGTTCAGCTGCGATGACTACGCCTCCCAGGGCATGAGCCCTTATAGTGGCTATTGGACCAACGGGCGGGTCCAGAAATGGATGGCACATCCAGAATAGAGGTGGTGATGAGGGCCTGATTTAGGAGACTGTTCACAATGAGGTATCATGATTCTAGACTCTGATCTGATGTCTTGCGACTATTCATGTATACGTTAAGCTACGAACTCAATATCATCTTTCTTAATGCACTTGTCCAGCTTCACAACCAGCGCACTTAGGAAGGCTTGTGGCTTTGTCTACTCAATTTATGCTACTAATACTTGACATCTTGCAATGTCTTTGAAAGGCCTTCCGTGGGCGTAAGAAGACATTGCGTAACGTGATGGAAGAAACAACCCAGTGGGCTCCTTGGTCAGCATCATACACCCTGTAGTCCGAGAGCATCCGCCCTCACCCTAATCATACTCTCGAAAGACTCACATTGAATGGTCAACCGACTGTATATCCCACGTAATGCACAATGCGGACATTCGTACTGCTCCTTGAAAGAGCTTTGTTGACCAACAACGTTTCAAAATCGCATCTCTAATTGTCAAGGAGGGCGGGAAGGTGTTGCATGTGAAGCGCCCGAAGAAGAAAACTAGACGAGGCCGGCTTGCCTTCATTTTCGTTATACTTGCGTAATTCGCGTACGAAGCGGCTGTCCGCGAAGTACATGCAATTCCTCGAGTATGTAATGAACCCCCAACCCCCCAAATGCTTTCAATAAGCTACGGCAACCCCTTGTGATCGGGTAAATCTTACTAACGGAGGACCACACACCACATAGATCATTACATCAAGCAGCGATATTATGACTGAGTGGATGAATACCGGGACTTTCATGCAGAGATGTTCTGGCAGCCGGCCAGGTCGAACATAGAGGCAGGCATCAGGAAGGTGAAAGATGAAAACTATCGATTGATCAAAATTGGCTTTCGCATTCTCGTTACTAGTGACCTTGAATCCGCAGTCCATTGTCTCCCCTGATCATATGGACCAACTCATACTTCCGAGAAACAGTCCCGGGTCGTTGAATAACCTCCTTCGCAACTTGAAAAAAAAAAAACACAACTACAAAGCACCCAGGACTCCGTGAGCCACTCATAATCCGTATCCATCCCAAACGCCATCATGAAGACCACCTCCGATGCAGGATGCACAAAGTCAGATAATATGGACGCCAAACGTGTTGCCCTGGGCCAACGCAGATCTTCCCTCGCCAATCCCATTCACTATTGCCTTTGCAAATCGCTCAGCTGAACTTGCAGGGCACATCTGCTGGGGAGAAAAGCCTCACCATCATGAGCACGTGATATCCTAGCTAATAATGACCCATTCAATCTTTGTCGTTATGATTGAATCTAATGAAGCCCCTCGCATGACGCTTGGCCAGAGCGCCCGCGCGATACGAAGCAAACTTTTGATGCGCCCGACGCCATACCTGGGTATCTCCGCCATAGTTCTCACCGTTTCCGTTGTTTCTAGTATGGAGGGTTGGTGGTCGCATCGGGAGCTGGGAACGCAAAGCCGGGTGGGAAGACGGGGAATCCATTCGAGTCAGTCGAGATGCCGTAGGGGAACGCGGGCACAACCGGCTCGGCTGGTGCGCTGTGATTGTTGGCCGGCCGGTCATCATCGCGGTTGCGATGGTCACCTCTTCCACCACCACCGCGTCTGCCGTGGCGGCCGCCCCGTTCGGGACGGTCATCACTGTCACGATGAGATGATTTAGGGCCGTGGCTACCGCCCTTGTCCGTCTGCATGCGCCTGCTGATGGCCTTGGATGACACACCGGCACCAATCTCGATGTCCGGCTCCTCAACGACCATGCCATGTGTAATCGTTTGGCCACCGCTTCCGCCGTAAGGCGCCGTGAGCATCCATTTGCGATCCGCTTCGGTAAGCTTGTGAATCGGGATGACACTAATTCCCGTCTGGTAGTCGCTGCAGTCACGAGGTCCGAAGCCGACGCCCCAGCGAGTGCGCAGTTGTGCGTCTGGGCTGCGTCCTGAGTCCATGGCTTCCTTGGCGTTGACGGCGTCTTTACGACTGTACATCTTGACGAATGCATGGCGCTTCTCCTTGTTTACAATGCAGGTCTGGACGGTACCGAAGCCATTGAAGATGCTCCGCAGCTCGTTCTCGGAGCAGTTCACGCCGCCAACAAAGAGAGTGCGGCTTAACACCTTGATACACCCGCTGGGCAGGCTTGGGTCGTGCTCTATCCACTTTTGCTGTTGGAAGGCAGGCATTTCATCTTGTCGAGGACTATTATGGCCATGACGTCCTTGGGGGGATCGTTGCCTATACTGACGACTGCGGTCACGATCATCGTAGCGATCACGCGGAGGAGAATTACGTCCATAGTCTCCAAAGCGCCGCTCATCACGACCACGTGGAGAATCACGATGCTCCCAGTGTCTTCCTGGAGATCGCGAACGAGACCTTCCGTGGGTTCTATTCGTGGGAGATCTAGGAGCACGAGTTTCATCAGGTCTCGGAGGAGCCCAACCGTTGGTACCATTGGGAGGCAGCGAGTAGGAGCCTTGACTCGGCTGAGATACTTGAGGGGCAGCCACAGGAGTGTTAGACCCCAGTGCTTTCACGACAGCAGCAATCTGTTCTGGAGGTACCCCCTTTTGAATTAACTGCTGGATGAGGGCCACTTGTAATGCGGTTGGATCAGTGGCACCTGCTTGCAGACCTGGTGCGGCGGCAGGAATTCCATTCTGAGCACCAAAGTTGGGCAGCTGCGCAGGTTGAGGCTGAGGTGCCATGAATGGCGGCGCAGGCGGATTTACAGTCGGAGCTGCCGCTTGTGATGTTGGTAAAAAGGGCATGCCCTGCTGAAGAGCGTTCATAAATGATGGAGGAGCTGCAGGGGTACTGGAGGGTCCGGCGGCAGCATACGGGGTGGACACCGGAGCTGGTGCCGGAGCAGAACTGGCGGGGGTGTTGTGAGTGTTGTTGGCATTCAGGCGGGCGATGTTTGCCAGAGTTTCCATGATGTTGGCTGGGACTGGCGGAGCTGGCGTTGGCCGGTTGCTGAGGGAGGGCAGCGTGTTTGGTGGTGGGCTGCCAGGAGGAGTTGTAGATTGGTCTACGTTGAGCGACAGGTCAGACACTCTGTATCGCGTTGCATGATACAAAAGGCCTCGTCCAGGAGGCATACAAAGAGAGAGGAGAGCCGGAAGTCCGGAGGTGGGTGGTGACCTACTATTCAACTTGTCCTTGAAACCCTCGATCATCTTGCCGGGGAAGGTCTGTCCTTTCTCCCAGATATCGACTAGCTTTCTGATCTTCTCCTACGCGCGCAAAGTAATCTAGTAAGTGTCCATACACCAAAGAGAGTGTTTATAAAGAAGTAAGTGCCCGCGAGGGCCTTTGAGGGTTACGAGCCGCGATGTCATATTACAGCCATGCAATTCCTCCAGGTCGCCTCGAAGAACGGGACTGCTTTCGCGATGGATACAAAACTTACCCTTTGATCCTGTGGGGCAGAGGAGATAATGTCGTTCATGAGGACTGGCATGAGCTCCGTCACCCTGTTGACGCCAGCGGCGAAGCTGCCATCTGGGGCGGAGCTGCCGACGGGCTGGCCCTGCTGTTTGGCCTGTTCCAACCATTTGCGGGTTACAGAGTCTACAACGTAGAGCACACCAAGCTTATGTGTACTGGGGGCTTTCTTGAAGTGGGTGTAAATCTTCTGGACGAGAACTGACTCGGACTATACGCATTCTTGTTAGTATGCCATATGCGTGCAGGACGACTGCCTGTGCTTTTTGGTGCTGAGCTCGGGCGGCGCGGCAATGGTGTGTGCTGGGTTACAGTGAGGCATCATTCGTACCTGAACGTTGGCGATGCAAAGGCTGGTCAGAGTACTGATCTTGGATCCAGAAACGCCAGGAGGCTTGAGGGCAAGCATGGCCTGGAGGTTGTTCTCCAGGTCTGCTACGGCGGACGACATGGTGCTTGATTTCGGAGGTGCTCAGCTGACAGCCAGGCAGACAGATAGGCAGACGGCCACCAAGGCTTGAAATACGATCGGATCTCAACGGACTTCTTGTCCGTTTGACGCCGTCACTCTGAATACGATGTGCACCAGTGCCTCGGTCGCTCACGGGCGACGACACAATAGCTTGGAGGGTTGGCAACACAATCGAGGGATACTGTCTGGTTCTTCCTCTGGCAAAGATCAAAGTGAATCGACCCCACGTTCCTCCCGATGACTCGCAAACCAGAGCGAAGGCTACGCAGGCACAGGCAGGCAGAATCACCTGGACCTGGGTGGATCTGTAGAGAGGATTTGCGTACGACGCGTGCTTCTCAACTGGACCCGGCTTGACTTGATTGACAGCCAGAAGTTACCGAGAGAGCACAGCAGTGTACGTTTGGTGAGAGTGGTCAAGAGGGGCCAGTCAGTCACTCAAGCCAGCCAGACAGACGTCAAAAGCCTACAAAGCTTTCACTGCGCGAGTGCGGGCACAAAATCAAGCGAGGCCGACCGTGTGGCGCGCGCGGGCAGGACCGAAGTCAAAGTCGGTGCCGAAACTTTACGTAAGGGGTCCAGAAAAGGTGTCGGAGATGTTGAAATTACTGCAAATACGGTGAAACAACCCAGGGCGATGGACGAGTTGTTGATGGATGAGATGGACGCCGACGACACGAGAGATGCTGCTGTTGCGTGTGGGCTGCTGCTGTTGTCGCGGTTGTGGTGGAGGTGTTTGGGGGAAAGAGATTTCAAGTCGGGCGGGTGCTGATGTGTGGTCTGGTGGCATCTTAATAAAAAGAGGGGGTGGGGCCAATTCTGATTAGCGCCTGAAGCAGTGCCACCAAGTATTAGCCTGTAACAGCCATGCCTTGCCATGCCTTGACACCTTGCCTTGGCCTTGGGATGGCCTGACAGGACTGGACAGACGGGACAAACGGAAGCGAGCGCGGGCTGGAGGCTGATGATGGTTTGTTGACGTTCGCCAGATGGCTTGTTGGATAAAAGAGAACTTTACAGTGATGGCACCCGGGCCAACAATGCACTGTTGGACGGCTATTGCATATAGTATAGATCTAGTGCGTGACATTGCACTCTAAAAGCTTTGGTCGATATTATTCCCTGCTACCTGCTATTTTTACTGTACAAACACACACACACAGCTCATAGAGATCGCACACGTCGATGCGTTGTCCCAGACCCGCAGAGAGGCAGCAAGAGAGATAGAGAGAGAGAGGATGGGATCGCTATCTCTGAGGGCATCTCCCTCCAGTGGCTAACAGCAGAATGATCTGTAAGATATCACAGGACAAATTGTTTTTGGCTCCACAGCAGCTAGGATTAATTTTCTTGATATATATTTTTTCCGCCAGCTTTGGAGTATCTGCAAGCTGCAATGCAGCATGCAGGTTCTCCCACAACCCATGTTGGTAACAGTGGCCCCCAGCTGGCTGGCAGCAGCGACGGGCGACCTCGGAGTCGCGAACCACCCTGACCACCTGTGCGATCGGGTCTGGCTGGGACTGCGATCCCGAAACGTAATCGCCATTGACGAGACGACCAGGGCCCGTGACGAGTGAGCCTTTTTTTTCTTCTTCAGCTGCCAGCTTTGGTTCCCCTTACCAGCTGCCAACGCAGGTACTGTCAGGGCAGCGCATGGCCTCATAGGGTTCCCGAAGTTCGTCAAGCTGATGTGAGAAGGGGTGCTGTCGGTATTGACTGAGCATAAATCGAAGAATGCGACCCGGAGTCCGGAGGGAAAAAAAAGGGACAAGCTTCGGAGCTGACGTCAATCTGCGAAAACGCCTGGACCCAGATCTTCCCCGTTGTCGACTTCCTGGGGAGCATAAGTAGGTACTGTACATGGGGAAATAGCCGGCCTGGTAGAGAGAGACGATGCTCCAGCTGCAGGCCTGGTCCAGAGTATGCTAGGAGCAGCACCCCATTTAGAGGCCAGGCAGACTCGACAACGAGGCCAAACAGTAAATGCATACGTTAAATTGTCTATGTTTATGGCACTCGCGTGTCAGTTACCACAAAGACGACACGTTGAGCATTGCAGGCCGAGAAGTGAGCTTTGAAACTGGGTTCCAAGAGTTGTGAGCCTCCTCCGTGCACGTAGCAACACAAGGTACTGCTCCTACCAGGTGGCCAGTGGCTCTGGTACCGCGCCGCCGTACCTGTACATGTCAGTGCTGCACCCCCAACCAATTCCCCATCGGTTATCTCTGGAGTCCACCATCCGCTCTGCCGAATTTTGCGCGCCCTTGCGTTCTTTTCTCTGGCCTTTTTTAATCCCGACAACCTTCTTCTGTTTTCTTCCTTCCGTCTATCTATCAGTCCCTCCCTGCCTCTGCCTCCACAATGTCTACTGCCATGCGCCTCGGTTCTTCCGCCCTGAGATCTTCTCTCAGGGCTCCTGCTTTCTCTGCCAGGACCACCTCCTTCCAAGCTATCCGCTGCTACTCCGCTAAGACCCAGGTACGTGGCCACCATTGACAGTTACCAAACAGCTTCTGAGCCCGCGAGCTACCTGTGACAAGCAGTCCGGTCGCCGGCGATCTTCAGCCCTGCCTTACTAACATATCCTCCCTCTGCCAGACCCTCAAGGAGCGCTTCGCCGAGCTCCTGCCAGAGAAGATCGAGGAGATCAAGACCCTCCGAAAGTCAGTGGCCACCCCCGCCTATCCGACCACATCCGCGCCGTCCCCCTGAGGAGGAAACCTACCTGGTTGCTGACACGAGTTCAAACATCTAGGGAACATGGCTCCAAGGTTGTCGACAAGGTGACCCTTGACCAGGTCTATGGTGGTGCTCGCGGCATCAAGTCCCTCGTCTGGGAGGGTTCCGTTCTCGACTCCGAGGAGGGTATCCGTTTCCGTGGCAAGACCATCCCCGAGTGCCAGGAACTTCTTCCCAAGGCCCCCGGCGGCAAGGAGCCTCTGCCTGAAGGTAAGCCAGCACCCTCACACCTACACACCTAGATGTGTCTACAAGTGCGCTAATAATTCAGGTCTCTTCTGGCTGCTCCTGACCGGCGAGGTCCCCACCGAGCAGCAGGTTCGCGACCTGTCCGCCGAGTGGGCCGCGCGATCCGACGTCCCCAAGTTCGTTGAGGAGCTCATCGACCGCTGCCCCTCCGACCTGCACCCCATGGCCCAGTTCTCTCTCGCCGTCACTGCCCTCGAGCAAACCTCTTCGTTCTCCAAGGCCTACGCCAAGGGCATCAACAAGAAGGAGTACTGGGGTTATACCTTCGAGGACTCCATGGACCTGATTGCCAAGCTGCCCACCATTGCCGCTCGCATCTACCAGAACGTCTTCAAGGGAGGCAAGGTCGCCCCTGTCCAGAAGGACAAGGACTACTCCTTCAACTTCGCCAACCAGCTCGGCTTCGGTGAGAACACCGACTTCATCGAGCTGCTGCGTCTCTACCTGACCATCCACACCGACCACGAGGGTGGCAACGTCTCTGCCCACACCACCCACCTGGTTGGATCCGCCCTCAGCTCCCCATTCCTGTCTGTTTCCGCCGGTCTCCAGGGTCTCGCCGGCCCCCTGCACGGCCTTGCCAACCAGGAGGTGCTGAACTGGCTCGTTGAGATGAAGAAGGCGATTGGCAACGACCTGTCCGACAAGGCCATCACCGACTACCTGTGGTCCACCCTGAACTCGGGCCGTGTCGTTCCCGGCTACGGCCACGCCGTACTGCGCAAGACTGACCCTCGTTACATGGCCCAGCGCACGTTCGCCCAGGAGAAGATGCCCAACGACCCCATGTTCCAGCTGGTTAGCCAGGTCTACAAGATCGCCCCTGGCGTGCTGACCGAGCACGGCAAGACCAAGAACCCCTACCCCAACGTCGATGCGCACTCGGGAGTCCTTCTGCAGTACTACGGCCTGACTGAGGCCAACTACTACACCGTCCTGTTCGGTGTGTCGCGTGCCATTGGTGTCCTGCCCCAGCTGATCATCGACCGTGCCGTTGGCGCCCCCATTGAGAGGTAAGTTCTATGAGTGTGCAATAACCCATGTAGCCTGTACCTGTTTACTAACGCGCGACCCCACAGGCCCAAGTCCTTCTCCACCGAGAAGTGGATCGAGATCACGAAGAAGCTGTAAACGACTTCGGAGGCATTTGTGTGGGTTGACACTGGCATATTGGAAGACCAACAAAATTCAAGAGCAATATCGCAGACTGGCGTGTTTTATACAGGGCACGAGGGAACAAGACGATAGACCAAAAGGGATGCTTTTTTCGAGTGCTATGACCGACTGGGGAGATAGAACCACGGAGCGATATCCCATGCCTGCGGCGCTTGTATACTATGTATCCCAATTTCTGTACGATGTGAATGAGCATTCAGTTTCAGCGAGCTTGGTGGTGCTGCAGTATGTGATGTTGTGCGATATTCCCAATCGGACGTCACTGGCCAGAGAACAACCTGCAGTGGTGTACATAGGTACAGTAGGTTGTAACTAGAGCTTGTGCCTGTCCCTGTGCCTGTGCCTGCACCCTCCTGTGCGACGACACCCTCCAATTGCTCACCCATCGGCTAAGCATTGGCGCTGACAGGCTGACTAGAAAGCATTTCTCGGGATTCCTGACGGTGGCTTGGAGCTCGTATCATGAATGTATTTGTGAGCCCGAAACCGCCCGTGCCAAGTTTCTCCGTCGAGATAAAAAAGGAAACTCTAGTTTTCGCAAGCTGGGACTGAAGAGCCAATCCACCCCCCTGAGAATCAAAACCTCAACTGGCCGTCGAAATTTGAGCGTTGGGAAACGTGGGGCCCCATTGTTGAGGGCGTTGAGTGAGGGAAGCTCCGAGGCGGCACTACCAGAAGGTACCTGGTCCCTGCACCGTGATCCCACACTGAAGCCAGGTACCTTCTGCTGGGGACACCTGCGGAGCTACTCTGCAGAACCCCGAGCAGGAAGCACGTTCAGGGCCCTGCGCATGTGTGTGGTGTACCATGCTGGGTACCGCAACACGCTGGGTACCCTGGTCTGGTACCCGAGCGAGCTTTCGCATGCCGATCGCCAATTGTTTGGAGCTGATTGAATGCCCGAGACTGACTGGACTGACCTGATTGACCTACCTGACCTGCCTGCCCTTTGTCTGTCGGTCGTCCCTTTCGCAGCTGAGATTCCAAACCAGCCAGATCTCCTTCTCATCCTACTGCATCCATCAAGTTGCTCGTACACCTGAAAGGCAGTTCATCGCCATCATCGACGGCATCAAGACCTTGAAGTCCACCATACCTCAGAACTGTAAGTGTTCGAAACCCCAGGCCCTCTCTCTCTCTCTCTCTCTCTCTGTGCTCCGTTGTCTGTTTGCTTTGCCCGGTACTGCTAGAAGAAGCGGAGCTCTCCAGACTACTGGCGACGGACATGGGGGAGAGCTCCCCAAGCTGGCGCACTCCGGCGAAAAGCACCCGCACACCGAACAGTTGCCGACAGGAACGACTGACATGTGCGGGTTGCAGAGATCGCTTCCCCAAGCCCCCAAGGGGTCCTTCTTCCATTCCCTGCAGTCTGCAGTGCTACAAGTATTCAAAGTTGGATCTTGAAGTCTATCTCTCATCTACACAGTAGTCCGTGGTATGCTTCTACCTCCGGCAGAACTACTGCAGCGCGCGCATCCTGTGCAGGACATGTCATTCTGACTTGTGCAACCTCCGACAGCATAGCCGAGTCCCGCCGAACCTCGACACACAAACACCCACTCCACCCCGCGAAGAAGCACCCTGTTTCCCTTGGTCAGGGCCCCTTCCCGTTAACCTCCCGCCATCGTCATGTCCGCCGCCGCCACCACCACCGTGCCGACCCCGGCCTCGGGGAAGACACTGGAGAAGAAGCCAATAAAGTTCTCCAACCTGCTCCTCGGAGCCGGCCTCAATATGTTCGAGGTCACCACCCTCGGCCAGCCCCTCGAGGTCGTCAAGACCACCATGGCTGCCCACCGTGGTGACGGCTTCACGAGCGCCCTGGGCCGCATCTGGGGTCGTGGTGGTGTCCTAGGCTTCTACCAGGGCCTCATTCCCTGGGCCTGGATCGAGGCTTCCACCAAGGGCGCCGTGCTCCTCTTCGTCGCTTCCGAGGCCGAGTACTACGCCCGCGCGGCTGGCGCCTCCGAGTTCGTCGGCGGCATCACGGGCGGCGTGACGGGCGGTGTGGCTCAGGCCTACGCCACCATGGGCTTCTGCACCTGCATGAAGACGGTCGAGATCACAAAGCACAAGGCTGTCGAGGCCGGCGGCAAGCCTCCTTCCACCTGGGCCACCTTTGCCGACATCTACCGTCGCGAGGGAATCGCGGGTATCAACAAGGGCGTCAACGCCGTCGCTATCCGCCAGATGACCAACTGGGGCTCTCGCTTTGGCCTGTCTCGCCTTGCCGAGACCGGCATCCGTGAGCTCACCGGAAAGAAGGAAGGCCAGAAGCTGAGCGCCTGGGAGAAGATCATCGCGTCCGGCCTGGGCGGTGGCCTCTCCGCGTGGAACCAGCCCATCGAGGTCATCCGCGTCGAGATGCAGAGCAAGAAGGAGGACCCGAACCGCCCCAAGAAGATGACGGTCGGCAACACCTTCAGGTACATTTACTCGACCAACGGCATCAAGGGCCTGTACCGCGGTATCACGCCCCGTATTGGCCTGGGCATGTGGCAGACAATCTGCATGGTTGCGCTCGGAGACATGTGAGTCAAAGCATAACACCCCCCCCCTTTTCCTTTACTCAACACACATGCAATGTGAACCACAAACTAACGGTGATCTTTCAAACCACAGGGCCAAGCAGGCTGTCGAGAAGCTGACTGGCGACAAGGTCACGGCTAAGCATTAGAGTGTTAGGCGTTAAGGACGTGGATATTATGGGCTCTTTCACGAACAACTTGACGCTTCTTGAGACGATGGTATGAAGAAAAAGGATAAAGGGGGACATGTATGCTTTGTAGCCGACATTTTTTGGTTTCCGAGTGTCGAGAGGGTTCTCTTTTCTTTTAATCTGTGGTCTGTGCCGCGTCAGCATTCAGTATCATGAGATAGACAGGGCGGGCGTTTTGCTGAGCTCTAATTGCATATAAAGATGTTGAATGCAGCTTGCACGAGTTTCCCTGTCATGATCGTATTTTAACATGGAACAAGGCGTACATACTTATACCCTGCTTCGATGTTCAGACCGGTGTTGCCATGTAGGACTCTCATCTGTCTCCCTACAGCCCTACCGCTCGCAGTGCGCTGCGCACCCCCTCCACCAATCTTCTCCCAGATCGGACGGCAACGGAGCTGAGAGCGTCCTCGCAGGAACATACGTGTGTAGGAGCGGATTCTCGTTTCCCCCTGCCCTCAATACCTTTCTCGTCCCCTGGATGACTTCTTGAAGTGCTTCGTCTTCCAACAATCGCCTGTACTCGTTAACAAAGGCTCTGAAAGGCAGCTGGAGGACGCATTTTATAGATAGAAGACATCTTCAATTAATGCTGCATCTGCTTATTTACAAGATGAGAGAATGTTCACAAGACTGCGCCAGCGATCCCACCATCCCTCTGTCCTCTTCATAATGCCGACACCAGGATCAATGCTCGTTTGGGAACGCCTCGCTGCTGTGGAACACACCGACAAAGCAAAGCCCTGGGTTTGGCCGTCGGGCTGTTATCGTTCGTCTCTCGCTTCGCCTCGTCGGGTCGGATGACTGTGTTGGGTGCACATGGTAGCAACATACTAGCCAGGCAGAAGAGTATAGGGGTATCTAAAAGCCCATGCCGTCCTCGTCCTCCTTCTTCCGGTCAACGACACCCTGCTTGAGGTTCTCGTCGACTTCGTCGACATACTCGAGCCCGCAGTACTCCACTCCGTCGCGGAGCTCCTGAAATGGGACGCCGTCCCGTTCGAGCGCCTCTAGGCTGTCAAGGCTCAAACCTGCGAAGTCAAGGTCGAGCTTGCAGTTCTCTCTGTGCCGCCTCGCCACCTCGCTCGCCTTGGGCTCTCCTCCGTCAACGTCCATCTGGTCGGGATTCTCGCTAGATAAGCTGAGGTTCTTTATGCGCTTTGTCCGGATCGGGGCATTAGCGAACATCTTCCGGTTGGTCTGCTGCTCGCTTTCGACGTAGGCCATAAGCTCTCTTGTCGGATCGTACGCGGCGTGGGCCGCACGTCGGAACAGCCCTGTGTCAGCGTAGTTGACATCCTGCACCATTCCCACGGTAGGGTCTCCACTGAACCGCAGCTGCCGCGCATTGACGTAAGCGTGGCCCAGGTCGGAACTGGTCTCACGGCTCTGGAGGAGCAGCCGGGGAGGCGGAGGCTCCGGGTGCGGCGTTATCGGTGTTGGCCTTCTCCGTGTCGTCGCACCCAGGCCTCGAGGCCCAGATACGTTGACAAAGGACGCAAGTTTCTCCTCGTCTTCGCCGACGGATAAGACGAAGACGCGCCCGCTTGCGTCGCCGATCACAAGCTTGGAGAAGTCGGGCGAGAACGCACCGTGTGAGATCTGGGCTGGTGCCTCAAGGATGACTCTGCCTTTAGCTTTGGTACCCCGGATGTTCCAGACCTTGACCACCCCATCTGAGGAACCTGTGTAGAAGCGATCCAAAGATGCAGCCCAAGCCGTGAACTTCACGCCCGTGTCGTCTTCGTTATCTCCGACAGTGATGCCCTCCAGAGGACGGTCGTGAGCGAGCACATGAATGGGTCTCCTTCTGAGGGTCTCGTGTTGCGCTGAATCCCAGACATAGGTCTTACCATCCGTGCAGCCGGCCGTAATGTAGAAGAACGCAGTGCTGTTCGGCATGATAGTAAGCTCGTTGATATCGAGAGCTGTACAGTCGAAAGACTTTACAAATTTGAATTGAAGGTCCTGCCCAGAACTGTTGTCCCTAACAAAGATTCTGACCTGCGTTCGAATATCAGCATCGAAGTCTCCTGCCGGTGAAGATGCCACAACGAATTCCGGTAGATATGGGTGCCATAGGACCTCAAAGACATTTTGAGAGTTTGCGCCCGGAATGTGAACCGCCTGTCCTGTGAGGCCATCCCACAGACATAGCTCGCCGGTGTTCAAGCGGTCCTCAGGGATATCATTTTCGTCCTCTGTCAGACTGCGTGGGGAGAACCCAACAAGTAGCAGGTGGCGGACGCTCTCAGCGACGCCCCACTTCATTGTCGACGGGAAGTAAGTCCACTTATTCGAAAAACTCCCGTCCGAGTCGGGAACTCTGGTAGCCGAGAAGGACATGTACGTGCTGCTTGAAACATCCTCTGGGTTGACGGTGTAAATTCTGACAGCTCCGGTCGGAACATCGGCAGCAGTGGCCACCAAACCTGTCGGGTGTTCCAACGGGGAAGCCTGCACAAAATTGACGATACCGTCGTGTGTCCAACTCCCTATACATTGCATCGAGGATCCTGATTTTTCAACTCGCCAGACCTTAGCGCTTCGATCGAAACCAGATGTATACGTTCGATCGTGTATTGAATCGTAGTCTGACGAGACGACAGATGTATAGAGCCAAGGATCTTGAGACTCGCGCATCTCATCCGTTGAATTCTCTCCTTTCTGGACAATAGGGCGAGGAATTCGATGGTCGGGATAAGACGTCAGCTTAGTGGACGCCGGAGCAACCGAGCCTAACAGAAGGTTTCCAGGCTTGTTGTATTGCTGGTTGTGTGAATCCATGTGGACAGTGGTTCCGGCAATATATGCAGAGTTAGATACCCAGCTGACCGCAGAAATATCTCCGGCACAGTTGGTGAATTCCGACCGGAGCTCGAGACCGTCTTCAAGGCTCTTGCGCAACTCATTTGTGAGGTGCCTCATCGTTGTTGTCCGGAAGCGATTGCCAAAAACTTCCCGCGCCATGAGGAGCGCCGAAAGATGGCTATCACGAAGAGCTTCACCGCGCCTGTCAAATACGTCCTTCTCCACCGACAGTATGCGTGGATCTTGAGTAGTGGCTTTCTTCTGCAAGATATCGGAAAGAAAGGCGCTCAGGTCATCCGTACTTCTGGCCTCAATCTTAAGCTGGCTAGCCAGACGAGTAACATCCTCGGGGCGCTTGAGCTTCTTAAGCAATTTTGCCAGGCCTTTGTACGGGTCATCGTGCTTCTTGTCAGACCTCAACACCTTTCGAGCCGCTACCTGGACTTTTCGAGCTTCTTCCAAAGTGAAGTCGACGTGGAAGATGTGTGGCTTGACCAGCTGGTCTGGCCTCGTCTTTCTTAGCAGTCCATTGCCCTTCAGGATCTCTTGCTTTGTCCTTGCGTTGCGATATGGACGATGCTCAAGAGCGAAGTAGCCGGAAGTAGATCGCTCTTTCACATTGTGACTATCCGTATTAGACTTCCAAGCCGCGACTTTAGCACGAGAACGGTAGTTTGCCGGAGATGTCGGAACCGTGGCTGCCACAGATTTCACCCTCTTTGGGGAAGGAGGTGTACGTGGCCGTATAGTAGAAGGAACAGTAGCTAGAGATTGTGATGTCGTTGGTAAAACAGCATCTTGAGGCTGTGTGGCTGAAGCCACTGTGGGCTCTGTGATCAGTGGCTTGCTGATCAGGTGTTGTCGCGTCTTGTTGACGGAGGTAGGTCTGTAGAAGTCCTGCGTCGGAGTTCGAATGGGTACGGTTGGAGAGGGCAGTCCATTGGCAAGCGGTCGAGGAGCAGAAACAGCGGGCGATTTGGTCCTTACGAGGGGGTTGGGATATTGCACTCGTCGAAAACCCTAGCCATAGAGATTAGTATCCGAATCTTTTCTTCAGCATTTACACGTCGTCTTACCGGCAGAACAGCGTAGTTCTTAACCAGCGATAACGCACGGGCGGTGACCTTGTCCTTGTCATCATCGGGAAGGCGCCCGTACTTTCGGATTACGGCACCGAAGTCGTCGGCAAGAACGGCTTGGATCTTTGGTAAGGACGAGGTTGTCAGAATTATATACCATGGATAGGAGTCTTCCCCAATAAACCTGCAGTGGCTCACTTACCTCCCGCCTGAGCTTGTCTTTGTCTAGATCTTCGTCCTTGAATATTTCAACGGCATCCCTCGCGTAGGCAGACAGGCGTTGGCCGATGGACAACGTGATGAGTTGCTCCTCGCTGTACACCGTCCCACGGGGTGGCTCTGACAGCTTCTGCCGTTTTGCAGGGCGCGAGGCGGCAAAGGAAGGAGTGTTGACGGCAGGAGGCCCGTAAAGCGGTTGTACTGGCGCTGGCGTAGCAAGAGATGGTGCGTACGGATGCGCATGCGTGTTGCCGTGGAACGGGGAGCTACCCAGCGGTGCACCGTTCACGAAGCCGTTCGCGATGCTGCTCGCACCGGTGTGTTGAGGACGAGCCGCCGGTGGCGGCGGCTGGACAGGCTGGACGACGTCATCATCGTCGTCGTCACCAGTAAGGTCGATTACCTCTCTGGCCGTCCACTGCGAACGCAGTGCCATCGTGAGTCGCTCGCGCAACACGAGATTACTTAAGTAGGCGCGGTAATTCCAGGAAGCGCGTCCTGAAAGTTGCTGGGGTTTATGCGCTTAATTACATATCTTTAGAAGATCTAAAAACGAGCTAAAATTAAAGATTATAGCCTGAAAAGCTGATTAAAATAACATATAAAAAGATATATTTATTCTAAAACTATTTCTTAGTTTTAAACTTAATTTAATTTAAAATTTAAGTATATTTTAAAATAATTTTCTTTCTAAAGAACATTATCTCTTGCTTCACGCGGATTTCATCAACTATAATATCAGAAATGTAAAAGATGTTGAATTAAACCTGACCTAATTAAGAACACAATGAGTTCAGACCTTTCTCCTCCAATTTACTAAAGTTTATGTTGTGCTAGAAGTTCATTAAAAGCTGGAGTCATCCCACAGCAGAAGCTGTCACCGGGCCAGAGGCTCTGGCTCGTAAGAAAGCACAGCTGACTTGTGCAGGCAAGTAATTGCTATAGAAACCCCCAGTATCCTTTAGTAATACTAAAATTAAGCAGTCATTACATGATTTGGTCAGTAGTCAAGAGAGCAACATGCACTTTTTAAAAACAAACGGGCATCCATCTTCTTGATATCTAGACTGCAGCTTCTAGTCATGTCTGGCAAGTGGGACCACAAGCTCTAGGTTCAGCCCTTAGCGCAGGGACCAATTACTGCCAAGACTCGCTTTGATGCATTGCAACAATCCACAAAGTTCACACTACTGGGACGACAGTGCATACTTATTCACTCCTTGATCGAGGTGATGCCCACGAGTAAAGACATGTGGGTATTAGCACTAGATTTAGCCTAGTCCCCTCAGCTACGAACCTCAGCTTAAAAGATTCTATCCATAGGGGCCTGGAAGGGTAAATAACACAGCGAGGAACAGGCAGCAATGCTTGATATTGAACACCTTCTTTCACATGTGCCACAGTCCTTCCAAATCTATTTTCCTTGCATTCATACATTCTATCAGGCCGCCGACCGAGACGAGACCATACAAGTATAATATGTCGTGAATTGATTTATCTAGATTTTACAGCTTCGCCTTGGTCAGCTCGCCCTGCCGAGACAGCTCTGCGTACATGTCGTCGATTTGTTTCCTGAAAGCCCGCGCCGTCTGGACACGCTTGATTTTGAGCCTAATAGTCTGTTAGTACTGGTCTCGCAATGGAAAATCGGCGGCTGTTGGAATGGACTTACGTCGGCGTCAAGAGCTCGTTGTCAATCGTGAAAGGGTCAATGTCCATATAACAGTTCCGCACCCTCTCGTAGCTGTTGAACTTGTGCCTCTTGCCGAACTCGTCCAGCTGCTTTATGAAAGCCTTTCGGACCTTGGGGTCGTTTGCCGCAGCCTTCAGCTCTGCGCGGTCGGAGGCCGAGACCGTCCTCTTCAGGATCTTGCTCGCATACGGCGCGAACTGATCCGGGTCGATGCCGAACACGGCAACCAGCGAGCTCTCCTTGGGGTCACCGTGCACGTAGGCCGTCTGGATGATGGGCGTGCTGCCCATGTAGACGTTCTCGATGCGCTCGGGCGAGATGTACTCGCCCTGGGCGAGCTTGAGCACGTTCTTCTTGCGGTCGATGATCTTCAACCGGCCCATGTTGTCGATCTCGCAGATGTCGCCTGTGTGGAACCAACCGTCTGGGCCAATGGTCTTCTTCGTTTCTTCCTCGTTCTTGTAGTAGCCCTGGAAGACGATGGGGCCCCTCAGTAGTAATTCGCCGCGAGGGTTGGGCTTGTCTGTAACGTTGTATTCCAAGTCGGGCGCGGACTCAAGGCAGACCTCCACAAAGGCCATTGGGGCACCGATGTTACCGGTTGTGTAGTCGTCCTTGTACTGCACTGTCCCCACTGCGTATGTCTCGGTCATTCCGAAGCCCTGACAGAAGTCGTTTCCGAATGCAGCTCGCAGGAATTGATGTACATCTGGATCCAGCTGGGCACTACCGCTAACCATTGAATGCACACGATCCAGACCGACCGCTGCCCGTACCTTCGGTGTCCAAATTCTGTCGTACAGGATATGCTTGTTCGATGCCTTGCCTGGCGGAAGCTTCATGGCAGCCTTCTTCGAGTTAATGACGTGCCTGGACAGAGCTCCTTTCACTCCCTCGGCTTGGACAGTAGCTGTGGTCAGAGCAGCCTGGAAACGGTTGAAAAGTCTGGGCACCGACATGAAACCAGTGGGGCGTAGGATTTTCATATCCTCGACCAAGGTGGCGACATCGCCGTGGAAATATCCAACCGGAGCACCGGCAAGGAACGCAGCCTGGTCAGCCATGCGCCCGTATATATGGGCCAATGGGAGGTACGACATGTGAACGTCGTGCTCTCCAACGGTGCCAGAGGAACGCGCACAAGAGATTCCGGCAACAGAGTTTGCATGGGTGAGCACAACACCCTTGGGGTCGCCAGTTGTTCCGGAGGTGTAGTTGATTGTGAAGATGTCTTCCTTTCGGGGAGGCCGCATCTGTCGTCCAGAGTTTGCTCCAATCGCTTCCACCTCGGCGATTGAGAATATCTGTATCCCGCTATCGGCTGCCATCTTGTTCAGCAGCTCCTTCTTGGAGTGTCCATTCATCTCCCCGTCGTCCAATGAGTCGAGCGAGATGATGAGCTTCAGCGAGGGTACCTTGGGTGCTATCTTCAGGAGGGTTGGAATATGCGGCAGTGAAGTCACAACGCATGCCAACTCGCCATGGTTGATGATGAACTCGGTTGTTTGAGGGCCCAGCGTCTCATACAACGTCACAGGGTACAAGGACTGCGAGACCAGGGCAAGCTCTGCACAGATTGTTAATACCGGACCTGACAGCGAGATATGTGGAAGGTGCAGAAGAGAACGAGGTTGGACTGACCCGTGATCTGCCATTCCGGCCGGTTCTGGGACCAGATTCCAACGCCATAGCTTTGGGCCGTGACACCGATACGGTGATGCACCTCCGCGATACCAGCACCGAGATTCTTCCTCCTCTCAGCAACCTCAGCGTATGACATCCACACGTACTTTGGCTCCCAGGTCTGGGTGGCCGGGTTCCAGGGCCGGTGGCCCAGCATGCGCTTTGTAGGGCGAGCCTGCCATGCCTCCTCGAAGAGATCATGGAAGGTCAGGCAGTGGGGTTCGAGTCTCTCAAGCAGAGGGCCGTCGCGAAAAGCCCAGTTGCGGTAGACAGCAGTGCGATTCTCGGTCTCGGAGCCGGGGATGGGGAGGCCATAGGGAGAGCCTGGGGGAGGGGGCGTGGAGCACTTGGCAATGAGTGCCTTGACGTCGGGTTCGTAGCGCATCTTCGGTGGTGTGCTGCTTGGATCTGCGAGTAGAGTTCGGTCAATAAACTGGTCGCTAGCACGTCGGTGGCAGGCCAGGGCGGCAGAGGGCAAGCATGTGCGGAACTACTCACCAGAGGGCACGGGTTGTCTGTGTCAGTGAGGTTATCGCGCCGAGACTCGAGATGGGTCACACCGAAGGGTCCGACCACGACAGAGGAAAGGGAGACGGGAGACGGGAGACGGACGGCTGAGTCTGGGGTCGGTATGCGTAGGGTAGAAAGATGGCCTCTTCTGTTGTGAAGACAGATCGGTGCGCTCAAGGAGAGGATAGACAATAATCAAGAAGTGCTCTGCTCTATTCTATCATTGGCCTACCCATACCGTCCTGCCCAGGTGTTGGTAGCCAAGGGGTGTACGGTGGCAGATGACCATCTTAGTTTAGTGGGCTTCCCGAGAACCTCGGCAAAGATACCATCGCATCGTGTCGTATCGCAATGTCAATCTCCTCAATTTTGGGGGCTCACGTCTACGTACAACACTTTGATTCCTCTTTTCAATGGCCAGAGACGATGTTCTGTCACATGGAAGTCTATCTTGCTCGTCCACAGCTAGACTACACATTCATAAGGGTCGAAGTCTAAAAGCTTGGAGAGAGCTACATGGAGACAACCTCCCTGGTCGGATCCAGGTTCCTCGTCCAGGTTGCAACGTCATTCTTCGCTCGGCCCGGCATTCGACCCACCTAATGCACTCCGAGCCGCCGACCTTGAGTCCAGATTCGCTGATCCAATGCAGCGGAGCTTCGGCCACTAACGCAGGCTGCTGGGGATGGGAACACATCTCAGATAGTGCAGCAATCACATGCTTTTCCTCCCTGCCAACCTTGAATACCTTCATACTTTTTTGTAGTACATGGTCCCTGCCTTTTCCTCGCCGGCTTCTTCCAGTCGGCAGAGCTCAGAAACGCCGCCCCCATTGAGCTGCTGAACATAGGCAGCACCCTGCTGTCTGATCAAATGTCTCACCTGCTGCTAACTGTGCATCTCGATTGGCCCTGTTCATCCGTTCAGCCGTTCAACCGTCCAACCATTCCTCCGGGCTCCGGCTCAACGTCGAGAACTTAACTGCGGCCGGCCGGCTCTGCGATTGCTATGGCTCCGTCGACGGTCAGGTGCGCCGTGCAAGCTTTCAGGCCGCACATGCCGACTTGACGGGTGTCTTGGTCTCGACAGCTTAGCCATCGCATGGCGCCGAGTAGGTGTACGGCGGCTTGACACTCAATACCTCAGCACGGCACTCCTTCACCTGCGTCTCACCATTCACCATTCTATGCTGCATACTATTTATTCTGATGGTCTGGTCAGGTCTAGAGCGTGTTCTTGCACCAACTAGATCAAGGCATCATCCTCAGCCTCAGATTTAGAGTCCAGCATAACAAGCATTTACAGGCCCACCATGACTCGACCCGAGCCACTGGAAAATCACAATTGACCAGACGACATTTGCTTGGCTCTTGCAGGCTCTTGAATGCAATTGCTCGAGTCTCGCTTGACTTTTTTTCGTTGAGCGCTCGGCAGTCCAAACTTCGGTCCACAGACACACGGACCTTCCCCAGGTGCAGGACGACAAGTCAGACACCCCAGGGCCGACCCCAGAGCAAGGTCTCGACGTCGCCATGCACCCACCCAACCTCGACCCTCATCGGCCGCTCTCGAGCACTTGGCCACGAAGCGAACCGATTCAGTCGCCTTGGTCCACTTGGCGCTCGAGATCTCTCAGACGCAAGACGACACCGTCCTCCCGGACCAGCTTGTCGTTAACGTCTTGGCACGGAGGGCCTCGAGCACACCCGAAATATCTGGAAACGTAGGCCAGCGCCTTGCCTTGAGAGCCAAGCCTGCTGTCGCTGGACTCAGACCGTCCGGAGACTGCCAAGGCGTCGAAGAGCCTTGTCTTGAGAAACAGGACGCCCCAGCAAAACATGTTTCCTTGCTACTTGTCCTGCGCTTCCCCTTCCGATTCCATCTTTCCTGTTTCAATCCCATGGTGCCGATCTCCCTTACCGGCCGGGGGTTTATTTCTGTGCAGCTTCTGAGCTTGTGCTCTTGGAGCCAAGTGGCTCTAAGCCAAGGCTCTCGCAAGAGTTCGCCAGTGCCATGTGCAGCAGCGCTCTCCTACATAGATGGCAGAGTACACATGATCAAGTCCCAGAGAACCTGGATGCACGCTTGTCCGCGGAGCAAGGCTGACCCGTATCCGTACTCCGGACAATCGCAACACCAATAATTGTCGGCGAGCCTTCTTTGGCATCCTGCACTCGGTTCCGAGCAATACAATCAAACGCGAAAAGATGAGTCGAGTCACTAGGTGGCTCGTCCCATTCGCGCGATCCCAACCCACTGGCTCCGTCCTAACCGCCCTCAACCATGGTCGGCGGTTACAGAAATACCTCCACCACCGGCGCGTGCCCGCTGCTGCTGCAGGTGCAGAATTATCTTCAGCCGGGGCATTGATACTAATCTAAAAGTATAGCCTCAAAGGCCCAGTGTGCGCCCCAAACCAGGCATGACATTGGACGGCTTCGTCGCACCCTCCTGCACCAGGTCGTGGGTGTGCCCCTGTCGTGCCGTGTTTCACATAGGCTTCAGGTTGGTACATCGAAGCGCACTTATCTTCCGTGCAGGCGAGGTTGACCCTGGACACATGCGCGTCCACACCACCAGTTGACTTCAGTCTGCTATATACTGGCCGCATGCTTTTAATGCCCTGCATGCACGCTGTGATTTCCCCCTTCATTAAGACTTTCCGGGTTACTTTCTCACTTTCTGGGCCACCTCCCTATTTCTCCTTCTTTAAATCAGTGCACAGGCTGCCCGTTATACCATTACGCTCTCTTTATTTCCTGAACCCGCCGGCTTCGACGAACTTTACCAACATATCCACCTAATTAACAAACCGCCGACTTCACAACAATCAAAATGGGTTTCCCTCTGATCCTCGCTCTCCGCGCCGTCCAGGGCGTTTTCGCCGTGATCATTCTCGGTCTGTCAGCATATGGTACGGTTCCTCGATGAAAGACTATTAGGAGAAGGTGTGTTCGGAGACAAATTGGCTAACGAGACGTATTAGTTGCCAACTGGTACAATGTGGACACCCTGACCTCATCGCCTTCTCAGGTTAACTTCCTGGTCTTCGTGCCACTGTTCTCCCTGATTTCTATTGCATACTTGGAGGCTGTCCCCAAATTCATGCCCAAGCGTGAGTATTCTGCGTTACCCAGATCATTGTTCTAAGCTAACATGGTCCCCAGTCTCCCACCCATGGGCGGTCCTCGCTCTTGAGGTCACCAACGTCCTCTTCTACTTCGCCGGCTTCGTTGCGCTCGCCGTCTTCCTGACGCACCTGCTTTTCTGCCGTGGCGCCGTCTGCGGCTCCGCCCGTGCGGCAACCGTCTTCTCCTCGTTCAACTTCGTGCTCTGGACCGCCACCGCTGCTCTCACCATCAAGGACGCTCTGAAGGGGGGGTTCGCGGGCCTCCGCATGGGCCGTGGAGCGGAGCGGGGCATGCCGATGCAGCAAAACGCGCAGATGAAGGAGGCCGCTATGGCCGCATAAATGCCTACTACGGCTCTGACGGCCGCGGGTCGTTTTTCGGATACGTCCCCGCTACGCCGCCTCACAAGACTGCGTCCCTCGAGGTGACGGTCAAGAAGCTGTCGTCGTGGGACCACAGGCGGAGCACCGTCGCCAGCAGTGAGGAGTGGGAGATCGCCACCTTCGTCGGCAGCGAAGAAGAGGTAGTCGCGGGAAAGGGATACGGGCGTCGTGATACCTGGTGAACGAGGTTTTAGATGGGTGGCGCCAGCTGTGCTGTGTTGACCATATATGATTTTGGTGGTATAGAAGCGATCTAATGACTTGAACCAACGGTTGGACTGGGTGGCGGGCTAGTATTGGCATCCTTACGTATTGCAATGACAGGCCTACGAAAATGTACATTTCACTTTGCACCTCGCTTGTTTCGCCGCGATAATTGTCGTTTGGGATTGTTGTCTTTCAAACTTGATCGGCATGTGGATGCGGTCGGGATGTATAGACCACATCGCGCTTGGCCCGCAAACCATGGCCATGCCGCACAACGGGAAGGTCTGCAATGGTCTTTTTCGGTGGTCACCGTCCTGGCCTTTGCCGGACCAGGCCAACAGCGTTGGCCTCCGAGCACCTCAGCCCACTGAGCAGGACAGACCACAATGTCACGAGAGGGTGTTCGCCGATGCGGCTCCTCTTTCCACATGGTTCACAACGACCCACCAGCCGCCGCGGATCCAAATGTAGCCCACAACGCCATACCCCAGCAGTATGGCACTTGAGCAGATCGTGCTATGAGTCTTCGAAACTGCTTTTCAACGTCTTGGAGACACTAATTCGGACATGCAAAGTTACATATCATGTAATAGATGCAGACGCAGACGCCGGCCTTTGGGACTTTGGGGTTATCCGAAGCCTTAGACGGGCCTGTGCCACCCACAGGATCTACGAGTACAGCAGCAAATCCCACAGCACCATCCCGCACCGTCCACAAACCACGCGGCAAGTAAGCAAAGATGCTGTCGGCCGTCGGCCGGCTCGAGAAGGCTCGCATACGGCTTGGGGAACGGCAGTGAGTCGGCGCCAACCCATTTGGCAGCACGCGACGTTCGCAGTCGAAATGACGTGCTCGGCACCCCCACTTCCCAAGCGCGCCATTCGAGGTCCGAAAGAGGGAATGGAGGTACAGGTTCACGCTGAGGCAATGGCTTGACGGTCACGCAGGCCATGGAGACGGAGCTGGGGGAGCTGAAGCTTTAAGTAGATAGGTAGACCGCATCGGTGATCAATTGACTTTCCGTTGACTCTCACTCACTACCACTGCAACCAGGCTGCCTGCTGAAACCCAGCTTGACACTTACACAAACCCTCACCTGCATGCTGTGACCCGTATAAGTAGGCACATACTTGACTTTCACCCAGGCCACGATGTCCGAACTCAGCAAGCATTTCGAGACTCTCCAATTGCATGGCGGGTGAGTCACTCTTTCTAATTTACAAAGTATATCTCGATTGCTGATTATCTTCATAGTCAAGAGCCGGATCCTGCTACAAATTCGAGGGCTGTTCCAATCTACGCAACAACTGTATGACTTAAAGAAATCCCGTATGAGTGCAGTATCAGATACTGAGTCGTCTTCACAGAGCTATGTGTTCAACGACTCGGCGCATGGCGCCAGGCTATTCGGCCTCAAGGAATTCGGCAACATATACAGCCGTATTATGAACGTAAGTCATACGTAGCATCTGCGCTGTCCACGAACCTGCACGGGGCAATCCATTGAGCACGCCGTGTCCAGCCCACTGTCGACGTCTTCGAGAAGCGTATTGCAGCCCTTGAGGGAGGTGTAGCCGCAGTTGCCGCCTCATCAGGTCAGGCAGCCCAGTTCATGACAATCGCTGCCCTGGCCCAGGCAGGAGACAACATTGTTTCAACGTCCAACTTGTATGGCGGCACGTACAACCAGTTCAAGGTGGCTTTCCCGCGCTTGGGCATCAGCTGCAAGTTTGTCGACGGCGACAAGCCCGAGGAGCTAGCGGCTGCAATCGACGACAAGACCAAGGCTGTGTACGTCGAGAGCATCGGGAACCCACGGTACAACATCCCGGACCTCGAGAAGATCGCGGAGCTGGCGCATGAGAAGGGAGTTCCGGTGGTGGTGGACAACACGTTCGGTGCGGGTGGCTACTTCATCCGGCCCATTGACCACGGAGCAGACAGTGGGTTGCTTCCAAGGCCCAAACACGCCAAAGAGGCGAGGGCATAAATTTCTAGATGGACTACTTTGCTAACAAACAAAATTCCAGTCGTCGTCCATTCAGCGACCAAATGGATCGGTGGCCATGGCACCACCATTGGCGGCGTGATCGTCGACTCGGGCAAGTTCGACTGGGGCAAGCACGGGAAACGCTTCCCACAGATGGTTGAGCCGTCAGACGGGTACCACGGACTCAAGTTCTGGGAGACATTCGGCGCGATCACATTCATCATCCGGGTGCGGGTCGAGGTCCTGCGCGACCTGGGTGCGTGCCTGAATCCCTTTGCAGCGCAGCAACTGCTGCTTGGAATCGAAACCCTTTCGCTCCGCGCGGAGCGTCATGCCCAGAACGCCCTCGCATTGGCAAAGTACCTCGAGAAGAGCCCGTACGTCAGCTGGGTGTCGTACCCTGGCCTGGAGAGCCACCCAAACCACGAGCTGGCCAAGAAGTACCTCAAGAGAGGCGCCGGCGGCGTCCTCAGCTTCGGCGTGAAGGGTGGCGGCAAGGCCGGTAGCCAGATTGTGGATGGGTTCAAGTTGATCTCGAATCTGGCCAATGTGGGCGACTCAAAGACGCTGGCAATCCACCCCTGGACCACGACACATGAGCAGCTGTCGGACGAAGAGAAGATCAGCTCGGGCACGACTGAGGTATGCTGTCCCAGAAGTTTCCAAGTTCTGGAAGAATCGATCCGCTAACATTCGCCTCTGCAGGATCTCATCCGCATCTCTGTCGGTACGGAACATATCGACGATATCATTGCTGATTTCGAGCAGTCATTTAAGGCCGCGTCGGCGGCGACCACGGAGGGTGAGGAAAGTAAACCCAAGGACAAGGAGCAGGAAGCAGCGCCGACAGTTGTCTGATTGAGAAGGGGGGGGAGGGGAAGTTAACGTCTTAGCTTTTGTAGCCAGCAGTCAAGGCACCAAGTTCTTGCGTTTAAATTTGATACTCAATAAAACCTACATACGATTCCAACCTGGGGACGAACGGCCATCGATTTGAGATATATCCAGGCATGGCCGATGTGATCCCATGTGTGCTGCTATTCCAGGGCATGTATGTAGTCTACTATGATCTGAGTGCATGGGGTACCTAGGAACCTCAGCTAAATACCCAGGCAGTTTGTTGGAGGGCCCGTCCCCGTAAGCTTAAAAGCGATGGACCAACCAGAGGGGCTGCCGAGACCCGCTCTGCAGTATCCAAGCTCCCAGCTCGTCAATGTCCCTTCATTCGTTATTCCCTGCTATGGCACGCCAGTTGACCTACCTATCCACACATCCCCCATCTAACGACCTGCTCAAGAGAAGACGCCCGACAGAGGCGCCAACATACTTGTCAAGATGCGCAGCCATCTCTTCTCCTCCCTTGGCCTCACGTTCCTATCCATAGCGGCCGCGGCCACAACGACCGTCAACCTCGTCATCCCTCAAACGAACATCCTCCCGAACCCACGCTCCCTCCCGCCTCAGACTCACGCAAAGCTCTCCTCCTTTCACTTCGACGCCTCCGCCTACTTGTCCCCGGCAAACACCTTCGCCTTCCACAACGTGTCCGAAGGCAGCTACCTGCTCGACGTGCACAGCCCCACGCACGTCTTCGCGCCGCTGAGGATCGACGTTGTCCCGGTGGTGTCCGGCGCAGGGCAGACGGAGAAGGATGAGAAGACGGCAAAGTTGAAGGTCAATGCCTGGGAGACGTACAGGGGTAACGACTGGAATAACAAGGGGGAGTCTGCGGTGGTCACGAACGGGGGCGCACTGGAGGTGAAGGTGCTGGGGTCTAAGAACTTCTTCGTGGAGAGGAGCGGATGTAAGTGGCCATCAGGTTCTGGTTTTGCAGTCTTAGATACTAACGTAACTATTCCAGTCAATGTCCTCAGCATATTGAAGAACCCGATGATCCTGCTGGGTCTTGTTAGCATGGGTATATTCTTTGGAATGCCGTATCTAGTTGACAACAGTGAGTCTATCTGCCGGTCTTGTCCCGGTGAACCAGTTTGTTTTCATGTACGCAATATTAACGCAACAATTCAACAGTGGACCCCGAAATGAAGAAGGAGTGGGAGGAAAGCCAGAAGAGCAACCCCATGAACAGCCTCATGAGCGGCCAGCAAGGGACGCCGAACCCAATGGGTAACTTTGATATGGCGGCATTCCTGGCTGGCTCCTCCAAGGACAGCAACAGCGGTGGAGGGTCGCGGAATCAGAAAGGCGCCAAAAAGTGATGTCATCTGAGAGCTGACCACTTTGTATAAAATTGTGCTCATATGAATAGATGATGACTAGGAGCATGTTGGGTCGACTGATACATCTAGAACAAGGAGCGCCGGGCGTTGCGGTTTGGATGTCCGCGGCAGAAGGCGCAACGTCGGCAGCCTCAAGTTGTTTACGATTTTAGAGTCTGGCCACCAGGTCAGCTATAGCAATCGATTTCCTTGGTCACGGCCGCCGTTGCATACCCACACATTTCTCACCCAGGTCTGATCGAAAGCCGGGAAAGGTCACACTTGACGAAAAAAGAGCATTTCAGTCTCCGTCCTAGTCGACGGCCCGCATTCACTATGATGTAGCTCTTGTCGAAACGGATCAAGTGTGTGGCATTCAAGACATCTCTCTTCTTGTTGCAGCAGAGTCACCGATTGTCTTCAAGCTACCGTGGCTACTAATGTCGTTGTTTTTACTTAATATTAGGCATTGTATTCAGCGGGCTGAATATGTGGTAGGTAGTAGGATGGCTTAAGCGACCACGCGCGCTCTGTTCCTCGGTGTCCACTGGCGCTCGTTGGCACACGAAACCGATATATCAGAAGCGTTCTTGCATCCCCTGGATGCGCGAGTGCTGCGGCTTGCCTTCGGAGACCGACACAGCCTCAAAGCCTTTTGCGAACCAGATCACTTGTCCCACATGCTATACTTCTCGCCGCGCGAGAATCTCTTCCTCCGCCCGCGACGGCCGACACAGCAGTCGACGGACCACCAGATCACGCAGACCAGCATGGCCGCCGTGGCGCCCCACGTCAAGCCCAGAAACCTCCTCCCAGCCGACGCCGTGATGCCCACCTGCTCGGCGTAGTTGTCGATTGCTCGGGAGCCGATCACGGCGATCGCCGTTGCGAGGGCACTGGCGATCGCGACCACCAGGAAGGCTAGTAATGCGAGGACGATGTTCCCGCAGGCGGACAGGCGGCCCGAGAGGACCACTGAGGTGACGGAAACGAGCGTCGCGAGCCCGATCAGCCCGATCGAGACGCAGTCTGCGCTCGTGTGTCAGCATTCTGCGGCGCAGAAATGGAGTAAAGGTAATGTATTTCGGGGCAGGGCTCAAGGTGAAGAGTGTGCTAGGGACGGTGGGGAGGACAGGCTTGTACGCACAGATGATGAAGGCCACGCGCTGCACGATGTGGATCGCGTCGACACCGCGGTCGATCTCGTCCGGCCAGTTCAGGTCCGAGACGTCGAGCCAGCCATTTCCCGAGGCGTTGAGATCGCGCTGGATGGCCTCGCGGGGGTCGAACTGGAAGTTGCCGCTCCGAGGGCTGCAGTATGTGAAGTTGCGAGTGATCTCACTACGGGAGACGGTCGCGTTCGGAATCGCGGTTGGCTCGTAGTAGCCCTCGCAGTACTGTGAAGGCCGATGTTAGTGATTTCCGTCCTCCTGAGGGCCCAGGTGCTTTGAGACTTGTTGAAGTGCCTTCGTCTCAAAGTACGAGGTCATGCTGTGCTGGGGCTGTTACTTACTGTCATGAGGTTGGCCGTGTAGAAGTCGTGGATGCCAAGCCGCTGGAGCACCATGTTCAGCAGGTCCTCCGCGTCGTCTTGTAGGAAGTCGGGGATTGCGTCCAGGATGGCGGCCAGTTCAGGGTGGCTGTTCACATAGCTGCTGTTGAGGAGACCTTGGCCGACTTGTGATGTGTTTACCTGGAGGGCTAGTTCAGTCTCAGTGCAGAATGCCTCGGGTTGGATGGCGGGTTTGACTCCAATCATACCGTGATCAGTGAAAACTCGGGCAAGAACGAGGTCGTGGTGCCTGCAAATAGACACAGCAGTGTCATTGCTAAGGCCCCAAGACCCAACAGGATCGGCCCAAGAGCAGAGAACCTCATCCTGTCGTGGGCTCCGTGGCTAATGGGAGGCAGGGGGCGGTTTAGAATATGCCTCTGGGTAGGGACTTTCGTGATTGTCGACAAACACAAGGTCTTCATTTGCAGAAACCAGCTGCCCCCTTACGAGGATTTAAACAATATATACTGAGCCGGTGGACCCATCCCACTTTAGTCTTTGAATTGCAACCAGCCTGAGAGACATAGCTCACCTGCATTTCGAAGCTTGGACGCCCTGGGCATGTCGTCACAGCAGTCCCTTGTCTGCTTGGGAGGCCGAGTCGGCGTCGCCTTCCGACCTCACCAGTTTTCCAGGCACACGTCATATCCTGGGCTACAATATTTCTAGGGCCCTGGGCGTAAATAGCGTTGTGCACACGAATATCAAAGCGGCGCCGCTAACAGAGCTTAGCTTTGTCCACTAGAGATCGAGAGTCGTACTCGGGAATCATCGTCGACGTGCCTTTCTACCGCAGCCTTCTAGACTCGGGGATCCTGGTCATCTGTGCGGTATCTGAATTTGTGATATAGAAGCTCATCCACTGCTTCATTCACTACCCTTATTCCGCCTCATTGCATGGAGTCCCTGCCTGACTTCTGTCCTGATCAACAATCTTTTGCTTCCGTATACCACCATTGTCTGATTCAATGCGTCAGGTCCTCATGATTCTTAGTTGTTTCAAACGGACAGTGGTCTTTTAACTATTTGACTTGCCATACAGAGCACATAAAATTGGACGAGGGCGACAAATGGGGCATACTGAAAAATGTGAAGCGCATGTGCCAGGCGAATCTTAAGATGTACTTGTTAGGTGAGTCTTCTAGACTAACTTATTCCTCAAAGCCGTTCGGGTGGCAGAACACTCCAGACTTGAGTCCGAGGTATACATCATAGTTGGCGTCACTGCTCAAAGTGAGGTGAGAGGAAAGCGAGATCGTCAACGGCCTGAAGAGCCGCGCCTCAGGCTCTCCAGCCGCTCGCCTTGCAAGAAGACTGGCAAAACAATGCATGGTATTCACCAAGACTTTCTTGTGGGACAGGGTGACTGATTACGGGAGTCACATATTATTTTCAATTACCTGAGCATTTGATGGTGATTGGTAGCGAAGATGAAAATATAATCCTTCAAGGATGGACCTACAATCAAAGGAGGATGACTTATGTGTCTCGAGGCATGTACATTGCAATTACTTGAATACTCATTTCCATTCCCGGAAATCTGTGTGTTAGTTGATAGATAAACAAGACTTCATTTAACATTTCATCTCTGCCTATATGACGGCACAGTGTTCATCAAATCTTACCATTAGTAGAAACGAATGATCCTCTGTGTATACTGGCTAACAGGCTAAGATAGCAGGTCTGTCGATGAGAGTACCTAGGTATCATAATTAGAAGTGGTCCGCCTGGAAGAGACTTACCTCTAACAGATAAGCGTTAGGAAGTTGAAGAGACACCAATAACCTTACAACAACCTACAGCTTTGCAGGACTTACGGACAACGACAAAGGACTGAATTCAAAATCCATAGGTATCGAAGATGCGGAAGTACTGAAGCTGTGTTGAAGATGCTCAGCATGGCAAGTCTATTCAGGGGTGCGATGCTTTCGGAGCTATGAGAGCTCCATGCTCACTCGTTCAGGAGAATGTCTACATTGCATCTAGCCACATTGGTAGACGGGCGTTTCAGTGTGCCAGTACGCATACAAGTTCTTGTTCCCCTTCCGATCGATCTTGTCCTGTCTTCGCCTCTCTTCTTTCTGCACCTTTCCCGCGTGCCTGAGTTGCGCCGCTATTAACGAGCGCTGCTGCGATGCGGGCAAGTGTATCAGGCTGTTCCGGTCGTTCGCGCTCATACTTGTCAAGCGGTTTGTCACAATCTCCTTCTCCCGTTTCTCCCTCTTTGATAACACTCGCGTTTCGGGGACATCCAAGCCGGGCTCCTCTCTGCTAGACCCCTCGTCCTCTTTGGGGTCCACCAAGGAGTATTCGAGTCGTGAAGCGTAGGCTCGAGTCCGGCGGCGCAGCTGCGTAAATGACGGCGCCACTTGTGCTGATGACTGCCTCGATATTATTCTGCCTGACGGTAAACGGATCGAGTCTTGATCAACCGGCTGTGGCTTTCGACTTGGGCTTGCCGCTATCTCCTCCTGACTACTCTCGTCGCCCTCGCCATCGCTCTCACTCTCGCTCCCTGCGACGTCTTCCGGCTCAGAGAAGTCGTAGAACTCGGCAAATTCGGAGCCTTCTTCTGATGTATCGAATCTGCAGTGCCCCTTGCCGCTCATGTGTTGTTGTACAGCTTGAACGGTGGCCCTCTCTGTTCCGCATTGTAAACATTCTCGGTATCCGAAAATGACCAGATGCAAATATCTGAAGAGAGTCTCGAGGTCGACTACTAGATGTTGCTGATGTGGAATGAACAGGCCGTGTGATTTCCGCATATGTGACACACTCTCATCGAAGCTTGGTGAGGGGTTGGGGCAGAAAAGGCACTGCCCAGGTGTGAATTGTGGCATGGCCTTGTCGGGAGAGTCAATTGACTCCTGGAAGGATGTGGAATTGGGATTGGTTCCTGGGCTTGACGATAGATTCATTGGCAAGGTTGATAGCCGCTCAGTTGTGGTTGAGGTGGTAGCTGTCGTTGTCTCTAACATGAATGAATATGAAGTGTTCGTGATTCAAGACTCAATTGGACTCAAGTCTTGTGGTTGTGCTCACTTGTTGATGGTTATATTATGAATTGGATAGTAGACTATGGATTTCACTTTGTTTTATATATTTGGACCCCTGTTGTACTGGGCGATGTAAGTGCTTCATTCATGAGAAGCCTCAGGACATGGCCAATTGACTGGGGTCCGTGAGTCAAGACCCACTGAAATAAGCCTAGTAGTGCCGAAGAGTAACGCTATTGGAACATTGCCCCACTAAAACCTGCAACTGCGACTAATGAGACGCTCGTTGGCTCGCTGACGAGATATGATTCATAGTGAACAATGAAACCACCTCAGCACAGCGACCTATAGCAGACAAATAGTCGGCATCACGAATGGGCGGTGCTATTCAGATTCGAGAGCTGCAGGTTCCCGTTTACTTTGTCACCAAATTCGGCACATAGACCGTGCCCATCTTCCGGAATTGGCGAGACTGCTGCAGATTGACTAGAGATCCCCAGCGTTGGAACGTTCTTGGAGCTCTCGACATGCGCGGTGCCTCTGATGTTCAGACCGGTGTCGTAGCTCAGAATTTCTTGTAATTTATCAGTAAAAACATGAGCGGGTATCTCGCGTCGTTGTAGGTGTATGATCCCTGAGAATCCCACAGTAGGTACTAGCTTACCATGCTACGCATCCGTCAGGTCGTCACCTGTAAAAGACGTAAGTGGAAGGTAGGCAGCGTTATGCGCAATCCTCGGGATGTGGGAAGCATATGCTGATTTTATTTAGCATGAAAGACAAATACTGGGGCTCCATGTACAGATTTCTTCAGACATCCCGACCGCACTTCCATAGCTGTCAATTAGTCTTTCATAGATATCTCATAGTTTATAGGGTTATGAAAGATCAACGTAAGTAAGTGGAGAGACCCTTGGAGAAGGTGTCAACTGAAATCACGCCCGCATCGACGGTTGAAGAGGGAAAGCTTAGTTCCCTGTATGGGTGATAACAATTTGGCTATCTGCTCGAGTAAACCTATCATCATTACTCTCCTCCCAATAATTCACTCTGCTACACTTTTTGCCTGGGTCTATCCAACAACAAAATTTAGATACGCGTACAAGTACGGCGGATCCATGACTCTTAGTCCCTTGCTAGGTATGATGGAGGCCCTTTTTAGCTTTCCTTTACGCAGTCAAGAGTCAAGGAATTTTTGAAAATGTTTGACTGCCTTGGCATGCTTCTTCCGAAGTGTATGCCTGTGGTGATGAGGCTGCGTCCGGATTGACGAGTTGTTGTGGCTGAGGAACACAGCGGAATTACTTTGCAGGCCAATCTGCCAGCTCACGAAAACGGCTCGCTATTCGGCATAGCAAGGAACAAGCAGGCACATCATACGCCGGCAGGTTCTGCCCAACTGGACAGCACGACTTCAAATTCCTAGTGTGTCCATCCTGTCCAGCATAATACAATACAAAACAAGCAAAACAAATTAACAATCCGGAACGCCACTTTCAAGACCTCGTAAACTCATGGTCTGGCGGAGCGATCAGAAGTCACCACCTCCATCGTCACCACCGCCATAATCATTGCCGTCCTCGAAGCCGTCCTGGTAAGCCTCTTGCTCCTGATGATCGTCGAATGCCTCGTTGATGAGCGCGCCACCGACCAGACCCGCACCCAGACCGAGTGCTGCTCCACCGGCCATGCCCATGCCTCCGCCGCCGGACTTCTGGGGCCTGCCCCCGTAGCCGCCACCGTAGCCGCCGCCGCCGTAGCCGCCGCCATATCCTCCTTGAGGAGGGTAGCCACCGTAACCGCCCTGCTGGGGAGGGTAGCCTCCGTAGCCCTGCTGGGGGTAGCCGTACTGAGGCTGCTGCTGGGGGTAATATCCGCCCTGTTGGGGATAGTGACCGCCGCCGCCGTAGCCACCGCCACCGCCGCTGCTGAGCTTGCTCTTGCCGGCGCCGAAGATCTTGCCCAGCAGGCCCTTGCTCTTTTGCCCCTCACCCTCGCGGGCTGGCAGCTGGTTGGGGAACGGGCTGGAGCTCTGGCCAGGCCCGGGACTGGAGTTCATGTAGCTCGCAGCGGCACCGCCACCGCCACCGCCGCCGCCGCCGAAGCTGCCGCGGGCGCGGGCGTCTTCCTCCTCTTGTAGCTTGCGCGCGAACTCGGCGTCGCTGTCGACTGAACTGGAGGCACCGCCGGGGCCTGTGGACTGCGGGGTGAAGGGGTTCGTCTTGGAGTCGGTGGGGGCGGGCCCGCTGCCGCCGGCGTAAGCGGGTGGAGGGCCTGGAGGGGCGTCATCGCCCATGGGAGGCCGGGCGGGCTCGGTGGGCTTCTCCCATTGGGATTTCTTGGTAAAGGTGTTCACGTAGAACCTGGGCCAGGTTAGTACTCCCTCTGAGGTGATGGATGCGTCGTTGGGGAGCACTCACCATTCTGAGTATTGTGCATTCCATCTAGCGACCCATCCCTCGGGAACCTTGGGAGGTGGGGGCCCGGAGGGAGCGTCGAAGTCCGCCATGGTTTCTGGCCCAGCTGTCGAGATATGAAAATCTGTGCGGAATGGAATTTAGAATCGAGGTTCTAGGAGGTTAGGTAAAGGCAATGGCAGCTTTTTGTAGGAGGTTGTCGAGATGCCGAAAGGTGGTGGCAATAATGATAAAGCTGATGATGGCGATGATCAATTGGCAAGGTGTAAGTTGTGGTGGGGCGGAGGTGGGATGTCGCAGGTGTTCCAGGTGTTTGAGAACTCTATGCAGCTGGACGATCGCAACTTGTGGATCGGCCCCTGGGAAGGGCGTGCAGTAACTTACCTGAGCTTTATAACTCTTGACGAGTGACTGGGTCGATAAGGTGTTGGGAGCTAGAAGCAGACAGATGCCTCCAGACGATCAGGTATACGACGATGGTGGCAGTCTGGGTGTAGGTGATGCGAAACAATCTCTTGCACAGCCCCAAGCTTACTGCTGTAAACCACAGTGGCACGGGGTCTTAGATCGAAATCCCGGTAGGCCTCCCTCCCGAGGCATAGGTCCTTGTCACTCGGCCCCGACTAGCCACCCGCTCGCCACTGTCACTGTCGCTGGAACTGGTACTGAGACCGGCACCAGTCTGCTTGCTGCCCTCACACCAAGCCACCTAGCAGCACGTGGCCTTCCTTGCTGCTCCTCCTCCGTCCTTGGTATCTGTAAAATGGTCCAGGATGCCCTTCCTAGCACCAACATCCCGGCCTTCCTCTTCAGGAATCAATTCTCCTCGCTGTGGTGCCGCGGGGGACGTCCCAGACCAGACAGGCCCTATATGCTGAAGCACCGCAAGCATCAAGTTGAATGCTGCACGCTTCGAATAAGCCAAGTGTCTTCTCGGCCCCCACATTCATTAGTCCTCGATTCACTCTCTAGTGAAGCCGTTGTAGGCTGCCAGACATACGGAGACCCGTTGTACTTGAGGGTGTCCTCATTGAAACAACCGGAAGGCAACAACCTTTTCTTCAACAGGCTGCAGCGCAGTCTACTAACTCCGACTTCATCAACTGTGCCGCAGACGATCGGGCCAAGTGGCTTGATCTGTCAACAATTATTATCGTCATGGTAGGACTAATTCAGGCCAGTGTACAAGACTACGCGAGCTGGATGATTCAAGAAACAGGACCGTGTACGAGTTTCAGTTGGAAATGGACTCTCTTATAACAAGACCGCGGCCCAGCGCCTGGGAACTTTTCCTGCGCTCACCGCTGCTGTACCTCGCACGCAAGTTATACAGCTCCCGTGATATTGTCCCCTATCGTCCCCTATCGGACCCCATCACCGTGGTCTGCGTCTCAGACACCCACAACAGCCAGACCGCACTCCCCGACGGTGACCTCCTCATCCACGCGGGAGACCTCACTCAGAGCGGGACACTGAAGGAACTCCAGGCCGCGCTGGACTGGTTGAAGGCGCAACCACACGCACACAAGATCGTCGTCGCCGGCAACCACGACACCATCCTCGACCCGTCCCGGGACAGAGAGGGCGAGAGGGCGCAGCTGCACTGGGGCGACATCACGTACCTGTGCAACGAGGCCGCGACAATCGAGTGTGCCAGCGGGCGGAGGCTGCGCGTCTACGGCAGCCCCCTCTCGCCCAGGTATGGCAACTGGGCGTTCCAGTACCCCAAGTCGGAGGACGTGTGGGCGGGCGCGGTGCCGGACGGCGTGGACATCCTCGTCACCCACGGCGCCCCGCGGGGGCATCTCGTCTTGATGAGCATGGGCTGTGCGCATCTGCTGCGGGAGGTGTGGCGGACGCGGCCGCGGCTGCATGTCTTTGGGCATGTACACGAGGGCTACGGGCGGGAGTGGGTCGGGTTTGATAAGACGCAGGGCGCATTTGAGGGAGTGGTGATAAATACAGGATTGGAGAGGATACTTAGTTTTGGGAGGCTGGTTTTTGAGATCATTCGAGAAAGGTTCCGCTCGGCAAGGGAGGCATCATGTCTGCTGGTAAACGCATCGATGGTAGGTGGGCTCTGGGATAGGGAACGAAGGAAACCCATCACGGTTGTGTTGTGATGAGGTGGGCTGAAATTGTATCAGATAATGAATTATGTGGATGTTTTCTTTCTTTGGTGATTGCTACGGATTAAGTCGAACGTTTTGGCAAACGGCGAGCTGTATTCTTGACACCTGGCTTTGCATGTGATGGGCACCCCTGACATTTCTTTGAGGTCATGCCACAAGATGGCCTATCCTGGGGATAACGTTCGATGAACAAATGAAGATTGTGAACTAGAAGTCATGACCGGGCAGTGATTATGTCCTTTTTCGTTGTGTTTCAGACGAGTCCGTTTATGCTCATTCAATTCATCAGGTAATGATGCTACTTCACTTGTTAGGTGGATAGGTTCCTGTGAATAGGCTTCCGAATGACGCTGATGAATGACAAGTGGCAGTATTTGATGGCGACGGTTGGCATATGAGAAGTTGTGTGAACCATAGTAAACTATCCAGCACCCACTAGAGAGCATCGGCATAACTGGTTGTTGAACACACATGTATATACCGGTCACGTCAAATTGACGAGCTATGTCCGGACGTTAGCCAAGACTAGCACTACACGTGTCCCGGATTCCGGGGAAGTCCTACAGGTCCGTGTGACGACATGTACCTGGTAGGACTTTGGTTGCCAGAAGCAACAAAGGAAACCGAACCCTGGCGAACCACTTCACGGCTGCGACTGGGGAGCACTGAGGCTCGGCAGCCGGCCACACAAAGGGCAGCGCGGGCTGAGTATTCCGCTGGTTGTCAGCAAAGAACGCGTTCGTGGCGGCACACGGGGTGAGAGAGTGTGTCGCATGTCGCATGTCCCACGAGTTGCCACTGGACCAACCACCCCTTCTGGGTGGACGCATGTGAAGGTCCAGACCCGTATGCAGCCTGTGCTTACTCCCGTGCTCAACGTCGCGCTGGGCAATACCCGCCCCTACCTAGGCACTGCTAGGTACCAAGGAAGCAGGTAGTTGGATGCAAGATTGGCAGGGCAGACCCTGGAGGAGGCCCAGAGGACGGTGTTGTGTACACAGCAGGCCGGGCGGGCTGTTATCTCCTATCAGTTTTCCAAGGTTGGTTGGTTCTGGGTACCAGACTCCCATTGCTGCGTATACGGTTTTAATACGATGCGTGTCTTCCGGCCCTTTCCCCCAAACTGCACCGAATGCGGCACTAGGGTTGGACTGTGCAGGATATTCGTCCGACGGTCCAGCAAGACGGTCGTCAGACCGTCATCATCAGTATTATCAAATGCCTATCGGAAGAATCAAAGTCTTCATCATCTTGCAGGCCGTAGGTGAAAGATGCCCACTGCCCAGCAGACTAGGTAGGGCTGACGTGACGATGGCACTGGATGGGTACAGGGAATTGGGTACGGAACATTACCTGTATTCTTCCTAGCACGAGCGAGTCTGACCGCGGGTTAGATTCCTCTCTCGTTGTACTGTCGCTTGCTTGTTTTGTTTGGCGGCCTCCCCACACGCCTCCCTGCTCCCGAGCCAACTCTGCGTATCATAGGATCCGGTGAGTAGGTAAATATCTGGTGGCTGTGACAAGTGTGCTGAAAGAAAGAAGCAAGAGAAAGACGGAGATTTAGGGATTGTGTGTGGTACCTGGGTAGTGAAAGAAGAACCCTGAAGACGGGTGACGGGTCGTGCCAATGTGCGTGCGAATCAGGCTCTCGCTCGCTTTCTCTCTCTCTCTCTTTTGAAAGTGTGTCGATGCCAGCTGAAACCAAGGTAGCCCAGAGCTTAAGTTGATTGTCTCTGTGTGAGTGCCCAGGCGTGTCATTTGGGGGTCATCTGGGGCCTGCAAACCGGGCTGCCTCTTGCAATAAACTCGAGGCTCAGCATCATGGCATAGCAGAACAGAGAGGAGCAGAGAGCATAGCTGTAGGTGACCCCAAGAGAGGAACAGGCAGATGCAGGCGAGGCAAAAGGCAAGGCAAGGCAGGACAGGGCAGGGCAAGTGAGAAGGCAGTGCAGGCAGGCCCTAGGGGCAACCCCCCTCCCCAGGCGGGCTGGCCCAGGCCAGGTCAGGTCAGGTCAGGTTAGGTAGGTAGGCAATGTAATCTCTTACTGCCAAACCCCCTTTATTCACAGCCTGTGAGTGCCCCACTCCGTCGCTGTCGCTTGGCCCCTGCCACCCCAACCCAAACCTTGGAACCACCGACCTCTACTTCCACTGCCTCTTCCTCCATCCATTGAGAAACAAACCGTCACGCCCGTTCTTCCTCCTCCCCGTCCATCTTTGACTTCACCCATCGACTGCTTCTCACCAGCCTGCAATCCTTCCCCATAACCGCAACCCTTCAACGCCCAAATCACATCCTCCAAAATGGCCGAACTCCGCCGAAAGCTCGTCATTGTCGGCGATGGTGCTTGTGGAAAAACATGTCTGTTGATGTGAGTAGCCACTCCTCCTCCAGCTGCTTGCTTCTGCTGCCTCTGCTGCGACTGCGGCTGCTGCTATCTGCCTATCTATCGCCTGCTTCATCTGCCACCGCCCATCTACCGCTCCCATCGACAGCCCTCAACGCCGCCCCATCTCCGTTGTCCTCGCCCTGCTGACTTCAATCCCAGTGTTTTCTCCAAGGGTACCTTCCCCGAGGTAAGAGACACGCCGTTTTGCCGCGTCGATCCCGAATTCGTCATCTCCCCCATTCACCGTCCCCTGTCGCGAGGCCGCCTATCTGGCAAAAGTCAACAACAACCACAACAACAACCACCACCACCACCACCACCACCAACACCTCTTCCACCTCGTCATCTGATCCCAAAGGCTGCTCTCGCCCGCAAACACCGTCCCCGCCCCGCTGTGCACAATACACAATATCGTCTCGCATCACAAGCGCGTGTCTAATTTTACTAGGTCTACGTCCCCACCGTTTTCGAGAACTACGTCGCCGATGTCGAGGTTGATGGCAAGCACGTCGAGCTGGCACTATGGGATACTGCTGGCCAGGAAGATTACGACCGTCTCCGACCGCTGTCATACCCCGACTCTCACGTTATCCTGATCTGCTTTGCTGTTGACTCACCCGACTCTTTGGACAACGTGCAGGAGAAGGTAAGGCCCTCACACCCACATGGTCTCGTGCTCGTGTGAAGCACCCAATGAGTCAGCTGCTGATAACGTTGCCTCCTGCAGTGGATTTCTGAGGTCCTCCATTTCTGCCAAGGCCTTCCCATCATCCTCGTTGGTTGCAAGAAGGATCTGCGTTACGACAACAAGACTATTGAAGAGCTCCGCAAGACAAGCCAGAAGCCTGTCAGCCCCGAGGAGGTGAGTCCACTGCCCCTGTGTCTGCCTGAGGATGACAGTCCCGTGGCAACACCTTTATCTGGTTGAGAACGACACGGATTGCTAACCGGGATGCCATCAAATAGGGTGAGGAGGTCCGCAAGAAGATTGGTGCCTACAAGTATCTCGAGTGCTCAGCCAAGACCAACGAGGGTGTCAGAGAGGTTTTCGAGCATGCCACACGTGCTGCACTGCTGCAGCGGAAAGGTGGCAGCAAGAAGCACAAGTGCCTCGTCCTGTAAGGGATCCGCACTTGTGCCTATCAGGGCTCCTTTCGACCAGGCTACTCCGGTGATGTGATCCGTCATCGACATTCCCACGACTAGCCTACAGTCCCTCAAATCTTGTCGATGGCTTGGTTTGTGGGCCACTTGGGCTTGATCTAGAGACAGCGATCAGGAATAATGTCAAAGATGGCAAAAGAGTCTCCGGGGTGACGTCTCTCTTTTTATTTTCGGCTGGCGTTAATACCAATCGGCCGTGGTCGTCGTGCACGCCTCATGTCACCGCATACCTATCTTCATCGGACCGGCGTGTCCTCTCTGGTCGGGGCAATACACGGCGGGGGTTTAATCGCTCGTATACTTCGGAACAGGAAACAGCGGTGTCTTTTGGCCCGCATCTGACAACGGCGTGGTCTGGACGGGCAACGGGGGTTTGCGAGTGGTGTCTTGTGCGTGCGAAAGGATCACAGAAATCAGAGACAAGGACAACTGCGTGTTGTGTGTAAGGTGGGCACGAATTGACGTACCGGGGGATCCGCCACGGCCGAGCTCTCGTCGTAAATATCTCTCCATCATCCGCTATTCACTCCCTTCTTCCAACCAAAACACTTCGATATCTATTCGGACTGGGAGGAACATGGATCTGGCGGGGGAGACGAGCCTGTTTGCGTACAGTCCTCCTCTCGGGTCACCGGAATCTCCCGGGTTGTGTGGTCGTTTCCTTATATCTCTTTTCGACTCTTTTTTCCTTTTGATAATTTAACGGGCTGCCTGCGTTGTCGTGTCGCCTCATTTTTTCCAACTTCTGGGGAGATGGCTGCCCGGGTCTTTTAGGTAGCCTGCTTTTCGCGATACAGATCCTCATTGCGATTAGTGGATACATCTTGTGTACAATACTAGTTAACTTGTCTCTAACTACCATGAGCCTTGTCTTGCCTCGTCACACTTTTGTGGTACTGTACTGTACACTGGGGGGAATAGCAGAAGGTTTGGTCTGTCTGCTTCTTTGATACAGTCCGATCTCTGAATCCTACCCTGATGCTTAGGTATTTGGTTATATCATGAATATCGTTGCCTCTTGTGTCTATAAAGTTCGGAACGCCTAGAGCGGAGCGCCCAAGGTATTCTTATCAAACAACAGCAATACGGAGGGTTATGGTGTTGTCGTCGTGGCTGTTAGGGAGAACGGGACAATAAGGTCGTTAACATGGTAACGGTGAAGAATTTAATCTTGAGTATATATGAAGATACATAGCACCCACCAAAGGACACTGAAGCGAGGCTGGAACGAGGTCACGTCAAGTTGATAGGACCCTGAAATTAGTGAGACATGGCAGATCAGCGGCGTCCTGGTTCCAGAAACGCGGGCAGTGGTGAAAGGGACTATATTGCCTCGAGATTCATAGATATATGGATGCCTCCGAAAACAGTCCCGCCCCCTCCCGAACTAATTCCCCTTCACAGCAGGGACAGCACCCAAGACATGATGCCACCGAAACCCGCTCCAGCAGAGACAATCTCAGTTCAGATCTCAGACAGGACAGCAAGCATCACAGGTCTACTGAGGGCAGGTCTGCGTAAGCGTAGGCGGTCAGCATATCATGTTCCAGGCCCGGTAGCAAGACGACAAGGCATGGGGGAGGAGAGGAGACGGACAGCGCCACAGCTCCCGCATGTCTTGGAAGAACCGTCAGACGAGGCTCCGCACTTGGGGCAGGCAGTTCCGTGCATGCTGGGCTAATGTTGTTAACCGGTTGGGTGCTGCGTATAGCGAAGTCTTCTTTGCGTGCACGTTGGCTGGTAGTACGGGAGATATATCGTGAACCTTGCTTGGGTTTTTTTATTCTTGTTTTGGCTTATAAGAGGAATGAACTACTGTTTTCTGTACCAGGAATCAAGCAACGGCAAAAGGCGGGGTTTATATATGATGGCATTTAAGAGACTGGGGGCAGGTAGCAACGACTGATCTGATCTGATCTGGGTCTTGGGATCCGTTATCTGATTCAAGGCAACCCGTGATACCCCCCTAATCCACCCCGCTCTGGGAGGCTTGCATGCAGGCAGGCTGGTAGGGTGGGAGATGGTGGTCCAGTGAGGCTGCATCCATACATACCCGCTGCACCCGAAAAGTCGAGGCTACCCTATTAGTTGCTTCCTAGTGGTGATTACACTTCATGCACGACGCTTCGGGGTCCCATCTACCTCCACACATCGTGGAGGTCCCGATAACTAGGTGACCTAGCGAGCAAACCTTGTACTCGCTCGGTCTCGCGCCGAGGCGCATCGGGGCGACGGTCCGGGTCTGGGTCAACAGGTTTCCACGAGAAAAAGGTTCTCGTTCTCTATCAAGACAGCGAGTACCCAGGCAGCTAAGGAGGAAAAGGGTGTAAGACAACAAGGTCACACCCGTAAGGCCCAGAGTCTACCTCCACGCCGGCTGACCGCCAGCTCCTGTAGGGTCAGGCTCCGGACAGCGTGGGCTGACTGAGCATGCGATAGCCCCATATCCCCCCCCGCTGTCTAACACTCTTGAGTAACTCACTCCCTGGAGCTCGCCATTCGAACGGCCCAGGCCACCCGACGCCGTGTAACTTGTGGGCGTCGTCATCTGCCGAGCTGAAATCACTGCGCGGGCCCCCGTAAGGCTGAAGAGCAGTCACTCGGGCTTTGGGGCCAGCTATCATGTGCAATTCCTCGTTATTTTGGAAAAGCAGTGGGTTCCCGCTGTTTGTTCGGTCTGATGCCGTGGCCTAGTGTGACCTTGTTGGAGTCACCCAGTTTCATCTAATATCTATGTGGCCAGTTCCGCGGCGAGCGGATATGCGATGCCTTTCCCAGCGTCGTTGTCTTTACATACATTGTGAAACACCTCCTTCACCTGGTGATTCGCAGAGTGTCAGTTGAAGCTCGAATAGGGAGTGAAGTGCGATGGGATCGGCGGAGAAGGGCTGAGCGGACGCACCTCTGATTATTTTACCCACCGCTAGGAGGGTACTTATGACCATGACACCGCATCCGAAAACCACGATGGCGACGGCGACATATGTCTTCCACGACCTGGAAGACAGCTTTATATAACATAGCGGAGGGAGTATATAAGCCATGGCGCACGCGCTCGTAGCGCCGACGAGCTCGAACACGGAGCCCAGGTCGCAGGTCATGACGCTCAGCACGGTGGCGCTGACGACGAGGCTCGTGCTGAAGATGAGGTGGAGGTGCATGTTGAAGGGCTCGCCCGGGAAGTAGTAGTTGAGCATGACCTCGCGGCAGACGAAGGCCTCGAGGGGCAGCGTCGTGAGCATGTTGAGGCCGAGGCACAGCCGCGCGATGTTGACCATGGTGTTGTCGGCGGGGAAGTTGTTGAGGATGTTGCCCAGCGTCTTGTCGCCGAACGTGATGAAGCCGGCGAGCGCCATGAGCAGGCACGCCAGCATCGACACGCCCGTGGAGAAGTGCGTGACACGGCTGAAGCGGTCGATGGTGGGCGTTTTGAGGGAGCCGTAGATCAGGAGGGAGTTATGATGGCAGACAAAGGCTGCGTAGGTGGTCAGAGTCACAACAACTTGCCGCAGGGACGCAGGGTCGTAGACATACCAAATGATATTACCCCTATGGCTGGGAGTATACCTGTGTTTACCGTGAGGAGTGGCGTGCTGAAGGATCCCCGGTCCTCTGAGGGCACCAAGATACCCTGGATTATTACAGTAACTAGAATGACCACCATGCTGATCAAGGCAAGCGTGCTAGCTTTTGCAAGCTTCTCGTGGGTCAGCATGTGTCTGGACATACATCCTGGGGTGGCTGGGATGGCAGCAGGTACAGCAAGGGTGGACTCACCTTCGCGATGTCTCTATATAATGTCAATGGGTAGCTGACCCCAAGTATGAATATCACAATCACAGCTCTTCTATCCGCCAGTATCCCAAGCACCGGCATGTCGCTAAGGCCGGGCCAAACGGCCTGCAGCACGTGTGGTATTGTGTCGCCCACGATGACCCCGAACGCCACCATGCCGCCGAACGCAAAGAGCCACTGCGCGAGGCTAATGGCAATGAGGCCACTCCTCCCGAAGCAGTGCTCGACGGTGCCCTGGAAGCTGTTGGCGCCGCTGAGCTTGCTGTTGACGACGATCAGGCAGATGGTCCAGTCGACGACGACGGTCAGGCCCACGAGCAGGACCACGCCCGACAGCAGCCCGGCCTGCTTGAACGCGTACGGCTGGCCGATGATGCCCGCGCCGATGATGCTGTTGGCCATGTTCATGAAGGCCGCCCGCAGCCCGGACTTGGGCCGCTGGCGCTCGCTCTCGGCCCAGCTGTCGGCGTCTTCGTGCTCGCCGCCCCAGGGCCCGTTGGCCAGCGCCACGCTGGGCGCCTCGATGCCCGTCAGCAGCGGCCGGCGGTGCTGCCCGTCGCCGCCGTCGCCGCCGTCGATGTCGAAGTCAAGGTCGTCGAAGCTGTCGCGCTGGTCCGAAGAGGACGAGCCGCGTCGCTGGCTGTCGAAGCTGTCCGCCGTGCCATTGGGCGTGCGACCGTGGAGGATCGTGGGGTTCGGATCGAAGCGGACTCGCTGGGGTGTGCGCGGCGTCCGTTGCCCTGGTGGTGTCGGGGTCCCTGGGGACGAGGGCGTCCTCATCGCGCCGTGCGCCGGGGCGGCGGCGGCGGCTCCTGGCGGCCTCGTTGCCCCATTTGCGGCGCCGGTTGCTGCCGGGTCTTGTTTTTGTTCCTTGGCAATATCATCGTCGCCATCCGAGGACCCTCCGTCGTCGTCGAACAGTAAGGCCTCAGCTTCTGGGTCGCGGGTGCTCGCTGCTTCGGCGCTGCCGGCATGGTGTTGCGATCTGGCCTCGGCCATCGTTTGTCGGAGCTTATCGCGAGCTCATTGTTGGGTAGGGAACTTCGAATCTCTTGGTTCTTTCCAGCCTGCTGACTGCGTCGACGATGGGGTAACGAAGGTGGATGTTTCCTGGCTCAGACAGACCTATTTTGCTGGACTGGTTACTTGTTGTCCTTCTTTCAAGGCTTGTCAGCCGTCAGATGGGATTGTGTAGTACACATATGCGTCTGGGTTCGCGGTCAGGGGTCTGTCTATTCGACTACGGATCCGGCCAGGGGCCCGTGGCCCGTGGCCCGCCCATGCCGGGTCACAAAGCGGTAGGGATCTCCCGTCGCAGCACAGAGCCACAAACGTCACGGCTATACGGGCACGAGCAGATGGGCAGAGACTATATTGTGAATTGAATTATTACTGTGCGTATATTCTCAATATACACATTACAATGTGTTATGTATGCATGTATGTATGAAGTGCCCGGCCCAATTTCGGGCCCTCTTTTGCGGACGGACCCTCACACCTTCCGGTCGAGGGTTCGGGGGTATCTTGCTGGGAAACAGGTGTCATGATCCTCTCCTTTTTAATTCTGAAGCGCTTTGCTTCTCACTAGAATATATCACTTTGGCGAGCGCCTCTTCGCTTGCTTTCACTGAGGCCCCCCTGGTCTAGCTTATTTTCAGACCCTTCTTTGCTTGGAACCCTCCATCTACTACTCACTGCTGTATCATCATCGCAACAACGCCAGCAATGAACAGCATTGATGTGTATGTTCCGAGCATCAACTGCTTCCCAGGTGATGCTGCCGCGGATGTGGTCGTGGTAGAACTTGTCTCAGCCGCAGCAGTTGCTCCTGGTGAGGTTTCGTGGCCACTTGAGCCAGCCGCTACGCCAGTTGTACCACTTGCACTCGCACTAGGAGTGGCTGTCGAGTCTGTGGTGCTGGTGCTTGTGCTTGATTTTGATGTCGAAGTCGACGTAGCCACTGCCTTGGATGCAAAACCTGGCGATAAATTAGTATTTGAAGGCGCGATTACGATCATGAAATTGGTTCAAAAACAAAACAAAACATACCGATTCGTGTCTGGTCGATATCAAACACAGTATAGACATTCTTCAAGTAAACAGCGCCAAGCAACCACGCGCCACTGACAACCTCCCGGCCGTAGATATTGCTCGTGCAGACACCGCTGCTTGACGGTTCCGACAGCCAGTCCTTGACCGAAATCTTCTGGTCGACGCCCGAGAACGTAACAGTGATGGACTTATCGCTATCACAAGGCGCGGTGAAAGTCACCCCATCGGAGCTGCTGGCACCTGGGATGACCTTGTGAAGAGCCGCAACATCCTTAGAGGGGCCGAATGCATAGGTCGTCCCAGTATCAATGTAAGCGAGCCTCCCCGTAACACCGGCTTTGTTGCCGTCATAGCCAATGTTATCCATCGCAATTGCCCAGTCTCCATTGGCTGATGCGTCGACGGACGTGTAGGTGATCCCTCCCGTGAACTTGTTGGAGTCGACGCCACCGAATGTGAGCTCCCCTGTGTTTGGGCCGTCCTCGGCCCTGTCGAGAGCAACACTGAACACGTTGGATTTGAGAAGCTTGTCTTCTTTGACGCTTCCCATGAAGTTGTCAGTCTCGCCTTTGTTCATCGACAAACCCAGAATACCGTCAAACGCAAAATTGTTGAAGTCATTAGAGGCAGTGTTGGCCACGCCGAGCGTCATGGTCACTTTCACAGACGCAATTGACATCGAGTCTTCCGTCAACGATCCCTTGACCGACCCTGTGCCATAATTGATTGAGAAGCCATCGCCAATGGCCTTTGATGTGGTCGATTCTGACGGTCCCCAGGTCGTATGCATTGTGCAGGCCGTTGAGCCGCAATCTGATCCCATCACCCAAGTGGTACCAGCTCCTGTATCACAGAGCATGTACAAGGATTTGCTGCTTGACCCCAGGCTTGCTTCGATAAAATATGAGAAGTCCGTGCCGTCTTGGTCAACCCCGACACTGTTCGTCCCGGAAGGCGTTGCCGCTGTGGCAACGGGGTACTTGTTGTCTCTGCCGACCAGAGTCTCTGAGCCGGGTGATGTTCGGGATGCCTTTGAGGCATATTTGCGACTCAAGCGCCGGGCTTCGCGATCTGCGTTTTCCGTTGAAAGTCCATCATTGCGAGTAGAGGCCTTCTGGGAGAGCTTGTACGTCGTTGGGTCGTCACCCTCTCTGTATGATGGAATGAATGGATAGAACGCCAAAGCAGTAGTGGCCCATGTTGTCAGAAGAGCGGCAGAACGCATGATGTCGTTTTACCTGAGACCGCTGGTTTGTCGGTAGTGGGTTGGCAGGCCACGAAATCTCCAACCCAGGTTCGAGGGTACACGATGAATCAGTTTGACTGGTTGTCGCTTGATCAAATCATCTCAGGTAGCAACTCGAGTTCAGATGAACGGGAGCCCAAAGGGGGCGCTGACGTGTGTGCTGAAAGGTGACAATAGACGCGACTGATCAGAGTCGATAAATGCCGGATGACCGAGAACAGTGAAGCCCTCAGTAGATCCTTGGTCGTGAGTACCAGACTCTGGTTCTTCTTGTTGACCTGATTAGGTATTAGATATTACGTAGAGGTAGTTCGTGAGAGCACGAGCAGCTCCAGCATCCCCCAGACTTCCAATGGCCTCAAACGGGGCACGAAACGAGGTGCGCAGCTGAGATAGATAGAGAGATGGAGAAAATAGGCTGGTCCGTCGCAAATGCTGAGATAGAAAGAGCTATCGCGACTGGAACGCAGTGGCTGATCTCTATGAAGCAGTGATGGTCCGAGACAAAGGGCGCTACCAGACAATGCAAATGAGATGCAAACCACGGAAAATCGCAAGCAGAATCAGTAAAGATGCCGCGCCAAGTGAGGAACAATACGACGTGCTGGAGAGGAAAAACCGACGATGGCCCCGTGGGAAGTTGAGGGGGCAATGCGAGTGAGGAAAGCAAAGGGAAGTGGACAAGAAAGCCCTTAGTCGGGAAAGATAGACAAGACAAGAGGAGCTCGAGGAAGAGGTGAACGCGCCTCAGGACAGAAAAGGAAAGTGATCGGGCAGGGAGTGGTGCTGGATGCAACACAAGCTTGCACTTGTTGCTGCGGTACAGCTCGATATGCCGGGTGGAGCGAGTCCCGTCCAGGTTTCTTCATATCAACCGATTGACTTCAACCCCAGATCCACTCACACCATCATCACCCACCCTGTATCTACTTGGTCGATATTCAGTCCAAGACGGTTTAGCACCGCGTCCCACGCTGGCCCAAAAGGATCGACTAGCCAGGGGCAAGCTCTGGCTGGGCCTGAGCAATGGGGGCCAGACTAGATCGCCCCCTGGCAATTAACGCCGACGTCTCTGCTTGCCCACTTCTGTACTGGTGCGTGTCCAGGTGTTGATAGTGTGTGTGGTGTTCTTGGTCCGCGGCTGCAGATCGAAACATTTGGCTCACGTTTGGCCCACGGCCAGAACGGCATGCTGTGCCTGAGTGCAACTTCGACACTGCATGTTTAATTGGACCTTGGCACTAACCCGGACACACAAAGACGCACGGAGTGGGCTTTGCAGATCCTCGAAAGATCAGATCAAGGAACTCGATCTTTTTCACAGCAGCACAGGGCATTCCAGGTCACTCACGACAGACAGACTGACAAAAAATGGGGGAAAAAAGAAACAAACACGAGAACTCTAATTCGGGCTCTCGCGACTTGTCATATTCCCTGCACAACCGCCCTCGGTGAATTATGCAGTTTTTGCAGGACGACAGCGGCAACTTCGGGCGCGGCACGGAGGAGACCCCAATTTCGATTATTGCAGTCATTCATGGGCAAGCCAAGCCTAGTCCATTCATGGACCAGGCTCGCCAGAGCCAAGCGTGCACCCCAAAAGGGCACAGACGGGGTCAGGGGTCGCCATACCATGTCAGATGTCAAGACGATTTTGAGCTCCACAGCAATAGCACGACTCCTATCACGAGACGATGGCTCTTGATGGATTCGATATTGTAAGCTTACTATATCTCTCAACACCACATGTTCGTCTGATCCAGATGTTCCTGGATACCCACGGGCGCCCTGCTTTAGAGGTAACTTGACACGCATGCTACAGCTACTGTGCGGCTCGACTCTGTTTCCCGTTGTTTGTTGTACGAAATGAGCACCTCTTACCCCATCTTAGTACCAACCGAGATACAAGTCATGAACCAATGATTTGCGGATTCCCGCCGAGAGCCATGAAGGTGTGATTCTTTCCATAACCAGGGGTAGATTGCTCCTCTGCGATTCAACGGATGATCACTACGCTCAGCCGCATCTAGACCCTTTGCGCTTTTGTCGTGTGTACCGCACATTGGGGTCTCTGCAAGCGAGATGTCTCATAATCTCACGCCCCGGTGGCACCTCATTGTGCTACCGTAGATATGCATGCAGGACTCAAATCAAGAGCGGTGCCGATTTTCCTCGAACCAAATTTGAGCCTTCACGAGCGAGCGAGCCCCTTCAGAGCCCCCGGTCTTTTGAAGTAAAGCATCCCTAGTGCCCTGAAAGAGCTTGGCCTCCTTCCCTCCCATGGATTCCGATGCTGCCAGCGTCCGTAGAAAGACCCACGTCGACTCGTTAGTCCACTGCAGCGAGACCGCGAGCCCCGCGGCCTCTTCAAGGACAGACGAGGCCTCGGCAACATCGAGCTTCGCGAGCAGGAAGCACAGATATGACCAGCCGGAGATGTCGGTGTGATTCCGGAAGCACCAACGTTTTGTCAATGGCAACAAACTCTCGAGGGAACGACCCTCGTGGCCAACCTGGCCTTCCGAGATATTTGTGGTCAACCACCGGGCATGGCACCAAGCGTAGTAATTCCTGGGATGTCTCTGACCAGCAACCATGACCACCTTCTCCAAGCTTTTAGCGACGTTATGCTGCACGCCGCGACGTGCTGCCGTCTCGATGAGCCACCGACGATGACTCCATAACGTCGGGGACTTGGTGTGTCTGTGAAGGCGGCTGGTAAGCAGGCTGTCGACGAAGAACCTGTCCTTCTCGATGGCTTCCAGCAGACGTCCCTCAGAATTGGTTCCTGCTGATACTGCCAGCCTCTTGCGAGCATTTGCGGCCGTCAAGTGCTCCGGGTCCATCAATAGCACCACGCTCGTGACAGCCAGGAGCCCGTCAGACGACAAGATGGTCTCTGCGCTGAGGTGGCGCTGAAGGATTTTCCGAGCAACAAAGAAGGCCTGCACCAGACCATACTTGGAGATAGCAATGGCATTTCCATCCTGTAACAGAAATGTTCCCGGCTCAAGCGGGTGGCTCTTCCCAAGGATCTCGATCTCCAATAGTTCGCCATGTTGGTCTCCGTGTCTGGTCAAGGCTTCGGAAATCGCCTCGTAGGATGCCGTTGGGTCGCCGTTGCTCAAAGCTTCAGCGACTGACCTGTTGACCGCCCTGGACATCTTGTTCCCTAATAATGAGAAGTTGATCTCACGACTGGTATGGCCTTTGCACAGTCAGCAATGTGACGGTACGCACAAGGATGTTCATCTTCTCACATCTTAGACCACCTCACAAGCAGGTATTGGTTTCCAGAAGTTGTCTTACGGTGGTCTAATCAATGGGATCATCTGCTATTATGATCTGGCTATCATCGAAGTAGATGGTTCCGTCGCCTATAACTGTTTTGGTCACTGATACTTGCCGTGTAAGTGTGTGGTGTGGTTGGCGATATTTGGCTCGGATCCTCTGTCCCAGCGAATTGACTGTGAAGTCCTTACGTAAGGCACGGGCGGCTTAAGTGGCGGACTCCCAAAGAGACGCCCAGGAAACAACTCAGACACCAGATGGGAACCAGCGAAGATTCCCAGAACTTGGGAACAGTTCACAATGGACGGATGCGATTCTCATCTGTCAAACTTGGTCGCCTCAGCCGCTAGCAGGACAGGCGGGCCTCCTATTCATGGACAAGAACAAACTGATTACTCGTTATGCTGTCCTCTTGCACAACAACGGTGATATGGTATATGAAGTTTTCCGTGGTCAGACTTTTGCCGTCCCGTTACGCTCCACTAGTAGTTGCCAGTGTCGCATAGTGATGCTTGTGCTCTCTCCTGTCATTTGCAGCATTGACAATTGCCGCACAGCTCCCGCCCTGGTGCGCCCTGTCGTCCCTCGCTCATCCTAGCCCCAACTCGATTTCGATATCTATGCGCCGCCAACGAGGATGTTGCTGCAAAATGGTCCCGTTAGCCACATCAGTTCATCGTTGTCACCTCCAAGGCATGGTTCTGGTGCAATTTCGTCTCTGTGATCTCGAGCCTCTGATACTCGAATGACACTATTTCCACGAGTGCCAGTTGGCCCTAATGGACCGCTGGGGAGCATGAAGATTGGAGGGATCTCTTACTTAAGGGGGATGTGTATCAGCTTCACGATGTATCCGACAAAGCCCATGATTAAGACTGGGTCCCGGGAAGTTAGCAAATGTGGCCGCAGGTCAAGCGATCGAGTTCGATGCGTAGCTTCGGAGCAGGGACATTTCCGCTGCAGTCGCAGTGCGTACGCGACGCAGGACAATCGACTGTATATAGGATATCGTGTATTTCACAGGGTTACTCACAGCCGACACCAACTGCTTGGGAGATCTGCACAATCATGTATTAGCCAACTGCCAGATTCGTACTGCTGAAGAAAGCGTACCTTGAGGAACTCCTTTTGATCAGGCTTTTGGCACCTCGTCACTAAAGGTATCAGACGTTAGCATCAACTGTTCGGACAGGTGGAGTTATCTGTAGCGTAGAAAGATGCTACTGACTGAACTGAACTCCGTCCTTGACGAATTCCCGGGGCACCTCCAGAGCTTCAGAGACTTGGTCGGCCATTGTAGATGATTGTGGAGTTGTGAGGAAACCGAAAGAGAGACTGGACAGTTGCAGGCAGAATGGGGCGAGTCGAGTTTGTGATTAAGGAGAGGTTGAGCGCAAGAGGGTGGTGAAAGAGCGATTTGGTCAAGGTAAATCTGCTAAACACGTCGCCTCATCCGGGTTGAATTGAAATCGCATTGCTGGCCTTCCGGCCGGCGCAACTTAACTCGATTAGCAGGGTATCGGCTGCTCCAGCAGTGCAGGCGCCGCCAGGGGTCTGTCGCTAGCGGGTTCTAGCTATCCACCGCCCGGCAGAATTCAGAAAAAGTTACCCGGCTGGGAAAAAGAAAATCGCCCATGAATCCAGGCTCTCTCTGTGTTATACAACGGATCACAGCAAGAAAAGACATTGGCCCTCAAAAGTTGCCCAGCATGCCGGTAGAATTGAGACCTAGGAGGTCGAAGGGTATGCACACTATGACGAAGAGCCCTGATACCATGAATTCCGCTGACCAAAGTGAAGCTACCACGCCTGCAGAGTCGGCCGCTGTCGAAGCGACGCCAAAGCCTAAAGTTGCAAAGACGCCCAAGTCCACGAAGCGCAAGGGTAAGGGACAGGCCCGCCTCTTGAATAGTAGAAATACAATGTACTAAGACTTTCTAGCAGCCGAGGATGATTCCCCCACCGCTACGAAGAAGCAGAAGTCCGTGAAGACACCGGCTAAGACCAAGGAGGTTGCGGACGCCCCAGCTGAAGGAGCCGAGATATCGACCCCGGCGCCCAAGACCAAGAAGGCAAAGACACCTGCGAAGAAGAAGGATACGGAGGAATCAGCTCCAGAGGCGTCTGAGAAGCCAACGCCAAAGCCCAAGAAGGAAAAGACACCTGCCAAACCCAATGAGACACCTCAGTCTGCCATCGTAGAGACCCCTAAACCTGCCGGCAAGGTCACTCCGAAGCCTACTGCCAAGGAGACTCCAAAGGCTATTAGCAAGGCAACGCCGAAGTCTGTCACGGAAGCTGCTGCCAAGGAGACACCCAAGTCGGCTGGCAAGGCACCTCCGAAGTCTGCTCCGAAGTCTGCCGTCAAGGAGACCGCTCAGCCTGCTGAAAAGGCAACCCCAAGATCTACCGCCAAGGGCACTCCGAAGTCTGCCACCAAAGAGGCTGACGGAACCCCTGCCCCCAAGCCCAAAGCCAAACAGGAGAAGACCCCGAAGAAGACGCCCGCTCAGCCCACTCCCGCAAAATCCGCGAAGGCCGTGAAGAAAGCCGAACCCGAGCAGATCGTCGAGGAGCAGGAGAAGGTTGCCGAAGAGGTGGAGAAGGATGCCACGGCTGCTGCTGAGGAGGAGCAAGCCTTCTCTGATGAGGAGGTTGACGAACAGACCAAAGCTCTTGTCCTGGCTGTCGACAGTGGAGATGAAGACGAGCAAGCTTCTGGAGTGATCACCTTTGAGGAGGGGCAAGACGTGGGTAAAATTCCTGACATCTCCAAGGAGCTCTCCAAGAAGGAGAAGAAGGAGAAGAAGGCCCTCAAGGCCGCCTCAAAGACCAAGGAGGAGACTGGAGTGATCTACATCGGCCGTCTGCCCCATGGTTTCTACGAGCACGAGATGAAGAATTACTTCTCCCAGTTCGGTGCGATTCGCAACTTGAGAGTCTCCAGAAACAAGAAGACCGGAAGGGCGAAGCACTTCGCTTTCGTGGAGTTTGAAGAGGCTAGCACTGCTGAGATTGTGGCTAAGACTATGGACGTAAGTCAAACCTAACAATCGTTTTGCAGGCTTTGAGCACTGACATTTATGCAGAACTATCTGCTGTTTGGACACATCCTCAAATGCAGTGTCATTCCCAAGGCACAAGTTCACAAAGACCTGTTCAAGGGCTCGAACAAGAGATTTAAGGTGACTCCGCTTCTTCCGAAACTTGATTGCCAGCTTAACTGACCTTTATCCGCAGTCGATACCATGGAACAAGATGCAGGGCAAGGAAATGGAGCGACCAAAGTTGGAGAAGCAGTGGGAGAGGAGCATCAAGCGAGAGAACAAGAAGCGAGCTGCGAGAGCGAAGAAGCTTGAGGCCTTGGGTTACGAGTTCAACGCGCCGGAACTCAAGTCCGTCACCGAGGCGAAGGCCGCCGTGGAGCAAGGAGAGGCACCCAAGGCGATCGAGGCACCCCCACCTGCAACTGAGGCCGAGACTGAGGCTGTTGCTCCTGCCGAGAATGTTGAGGAGGCCACTGTTGAGGATGCAAAGGAAGACGTGGAGGCGGACCCGGCTAAGAAGGCCACTAGGGGCAGGGGAAGACCTGCAAAGGCGCCGAAGGCAGCCGCTGTGGCAGAGACGCCGAGAAAGACGAGGAGGACTAAGGCGTAGATTATAGGCATGAGGGTCGACGTCTCGTCGGCTAAGCATTGTCACTGCATGTCTACAAGTGCAGATGCTACAAATTTCAATTGTTATATCTCGCGCCAGCGAACCTGAAGAGTCCACTGGAGATGTATCATCTCGGACAGTCATCAGGATTATAAAAGTGCGAATCTCGATCTGCTTCGCAACATTCAATGAATGCGACAGAGCTCACGTGTGTGGGCAACGTCGAGCTCTGGGAAAGCGAAGGTGAAAATATGTGAGGAGGGAAGGGGAAAAAATCACCAAAATTCCTGCACTGAGACGAAGAGCTATGTACCCAGAATCGGGGCAAGCCACCCACTTACCCGACTGCCCTGGCCAATGAGCTCTGGCACCGGAAGGAGCCACCGTTTCCGCCAGCCCGCTCACTAAGACGCCCTGGGCCATGGCCTGCCCAGGTGGATATGGAACCTGGCAACAAGCACCCGCAACTCGACCGGCGCCTCGAAGCAATCGACCCAATGCCCTTCGTTTTGAGACGCATGCATCCCAATTGATATCATGTCTTCGGCGGCCCCACAAGATGCGATTGCAGCAGCACAGGGTCAGGCTGCCGCCGCCTCAAAAAAGAAGAAGAACAAGAAGAACAAGCCCAAGAAGGCGCTCGACATCAGCACCGCCAACAGCACCAACGATGGCGCAGGCACTGCTGAGCCCAGCCCTCGCGACAGCAACAGAGACTTATCAGCCGACGAGGAGCCAGACACCCCGGTGGTAAGTTCAGAAGCACGTACCAAAGGGCCCAGACCCACTCTCGCTATGCGGACCCGAGCTCCTGGACACATAGCTCATAGGTCTGGACCGCGGCATTCCGAACAAGGGTCGCTCTCCTACAAGGCTGTGGTGGCTCGTTTGCAACTTGGATGCCTGTTTCTGACATGTATATATAACAGACAGAGAGTAGTGATACCAGAAAGGAGAACCCAAAGTTCCCGTCGACCTCCGCGACCGCCCACGACGACGCACAGGGTAACGGACATGTTCGAGCGCCATCCGGGAATGGTCATCCTGTCTCCCCAGACCCCCGTTCAACACACGCGACATCCACGAACGACACAAGCGCAAAACTAGAGGCAATGTCAGAAGAGCGAGAAGCCCTCCGCAAGGAGGTGGAGCAGCTCCGAAAGCAGCTCGAGACGATACAAGAATCCCACACGTCGGAAGTCAGCAAACTGAAAACAGACCTCGAAGAGAGCGAGTCTGCAAAGGATCAGGCCGAGGAGCAATACCAAACACTATTAGGGAGGGTCGAGAAGATCAAGCAAACGCTCGGCGATCGCTTAAAGAGGGACCGGGCGGAGCTGGAAGAGGCAAACCAGCGCATTGAGGAACTCGAGGCGCAAAATGAGGAGCTACAGAAGGGCGATTCCTCCCATGAGGAGCAAATAGCCAGGCTCACGGATGAGCTGCAGGAGTCGAATCGCGAGCTAGCGACCCTGAGGAGCCGAAATAACTTGTCGCAGCAGAACTGGTTGAAAGAGAAGGACGACATGGCGAGGCAGGTACAGCATTTCAGGAGTGAGCTAGAGTCTACAAGTAGCGCCATGGGCGAATGGGAGGTCATTGCCATGGAAGAGCGGCAGGTGCGGGAGAGTCTCACGGAGAAAGTAGCAGATCTAGAGGATCAGCTGTCATCCGTGAGGGAGGCTTACGAGAGAGCTGCGGAAGAGAGGGACAGTTCTCTTCAAACCATTGACGGGTTGCAAAGAGCTCTACAAGAAATCCAAGACGCAAGGAGAAAAGAGCTGAGAGATCTCGTTGAGTCTTCGGAAGAACAACTCCAAGAAATGAAGAAGCGGGTTGAGGAAGCCGACAGGAGGGTAGCAGAGGCCGAAGAGGCCAAGGAGAGGCTCACGAAAGAGCTGGAGAGGACTGCTCCTTTCGAGAAGGAGGTCAGGGAGAAGAACTTGCTCATCGGAAAACTGAGGCATGAGGGTATCATACTCAATGACCACCTCACAAAGGCACTGCGGTACCTGAAGAAAACAAAGCCAGACGAACAGGTGGACAGGTAAGGTCACATCATCACATGCCCACAGATTTCATACTAACATCGACAAGGCAAATCATCACAAATTACTTCCTGCAATTCCTCTCGCTCGACCGGTCAGACCCCAAGAGGTTCCAGATATTGCAAGTCATCGCGGGCTACCTTGCCTGGACGGACGAGCAGAAGGAACAAGCAGGGCTCGCCCGCCCCGGCGCCTCGCACAGCACGCTTCGCCTCCCAGTCTCGCCCTTCCACCGAACACCTAGCACACCGTCCCTCAGTACCGAGTTCTTCTCTGAAAACGCGCCCACGTCCGGCAAGGAGTCTCTGGCGGACCTGTGGGCAGGCTTCCTCGAGCGCAGTGTGGAGGAAGGCCGGCCGATCGACGCCATGGGCACCGACTCGAGGAAAGGGAGCGTATCTAGCAGTACGGGGACAGGGGTACCCGTAACCAAGCCGGATGGTGGCAAAGGATAGACGCTGCATCACGAGTCCTAGAGGCTTTGGGAATGTAGGTGTTTTATAGGCATTCCGTCGGCGTTGGGTCACACAACAGAGTAAGATATAAGGACGGATTTAGATAACCACCCTTGGGAGACGTCACCGAGGTCACCAGATGAAGTCCATGCGACAGTCACATTGGAAGGCTCGAAGATATCATCGCGCGATCGCTATAGTGACATTTGAGTCTAAAGCTAGAATGACCGATTAGGCCATGGCCTGCTGGAGAACGTCTCGAGCATAAGTGTCAGCAACCTGCCCTATGTTGTCAAGGTCGATACGCCTGTTCTCCACAGCGTCCTTCATGCTCCCCACGACCTCCTCGCTCTCCATAGCCTCAGACATGATGATGACCTCATGCGCCCAATACCTCGCCTCGGCGGCCCTGAGCTCCCCATCCCTAGTGGTGGTGTTCTTGATGACCCCGGCGGCGTGCAGCTGGTTGCGCGTCTTGGCCAGCCCGGCCGTGACGGCGTCGACGCGCTCCGACACCGTCTGCGCCACCGGGAACATGCGGTGCGTGCCGCTCAGGTACAGGGCGCCGGCGACGAGCAGGTCCAGCGCCGCCAGCCCCAGGTACCGCAGGGCGCGCGCGCGCCAGTAGAAGAAGGTCACCTCGCCCAGCACGCGCGCCTTCTCGTTGCCCGCCACGTGGTCCCAGCTCGCGAGGAGGTAGGCGTCCAGGGCGGCGGCGCCGACCGCCGCGTACGAGGCCAGCGACCGCCACTGGGCGCCCGCCTTGCCCGTCAGCACCGCCGAGGTCGCGGCGCCGAGGAGCAGGGCGTTGAGCAGGTGCGCGGCGGCCACGGCCGGGGCGGCGTACAGCAGGTAGGTGGTGGGCTCGTTGGAGTTGCAGAAGGGGCAGCCCAGGAGCACGTCCGGGCCGTACTTGTAGTAGAGCAGCTTGGAGGCCCGCGACTCGAACTTGTCGTGCAGGACGTTGTCCCGCGGCGTCAGGGCCCGCAGCGCCGCCAGGCGCGAGAGGATCAGGTTGTTGGACGAGGTCGGGTTCGAGCGCGTCACGGCGAAGACGTTCTCGGGCGCCAGGATCGGGAGCGTGCTGATGGCGAAGACGGCCGCGGCCGCGGCGAGGAGGATGACTGCGACGAGTGTGCGCGTGGGCAGGGGCCGGATGGGCTGCTTCGGGTTGCGCTGGGCGGCGCGCGCAGAGTTGAACCAGGTTATTGCTTTAGGTACGAGCATGGGCCCGAAGAAGATGACTAGGGACTTGATCCTGGAGGGTGTGTCAGTCTAGCTGGTGAGTACGTGAGTGGTAATCCATGTAGGCAGTTACTCACGTCCCCCATGATATCGCCATGGCTGCTGCTGCTGTTGCTGAACGAGAGTTGTGTTGCACGGAAAGGAGGTACAGGTGTTCATGACGGCCACCCGTGGTTGTATTTCAGTGGACAAGGCCGTTGGCCAGCCGGGGTGTGTATGCCGATCTGGACAGCAAGGGGATGAGTTAAGTGGCGCTAAGTCAGGTAGCTCCGATAGTGGGGCTTCCCGAAAGCTTACAAAATTCGAGAAGCACGAAAATTCATCCAACAACGATCTTCCGTCCTTCACCACAGACAAACCACACAAAGCTTCAATATCTTTGTGCTGTGAGACCTTCTCTGTGTACTATGAGAATATACTACTTGTCTCGCTCACGATCCCTTCTGGGTCTTCAACCTCTAACATGAAGACGATCGAGCACTACGGTAGGTTGACCCTGCCAACATGCGCGGTCCATCCAACCGATGAGCAGCACTCCACGCAGAATCACATTCTCTCCGGACACGGGCACTTTCGAAGCTTTAGCAATCTTTTTCCTCAGTGGTTGTCAGAGTCAAAGTGTTGCCCAGAGCAAGCCCAAGTACTCTGCCAAGAGTCATCTCACTTCGTGTTGCTGAGTTTCAGCTCCGGCTATGAAGAACTCTGCGTCAAATTTGCTGAGAGACATATGCAATTTCCATAACTAGAACACCGAGCGTCCTGAGCTTGCAGCGCCGTAATATCCAGAATTAGCCATGCATACTATAACTCCTTCTTGCTGTCCCCCTCTCCCTGTGACTTCGCCGAAGCCGTAGGTGCGGCAGAAGCCTTTACTGGTTCCTCCGTCTTCTTTCCCTGTCCCGCTTCCTTCGCGGCGACCACCAGGCCCACGAGCGCCGCGATCGTGTCCGCCACCAGCGTGATGACGCCCGTGCACGCGAGCTGCCACGACGCGACGCTGACGCTGCCCATCGGCGCCCGCGGGAACGAGATGATCCACTCGGCGTAGTATGGGAACCAGCCGTGCGGCAGCCAGAACATGGGCGAGCGCGAGTACCAGAATGGGAGAAAGTAGCGCAGGCCAGAGGTGCAGAGCCAGCGGGCCGTCGTGACTGTCTTGTCGAATGCGGCCTTGGAGCCGTCGATGCCGGTCTCTGTGCGTTGGGCAAGTCTCCCGTCAGCAATCTTTGTTTTCGTCACCAGCTTACTTCCTTCCACCACTGGCCCAGTGGCCCGTGTGGTGAAGATCCTGTATGTATGTGTGTATTTATGTATGTAGGGCGGAGGGCAGGTTGTAGGTGGGAAGAGACGCACTCATCTTCTCCAGCTCCTCCAGCATCTTGTCGTGCTGCCGCCGCAGCTTTGCCCACTTTGCGAACTCGTCCTGGCTGCTCGTAGCATTCAGATCACGCCGCACCTTCATGTACCGCTGCTGTAGCTCGCGCTGGTCGCGGATCTGCTTCGAGGTGCCCAGCGGGGTCGCGGTATAGAGCTTCCATAGCTTCGGGGAAGGAGCAACAGGTCAGCAAACTCAGGTCATGGCGTCTCCAGCCTTGCCCATGTCGGCAGAGTAGGGGATGAATGGTGGCAGGCGGGGCGAGGGTATGGGCTGCTCACCAGGTTATTGATGGTCGCTGCGCCGATGCTGTTCACCACGGCGACGGCGAGCTCGACTACGAAAATGACGACGAGGGACGCCATCGTCGAGTGTAAGGTGCTAGATGTTGAGGAGAAAACGATAAAGAGGCGTCCGATGTCGCCGGGACCATGCTGCCAAAAGGTGGGAGCGTGGCCTTGAGGTTGTGGAAAGTCAGACTGCTTGCCTGCTGCACTCACGGAGCAGTGGGCTGCCTTTTCTACGTGTTGCATCATAACGGCGCTAGTTTTGGTGCAGCCCCAAGGGTCCCTTTTTTCGTCCCAGCAGACCACTCAGACAATTCAGGATGATACCAATTATTTAGCTCGTAACTGGACTAGTGTAGTCAATGGCATGACCTCCTTTGAGAAATTGTCTTTTACAATATAGAGCAACCTGTGAGATAGTGTAGGATTAACTTTAGGGTGTGGACAAAAAATGTCATTCTTGGTACCTCGTCGACTACTGTACCTGCGCGGATCCTAGAGATCCCTCAAAGCTGTAATTATATGTTCACATACACACAAGAATCAACAGCATTCTCCCTCCACATCCCTCTCATACACCAAATATGAGAACCACAAGGATTCTGTAGTCCATACCAACCGAATAAACTCCATCCGTCAACAGTTCCATTCCATTTGGGGTATTGGGCAGCGCCGTCTAGATCCAATTCAGTTACCAATTTTCCCCCATTCTGAATGCATGGGATCATGCATCGATAGAAAAATGCCCAACTTTGTGTACAGTGCCTACCCTATATACCCTCGTTTCCTGATCGCCCCTCCAGATGCATCATTAAGTCGTTCAACTGCTTTGGGTACGTTGAGGTCGTGAGACCCTCCCGCCCACAACACCACAGTCTTTTAATTCGTTGGCTCAGTCGTCATATGGAGCCATCTGGTCGTCCACTAGAATGAGAACTGTCAACGCCGCCGCGTAGGCCTCCCGGATGGCACATGCCATGCTGCACCATGATTGTCAGCAATTCGGTCTAATCCAGGCCACCGGCGTGGTTGGATAGAGGTTGGCTCACCAGGTCTTTCCAATAACCGCTACAACCGCGCTCATGCCCCAGTGAGCACACCAGGCCCTCGCGAGGACCTCATTGTCAGGCACGCCAAAAGCCTCGATAACCAAGACCTTCTCGTCATCGTAATCTCTGTCATAGCCGTTCCCATTGGTGTGGCCGTTCGCCACGGGGACGCCCTTCGACGAGCCCTCTCCGGCTGGCGACTCCGACTCACTGCGCGAACCATGGTCATAACCGTTCCCGTCCAGCCTCGCCCTGCTCTTTGGTCCGTAAAGCCCTGCCCAGTCGCGAATCTCGATGATCTCATCCACCTTGACCGTCTGATGCGCATAGTCGAAGAACAACGGGTGCGGCCCATCGGTGCACGGCCAAGCGTGGATAAAGCTCACGTCGTATGTCAGCCTCAGTGGCCAAGAGACGCCGTCGATGGCGAACTGGATCGCGGCGTCAAACCACTTGGGCCCTGGCTCTCCTGCCCGGTCCGCGCAGGGCTTCAGGGTGAACAGCTCGATGCGCACCGTGTCAACGATATCGTCAATTTCGGGGGCCACCAACTCGTACTCCTTGACAGGGAATACCTCGGTAGGTGGTCCCAACGGGTCGGATCTTTCGGACATCGAGGTCACATCGTCCAGCTTGAGGCGTTGCCGGGGCCGCCGGGATCGTATTCGCGCTATTTGTGAGCGCTTGAGGTGCGGAGTTGGTCTTGCGGGCCCAACCCAGCCGGCGACCTCGTGGCAGGTGGGGCCAAGGACTTTGCCGACGATTGATGTTGAGGTCCAGTACGTGTAGCTATTGCGGTATTGGAAACCGCAGTTAGGATTGAGGTGGATGAGCAGAGCGAGGTCGTCGGTGGCTTCGTCCGGATCGATATCGATCAATGCGTTCATCATGATAAAGGGAAAGGTGGGCTGTTCAATGTCAGTATTGACGATCGGTCGGATACCAGGAAATATCATCGTTATCTCACCCCAGGTAGCACCAGACCGCTGAAGAAGGCCATAGCATGGGAGCTGACGGCATCGAGGCTTGCGGCCTGGTCTCCTTGCCTCAACGCTGCTAGGGTCTCGGCAAGGTTTGGCCACTTCATCATCTGCGCGAAACGCTTGATCATTTTCACCTGCCGCCGCTTAAGTTTGAAGCGCAACTTCACTAGAGGTCAGTCAGTATGTGAAAAGGTGTCCCTTCGAGACGGATTCTCTAATACCTTGATCTGCCGTGTTCCCGTATGCCTCTATCCTAACATTATCTCGCCATCTCCTTGAGAGGGCGAGGTTCCACCGGATAGTTGGAGGGAGCTGCTCCAGGAGCTTCTCTTTTGCCCATTCTGAGTGTTGCCTGGAATGTATCCTCAAATCTAGCTCCATGCTGAGAAGCAGCTGATGGAAGAATTTGACGTATTGGTCGTGGTTCACATGTCCTGTGTCGAATATGAATCTGGTAATGATGTGGTTTTTGGGATTTGAGAAGTCGATCCAGTGGTCGGGCCGAGAGAGGACGAGAATGAGATCGGTGATTTGTTTGTCGAGGGTCTTGTGAGGGTTGAGCATCCGATCGGGGTCCTTCAGAAGTTTCCTGTAGAGATTCTTGTACATGTACTCCATGTCATCGTCCTCGAGGCCACCCTCCAGGTCCTTCAGCCTCCCGAATATTCGCACCAGGTCCACGTCCCGGGGCTGCACCCCGGAATCACGTATGTTGAGTGCAGGCGGGAATGCGCTCGCAGTGGAGGCCCATTGATTCAGCGTGACCGTGCCCGGCCGCTCGCCGAAATGGAATGAAAAGCTGGGCTGTTCTATGGTCTCCCAAGGATAGGTGGCAGGTCCCGGCCCCTGCAGTCTCATGGTCATGAGTTGGGTCATGGAGTCGTGCTGGTTTACACCATCGTTGCCGTCGCCTCGATTGCCGGCTGTGGTGGCATAAGTTGAGTAGAAGTGATCTGCGAGATGCGGGATTGGCCTCTTGAAGCCTCTGTGAGCAGGGACGCCTCGACATATGAGCTCCATCGCGTGGCCGAGGTTGAGCTCTTCGTCGCTGGCGCACCCCGATGGTGGCCATTCCGTCAGGGTATGGGGCGGGCTATACGGCCCATTTCCATTGGGTACCTGGCGGCCCTTGCCCTTTGGCGGCGGAGGGTCAGAGACAGGGCGTTTGAGCCGATTCCGTGACTGAGCATGAGGCTGAGAACCGTTGGCAGGCTCGAAGTACTTTGAGGGGTTGGCCTTTTGCCGCAAGTTATCACCCTCACTTGCTCTGCGCGGGCGCAGCTTCAGCTTCTCGCCCTTCACCACCCCATTATCTTCGGTGTCCTACTCGCAATCGGTGTCAGCAGCTGATTCGCATGGAGAAGGAGCATGTGGGATATGGCGATTGGCTTTGGCATTTGGCATGAGATGAGTTGCTGTCGCATAAGGTACGGCGGAGTGGGGGGTGGAGTGAAGTAGCAGGCATCCTTACCGAGAAGGCACCACCACTGTCGCGGGGTGCTGCTGTTGACTTTGAGCTGAAAAGGGTCCTCCAGAAGCCTTTCTTCCTGTCCTTATCTCGACTCATGTCGACAGCTTGGATGTCGAGCCACCGTCTTCATGCGCCGTTGGAAAGTCATGAATGTGCCTTTTGGTGTGAGTGATGTTTGAAGGAACTAAACTCGGCTACGGAGCCGGGGTGGATTAAACACAGGCAAGACAAGGTGAAGTAAAGCACTGCACAGCTCTGCACAGCACTGGCACAGCACAAGCACAGGCACCAAGCACAGGCACAAGAGCAAAGTAACGGCGTGTGAGGCGTCAGTGAAGGGCCTCGGATTGCCGGGTGCACGTCATAAAGTTCGTTTTGTTCAGATGAGCTGGCGACCACAGGAGAGAGCCCGGGAGGGCAGGGCAGGGCGGGCGAACCCTGGGGCCTGTGTCTCAAGTGTGATAGGGCAATTTTTGACAGTCATGCGTTTGGAGTCTTGGACCGGGAGGTTGGGACGAAGGGTAGGGGTTGTCAACGGGGAAGATCGATGCTGGCAGCGGCAGCACAGCGAGGTTGAATTGCCTTTCGGATCGCAGATCAGATTACACACATGCCCTCTGTCCTCGGTGCTTTGTATTTGCTTTGTATTAGTTGGCCTAGTGCGCTGCAGTCGAGGATCGATCGGTCGCGATGGAATGGATGGCCTGCGTAGCCCAGGACCAACTCGCAGGACCCCACCACAAATCAGGCCGAGGGGGGAGATGAGATGATAATTCTGGCGAGAGGGAACACGGCAAGCATGACTCTGCTTTTCCTGAAACCAGCATCTGTCCCTGTGAGCCATTCGCTGAGGAGACCTTCTCCAGCTGTGGTGCAAGACGTTGGAGCTGCTGCTACTGCTGCTGCTGCTGCTACTGCTACTACTGCAGGCATGCAGAGCTATAGAGGCAGTGATATTACGAACAAACAGCCTGCCCATCCTTACAAGCTTCAAACTGTGACCAACAGACATGTGGCCAGAGACGGCCGCCGGTTCTCCAAAGAGCCGTACGTGGTACGTAACAATTCTGCAATTGATTGCCAGCGAGCCAAGTACCTGCACTAGCAATGGCAAGTGTCGTGCTGTGTGCCTGACAATCATCTCTCGTTTGCCAGCGCCGGTCAATGCTCTACGCGTCCACGGAGCCGTCGGCGAGCACAGCCCTGTGGTAGCCTGCTGGACTAAGAAGCTAAGAAGAACGGCCATCAAGCCAGTCGTTCGTTCACGCGTGGCCCTCATACTCACTTTACCAGCCCTGCCGCCACAACCCATGCTCACCCATTGCACGACACCACACCACACCACACCTTACCTTACCATACTCACAGCCTCAACGATAACCACTAATCGAACCCCCACGCCGACTTGTACAATTCTGGCGGCCATGTGGTCACTAGGTCTTCAGCCGTTGACCACTGTCAAACTCTGAAGTCGGGACTGGGGCTGCAGATTGGCCTCCAAAACCAGTAAAGTTCTATAGCGCTGACCCTAGCCCTGCCAACGCAGACCCACCCCATCTTCAGCCCCGGATGTGTTTTGCACATGTGCCGTCCTTGACAGCGGGAAGAGCACGGTCATCAGATGGCTTCGGGGTGGCTTGAGGCGCGGAGTGACTCTCCGCCTTACAAAGTCGGTAGGCCCTGTGAAGTAGAGACCTATAAACTTCATTGAGGTCTATGCACAGAAAGGCCGGTTCCCGAGTGAAGCGGCATGACCTGAGGCCGGCACCAGCCTCCCCCCTCTGCCCTCTGCTTCGCTGGCCGTTCCAACCTCAGCGTTTTCCTCTTCGCAAGCATCTCCTGGCAAGCAACCTGATGACGGTGCAAGAGAACGTTTCACACCTCCAACTCAACTCCAACACCGCCCACATTCAATCTGCCCACTTTCACGCGGGCCTTTGAGCGGAGGAAAAACTGCGGCACTGGCGGGAGAATGTCGGACGGGCGAGTCGTTCACCAGCAGAAAGGGACCACAGAAACCGCCCAAGGCCCGCTGCAATATATGTATTGCGGCCTGACGAGTATCATCAACCGATAGTTGAGATCATGTGAGAAGGCCACCGTGAGTATTCCAAGTAACACAGGCGCACGAGACGTGTGCGTGCGAGTGAAGTCGACTTCTCGGGCCCCCCAGAGCAAGGTGCGCCGATCAGCGGATCCTTCTAGAAGCGCGCTTCGAACAATGGTCTACTGGAAAGTCCACCCTCGAGCCTCAGCCAGATTGAGAGCCTGTACAGCCTGATCGTGAGTGAGAGTAATGAGAGCCATGGCTTGCCAATTACCCCTGTGGCGTGTGCGAGAACGATGGCTTAGAACGCAAGAGAAGACACATTTCTGGCTAGAGCGTCACTTCAACAGTCTGCTCGGCCGCAACCGAGGCTGCAAGGGACTGAGAGCGTACGTGGATTACTGCTCTCCTAGCGAGGACCGACCAGTCCGCCTCAAAAAGTAATCTATACCGACCACCCTATAGTATTATCGCCTCTTACAAGATGTCTTCTCATGGAATTGCCTCTATAGAATAAGCTCCTACATCCAGTGAGATGATCTATCAGAATCTAGATAGGGTTCTGTTGGCTTTTCTAAATGCTCCTGATCACCTGGGCGAAGCTTTGGGGTGCCATGCGAATCATAGAAGACAATTTTGCCACAATTGGATTGACAGCATGAAGGAAGACAGTCTCTTCGGCCATACACTCGAGGTAGGCTGGATTCTAGGTGAAGTGCTTGTGCTAGAGTACCTACCCCCATATGTCGCAATGGAGAGGTTGCATCCGGCCCCGGGTACCGGCCAGAGGCTGGCCCGATCAATGAACTGCCAAATGGAGCTGCCTGCCGCTAAGCGGCCCAAGCTCAAAAATTCCCATGCCTACGACCGACCTCAATCGCAGCAGGTTAGATCCCGTTGGCCACCAGCCAATTTGACGACACCCAGAGCGCTTTGCACCGAAAACACCTGCCCCTCCTGCTCGCAATTGCGTCGAGCAGATAGCTCTGGTCTGGACACCTTGGGGCAGCAGCGGCCTAGAAGAAATCCCCAATCCAGCGGCTGGCGTGCGGCCGCGACCCAAACCACGATGCAGAAGCTTATGCGGCGGACGGCTCAGGCCGAGCGGCAGGTCATACGGCGGAGCAAGAAGCAGGGCAAGATGAGGAAGATGGCGCTCCAGCGGCAGGATTTCAAGCAGCGCATGGCGGGCACACAGGAAGCACACGCTTCGCTCAAGGACGCGACGCGCAGGCGGCGAGAGGACTGGGAGATGGGCAGCCTCGCTCCCAGGCGAGACACGCCACTGCCCGACTCCAGCGGCGCCTACTGGGGCTCCGTTAGTCTCAGCCGCAACTTGGCAGACAAAATCCCAGAGAAACAGAGGGACCTGGCCTGCCGCTGGGCGGGCGGCCGCAAGACCCTCTGCATCAAGCAAGGTGACCGAGTGGCCATCATGGAGGGCCCGGACAAGGGGAAGATCAGCACTATAAAATATGTCCAAGAGGAAGGCGCATTCGTCGCACTTGAAGGAGAGCACTTGATGGTGAGCTTTTTACTGGATCTGTGGTGTGCGGCTGGCACATGTTGCGAGGCGAATGAGGGCTAACTATTTGGTCCCTCACAGCAAAATTACACTGTCCCGGAATACATGACAAAGATGCGAAGCGAGAAGCCGACCTACGTCCAAATCTCCGAGTTCCGCGCCCCAATCCAGGCCGTCCGCCTAGTCCACCCCCTCCCGGACCCCGTGTCAGGCGAGATCCGCGACGTGGTCATCAACGAGCTCGTGGCCCGGAACTACTACAAGGACAAGGCCACGGGGCGCGAGACGTGGTCGCGCGTTGTGCCGGGGCTGAACATTGAGATCCCCTGGCCCAAGGCCTTCGAGGAGGCGGAGAAGCAGGAGATGGAGGGCACGTTTGAGGACCACGCGTGCGACACGCTGCGCATCGACGCCGAGGAGAAGACGTTCGTGCCCACGCTGCTGCGCCCGCCCATGCCGACCGAGGTCATCGACGAGCTGCGCAACCGCTACTCCAAGTTCCGCACGCGCCACACGGACGAGTACGTCGCCAAGAAGGAGGCCGAGGAGGCCGAGAAGCTTGCGCGCCGGAAGATGATCACGACCATGCGCACGCCGGTGCAGGAGCTCAACGCCAAGATCAAGGCCGAGAAGAGGGCCCGCGGCCAGCCCGAGCTGACCGAGGACATGCTGGCCAAGATCGGAGAGGTCATGGCGAGGAACAGGAATCGCACGCTGGCTGGAGCCGGCATTGCGCAGGTCGAGAGGCCACCAGTCACGGGAGACTTAACAAGCGGCCCCCGAGGAACAGGACCATCCCCTTCACCATGATCATGTATGACAATATTAGAAATGAATGTACAATACTGCCATGTCACATACGATGGGCGGCCCTAGAAACTAAGGTGATATGGCACCGCCCAGATGCTCCGAGCCGGAATATGTTTGTTCTATCCAGCTATGCTATGCTATGTTGTCCCAGTGCGTGTCCCGTACCATCCAGAATCATTGTCCCAGAAGTGTCAGTTTAGAAAACGCCGTGATGACAGGAGCAACCTGCCGAGCATTTACGGCATCCAACGAGGCGTGGAGCACCGCATCCGCCCCGCTCGGCCTGTACTCCTCCCCGCCCGTCGCCCCGGCCGCATCCTCCTGCACCTGTTGCTGCTGCTGCTGTTGCAGCTGCTCCTCGGGCTCCCCAAACACCTCGACCACGGCAGCCCTGCACGCGGTGACGACCTCGTCCATGAGGGCCTCGACAGCCCTCGCGCGCTCCGCCATGCCCCGCCTCATGAGCCCGAACACGAGCCTCTCCGCCTCCCCCTTGCTCCCCTCGACGCGCTCCACCAGCCGTCGCACGCTGTTGACGAGGTACTCGGCCTCGTAGACGGTGCCCTTGCGGCCCCTGGCGCGCTTCTTCTCCTCACGCCGCCGGTTCTTGCTCGTCGCGCGCGACACGTTGGACCCGAGCGTGCCCACGCTGCCCTGCTTGCCCGTGTACCGCGTGAAGAGCGACGCGCTGGTGCTGACGCGCGACGACGCCGCGATGGACACGTCGTCCGGCAGGTCCGCCAGCGCCCCCGGCCGCTCGCCCTCGTAGAAGGCCAGCGGGTCCTCGATGGCCTTGCGCCGGAGCTCGGCGAGCCGCGGCACCTGCGCCTTGAGCTGCGCCTTGCAGTCCGCGAGGAACTCGGTCGTGCTCGACAGCGCGTCCGCCAGCCCCGTGTCCACGGCGGCCTCGAGGAGGTCCGGCCGGTTGTGGCGCACGGCCAGGCGCATAGCGTCCGCGAAGTGGTAACCTTTGCATAGGCATTTGATCGCTTGCTCTAGGGAGTCGAGATATTCGAGGTGTATCGTCGCTGCGGAGGAGTAGTCTTTGGCCTCCCAGAGTGCTTCTGCCAAGGTTGTGGCGAGCTCAGAGAAAGATTCCCCTGACATAGGAGGGTTCTGCTGTTGAGCGGTGAAGAGACATTCGCGCCAGCAGGTTGCACCAGCAGCTCTGTAGCAGGCTGTGGCGCGGACGAAATTGTTGAGCGATTCGTAGGCTAGGCCAGCTTCACGATTCTTGGATTGAGATTCGAGGTAGTTGGCGTACAGGTCTGTGAGAATCCTGTGACGCTCGGGATCGTACCGATAAAGTCGGAGCGCGGTCTGGTAGAGTTTGTATTTCGTCGTGTAGTTCTGGATTTCGTCAAAAACGTTGAGGCCGTGTAGATGTTGTAAAGCTTTCTCTCGTCTGCCCAGGTGATCGTCGATGGCAAATTTGCGTCTGAGCTCAGGCAATTGGTGGAGGTCTTGAATAAATGGTAGATACTCTCGCGGATCTCGTTGCGACTGTTGCGCAACCAGCAGCGCAAGTTCTAGATTATAGAGCCCCAGAGCGTGATCATAAAGTCTGTTGACGTCTTGCAAGAAGCATATGTGTTCAACGGCCTTTTCAGCCATAGTCTCATCCTCCTGCATCAACTTGGCAACCACGATCAGACCATCTTCGAGAGCTGGCGGGTTCTTGCAGACATTAGCGGTGATAATGTTCTGTAGGTTTGTATCTTTCCGGGCCTGAAGCGTTTCCAAAACGGAGTCGCATATTCTGTTCACCTTCGAGGTGCCGGAAACAGCAAGAGTCTCCTGTGCCGATGCAGTGAGATCTGCCATCGCCGCTTCCTTGGGTGTTTTGGTGTTCTTGTACATCGTCTCCGTCACATCGTCTTCGCCGAGGGAGGCCAAGAACAAGTCGATATGTGCCACGTCGCCGAGCTGATCTAGGAACAGGCCAACATTTGATAGGAATTGGTCTGGCTTGTGATCATAAAGTATGTTCATATCCACTCGTTGCGTTCTGCAATGAGCGAATGCCTTCCCATATTCCTTCTCATCAATCAAGGATCGAATACCGGCCAAGACCATGGCCCGAGGGTAGATGGTTTCCAGGTTACCGCGAGGCATTTGGAGCACGACACTCATGGTTGTTGGCATCGCTGTGACGAGCTTGGCACCCCTCTCGATGCTTCGGCATCTTTCGTCATTCTCAGGATCATCAGCCGGCAAGTCAATATCTGTCAAAGTCAGCATAAAACCTATGACAGCCATGTGGTTGGTTATCTGAGACACACCTTCTGGCTTGCCCAGATGGACAAACTTCAGCAAGTGGTTACTTGTCGTGAATATGAGATGATCACATGTGACCACAAATGAGGTACAGTTTTTGACGAGTAGCTTGGAGTTCGCATAGAGATGGCCAGTTCTTGAAATGCCAAAAGCGATGAATACGCCGTCGATCTCGAAGGTTTCAACCCATGGGAGTTGAAGGGGGAAACGGACGACCATGGGTCCCAGCGTGTCATCCTTCTCGGATAGGCGGAAAAGCTTACCAGACCTGGCTTGAATGCAGGCCTCGGCGAGATACCCACAGTCTGAGGCCTTCGTAAAGGAGGCCGTCTGGGTAAAGATAACCTCCTCCTCAAGCGGAGTCAAGTCGTCGATGATGAGATCACCAGCATCACCCTTGAAGCTCAGCCGGCAGATGTTGAGTCCATCGTTGAAGTAAAGCACGCGAGGCTCATAGCTCGACGCCAAGCATACTTGAAGCGCTGTTCTCATCAAGCCGTCCATTTCGGAATCGATTCTAGTGAGAAGTCGTGGACGCAAGGATCGACCGTCTTTCGTCTGCCACTCGTAGAGGTCGACACCATTGTGGTGCAATACAGCCACCGTCTCGTTGTCGGGAGCAAAAGCAATGTCAATAATAGTATGACTGACCTCAACCTCGAACATGGCCATGGGCGGAGGCACGTTCGCGGTCCGGAATGGTGTTATCTTCACCGTCTTTCCGTCGATGACAGCAACTGCACCACAGTCATTAGGTGGCATCAGTGAGCCTCTTGCCACAGCAAATACAAATTCGGTTTGAAGTAGGTTGTCTTGATCTTGGTCAGCAGTGATTTCCCAGGGGTTTTAGGTGGGTGTAGCAACCTGTGTCGGCAACTGCGAGGCGCAGAGCCTTCTCCGGGTGCCACGAGGCGTGCCGAAAAGGAGACTTCAGAAGAATCTCTTGTTTCAAATACCAGTGGTAGTTGCCCGTGGTCCACAACTGAACAGTGCTGGCAAATGAGACTGCTAGTACTGTTGAGTCCGCATTCCACTCCAAGCTGACGTTCACGGAGGGATCATTGAGAGACTCCGTCGAGCGTATTGTGAACTGGCCATGCCTCAGTCCGTTCCTCTCAAAGAAGACAACATCAACATGGTCAGTGTAGCGCTGAACACCAGCCAGCAAATTTCCGGCCGGTCGCCAGCTCAATGCGCCTTCCAGACCATCAACGGGCTCGCTCACGCTATCCAGAACACCCTCTCGGCTGTAGACGCGTATGACTCGTCGTGACCCAGCTTCGACAGTGTTGATGGCAACATATGCGCCGTCTCCCCTCCAGCTCACTACTGTGCGCCCGTCGTCGTTGGTGCTGAGGTCTCCCTGGTCAATCTTGTCGGGTATCGTGGGATCACGAAGACCCTTCGCCTTGGCACCCCTGCCCTGAAACTGGGTCTCCTTCTTGCCCCAGCCGACGCTGACATGCTTGGATGCTGCCAAGTCAGCGGAACTCATGGCTGCCTCGGCGATGCCATCGAAGCTGCGGCTCATGAAGACCACGTTGCCGTCCTTGGTGGCGATGAGCAGTAGCTCCTCGTCCGGCGACCATCGTGCAGCTGTGATGCCGGCATCGATAGATCCCATGATCTCAATGTGAACATCCCCAGGGCTCAGGCCCTCCTGTACGGCTATGAGGTCGCCCCCCTCGAGAACAAGACATGCGGTCGCCGTGTCGCTAAAGTAGTGAAGACTCACGACGCGGTCGACAGGCAAGTCTGGGTTCGGGCTCGGCGCATCCCATGATGCTATCCGTTCGCACAGTCTGGACTGGGGTTAGCAGGGGCTTATAGGCGGTGATGGACTAGACTTGACGTATGAGTGTGAAGACTTACATTGGCAGGGCCGGGTCCTGATGGGTGGCATCGTCGATCGCTCTCAGAAGCTCAATTTTCTGATCAGGATCGCTTGGACCGCAGGTGACGAGAAGCTCATCCTTGCTTGGGTCCCAGCATGTTGCCGTGATATCTGACGGGGCCTTGCCGACTTTGTGGCAGATGTTGCGAAGATTCCTCATCGTACTAGAGGTCAACTAGAGACCAGGCCCTTGCCAGCACCGACGGCCGTTCCCGAAAGAAACTTGCGAGGCTTGATGACTATGACACCGACTCTCTTGCTGTTGAGGGCCGCCAGAAAAGTAAAAAGTCGAACTGATGCCAGGACCGTTTGCGAGGGTGAGAGTGAGTCTGGATGTGATAGTACTGTATGACTACGCGCACTGTGCTGCAAGACGGTCCCCTTCCATCAATTTTTTCCCCCGAGTTTGACTGACCACACACCTGCACATGCACGCATACAGTACACAATATGCACGCATACATACAATTCACGGCCTGCCTACGAGATAGTCTGCATGTGCTTGCTCTGCCCGACGTGCTTGAATCTTTGTTGATCCAAGCCAAGTCGCAGTGACATGACACAATTCCCAGCCCAGACTTGACAAAATGGATGTTGAACTTTTTTTTCCCCTTGTATGTAGACTATAGGCCAGGGATTGCCAGACCATGGGCTTTTCCTCTCGGCCCACGGCTGAGGCGAGGAAACACCTGCTGCTGGCCCAGGCCGGTCCCGTTCGGCTACTCCTTAGCTCCTTAGGCGATATAGCCTAGGCCCCTGGTTGCGCCTGCGAGACGGGTGCCACCCCACCTCTGCCCACCCTCTGGCCCTTCTGGCCCTCCTGATCCTCCCGCTCCTCAACCGGAAACAAGAACATCTCATAATCCGGGGAGGTGCGACAAGCTGCTGCTGCTGCTAACCACGACAGGCACATCACAAGAGTCAACCCACAGTGCCCATCAGCCCACACATCAGCCGTTTCCTACTCGACACACCCTGCACACGACCTCCTGTGCCACTGTCACAAGCAAAACCAGGGCGAGTCAATTGGCTGCTGCAGGCCTGATCGGTTTGTTTCTACAAGCACATCCAGACCCATCGAAACTCGTCGGGAATAGCACCTGGCCTGACCTACCGCCAAGGGCGGAAATCACGTCAAAATGGACGCAGCATCTGCTTATAACCAGCATTCGAGCCAGGGCCGACGAAAGAACCGCTCCTCGACAAACCTTAATCACCTTTCCCTTGCTCCGTTGACCACAAAGCTCCCCATCAACGACACTGAGATCATGTTCACCGACCTGACCATCCACACCTATTCCACCTCATACATCCAGGGCAAGTCTGCCCCCACAACTCCCTCCCTGCTGAGCCGCTCCCCCGCGCGAGCCACCTCCAGGACCCGGCACCATTCCCGCCAGGGCTCGGCGACGCCCCTGCCAAAGAGCAAGTCCGCCGTCCACATAACTCCACAGGGTAGGACACCCAGGTCCGGCACCACATCGCCCGGTGGGCAGCGGCGCGGCCCAAGGAAGGAGGAGGCCGTGTCTGCCCGTGGACGGACGGATAGTGACTGGCTACTCCGCGCCGGAGTGCTTATAAGCAGCGAGACAAGGGAGTCCAAGGGCCAGTCATGGCTAGTGTCGCGCGCGAGCTCGACCAGCCTCACAGGTATGCAGGGCGACCGCGACGACGACGAGGACGACCATGACCCGGACATGTTCGAGAGGGAGAGGATCGCACGCGAGAACGCCATCGCGAGCAAGCACGCCAGCCGGAGGGGCAGCATGGGCGTGTACGAGGGCGACGAGTCGCCGCTGGTCAGCCGCACTGGGAGTTTCCACGCCAGCCGGACCGGTAGCCGTAGCCAGCTTATCACGCCTGGCGAGAGGGCCAGCATCGAGGGTTACTTCGCCTCGCAGGGCTCGGGTGGGGAGTATGCACCCGGCCCGGACTTCGTTAACCTCGACGAGAAGCTCGAGGCAATCGGCTTCGAGGGCGAGATTGATCAGGATGACGAGGCCGACGTTAGGCGGCTGGTCAAGAATGGCCATTCCCGGCCGGGCACCTGGTTTGGGAACATTCTGGGGTGGACCTTGGCCTCTGTAGAGGAGAATGACGAGGATGACGATCCCGATGGGGAGGGCTCTGATGGCGAACTAGAGACATCTGCGCCCGAGACGCCTTACGAAAGGCAATTCGAGGGAGCCACCATCCTGTCCGAACAACGAATGCCCGCCCCTAAAGCCGAGGAAGGCGGCTGGCAAGACGCTGCTTGGTTGCTGAGTGTTGCGTCCAAAGTGGCTTGGTCTTAAAAGAGCAAGTACAAGCATGCACCCGTCGCTTCCGAAACCTGGTGAGGATGACGGGTAGACACAATCAACACAATCGATCACTTTCACGATGCGGCACAGGGCGTGGCTTATCCACACGCCCCGTGGGGCGCTGCCCCGCCGTGACGGCTCTTGGGGACCTGCCAAAGCACCTGTCCTGCTGCCCCTTGCCAATGGCCACGGGCGGACACGGCTCCAGAGGAAGGCTGATTGATCCTCAGGTCTGTCGCCTGGGCTCTGTGTTACAACGAGCAGCCGCTTCTATCTCCCCGTCCAGAGTTGTCGGATGGTAATCTCCCAGAGGGATCCCAAACACACCGGGCACTGGGTCTGATGAGCGTCGATTCTAGCGACCTGTTCGGCAGGCAGGCCGGTCTCACGGGAAAGCCTGCATATGGACTCGGCCAGACCGTGGGTCGAGGGAAGGCTACTGGCTGAAAGAAATTGTCAAAAACCTGTTTTGCTTGAAGAAGTGTAACTCTGCAACTTTGTGTGCATGACTTTTCTAGGCGAGTTGATTCTACATTGGGCCGGTCACCTTCCTTCGCGAAACATGCCCGTCCGTCAAAAACGGTGAACGAGACTTAGTATCGCCGGCTATTTGCACGGCAAGTCACGTAATACAGAGAAATAGATGACGTCTCTCGTGCATGAATTTCTTGGTGGCCCATCTCGCACCAAAGTTATTTCAAGTTGCTCTCCTAAAGGAGACCCCTGTATTCTTAGTTTTTGACTTTCTCCAGGCCACAGGAAATGTGAGCAATAATGGAATGGCTCGCCCACACTGTGGACCTTTTGACCCCGCAAGACAAGTCCGAGAGGGGAGCGTGAAAAAGACACTATTAGCCGCGCGGAGAGCGACCGCGTGACCCACAACGAGTGTAAGCATCCGATTCGTTTTGGCTTGCTGAGTCGACGGCGGGATAGGAGTCTGTTGCTGAATATGACAGAATCGATGGTGTTCGTAAGCCACAAGCCATGCCCGCCGAACTTGGGAAGGTGTAGTGCGGATGTTTGGGGCCGCTTGTTCCGGGGACTGCTACACAACCAGCCACAGCGACGTTCCTTAGCACTGAGACCAATCACAGTAGTGTGGTTGGCGACGGACGCGTAACAGTACCCTCGTGAAAGTCTCCAGCCAGCGGCTTGTACTCGCTGCCACTCCACTAGTCTTGATCATGACTACCTCTATTGGGAGCAACAGTGCGCCCGGTTCCTGGATAAGGGCCACAAAACACCGAATGCGCGGAGTTGTCGGAGACATGGCGAGCTGGTTTAACAACTTTCTTCCTGCCGCCTCACCGGCAGGTCGCGACTTTAACCCCTGCAAAGGCCGGGACGAATTGCAGAGCCCCGACTCCAGGGGTACCCAAGCTGGTTTAGTGTATCTGCATGCAGCCTTGGAACCCTAACGGTATGACGCGCGACCTATATGACGTCTTAAACAGTGGGATGCCCCGGCCGATGCTTTAAAGAAGCTCGAGGCGCCGTCCAAGCTGCTGTCACCGCCAAGAACTTTATCACGTAAAAGCAAGCGCCTCAATATGAGAATTGGATGTAAGCCAGGAGGGAAAGGCTGTGCCGCCGTCTTGTCTTCTACGCGAGGTTGTGTGGAGAAACAGCAGCGGCCGTGCTGTGACCATTCGACGGCGGGCAGTTGAATATCCTCCGGCAGCGGCGCTAGTTGAAGACCCGTCGGCTGGAGGCTACTTTCTATCTTTGCCAGGTAGCGTCCACGTTGCCGGGGCCGGAGCATCGGTGTAATTGAAATAACATGGCGTGTACCGTCAGAGAAGTCAAAGTTTAATTGATCACACTCAGGATGCGGAATTGCTTGATCAGGGTCGGTGTGGCCGCAGGCGAGACACAGCTCACCGCACCAAGAGGAAGGAATGGGCCGACCGACGTCCACGCATTTGTCCGCCCCTCACCGACTGGACTCGTTGCCATTTTGAAGAGCGGCCCAATGTAGCAGTACCGAGCGCAATGGGGTAAACAGACGTTCTCGGTCAATTGCCGCGTACCGGGGACAGTGTAATACCAGGGCCCATTAAGCTGGGAATAGTGGGGCCACAGGCTGTCCGGTCAGGAAGTTAGAAAGCGTCGTCCAGGACCAGTGCGTATGGAGGGGTCTCGGTGTGGTGGGCGGCCTTGTCCTCCTGTGGGCTGCATCGGGGCGCTTCGGATGCTCTGAACTGTATGGAGGTCGGGGCGGATGAAGTCAAGGTGGTGAGGATGCAGATCATGACAACACCAGCAGAAGCCATTGGCCATTAATGCACCTTGGGCCTGGCAAAACCTCCATGGTTCTCGCGGATTTTATCGAGCTCGGCGGAGTTTGCAGGCCTGGAGCCGCACGCATTGAGAGAGAGCCGGGGAGCGTCTGGCAGGCTGACAGGCTGGCAGGGCGGGAGCCTGGGTATACTGTCACCGTGACTCCATTTCCACATGGCGATAGGCGGGCCTCGTTGATCTACTGACAGATCACACCATCTCGGACGAGAGCAGGAACTGTGCAGGATATCAACGAGGGTCTGCTGTTGTGATGAGGGAGACGGACGATGGATGGATGGCCTTGGATGGGATCCTCACTCTGTTGTCGTACCAATACTTGGTTGGGGCCGAGTCCTCATCTGTCTTTGTCACTCCCTGCCTCGACTCCATTCGACTCGACACCGCCTCGGCTCCATTGGGCTGGCCTGGTCGACTCGGAGCAGGAATGGAGGCTGCAGTGGGAAGAGAGGACCTGATGTGATGTTGAGCATGTTTATAACAACATAAATAGTAGATGTACTGACAACGGATGAAGCTTGTCGCAAAGAGAGGGAACTGCCGGCTACTTAATAAGAAAGTCTGGCTCAAGGTTGGGCTGGATGGGGACGATACTTCTGATGCCCCTGCCTAGACTAAGACAGACTAGACAGGCAGGTGGGCCCCAGCAATGACGTCGTGCTGTCTTTGACCCCGACCCCGATACCCTGTGCCATGCTTTGTGGAGCAGGGTCACATCATCCGCACTTCTTCGACTGCGGTACGCAGGACTGCAGGCACCTACTGTTAGGCAAAGCACCTGGCTCGAGCCTGGGCAGCGAAGTACCTGGAGGATTTGGGAAATGCTGTAATGCACTACTCTGCAAGCACCAACGCCATCCTCTCTCGCCCACACTCCCGCGCACTAGTCACACGACGGAGCATGAGAGCAAAAATTGCACATTCCCTGGTGCAATTCGACCTCGCCAACGGCCGGCCCACCGGTATCTAGTCTGCTACTCGCATCGCAGCACCGAGGCACACGCTCTCTCTCGGGCTCTGCTCTGCTTTGCAACCTTTTCTCCCCCCAGCCAGCCAGCCAGCCCGCCCTCTACCCCTCCAAACACTTGGTCTACCTACATCACGGTACCCAACATTTGACTCCGTCCACAGAGATTCTTAAGCAAGTGGGACATCTGGGCTACCAGGGTACCCACATTTTATTTCCCTTCCGCTTCTCGGTTGATGCTAACCTTATGACCAAGTGAAAGGCGCCCGATCCCTCCCATCGGAGACAGCCTGCTACACACCTCTCCTCCAAGTTTCGAGTCACTTAGACTACATACCGTACCGCTGCCACCAGTAATCTGGGATAGTCCGCCTGCCAGTCCATTGCTCTACTGTCTAGAATCTAGCTCGACCGACCTCAGGTAGGCTGCCGAACTCGATACCCCTGGCCACCCAGGTCTTGAGCCTCGTTGACTTTGTCGCACACCCCTGAGCTCCAGCGCTAATCCCACCGCGCGTCACAGTCGCTACAATCCTGCTTGCCCCGCGCCGGCACGGTCCTGAATATCCTCATTTCACCGGCTCTGGGTGAGACCTTTGGCCTGGTCAGGACCACGTGTCAGCCTGACACAAACTCTCTTGCCACTGACGAGGTGAGTCTGCTGCAGCACGAACATGTGCGTAAACCATCAAGTACCCTCCACTCCTATGCGCTCACCTTCTTCTCACCACTGTCTCTTGCTGCCCCCTCGCCCGGAGCCTGCTGTAAATGCCATCACATAAATCCTTCAGCGCCTTTCCCCTATGAGAAGGAGCCCTGTGAAAAGACGGAGAGAAAGGCTACTCTAGCCACCCCGATAAGCACTCGTTACAAGGCATGGCTGGCCACAGGTCGGATCGCGTCGCATCTCCGCCTGGACTGGCTCTGAGAGCCCGCCTCATCCCACCTCTTTGCCATCCCCTCTTGCATCACATCGGCCCGCTTCTGCCCATGGCCCGCAATCTAGGACCCACACGTTCTTTTTCTGTGCGCTGCGGCTGACCACGTATATTTTGGTAGCAACTCACGGGGTTTCGCCCTTTCTGACTATCACCTGTTGCTCTGTTCTACCAGCTAGGGAATCACTCCCTTCACAGACAAGAACGCAGTCACAGGTGCGCTGCGCATTAGGGAGTTCATCAAAATGCCCGAGGTATGTAGTCAGAGTCTGGGCCCCAGTCCGCGCCGAGTCATCCACTCAGCTGCCGCACTTTGCTGCTGCTCGAACTGAAGGCTGACACCTGACACCTCGCGCAGAACGAGGAGGCTTTGCCCGACTTTGGCGACCATGTCGACATGGGCACATTCTCTCAGATCTTGGAGATGGACGAGGACGAGAGCGAGCGCGAGTTCTCCAAACCTCTGGTCCTCAACTTCTTTGAGCAGGTTGAGGAGACCTTCGAGAAGATGGATACGGCCCTGTAAGTTACTTGACCTCGCCCTCTCTGCACCGCCAACTCTTCAACATCACCAAAGCCACTTCACGCATGGTTTCCGCACTGAACGAGTTCTGCGATCTGAACTAACAGTCACCCTCTGCCAGTGCCGAGAAGGACTTGAACGAGCTGTCCAGCCTAGGCCATTTTTTGAAGGGATCCTCGGCTACTCTTGGCTTCAACAAGGTTCGAGACAGTTGCCAGGTCATCCAACAGTACGGCCACAAGCAAACGCTCGACGGAACTGACGAGCCCGATGAGGAGGTCTGCCTCAGCAAGATTACCGATGCTCTCAAGACAGTCAAGGTCGATTTTGCCGAGCTCGAGAAGGAGCTGAAGGTTTTCTTCGGTAGCGAGTCCGAAACCAACGAAGATTGATGCCCTTCTCAGTCAATCCTTCGCCGGATTCCCTCCTGGCACGGCCACCTCTAATGGTGGAAAGCCTCTTGCCGCGGCATGGCACAACTTCAGGGTGCGCGTTCTTGGGACACCGACGAGGCTGGAGGCCGATCCGATCGGCTCGGGTCTCTGATGAGACCAGACCCATTCCCTCTGGACAGCATTTTTCAGGATACCATGTTTTTATTTCAGAGTTTACGTGAAGCAGAAGTCATGGCGGGTCCCACGTCACGAGACTACTTGCATTGAACGAGGTTCTAGTCTTTTCAAAGATTAATAGGGGGGAGGGGGTTGTGGTACCTACCCAGCTTTGATGGCTCTGAAGGTATTGTTTTGGGACAGCCACTAAACTTGTCCTGTCCTGTGGCTCCTATCAGACGACCTTTAGAAGCATGAAATCCTACCGAACTGGACCTGGGACATCGCTACTGTGCCCGCCCTATGTGTACTCGTCCCTGTTTTGTTTACTATTCTTACTGCTGCGCATGCGCACGATAGCCTCATTTGCAACGCTGATTTCATATACCGAGCACAAGTTTCCTCAACTTTAGAATTCCAAGCATTAGATTTGTATCTAGAGTAGACATGTAGAGGACCCGAAAGGCGAGCTACCGTAAATGAAAGGGAGGCTGCGAGATGAGCTGTTTTGAATTACAGATCAAATGAGAAATCTTGGGAACTTTAAGCCTGAGGTGTCCGATGCACAAAGCTTATATGGGATGTAGTGTGCTGCTGAGGCCCCAGCAGCAACGACTAAGCTAGTGCGGTAAAGCAGTCCAAATCCAACGCGACAAGGCTGCGGAATGAACGCCGAGTGTTCTGAGGACTTTCGAATGTTCTCAGGAATTTCGAGTCATCTCAGGAATTTCGAGTCCGGCCTCGAGAAATGTGATGTCTGAATCTGGAAATAAGGTTTGGTTGCCGCTGGAGGCCGCTGCTACTCCCTCTTGAGCATCCCCCATGATGTGTGGACGTCCCTAACCATCTCCCAGGATGCGGAAATGTCAAATGACACACCCAATTCTCAGTCTCAACCACTTTAGACTTCTGAGGTTACGCCAACCACAGCGAGGAGGGACGATAGACTAGGCAGCCAAAAGCCTTTGCCCAAGTGGCTGGTTCTGGGATCAGACCGTGGACCGGCCTCCTCCGAGTTTCTTACCCCTTGGGATAACCAACCTGGGATAACTAGCCTAGGATCAAAGTCACCTGAAACCACATTTCTCGTGTAATGCCAAGTCAAAGGGGTAATACGCCGCCCACTGATATGTGCCTTCAAAATACAACCTCAGCCACAACTTCGTACGCGGCATCGACCACTCTGCCGTTTTCCTCGATAGGTTTGGCGCGCATCCTGCAGATGGCAACCTTTTCTAGAGGCGCATTCTCCAGCCATACCTCGTCTTCGTAACGATCCATAATAGCCTGGCCATCATTGACAAAGACCCGATCCCCCTTGTTCTTGCCGTGGCTATTTCTGTGTCCTTTCACATAGACTGTGTTGACGATCGTTGCATGCAGCGTCAATGGCCTGTCATCAGCGGTGAGAAGGTCGGCGTCTTTGAACAATGCCTTGATCTTCTCAGCGAACCCCTGGAGGATCCCCAACTGGTCGGAAGGGGGCGCAAAGAGGACTGTAGCTTTCTCTGCTTTCCCGAAGGCATGCAGGCCCTTCAGTGTGATCAAAAGCTGTGGCTGGTCCTTGGTTGCACCCACATCCGACGCTCCTGGCATCACTGGCGCCTTAATCGTGGATAGAATTTCCCGCAACTTTAGCGATTTGAGCAGCTCGATGGCCCTGTCCAAACCCTCATCCTTTGGGAAGGACATCATCCCTAGAGTCAGATGCAGCGTTCCTACGGGTCGGACCGCATCGAACGGGAGGTCGAACCCTCCGAGACCTTTTGGCCGAGTGACATCGTCTCGGAAAGACGCAAGGCTATGAGACAGCTGGGGACGCGAGGCTGCGGTTACCAGAGGGATACACAGGAAGTGCGTGAGTGGGGCTGCTTTGGTCTTCTGGGCAGAGGCCATCTTGAAGCCTTTGAGGATACGGCTCATGGGCCTCGTGACGATATGTCGGGCAAGGAGGCTGCGCTGTTGGGCAGAAGGTGGCTATCTAATGTAACGGCCAGTGCAGTTGGTGATGTCCACGTTCTAAGCTTGGGTCAGATTGCAGATTTGAGGCTCAGCAGCTTAAAGACCCCTGAACCCAGGTACTAGGGACCCCAAATCGGGCTCAAAATAGGGCCATGGGGCTAAGCTGAGCCCCTGTTCGGACGGTTCCTAGCGGCTAAGCGAAGCTTAGTAAGAACTGCCCCAGAAAGTGACGACCACACATGCAACCGCCAACAGGAAGCCTGGGAGGCTATGCCATCTTCAGCCCAGGTGCGCTTCCGGAACAGGCGGTATTATGAGGCGAGTCCAGGCACCAACTTAAGGGTCCTCGCCTTCAAGAAGTCCCTCTGCTCCATCCCTCGTCCGGAGTTCTCTACATGATGCAGCTACCTTGCCGATGCAGCAGCACTTGCTACGGCTACCCCTCCTCGAAATCCTACCGGCCCTGAACTCGGGTCGAGACGACTCGCGGCACCACCACTCAGGCCGAGACAGCAGCATCGCCAACCCTTGCACTTGCCCGCAGCTCGAGTCGTTGCCGCCCCGATGAGTCCTCCGGACAAACGCGGAGGAGCCGGTGCCTCAAAGGGCCCAACTCACGTCTTTCGCGGCGGCAGTCCCCGCAAAGAAATGCCTGCATCCTCGTCCTCCTCGGCCTCGTCCGCAGCGCGCAGCAGCAATGTCATTGCAGCTCCACCTCGAGCCCAACTCAGCTCCTCGCCGAGTCCCGAAAGCCAATCCCGCACGCCAAGCGGCAGCGGCCCTCCGTTCGGCGGCAGCAGCAACGGCACAGCCACACCCATGTCCCGGCGCAGTAGCAACGCTCCAAGCACGCGATCACTCGCGGTCTCGGCGCTGTCCTCGACAGAAGCTGGAATGAAGGAGAAAGACGCGCGGATATCCACCCTGGAGCGTGAGCTGGAGCTCATGGAGACCGAGTTCCAGCGGGAGCTCGACAAGCTCTCCCGCAACGAGAGCGAGACTGCTTCGTTCTGGCAGGCCAAGCATAGCGCACTGAACCAGCAGTTCCTGCGGACTGACACTGAGCTACGCCTGCTCCGGGACGAAATGCGCGCGCGCGAGGCGGAGACCGAAGACCTCACCAGGGGCTGGAGGGACGCGCTGAGGGCAGAGCTGAAGGGCCGGGAAGACGAGATAAGGGGTCTCCAGGCTCAGATCAGGGGCTTGAAGGAGTGGGTTAGCACTAGCACGAGGGCTGATGGCACGACGAGTGACGAGGTATTCGGTTCTGGGATGGCGAACCTGGGAAACAGCCTACAAAATTGGGTCATTACGTATTTCCGGAAGGTCAAGATCGACTTGTTCAATGCAGGCGAGACGGCACTACAAGAGCTCGCTGAACTTGTGCCGATGTATGAGGAGCTGGCGCGCACCGCGAAGATCCAACTTCTGCAGTCTATCGTGTCCAGGGTCTTGGTGGAAAGGGTATTCCGGGCTTATTTCGTTGGTTTGTCACCTGACCAGGAACAGCAGCTAAGGCAGACGGAGAGACTAATGACATCTTTCGGTAAGTGACCCCAGAGGTTACTCCTCGTCTCTGTTTCGAGGTGTGGGCTGAGACAGTCCGGGCTTACACGCGTACAGCGTCTGTTGAGTCTATTAACCAATGGCGATCCGTTACCCTAACAGTCCTAAGGAAGGAGGCGGTACACAAAATGCAGGTACAGACGGTGCAAACAGCTGACGATGTCGTCGCCCACATAAACAGGGTTGTAGACTCCCTCACATCGTACAGCGCTGCCAACGCTGACAGCAGCAACGCATCAGCAAACTCGTTCGCAGATGCAAGACATCAAGCATTACGACAGCTGGTAGGCAACGCTATCGAGCTGTCACGCCTTCTCGTCGTGCAGAAAGCCGTCTTCGAGGTATGGATGCCCGAGATAGTGCCACATCAGCAGATCATGTTTGACCATGCTACGATGGAGGACATCGGAGGCGAGGACGAGGAGTCACTCATCCAGAGAGAGATTTTCTGTGTCACCTTCCCTGGCCTCATCAAACAAGGCGACGAGAATGGCGGGCAGCTACAGTTTAGAAACATTATATCGAAAGCCAAGGTGCTCTGTAGCCCGGAATAGATGAAAGGTCGCCATCGATCCTTCAAGATCATACCATGTGAGCAGACTCGGCCCGCAGGTTAGCGGATACCGGGAACGATGCCGGTAGTACTCAGTTCTGTCCACCGCATCAGGGGTTGGGTTGATATCGACCCAGTCGCTTAATTCTCCTGGGTGCACGAAACTCGAACGAGCATAACAACCCTGCTATTTCGCAACACGAGGGCTACGACATAACACAAACATGGCTCGATGGCATCGTCGTCACCAAGGGTGTTTGTCGGGTCCTCCTGGGTACGCAGCTGCTCCCGAGAATCGGGCTACGGCACCGAGATCTTGGTCAATGACAACGCCCGCCAGTAATTACCCAGTTTCCTCACCGAGGACCCTCTTCTCATTCAAAGTGCTCACGCTCCGTCCACTGGACGCTGGTCCTTTTGCTCCATCTAGAGTTTGCCGCGAGGAGCCGTCCGGGTGGACGGCAGAACTCCCAGCCACGCGGGGCCTGACGTGTACTGGCACTGGCCAGGGATCATCAAATCGGCGAAGAGAGTCTATCATGTGGCTCAACTAGTCGCCACCGGTGTGACTACTCTGAGTCACCTGTAAAAGAGAGGAGGTTGAGCAGAACATATCTGCCATCGACAGCGCGGAATCTTGCAAATCCTCCACTCCACACCATGATTGGCCGCATAGTGCATCATGCAGCAGCGTCAAGCAGTGTGAGTGGGGGATAGCAACCAGAAGCACCATCTGCTTACTCACCGCAGAGCCTCAAGTTTCGGGGTCTCAGCACGAGCCCACCTGCAGATCGAGTTCCCTTCCCAAGTATGTCGCCTTCGTCTTTGTGTGCGGCGCTCTTGAAGAAATAGGGCATGCATGTGCATATGCACGTAGCTGCACCCGAATTGGCAGGCCATCCTCAGGAAGGGCAGTCCAACATGATCGTGCGTTTCCGTCCCACGTTGAATAATGGAAGTTTCGGCTCTTCTGAAGTACTCTTGCTCGAATTCAAGAGACCAAAACCTTTTGGAAGCTTAGAAAAAATGGTTGCTTGTCCACCTTCGCGGAGCAGCCCGGTGTGCCGGACAGCTCGATTCTCCGGGAATATGGACCAAGCCGGAGCCGGCACCTCAATGCAACCAGGGAGGTGCGTCCCCTGGACCTACTTCCTGCATGATAGCCAGACCGCCAATGCTCGACACAATATTGACGAGTTTCCCGTGCGATTGGTGAAGTATGGGAGCAATCTGGACAACAACCACACAGATCACGGGGAGTCTTGCGGTGAGGCAACGAAAGCCACCAGGGCGCGTATCGAGCTGGATCGGATGCGGCCATGACGGTTCACAGCCGGGAGTCATTCCCACTTGAGGATGTGGCTTCTGCCGACCTCGTACGGAGGCGGTTCTTGGCTTGCTGCACCAACTCAAGCCTGAACGAGGGGATCCACGGCAATTGTGGCCAGATTCCCCGGGTAATGGGCTGGCAATCCGATTATGCTGTATTGTTCAACAGTATTACGAAACCATATAATATCGACAAAGCCTACTCACCCGATTAAATCAGTCCTTTGTCGGCGACGCCCTGCTGGCATCACCGGCCAATCGCTAGAGAGCGGTTGCTTGATGTGGTAGTGAGCGCAGGATGCGCCAAGGTGTTGTACTGGTGGACCATGTTGCATGTGCAGGAAGATGCACCATTGATGGTGTGCATCTTTCATCCACAGGGCTGGTCCGGTAGGGTGAGTGCGGAGTCGCCAATCGCCGTCCGTCCAACACACTTGGTCGGTTTCGAGATGGTCGTCACTAGGTGGCGGGTTGTTGGTTGTCTTCCGTCATTCGAAATGTTTGCGACGTGGGAGAGGGGGCCGGGCAAAGGGACCAGAAGTCAAGTGCCCGCGGTCCACGTCGCAAGACATGGCACGACCCGAAGCGAGAGAAACCGCGAGGCCATACCGCGTTCTGGAGTCGTCATCAATTCCCCTGGGCTGTCCAACGGCGCTCAAGCGAACGAGTTCTCGCGTTCTCGTTCCACGGGTGTTTTGGTGGTTCGCATGTGGGTAGCTGGTCGAGCTGTCAGGCAGGGGTGGCCGCCCGCGCACAATCTGTCGCAGAGAGGGAGAGCTGCAGCTTCGCTAGACCCTATCATGTACCCCATCGGAAAGGGAAGACGTACCCGAGATATACATCTGCATCTTGTTAGTTTTCTCCCCACGAACTTGATGGTGTATAATATGTGATCTTACCCCCGTCGAGGACCCATGATGGATTACCACTCTTCCCTCATCGGCGCCCGCCTTTGCTTTCGTTCCCTGCAACCCATGCACAACTCCCACTGCATACTTCAGCCTTGTCATCATTTCCATAGTATAAGCCCACCATGTCGAGCAGCCAGAGGTCTCACAAGGGCAAGGAGAGGTCCGACGATTATGCGCAGTCTTTGGCATCACTCAGCTTGAGTGACTGCTATGACGACCCCCTTGCACCCCGTACCGACTATGCTGCGACGTACTCAGATGCGCAAGACACACAGTATGCGCAATACCCTGCCGACAACTACTACAGCTATAGCACGCAGAGTTCTGCGCACGCTGCCGCACCGTCATCGGCGGCGTATGGAAGTACTGCAAACTATGACAGCTCCTACCAGACCACCTCTGGAACCAGTTCGACAGGATACGGGTATCCAAACGCATCTACTAGCACCGCAAATTACGGCAGCTATGCAGGATACGACACCACGTATGACACCACGTACGACACCACGTCCATGACAGGCAGCTCCGCGCCCTCATATGCGGAAAGCTCGACGGGTGGGTGGAGCTCGACGGCGTCGACTGCGCCTTCGTCTGCGCCTTCGTCTGCTCCCTCGGCACGCAGCCACCGCACCGACGTGAACAACACAATCCATCGACAAGGTCCACCGAGCGAGCGATATCAGCTGCCATGCGAATTGCGGAACCTGACGGGTTGCCCAAGTGTGTTCCACGGCGACGAGACACAGGCCTGGATGGACCACCATGAGGAGCACCTCCAGGGGAGGTTCCCGTCCAAGCTGAGATGCTGTAAGCAATTCCAATATCGCAAGTGGTGGAATGAGTCGGATGAGGTTCGGTAGCTGAAACCACAGGCTTCCAGGGTTCTGCATCGACCACCGCTTCGAAGCGCGAGAGACCTCCAGCGGGGATAACCGCTCCAACTTCATCATGCGGATGCAGCACATTCGCGACCACCTCGTGCACGATAACTACCGCCCCGAGCACATGCAGATTGACGGCCACTTCGTCAACCATCTCCGGGACCGGGGGATCATCGACAGCCACACATACGACAGTATAATGAGACCTCAGACACTGCCGGCAATACCGGGGCAGAGCCGCAGCCAACACAGCCAACACCGGAGCAGCCACAGAAGCCACCACCGCCTGGAACAGGTCGCAGAGGAGGTCGGCAGCAGCAGCAGCCGGCCCCACCGGTCGGAGCATCACCGGGAACGCGACCGTGAACGCGGGTCACACTCCCACTCCCACAAGAAGGGTTCCCGGAGGTAATCTTCCTCATTCCAGCCAATGACCCCGTCGCCGCCATGAGGGCCGCGTCACCGCGGAGGGGGGTCTCATGTGCCTGCCTCCCGCCGTTTTCCCAAGGGCGGGTAAGCAGGCACCCCGAACGGGTGTCCAGAACACAAGCACGCGGGGGCCGGAGAGGACCGCGTCATCGAGCAGGCACGGGATCGTTGCCGGCGGAGGAAGGAAGCCCTGGCACAGTCAGCCGTAGGTCCGTCCCGGATTCCCATAGGGTCACCCAAGCTCTTGGGTGACAGTGAGCGTATGACCACCTTTTCTTCTCTGCCCTTGCACATCTTTTTCCCAGGCCGTGGTGGCGGGTTGCTCGGCTGTGTTTGGCGGCCGTCGGTTGGACGCAGGAACCCGTCGTCCAAACTCATTCATAGGGCGTGTTTGCATTCTCTGTGTTCTCTAATTTTCTTCCTTGGACTGTGAAATTCACAGTGGTAGGTCGGGGTCGGGTACTGTATCAGGTGTCACTGCTTCCGACTTGTCTGACAGCTGATGACGACTGTCAAATTTCTTATTTATCTTTAATTTCTGGGGCTGATTGTTTTCCTCTCTGGGAGGGGAAATTGATGATGAATGAATTGATGAATGAATTGATGAATGACATGACTTCAATTCGTCGGGAGACTTTTGAAATTGACGAAGGGGAGAGAAGGTTTTGCTTTGCTGAGCATCAATCATGAGTGATACACAAGGACGGGGGGCGGTCCGGGACTTCCTCCTAAACCGGCGTCTTTTTCATTCTGAATATTCATTTGATGGGAGAGTATCATAGCCAATCAAATGAATTGAATTGTGAATGTTTTCGGTGTACGTGAGACGGCCCCCATGATGCTCCCAAGCAACGGGGGGCGGGCCACCGCGCTGGAGTGTGTTCCTCAGCGGGGTGGAGAGGGCTCTTATATTTGCATTTCAGTCAATCAATTCTCCTAGTGGCAAGGTCCAGACCGCCTCGAAAAATGTGAAAAAGCTTCTACTCCTGCGCAAGTGCGTGCCATTATCTCCGTATTGGACTAGAGAAAGGCGGGAAAAGGGGGAAAAACCAAAGGTGGCTGTGGAGTGTGGTGTCCTCTTCATGCACTCAATCCCAGCTTGTTGCCCGACTGGTATGAGAGAAAAAAACCAGGCAACATGTCATACGCCGCATAGTGTGCACCCTGCATAAAAGGTCCGCCCTCAAGACTGCGAACCACTTTGGTCGCCTTATGCGCCTCTGCGCACAATGTTTGGGCAGGCAGGTGTAGTCGGGATTGCTCGGCTGGCCTTTCTTCGAAGCACACCCCATATGTACTTACTCACTTGCTTGCTGTTTCTGACGAGCATCGAAAGTCCGCGACTCGCCGGCGCGGCCAATCACCTGGACGTCTCGGACACGACAGCCTCACTTCTGCAAATCGTGGCAGATTGTGATCTTCTTGTGCCACGCTGAGCTTTGCGTTGTGCCTTTTTGGCAGGATTGCTGAGCATCCTTCAAAAGCCCGGATGCTTTGTCTCCATATACGGTACTATATCGCTGTTGCTAGATTCATGCCCCACGCAGCCCCAATTTGCGCCCGCGAAGTACTTCGTCTTTATGACGCATCCAGGGTGACTGTCATCGCCTTCTATATCATGCCCATCATTGGAAATCCGCGTCCACACGGCCATACCGGACCCCATCGACCTTGAGTTCAAATCCCAAACCTGCACTATCGACAATCATCTCAAGGGTGAAATCCAGGTTGTCGAACTCGACCCCCCTTGTCGTGGTCAAGCGGGTGAACAAGCTCCTTGGGACGGCGTTGAGATCCGTAGTGAGTTTGCACACATGCACCAGATCCCGCGTGTATGCTGCTGGAGGCTCGTCGGCCTCGCACGCAATCAAATCATCCGTGACTACTAGAGACTGCCCCGGCCTAAAGTTCCGTGTGTAGTGGAACGCAATTGGTGTCAGTGGCGATATTGCCTCACCCTGATTCGCAGTCAGCATCTGCAAACACCCCCAGATCATTAGCCACTTTCGTATGTAGAAGACAAACTTACCTTTGCGATGTGCCACTGCATCCGGTCGCTAACCATCCATCTCTCCCACAGTGGGCTCCAATACCTCTCACTGACAGAGTGTTTGTCCTCGTCAAACACGGTCGCATAGCTCGTGCCGTAGTGCATTCTCGCCTTCCTCGAGATGACCATGTTCCCCTCTAGCCCTCTGAGCACCGCGCCACGGACGACCGCCGTCCACGCATACACTGGCTGCATGACCTCAATGGAAGAGTTGTCACCGGCGCTGCTCAAGGCACTTGCATGCGTCGGTCTCTCGCTATACGGTGGAGGCGCCGCACTAGTGAAGTGCGATTTGAGCCGTTTATACAGGTAGTCGCTCTGCCCGAAACCGCCGACCAGAATGATCCCGGACACGATGCCACCTTTGGCACGGAGACCATCGACTTGGCCCTGTACAAGGTCGCAGACTTCCTTGACGACAGGCTCGAAGATTTCCTTAGCTTGCGCGGCAGTCATGACGAGAAAGCCTGAGTCCAGGCCGACTTCTTCGTCGTCCGGAAGGCCGGGAAAGGGGATGTTTATCTCCTGGTGCTCATCTTCGTTGAAATTTCGCTTGACGAACTCCTCAAAATATCGCAAGCCCATCTGCCATGTCTTGCCCTTCTTGACCTTCATTTCGTCGAACCGAGTCTTGCCAAGCCGGGTTTTCACATGTTCCTCGAATCTATAGTTGAGGAACGCACTACCACAGAGCCCGCCTGTCCCTACAGCCGACTCCTCAACTTTGAGGGGCTTCAGCGATATTATCTTGTAGGCGATCAGGCTGAAAATCGTTAGCATAGCTCGCGAACGCAGTGAGAGCTTTCCGTGGGACGCTTACTCTACAGTGCCTCCACCACCGTCGCATACTATAAAATTATCTCCGACATTTAGGTGATTGGGTTGTATGGCCTTGAGCGTGTAGACGGCAGCCGCCTCGGGCTCGCTGATCATCTGAATCGAGGACTTGGCACCCATGCCCGCCCTCTCGGCTGCCTGGAGGGTCGTGTTCTTTGCGTAATCTGACCACACGGCCGGACATGTGAGCACGAAGTCGACCTTTGTAGATGCCATGAACGACTCGCCATATCTACGTGTGAGCGTGTCCATGGTGTGGTCATATATCTGGGTCAGGTAGTCGCTGACAGCATCGACGACTGTCTTATTGTACTTCTTGAGCTGGCCTGCCGTCTCGAGCGGGCTCACATAGAATGGCAGCTTCTGCGACCGGTCTAGGAAGAGTTTGATGCATCGCAGGCGCGACTCCTCGGGCTTAAACTGGAAGCCCCATTTCACCGTCGGCTTGGTGCCAGGTGGCGCGTCTTGAGGGAGGTCATAAGAGATTTCTGTGGGCACTTTGTCTGAGGTTATGCCATTACCACCGGGCCAAGTCTTGATGATCTCGACGTCATCTGGATTAGATGTATAGACAGCAGCGACACTGAAGCAGGATGTCAGTCTTTTGTGGCCCGTCGCATGCAAGGTACGGCCTCGCTTGGCCTGTGGCCTGCTGCAGCCCGCAGCCTGAGGCGATGAGAAAGAAAAGGAACCAGGCAGACTATACAAAGCACAGACAGTTAGGACAGGAAGTCGACTCACCCCGAGAAGGTTGTTCCAAAGTCGACGCCGACGATTAACCTGTCGGCTATGGGGGCAAAGTCTCTAATCGGCTCCCTGACAGGCCCATTGATGGCCTCTGTGGATGAGGGCAGGGCATAGCTGGTGAAATAATTCCTGCTCTGCTGATTGCGCTCACTGGTGGGCGAAGTGCGGATGGGCAGGTTGAGGTTGCTCATGGTGGCCGAAACCGAAGGGTGAGAGGGGGTGCGGCGGCTCGTGTCGAGCGACAACTCAAATCTGTCTCACGGACAGTGTCGTCATGCTCAAGCCAAGCCAGAAATAGCGATGAGGACGGTGAGCAAGGGGCGAGGAGCGGTGGCGTGTTCGAGGAGCTGCTGCCGAGCGAGGCAAAGTCCTGTGTAGATGAAGATGCTGGGTGAGTGTGAGTCCAGGCCTGGACCAACCAAGTCCAGAGTCGGGCCTGTTGGTGAAAAGCGGGCCACCTCGTTCGCTCACAGGCTGCTGCCGCGATATTCAAAAGCCCAGTCTGACACTGTCGAAGTGGTGAGATGCCTGTGTTGCTGGTGTTCTCCTTTTCGACTCGTCAGTTCCTGGATCGCAAAGCCGCTGAAGAAGGGAAATGCTGCTGGAGGGCGGGCGATGAGTGCTGACTGCCTCGTCGCTGACACTTGACTTTGGTGGTCCAGGTCCAATTGACGTGCCAGAGTGGGGCAAAGGGTCGGTTCCTCCCGAGTACAGTACCCTACCCTGCCTAACAAGCCGGAACCGAGGTAGGCAGTGACCAGTGTCTCTGAGAAATAACCGTCTGTGTTGCGCAGCACAATAACACACAGAGATAGAGATAGAGATAGAGAGGGAGAGAAAGAGAGAGAGAGACCTCAAAGGGTTCGATACAACTTGACACAATTCGCTACCACTATGGGCTCGATACCATTGATGAGGAACGGACAAGAGGTGCGTGCTTACGCCACCCGTATACGTCCCAAAATCCTTCCAGGAAACAATTCTGCTGCCTGCTGTGTCGGCCGCGTTCCTTGGTCATGCTACTGCACCGCTGCCAGGTCCTGCACGAAACCCCTTCCGCCTCCCTAAACTCAATTCGACCGCAGCGCTACTGTACGCGCACTTGCAGTCTGTCTGGTTCGTGGGGGGATCCCAGGAATTTGGCGTCGACGGTGGACTTCGTCTCAGCTTGATCTCTTCGAAACCAACCGCTTTACGTACACGTCTTTCTTGACTGATCCCTTCACTGCTAATCCTAATCCTAATCTTTCTTTGCAAATCTTTGCGGTGCCAGGCACGATCTTTACCTACCACCGTCTGACTACTTGGGATTCTCTGTCAACACGTCAATGTCACATCGGCATCCTTCGTCTCTGCTGCCTTCACATTATCCACACAACTCCACTCGTCATATCTAGCACCCATGCACACATGTCTTGTGGGAAAAGAGACTTAGTATAGCAAAGATAGTTGGTTTGGATTACAATGTCCAGCGCCTGTACGGCAGACTGAGCTGGACCTAGATATGTAAGATAGACCTGCACCTAGACCTGAACCTCTTCCCTCCGTCGTCCCCTTCTCGGAAGTGGACAACAGAGTGGAGAGTCTGATCGCAGAACCTGTCCTGACCCCAACTCCCTTGTGTACAACAAAAAATCCGTTTTTTGTTCTTTTCCACTCTCCCAAGGTTGAATCCGTTTCCAAAACCCTCTCCCAAGAAAAGTCCACGCCCCAAGCAGTCCCTAGATGATCCCATTCCAGTGGCACCTGTGTAGCTTGTGGCTGGTCGTCCGCCTCCCCAGACAAAGCAGCTGTGGCATTTACCACCCAGTGTCTCTAACAAAGTAAAGAAGAAAGTCTCCGGTCGTTTGGTCAAACCGTCCAATCTATAAGGGGTATTCTGTACGGCATCTTCAACTCGCAAGAAAGAGGCAGCCCGCCCTGCCGCGGGCAGGGTGCTTGAAGTCAACGAATCCAAATGCAAACTGATGCCATGTCTGCCGCCCAACATGTTATGCCGCAGCCGTAAATCCGGTCCAAAAGAGTGACGCGGTAGTGCTCCTCAACACCAAAAATAAAAAATAAACTCCGTGTGAAAATGACCGGTCTGAAATTCAAATTTGGCCGCCCTAGAATCGGTTGCTGGCCGCCCAGATGCTGGCTGATGCCGACGCTGCCCACTCGCTTTCCTCATATGGAGGAGTCGGCCATTTGTATTCTGAAACCTTCCTGTTCAGATCCAAGGGTTTGGGCGCAACCACCTCCTGCCCGTCTCCGAAGAGGCATGCGTTCCCGTTGGCCGAGGGGGAAGGGGTCGGGTACGGGTTGGCGAATCCGGCGTTGCTCGGTGCTTGTCGCTGGTTGTCAGTCCTGCCGTCTCGCTCAATTCGCTTCATGGCCTTGTGCGTCGAAGAGAGGACCTCGTCCAGGAGTTCGTCCGCCTCGTCGGGAGCATCGTAGTGGTGGACTCCGTGTGTGGCCTGTGCCCTTCGTGTTCGGCTAGATATCGGGCCGCCGCTCCGCGCGGCACCGGCGAGGTTGTCCACGGACCGAGGCTTGTGCTGCGGCAGAGAGTGGTGACGCTTCAGGTTGCTCTGGGAGTTGGCCTGGTGTGCGGGAGGGGCCGGGGCATGCAGGTTATCGGCATTTTGTTGGACGTCTCTCAAGGCTCTGTCGAGGGGTTCGTAAGTGTCCTTTGGCACAGGCGCCGGTGGTTGATCGATTACCATGGATGATCTCTGGCTTCCCCATGGACCGCATCCAGCTTGGGCCTCCATGTCCGATTCAATGGGCGAAACCGGGGTTTGGTGTCGTCCGGAAAACCTCCGTGCCCTCTTCCTCAGATGGGAAAAGAAGCTCTCCTTGTGGGCACTTGGTGGTGACGCTAATCCACTGCCGCCATTCAGCGCGCGCTCGGCCTGTTGTCGATGGATCTCGGAGTAGTGGTTAGAATTCGACTGAACGGACAGCTGTCGTCCAATTTTCTTGGATGTCTTGTCCTCTGGTGGGCCTTGCCTGTGAGCACCGTTCGCGTAGGCGTCGTTGTAAGATGGCGTTCGGCTACTGGCTTGAGCCGTCACGGCATCTGAAAGAGGTGAGATAGGGCGGATAGTGGGAAGAATTGGCATGGGCGCCACGTTGGAAATACCATTGCTCCATGTTGTCCTCTTGGGGGCGGCCGGTCGGGTCTTCGCAGGTACTAGAGGAGCAGCCTCAGGCACGATGTGGACGGGGGGCGGTCGAACAGCGGTTGGTTCCTTGACAACCTGTTGTGGGACTGGCTCATTTGAGTCAGTGCGGCCAATAAGTGACTTCCTGAACCACGATGGCTTGGATGAGGCTGGTGGTGTCGCGGCATCTTTGGAACGGCCGATTTCCGAAGGCTTCCGGCCCAGCATTCTTGATGCGGAGGACTTGGGACGCAACGGATCAACGGCGTCGGCGAAATACTCATGTTGCAGCGTTTGCGTAGATGTCGGCCTGTTCTTAGGATCCCACATCAGGCACCAAGTCACGAAGTGGCTCAGCGACGCAGGCCATTGTGGTGTTTGTAGGATCGTGTCCATCGAGTGGGGGGCCATTTTGGGAAAGGAAAACCCTAGCTTTCCCGCCAGTCTGGTGCCCTCTCGCCAGTCACCACCACCTACACGCTGACCGGCCTTGTTGTACCAGTTTCCTGGGCTTCCCATGATCTCACAAACCCTCCAGACTTGGTCTACCTCGTTTCCACCAGGGAAGAGGGGCTTGAGCGTGGCAATTTCCACCGCCATTGCGCCAATGGCCCAAATGTCCACGGGAGCAGAGTATTCACCGGCCCGCAACAGCACCTCGGGAGCTCGGTACCACCGCGTCGAGACGTATGTCGTGTACGGCAGCTTAGAGTGTGTCTCCCTTGCCAATCCGAAGTCGGCAATCTTGACAGTATACGTCGGGGGAGTCGAGGGTGGTGTGACCAAAGCCGAGTACCGCCTGAAGGAATTAGATGTGTCTTGGTGAGAAGAAGTTGATACCAAAATGTTCTCTGGCTTGATATCTCTGTGGAAAAAGTTGTGGGCATGTATGTGCTCAAGCCCTTGCATGATTTGAAACAAGATGCTCTTGACACTCGCGTTGTCTAGGCACTTGTGGTCTCTGGCCTTCATCAGCTGGTATAGGTTTCCCTCCATGTACTCCATGCAGATGTGCAGCTTCTTGCTGAAGGGATCCAGGAAAATGTCCAGAGCGGGAACCAAGTGTTGGTGGTGTGGCAGTGTCCTGAGGAAGACAACCTCTCTAAGCTCAAGACATGGCGTGAAAGACTCAAAAGACTTCTTCATAGTTTTGATGGCGACCTAGCCCAGGAATCAGCTTCCTCCATTTGGTTGCTCGTTGTGCGAGCCTCTACTTACCACAGTCCCTCTCCTGGCGACGTTGGCACCAGCAGTCCGGACTCTCGCCAAGACGACGCTGCCGAAGCTTCCATCGCCGATCTCTTTGAGAACTTCGAACCTGTCCTCCAGGGCGTACCCGTTAGAGCCAGTCAAGGCTGACCCTCGGTGGGTCAGGTCGTGTGCGACAGTCATGACTGTGTAGTGGTGAAAACCAGGTTCAAGGTGAGTAGTTGCTGTCTCCGACCCCTGCAGTCGAATGGAGAGCGATTGGTCGAGTCTTCAGTGAAGCTCTTTTTGTAAGAGCTCAATGCTTTAATTGGAGCATTCAGAGTCAACAGTAGTGAGCGTCAAGGTTCAATCGATGGCGTTCGGGGGGTATTGCAGGTGTCGAAACCGGTGCACGTCGTGGTCGATGGGGGTGTTGTCTGGTTATCGATACTTGGAATGGATAGCTGGGATGTATACGTGAAGGAGGGTAGGCCGGCAACCAGGTTGACTGGAGTTGGGATTGGATATAGGAAAGATCAAAAAAGAGTGGACGGGCCTCCTGAAGAATTGGGCCTGGAATTATTAAAAGGAAAAGTGAAGAGATTGATGGGCGTGCAGGGAGGGACCAGAAAGATTGGGATGCGGGTCCTTTCCCTTAGGCGGCTCCGGGAGTTCTGACGCAGGTACCTCGACTTTCGCGTGAGGCTTCCGGGATTAGCGTGAAGATGCAATTATTAGAATAACCGTGGATCCAACGGTAATCAAATGAGCCTGGCTGCCCACTCAGAGTAGGACCCCGTAAAGGGCGTTGGACCGCTTGAAACTAGGTTGAAGGAGATGATTTAAAAGGAAAAGAAGGACCGGCTATGGTGTTGGTGAAAGTCAGAGCTGTCTCTGAGGCCTGGGCCTTGGTTGTTGCTCTTCGTTCGTTGCGTTTAAGAGGCGCCTGTCGGCTGGGTTGGAATGAAGGGCTGAGGGAGGCCAAGAAACACTACCAGTCAATGCAGACAGACAACCACAACAGCTGGACGAGTGAAGGCGTCTGTTGTGGGCCGCCAGACTGCAGCTTGTCTGCGCTGAGATGACGACAGGTTGACCTGATTTCAATGGCTGGTCTGCTGGTGTTGCTATTGGAACTGGCGTGAACTGCTGGCTGCACGACGATGGGGCCCGTGAGTCCTGGCCTGAGAACTTGGTGGATGAAGGGCAGATCGATCCAATAGCGGGTGGATTCGACAATTCCAGGAGGAGAGAGCGGGAGGGCAGGAGGGCAGGACTGGGGACTCGTGCGCCAGACTGGGCGTGGGTCTCGAGAAGCTGGCGAGCAGGTTGGCTTCGTGCGAGAGGCAGACCCGGTCCTTAGCATGAACGAGAGAAGCTGGGGGTGGCCGAGGAGGATCGATAGGGGCAGACAATCTCGCTAACGATTCGGGTCTCAGCGTTTCTTTGAAGGGCCCAATTTGCGCCCACGACCAGGGTTTCCTCGAGCTTGTCCCCGTATTTCTTCCGTCGTGTTGTTGTGGCCCGTCCCACGCACGGCACGGTGAAGAAGCGGACGAAATGGTGTGCAGAAAGGAGTAGACTGAATTTGAAAAGGAAATTGCTCCACCTGCTTGAGCGCGACCCCAATGAGATTAGCGGACGGGTGCTCTCAGGTGAGACGGCAACGATTTATGGCATTTCGATGACAATGCGAGGGTGGGCTGGGGTTCGTGACAGTGGGTTCTTGAGAGAAGGCGAGATGATGAGATGATGATTGAGAGTGAGAGGAGAAAGGAAGGGCGAGAACAAAAGCGCTGACAACAGGTTAACGAGCAGGTCGGGTCAATCGAATCAGATCAAATCAAGTCAAGTCAAAAGTGCGTGAAGAGGTTGCATGCTGTGGAAACAGGCAAGCAGTCAGTCGAGTTGAGTCGTCTTCACGGCATTCGAGGAGGGAAGGGACAAGGGACGGACGGGAGGGAGGGAGGGAGCTCTGCTGCTTGCCCTGGCCTGCCGTCGCCTGCCCTGACTGCTTGACCTGCGCTGCAGACTCGTTACAACTGGTTGCCCCCGAGCCGACGCAACCTTGGAACCTTGGAATGCCCTGTTAGGCAAGGTACGGCAACTTGTCAGATGCTGATGTGCCAGTGCCCGGGGCCTAGGGCCCAGGGCCCAGGTGAGGTTCATGCATTGCAAACGGGGATGGGGCAGGTACCACGTCCTGTGCTTAGGTAGGGGCCGCCGTCAGTCACTGCACGGCGAGTCTGGGTGCGCAGGTACACGGCACTCAGTACCCAATCACCGGATGCTGGGTGCGATGGTACTAGCTTGACAAGGGTACCTGGGTAGCGCGGCATACCTGGGCGAGCATAGCATAATGAACGGTGCTGCTACTGTTAGTCCGTCCGCCCGTCCAGACGTCCAGAGGACAGGAGCGTCCCAGAGGCTTTGCTCTATTTTGCCTTGTTGACACGTCGTTGTCGAAGGGATGCAAAATCATCGCATAACAAACAAGCGGGCGGCTTGACGGACCCCGCCCCCATATTGGCGAGTGGCAATGCTATTCTTGTCGTCGTCCTCGTCTTCTTGCAGCAATCTCGCAGCGACAGCGAACAGCGAGCAGCGAGCAGCAGTGTCCTGCGCTGGGGCAACTGCCGATACCTCTTTGGGGGCCCGATGAGTAGTGCAGAGCAGAGCAGTGCAGTGCAGGACAAGTGCAGAGGTCCGGGCAGCACATGCTTTCGTACTGTCAGGTCTGTCTGCGCAGCATCAAGTACGTACCTCGTCCTGACCTGTCCTGTCGGAGAGGCGGGTGGGAGCGCCCCTGCTTCAGCTGCGCTCACGTCTGCAGCTCAGCCCCTGGGCGCTCCCACGATCTGCTAGGCGTCTACCACGCACGCGGTCAATGCTCCACGTCCCTCTCGCCCAGGACACACGCTCAGGCTTGTGCACAGCTAACGGTCGCAACATCCACGCCCGCGCACGTCAGGGATGGCCAGAACGCGATCCGTTCCGGCAGAATTTACCATCCTAGCGGTTACGCGACGACGTTTTGGCGTCTGATCCATCCATTGCGCGGCACGAGCGCCAGGGGAAACGAGGGGCGGGACAGGAGGTACTACTACGCAGCATGCAGCAGCACATGGACAGGAACAGGAACTGGTGCAGGTGATCACTTTCTCGTCGTCCGTCTCCTGCATTCGAGGTGAGGGGACTGGGGGGTGGGTTTGGAGGCTGGTAGACGCCAGTCTGTTACAGCTCGTCAGTGCGTGCTCGTGGTAGAGGCAACGGTGACGGTCGTGCACGCTGCACGCTGCACACTGCACGCTGCACACTGCACAAGAGATCGCCATTGATCCGAGGCCCGCTCCTTCCCATCTCGGTCAACCGTTGAAGGTGGGGAGCCAAAAAGTAAAGGCGCCTCAGGCGATGAAGACTATCTACAGACTGCACGCGTACCGAGTACACCGTACCGTGTCGAGGGAGGCAGGGAGGCAGGCCGGCGTCACTTTTGCACGGCCGGACGGCTACAGACGCCCTCTGCATTGACCATTTGTTGGCACTCCGCCAATACAATATAATCACAAGAAGGGTCCATCCGTTCCCATAACCATTTTAGAGTTGCCTTTGTTTGCTTGCTTTGATGAGCGAAGGAGCCCGTGCTGCAGCAGCTGTTGCAATTCACCCAGGGCGCGGGAAGAGCGTTGTCATTTGCGCGTCAGGCGGGTCAAGCCAAAAACCTTCAGCACCATGTGTTGTCCAGTCATACTTTTGTTGACGATGGCTTCTTCGCCTGGGACAACACCGTGTTGCCGGTGTCCGCTGCCAGCTCACCGTGCCTTGCAGGAGCAAACCGCTACTGCCAATCCTTGTCCCCTTTGGGTCAGTGGGAGAAGCCTGTCTGGACGCCCCTAGTCCTATTATGGGGGAGAATCAACGAAAAGGCCTGGATCCGCTGGTGAAAAAAGGGGGGATCAACACTGGACTTGCCCTACCACAGCTGCCACACGAGAGCTCGGCCGCGGAACCACTGCACGGTTCCGAGCTCCCCCACAGGAGGTCTTCTTGGGATCGATCGGCTGCTGCCCAAGATGATGGACGTCCCATGAGACTTCGGCCCAGCAGTCAGAATTGAATTGCGTCTGCAGAAAACAGGCTTACCTAGCTCTGTCACCACGGATACCGTTGCTAAAAGTCCAGATGGCGGTATGTTCACCGGTCAATTAAAATCACAAATAGGATTTTATCACCCGCCGGGGAGCACGCCGTGCACGGGAAGGTATCGATACTTTGATGCCAAGGGTCTGCGGGGTTTAAGATTCGTCCACTTCAAGTTGAGACGAAGCTCCCCAGTTGAAACGAGGCACGGGGAACGGCAAGCTGCCAAAGAAGCAGAATAGAATGGGAGGAAGACACATTCCGGAATGAATTAGTGGAGCGGTGTCGTACTGTGGTACGAAGCTGGGATCCCGAAAATCCGCCGCCGCATGTTTAGACGAAACGAGATGTTGAAGAAAGCCCGTACAAGGCAGGCATCAGCAACCGTAATTCGACGTCATCATCTTGAGGTGGGTTCCGTTCTGTTCAGCTTCATATATCCGAGGTTTAAGTCTTCGTTTTTCGAGTCGCCATCTCATCAAACTCGCCACGGCGACACAGTGCCTCGAGGAGTCGCCTGTCCGATGAAGTCTGGGGCAGCAACACTACACGCCACTCGGCATCTAACTCTCAGGATCAAGGTTCTTGGGGAAGCCCTTGTCCTATTCGCGTACTGGAGTGCTAGTCATTGTTTTTCTATTAAGACTGACCTGACTGGCCGGGGCAAATGAAGTTCTTGAGCCGTCCGTGAGGACATTTATGCGACGGTTTGGTCGGGTGTGAACGTGGGGCGTCGTGTTCATGCACTCATTTTAACGCAGCACCGGGAGCAGTCAGGCAAGCAAACGCTTCGATGATCATGCTTGTCCGGAGATTCGCCTTTCATCTCACGGGAGCTTGGGCCTCTAGTTTGCCCCAGGTCCAGAAGCCGTGCCGTCCTGCGTCCATGTAACCCCTACAAGTGTGGCTAATAAAGTAACTCGATCAAATGAGTGGTAGGGGTCCAGCTGGAAGGCAATACCACCAGGAAGCTTTTCCCGAGGCTAATATTTTGGAGGAGCTGCCTCAGAAGCACGCTCTCGCCGGCCTCGAATGGCAGCGCTGAAATGCGAGATCGAGGTGAAATTTGTCTCGTCTCAGCATCTTTTCAATGCCATACCCAGCAAGGCTATAATATTGGCGTCTGCGCGCGAAACCTCAGTCTTATTTTTCTTGTAACAGATCAAAGCTGACTCGCCGCAGGTGCAGACCGAGCCTAGGCCGAGGCGGAACGGTTCATCCTCTCCCGAAGCCCGTGACCGTCAGGCACTGCCCGTAATCACAAAAGAGTTGGAGGTCGTATGCAACTCGACAGCTAGGACTACAATGTAACTCACGAGTTTGGTACCCAATGGCCAAGTGACCCAGTGGCCCTGGCTGCGAAAGGGGGTTCGTCGGCCCTTGATTGCCCTAACGATCCGGAGCGTATTCCGAGTCTGGGGGCCCATCGCGCTTGGTCGTTTCGGGCCATATCCACTCTCCTGGGAATCTCGGTCGCACCGTTTGTCAGTTTCGCTTCTGTTGCTGTGGGCTTTTGTCAACAACATGATCCCAACATGGAAAGCTCGGTTCTCGCCTGTCTTCGTCAATCGGAGATCCACTCCTTCTGATAGCTTCCATCGTCTAACCAGGGCCGGTCGACGGGAACCCCACCGCCGAGTGGTCAACAAGGTGCCGCGATATGCGCCCTTTTCGCCCACAGCAAAATGACTGGGCACCGGCACATCAGAATGTCCTGCGTGCGTAATGATGGTGGCTGGTCGGTGGACGATGGATGAAGAGATGTCTCCTCTCCCCCGGATTCTGGATGGCTAAATCACAGTTGACGCAGCAACGTGGACCGGAGCTTGCCTCTGACCGCCACGTACCGCTGTCGGCGGTCAACGACAAGTTGTCGTGAACGATGGGGCCCGAGCCACCCAGCCCCCCGGGTCGAGGGATCCGTCGCTCTCACCGACTTGGATCCCACGTGGTTTGAGAAGCGTTCTCCGCTTTTCTCAGAGCTTTGTCGTGTTATCGAGACTCTTTCTCGAACTATTATCGCATTGCTGAATGGACATTGTGGCTAGAGGGGCAGGACGGTGGACGAGCGCTCGGCTAGTAAGATATTGTATGTACCTTGACTTCCAGTTTCGACGTCGTCTCAACTTGGGCGTCTGCAGTGAGGACTCGATGGGTTGCGTCTAGCACTCGGGGCTAGGACGATATTCTGCAGTGAGGACTCGATGGGTTGCGTCTAGCACTCGGGGCTAGGACGATATTCGCAGAGGCCAAGGGATGGCTGCAAGCTGAGGCGCTACGCTGCTAGAGACTGGTTCTCGAGTATGCCCCGAGGCTAGGTATCAGCGCCTTAGTACTCTTTTTCCAAAGCCATTGCGCTCTGAGACCCCTGCAGAGGTCTGAAAAGGCTATCGTCATTGCAGTTGGAAGATGTGGATGAGCTCTCACCAAGAAACTCGTCCCAGCAAGGCATGAATAGAAGTGTAAGCCATTTGCAGCTTTCTAGCGAGAGTGAGTGTAACAATTGGCCAATCAGCCTCTAAGCAGAGTGTTCTAACTGACTGTATGGAGATGATTTCAGGCATGAAAGCGTCCTTTGCGAGTGGTGATGTGATTGCCGTGAGGAATTTTCTGACGAAACCATTGTCTGTTCAGTGAAGGATGGGCTCTTTGCTTCGAAGAAGGAATGTTGCCACGGACAGACATGCCGTCCGGATTTTTCAGGGCTAGACGCGCTGCAGAACTGCCATATGGCATTATTTTCCCACGGCTAATTATGGCTGGCTGTGTGCTTGAAGTAGCCGATGCTGTTCTGCTTGCCTGTCCACTAGATGGCACCGTGTTGGATTGCACGTGGGTGAAACACAGCTTAAGTCAGTATGGAACTGGTCGGTGAAAAGGGGAAGTCTTCTTCTACCGAACTAGAGGCATCGTGGTGGTCTGTCGCGTTTTCGTCTGAAGGCAAGGAGGCAAGGAGCGGATCAGATCACTTGACAGCAACTGAGAATCCAGAAAATCACGACCCCTGAGCCCTTCTTCTTCCTGTATTACTCTCCTTGAACGGCGCACTTTGCAGTACTTTTCCCACAGGAGACCTTCCCAACACAAGTCACTGACGGACTACCAACCTGAAGCCAGGCGTTTGCCTTGGACTTTTGGAAGCCAGAGCCACAGCCTTTGGGAAGCCCTGCACTGAAGAAGCTGTGCCCCGACAGCCAAGCAGCCATTGCTACGACATTATCACTAGACTACAGTTCCCTGGTTCTCTGAAAGGTAATGTGGTTATCTTTGGCTTAGACACCTTGCAAAGATATCGAGAGAAACACGGATAGCACACAGCGGAGGAAGGAACAACAAACGACACAACACCAGGTGCCTTAGAAACCTCCTAGACGAGCAGACTCCTCCATCTCTCGGCCCCTAGACTTTTCTTGATCTCTTTCTCTGTCGCATCACCGTATCTTTTGAAAGTACAGTACGTACAGATTAGGTGGGTGCCTACCCTTTCTTCTGACAGACACATCAACACCCTCTTGCACCTTCCCTTCTCTGCTGAGCGACCCCAAGATTTGACTCCTCTCCATCTCTCATCACGGTGGTGGCAACAGGGTTTTGAGAACACCTGAGCTTCTGTTCACCAAGTTCGTCTTTCACTCAATCTTAAACTCCAAAGAAGCTGCCCTTACTGATTACTGTTGCCTCTCCAACAGCCACTCTTCGATATCAGGCCCTTCAGCAAAGACAAGGCAAAGAAGTCCTTCCCCACGCATACTTGACAAACCAAGGTAAGTTCTCACAGATCATTGCTTGCTGCTCCTACCCCTTCTGAAGACCTTGCCATGCAGTTTTGAGCCACCTAATACTACCTCTACTCGTATTCGACCACCAACTACCTAGAAGTCCCTGGATCCAGACTGCAAGATGGCATCCCAATACGGAAGCAACAAGCAAAACAAGAGCCTTCCAGCCATGTGAGTGAAAAGAGTCTTTCTGTTTTGTCAGGACAGGCTGAAACTAACAGGCGTGGGTTCCCAGGCTTAAATGCGCTGTTGATGGCAAGATGGAGAAGCGAGACATGTTCTCCAACAACATGCTCAAGAAACGGACCTTCAATCCAAATGCGCAAATCACTTGCCGCAAGCACACCGGTGGTGCGGTTACCGAACTTCTTTGTAGCAGCTGTCGCAAGCACAAGCCCCTTGACTTCTTTAGCAACGCCGAGCGCAAGGTTACTGGTGGCCAACGCTGCCGCGCTTGCATCGAGTGGCTGGAGGGTGACCAGCCTGACTACGTCCCTTTGCCGGCCCCAAACAGTGTTCGCGACCATGAGGAGAAGCGCGCGTACAAAGCTGATGGCAGGGGCATGGATGACTACGATGACGACGAGGATGACTACTACGTCACCGAGGCTCAGGGCGATGCATTCTCCGATGATGATGCCTCGTGGGCCGGACGAACCAAAGCACCGAAAGGAGCCAACACGGCTGGTGGGCTGACAGCCAACAACCTGAAGAACTTGGACAATTACGGCGGCTCACACTCTGCCTCTAGCCGCGGTGACGAGAGGTACCATGCGTCCTCGGCGCCCACCGACTCGGCGTCTAACGCTGATACGGAGAGTACGGCCCGTCCCCATAACCCACGCCGGTTCAATGCCTACGGTCCCAACGGCCAGGTCCAGAGGCGCCAAGTCGGCACCGCCGCTTCTGAGACCTCGGGCACTTCCGTCAGCACCCAGGGAAGCATCCCTGGACGCAAAGATTGGGCCAGACCGGCTACCCGCAAGACGGCTCCTGCGTTGCCGCGACACATGGAGTACGAGAACCCCGACACCGTCGGGCACTATGCCTACGACGATGACGATAGCTCAGATGGATGCTAAGTGGACCACGGTCCGACAAGCGCTCCAGTCTCGGGCGGTATTGAGAGAATGACTGATAGCAGCCACATTGGTCGTTGATTGAAGGGGCGTCGAGCATCGGAACGTCAAGCAATTTTGGAACTTGGAGATGGAACAGCTTCGTTGACCATTGCACAAATCAGATTGAAACCAGGAAGGCTGCGATGAAGACAGCAAATAATGAATACGGGGCGATAGTCTCTCAACTCCACTCAGATTAGAACAAATGAATGAATGAACAAATTCGGCTGCGATTCCATTTGGATCAGATGACCCTGATCAATCGGGTGGAAGAAGGACGGATCTTGTGAAACATTTAGTGCAGTCAGTGCCGCTCAGATGTGGTGCCCGGATGGAATAGACTTCGGCGTCGCTGATCGGCATCCCGCGCATGTCGAGCATGCTGCCGGCCCCGTTGTGGCGGCGGATCGTATCCAGTCCTTGTCTGGGATACCATACAGGTGAGGATGTGATTGGAATGAGGTGGAGTGGAATGCGGGAAGACAAGCAAGTGAGGCTGTGAGGCAAGTCTGGAGACTTCTTTTTGCCACAAGTGAATGTAAATAAGTTGCTTGTTACGGTAGAGCCGCATATATTCTCCAGCACCCGCGAAGATCGACAGAACTAAACACCCCCAAAAGCTACCGCTACATGTGCAGTGCAACACATCGGTCGCCTGACAGGCAGAGAAGCGATATCGACTGTTCTGCTATTTCCAGGCCGTCTGCCCATCCCCCTTATTGAGGCCTGATCAGCAGGGATGGCCCCTCTTCGTGAGGCTTCGTGGCAGGGCGCCCGACTGCTACGAGGCGGGCGACAGAAGCAGAGAGAGGGCAGCACGACCGGCACGCGAGGCCTTGGCTGTAGAGTTGCGTTTTCGTTCCCTTTCATTCCACTTTCTGTTTCATCCTACGAATCAAATGTCTGCCCCAGCACCGTGGGGTTGATGCATCGCCGCCCTGGCCCAGTGACGTCGCGTCGCCCACCGGCGAATATCTACAAGCCATACTTCAACATCTTTTTTGAGTCCAGTTCTGCGTTCCTCCAACCAACTCAACACCCTCTTCGCAGATAGTCGCGCGTTTGTTTGACTTTGGAAACGCTTTGCTTGTGCCGCTTGTTTTTGACCGACTTCTCAACGTGCCATGCCCGGGTTCGCAATGCATCGATAAACATTCTCCATCAACTTCTCACAAATCAGATAATACACGACCATGTCAAAATACGAGGATGACAAAGGTCAACCGAGGGAGAAGGAAAGGGTTCCAACGCTCAATACGACTGACTGGAAGACACCACATGGACAAGTCAAGGCACAGAGAGATACTGAAGATGTGTCACCGCGGTCTAAAGGCGAAATTCCCCTGAGCGATAGGCACACAGAGGAGATCCGGAGGCGCATCGAGGAAGTAAAAGAGAGGGCAGCGAGAACTAGTCCTGTTTCCGATGTTCCAGTTCCTCCCCGAACATCAACCCAGTCGGCTGCTCCGCCTCCCATGCATGCCAACCTGCCCTCGGCCAGCTTGAGCTCTGTGTCACCGGAGCTTCTGACGGAGCTGCGCAAGATCATCAGGGAAGAGGTCGAGCAGCTGAACAAAGGGGAAAAGCAGGCCGAGCCAGGAGATAAGCCTTCACGACCCCCAAGGCCGACATCCCCTGTCCGTTCATGGACCGACACTCAGGAACATGTTCTCCCTGCCGCCGCTGCCGCTGCCGCTGCCGCTGCCGCCACCACTGCAAGCTTGCCAAAGGACAGTGGCGAGAAGAGAACCAGCCCAACGACAGGAGGGACCTCTCCGACCACCACGCAGCACAGGGATCATCCACGGCAGTCGACTGTGCGCTTTAGCGAAGAGACCAAAGCAGCTGCGCCTGTACCGCCACGAAGCAGCGCGGACGATACCCGCCGGGCCTCAACCACGAAAGATACCAGACAATTGACGGCGATCGACCAGAAGTGGGGACTGCTGTTTGACAAAGACGGCGAATCGACCAAGCGGATGGAACATGTTGTTAAGGGGCTTGCCAAATATATCATTGACGAGTTCATGCCTCAGAATTCCATCGTCATCACACCTGAGAAGATGGCCGCATTCTACTCTCACCACCGGTTAGACAAGGAGGTCTTCCCCTTCGCAGTACTGTTCAAATCACGTTCCAAGCACCTTAGCGAGGCTTTGGAAAGCCTGTATGAGGATCTGGGATGTCAGTACTTCCTTGCCCCCGCTGATAGTAGGTCACGGCCAAGTGTGCCCGCCTTGACGCCAGCGGGATTTAAGCACTGGCTGGTTTCTTTCATGCAAGCGTACCCGGACGAGGAGGCAAAACGCCTGGACAAGGTCGTCTCAGCGTTGCCTATCGAGGCAGACAGTCTCCTGGATGGGAAACCTGAGAGACTTCCGAAGCAGATCTCACGATATCTCCTTCCGGAAAAACCCGTGCGAAAGGTGCAAAAACTTGTGGACGAGGCGATGAGGGACTTCACGCAAGACATCAACAATTCATCGACATCGCAATCAAACACAGATAACAACAGTGGCGGCACTGGCAGGCCAACACCGATCGTCGTAACCCAGGAGAAAAGGCCCTCGACAACTACAAGCGGTGCGCAAAGCTCACGGTACATACCGGATGCTGCCGTCAAGGAGCACAGGTCGGATGAGGGGCGGACGACCTCAACAGCTGCGAGTGGCAGCCGCGATCACGATGACAGCCGGAGAAAATCGATGCCGCCCCCACCAGGGCCTGGCCATCTCGGGCGCACCAACTCACTCGACACCGGTAGCCGCAACCCCCAAAGCAGTAGGACGCCCCACGGCTCCTCATCCAATGCAGGCTCAGGTAGGGCAGCGGCCGGGTCCTCGTCGTCGTCCTCCAGGAAGAACCGCAGCCCGCAGAGGAACCCGTACAGCCAGTCAGTACCGTCTGGCCTCAACCGCGACGACCTAGGAAGCGACCGGGCCCGTGGGTCCGCCGCAATATCAGCTGCGGCAGCGAATGTCGCTGCGGCGGTGCTGAGGCCCACGTCGCGCACGGCGACCGCGGCGGCCCAGCTCGCATCTCACGCCATGTCGTCGTCGACGTCAGCCCTCGACACGGGTGTGCGAGACCCGCGGGCTGGCGATTCCCGCGACAAGCGGCCCAGCCTGGACGAGTCGACGCCGCGGGCGCCGACGTCGGCATTCAACCTGAGGGACAAGGCGGGCCTCGAGAGCAGCAGCTCCAGCAAGCAGTCCAAGAGGCGGAGCATGGTGCTCCCAGACCTCAAGGGGCCAACCTGGGACGACTACCTCAAGAGCTCCGCACCGAAGTCGTCTACTTCGTCGTTCATGAAGAGGGCGGACCCCGGGTATCACTCGTCGAGTTGAGGATACTAACTGTGGGGGAGATTGCAGCAGCCCGCAGGAGGGCTTGTGTAAGGCGGCTTGGATTGTACTTTGTTCACGAATCTATGACCACGAATCTGAATCTTTATGGGAGGAGGCAGCGTCATTTTTTCTTTCTGTATGTTTGGTGCTTTGAATAGCTGGATACCCCAAAGCAGAGATATTCTGAGATTGTTTCAAATAGAAGCCAAAAAATTGAACGCCACAGAATGATGTATCATGGCATGTAGCTCAGGGAACCCCAAGCAAACTGGATACGGCTGGACTGGTATGTGTTTCCCACTTTCACGAATACCAATAGGAACACCTCCGGCGGACAATCTGCTGCAGGGTAACCTCGTGTATCGTCTGAGATACTGTGTGAGGTGAAAGTACCCTTCTGCACCAATGCGGAGCTTTGGATCCGTGCGAGCCGTAGCTGAACATGCGCCCTGGCGCCTCGCCAGGCTTTTTTCTCCATTCTGTCCCACATGGCAGGTTGCCTAGATCTTAAAGATTTGTCGCACAGAAAAAAAAGTAAGACATTTTAGCCTGTAGGATCGTCGGGAGCCCGGAGTCAGATTGTCTGCTTTGCTTCTCAGAAGCTCTCGAGCAGACCACTCTCCTGTTGATTGGTGGTAAGCAGCATGCTGAGCTTGATGGCCATGTTCGGACCCCGAGGGCACTCCCTTGCCTCGATCGGTCAGTGTGATTCAGCCTTCTTCCCATGTTTGGAATTCCACAACATGACAGGCGTCAAGCCAAATCTCTTGGCAGGGCTCCAAGCGAGGGCCATCTGCCGCGGCCCCTGCCACCAGCTACCATCGGACGGAATCCCGACCGCATCTACACTATGAATAGCAGGATGTGACAACCGATCTCTGGTTGTCTCCCGTCTTGGTCTTTTCACCCAAGGTGTTGGGATTGTTCATCCATGCGGCCCGCGTTTGATGTGCCAGGCGTCTGACTGCCAACTGCTTGGCCTGTGCGGGAGCGTCCAGACTCAGACAATTGCAATTGCACCATGAGCGGTGGGTTCCGTTTTACCAACGGAAAGGAGAAAATGATGTCATCTTGATCTCCGACTTCCTTGGCAGGGCGGTAAGCGAGCCGGCGACCACTTGTGGGATCCAGCTCGCAAGTCCGCGGAAAGAAAAGGAGTACCATGTTGTTGTTACCGTTACCAACAGACTGAACTGCCCGTGAGGGTGTGGAATGAATGCCTGCTTCTTGTCTCTGACTCGAGCCTAGCGAGGCACGCACGTCTGTCACTGGTACTGCATCAGCTTTCTGCCCTGTCATGCTGCAATGCTGCCCCCGCCGAGCTTGACGAATACGCGGAAACCAACCAGGCTCCACACCCAAAGCATCCTAATAAAGCATGCGTCCCACTGCTGGGGATGATCATCCGAGGCACCCCGGAGACCCTTCGAATTAGCTTGATATAAGCTTATTCGTTTCAAGCATGCTGCCGTTCCTAGCAACACCATCCTCAGCCTTCGCCTCGATCCTGCTGGCGCGAAGCAGTCTAGCCCAGCCGTTTTGGACGGCCGTGCATTGGAATGACCTAATGCTTATATTCCTTTTCCATACTACTCCATGCTATTTCCAAACCAAGAAAACTGGGGCTCCTCGGGCCCTAGAAGCCTGCTTGAAACTCTGCTCTGGGCCAAACGCGCTCATCTCGTCGGCGGTCTTGTCGCATGCCAGGGGCATCAGAAACCCAAGCTCGTATTTATAAGTTAGACTTTCCGGCCTGCCGAGAAGGCACGCCACCTGCAGCCTCCTCAGCCTCGCCCTTTGTCCCGCCCCAGTATGCTCTCAGCACTGAATCTCTTGTTACTTACCAAATACGGGTCCCTCAGGGGGGGACCCAGCCAGAAGATTGGGATCCACAACTTGGGGGACAGCCCCCGCGGGCCCTCTGGAGGTTGGCTGCTGGCTGGCTGACAGCCTGGCTGGGCCAGCTGCCCAGCTGGCCGCAGCCCGTTGGCACACTATGCAATAGGCGATCGCTGTGGGCCGATACACTCTGGCTCGTGTTTCGAGTCGCAACAGGAACACAGCGAGTCAATCCTCCCTACCTACCTACCTATCTACCTACTGTACAGTACACGGCACTGTCGCTGCTCAAATGGCTTGTGGCTGGCCATGGTCGCGACGAACGGCTGAGCAGATCAAAGGGGCTCATCAGCGGTTGGCCGGCTTCACCGTCCCATTCGTGATCCTTCTCGTATGCAGAACCGCCAACGGGATTGCTTGCAAGGGGCGAATAATACCGCTGCTTCTGTCATAATTAGTACATGGCCTAGTGGCGCAGTTCCAGGAAGGGGCACGCGACCAGGCACCAACAGCGGAAACAGGCCCGTTCTGTTTGCTAAGGGAATGTCTCTCGATCCCAGGTCCCCCAGGCACAATCTCAACGGCCGATTGAATTTCCCCTGGCGTGCTAACTCGCATAGGCTAATGCACCTACACAGCGGCTCTTACGTGAGTAGACCCAGGTATCGGGCCAAGCAGCTGGGCAAGGTTCGAGAAACGAGGTCCGTTTGGGCGAAATCCTGCCACAGGCCAGCCCTCCACCCACCCAAAACGTATGGCCCACGTCTGGGACCGCACGCGACACATTTCCTGAAGTAACAATTTCTTTGACATGTTCGGGAAGATCTGCAATTGGATATGACTTATGTGGGGACCCCTACCTTTGTCTTGTCCTGTTCCTGTTCCTGTTCATCTGTAGGTGTGTTTCCCATGGCATCTTCATCTTGTTCTCTCTGATCTTTCTTTGGTTACGATTTTCTGCATGGAGGCCGTACTGGTTCTCAGGCGTTATCCATCGTGATGTCTCTTCAGAAGTCGACATCATTCCTATTTGCTCTTTTTCTCATATCAGTAGCGTCTACTAAGGTGCTACACCTGGCATTGCACCTTGGCACGATACCTCTCGCGGCGTTCTTTCTCTACCTCCCTACCTTCTTTATACCCGATGTCGCCCTCTTGATTATTACCAGGCTGTTGCTGCGGCGGGAGCGAGGCGTTGGTTCTCTGGTTGGTCTGCTTTTGGGATCTTTTATATCGTACGTCTTGACCACATCCGGGGCTTGCCTCTCCCTATGCAAATAATTGGCAGACAAAGCTGAGACTGCGAACAGATTTATCACCTTCATTGCTGCATCGTGTCAAATCGGATTCTTTACTAGAACGGGCGCGGATATCCAGTGGTCCGCAGCTCGCACTGTCGCAAAAGACAAAGATGGAGTCGCCGTCCTCCTAAGCGAAAGCTCGAGCGTGCTTGTGCCGGCGGTCATAATCTTAGCCTTGGCATGGTTCTCCCATGCCTGGGTGTACGAAGTATCTGGAAACATCCTGAGGACTCTCGCGGGACTCTGGCGGGCGAGTGAGTCTCGAAAAGTGTTGTAACAGGGGGGCAAAGACTGTGGCTAACTTAGGGATAGCGTACAACCGGGACCCAGGTCCTATCCAGTCGAAAGAACGAAGCGATGGCATCGATGTTGAACACTCCCTCGAAGACGGTTATTCAGACTCGGACGAGACGATTGTGTGGTCGGAGGGAGACAGCATGTTCGGCCGAGGCAAGGTGGAAGAGCCCCCCACTGGGTTAGCTGGTCGGATGCGTACCTCCTGGAGGAGAGCAGTAAAAAAGATTCCGCAATGGATGGTGCTCCCATTTTGTGCCATTGTCCTGGTGGTCTTGCTGTTGACAAGGCCGGCCAAACCGTACAACCACATCTCGACAACGCTCCCGCTCCCGCTTCTGACACTCATCAGCTTCTCCTTCGAGCCCTTCAATTCGTGCGGCCAGACAGAACGGGTTGTCGAAAACATGTGGCCACTGCCTGAACTCATTCGCGAGGCGCACTGGAAACCAGCTCATGATCACTTCAAAGGCTGGGCTCCCGGGGGAATGAGCCCCTTAATCAAGGACTACCGCGAGAGAGTGCCCGAATGGCTGCCATTGCCGATTCCTGCTGGATTCTATCGGTGGAACTCGACGGAGCCCGCGGAAGACACGTTGTCGGTACTTGATACGCCCAACGGAACGACCGCCGATGCAAATGGTACAACTTTAGCATGTGCACCGATTCTCACACGACAAGCCGACTATAACCCCGTCGACGATCCTCTCCGCATCACGAACCTCGACCTGGAGCCGCTTGAACCCCTACGAGCTGCATTGCGGGACAGGACGGCGACCATCAAGCACGTGGTCATGATCCAGATGGAGTCGATGCGTGAGGAACTCTTTCCCTTGCAGCAGGGGTCCCTGTGGCACAAGAAGATTCTGGAATCACACCCGGAACAGGACCGTGATGAGATAAACCGGCGGCTGTCGAAGCTCACCCCAAACTCCGAGAGGATAACGGGCAAGGCCGGGGGGTTCACGAATTCGACTGGCCATCCAATTACGCGAGAGGAAGAAACCCCAAGCTGGTTTAACTCAACAGATGAAGGCTTCGGTGGTCTCAACGTCGTGGGTGCCTTCACAGGGAGTTCCGTGTCAACCAAATCCGTTGTAGGAAGCCATTGTGTAAGCTTTCCACAACTACCGAGTCCCACTCGGGCCATCCAAGACAAAAGGGAGAGGAACAAAAATACTGACATACTTTGATCAGGGTATTTGGCCCATGGCTGTTGACGGACTGGAAGAATCAGAGAGCCAGGTCTACCAGCCATGTCTTCCACACCTCTTCGACATGCTGTCCCACAAGAAGATCGACGACTCCAAATTAGACCAAAGCGAGATGCGCAATCGGCCGTGGGACCATATGTATTTCCAGGTGAGTTATTCTTGGTGCGAGATGTTGCCCCAAATATTTCTATGTTTTTAAGACTAGCGTGCACCGATCCCAATTCCGTCTTCAGGTAGCAAGTACTAACGCAAATTACCCAATAGGCTGTAACAGACGATTATGACCGACAGGATGTCATGAACGAGAAGATGGGCTTCAGGGATGTTGTGGCCAGAAAGACACTGCAAAAGGACGTGAAGAACAATCCTGGGATGATGGAACTTAATTATTTCGGCTATGCGGAGCCGTACTTGATACCGCACATGGAGAAATTTATCGACCGAGCTCTGGCCAACGACACGAGGATGTTCCTGAGCCATTTCACCTCAACGACTCACCACCCTTGGAGGACGCCCGGGGACTGGCAAACAGTCCGGTACATGGGCAAGAGCCACGGAATCAGCCACTACGACTTCAACCAGTACCTGAACGCCGTCGCCTACCACGATGCGTGGCTGGGACAGATGATGCAGCTGATCGAGGATAAGGGCATCGCGAACGAGACACTAGTCATCTTCGTCGGGGACCACGGCCAGGCGTTCCTCGAGGACACGTCCGTGACGGGCACGCTGGACAATGCGCACGTGTCCAACTTCCGCGTGCCTATCACCTTCCGGCACCCGCACCTGCCGCGCGTGCAGTACGAGGCCAACGCCACGTCCATCAGCATCCTGCCCACGATCCTGGACTTGCTCGCGAGCACGGGGTCGCTGAACGAGGAGGACGGCAGGGCGGCGGCGGACCTGATCAACGACTACGAGGGCCAGTCGCTCATAAGGCCGTACAAGACGCACGAGGGCGGCCGGCGGGCGTGGAACTTTGGCGTGGTCAACCTGGGCGGGAGCGTCCTGACCGTGACGTCGGCCGACGCGCCGTGGAGGCTGGTGCTGCCGGTGGAGGAGAAGAACTCAATCGAGTACCAGCTGTCGGACCTGCGGCTCGACCCGCTGGAGGTGGACCCGATCAAGGGCTGGGATATGGTGCACTTGATCCTGGATGCGCGGAAGAAGTACGGGCAGGACGCGGCCACGTGGGCGGACGAGGCTGAGAAGGTCGCCAGGTGGTGGATGTTAGAGCGGAAGAGGCTATGGAAGTACCAGTCTTCCAAATAGAAACTGTTTTGTCAATTCATACAAATATAAACTTTCCATGATTCATTCATCTTTCCGTCTCGAGCGTCCAAAGACGCCAGTGCGGTTGGGGTGGCGGGGGTGGCGGTCCAACAAATTTGACATTGTTGCCCGTCCTGAAGACTAGCCTCTGCTTTGTTGTTTGAGGTGACTTGGAAAGAGTTGGACGTCCTGTGCGGGCCTTACGATGAGAGACTCCATGATTCCGCGGAATTGGAGCCTGCGGTTGAGAAAGGCTGCATGAAGGAGTTGCCGCGATAGAATTATGTTATATTCCAGTTTTCTGCTATATGTAACACAACTTATTAGTATAATTGCTGGTCGGAGCTCACTCACTTGCCTCGGCCATCTGACGTATTCGCAGGAGGATATTATCTGCAAATGATATAGTCCGGTGACTTCAATTGCATCAAATATATTTGGCAGTCGTAAATGAAACGAAACCATGCTAATGCACGAGCTGAATTGCCAAGTCTCTCTGTGCAATGGAGAATCGGACGACATGAATGGTTTGGTCTACGCTCTGAGACCCAAGAACCCCGAAACGTACGCCCGGCTCTTCTAGATCGTCCGAAGGATCAGCCAGATCAACCGCCAAGTTCTTCTGCATTGTATATTTCCAGTGTACGCATGCGTCGCGGGCACACGATGGATTCCTGTGTATCTTACACAAGTGGGTGGCACACGTCACGTTTAATGGCCTTCGAAGTACTACGGAGTTGCTGACAGCCCAAATTGTGAGTGTTATGGCACGGAGGTACCCAGCAAGTACGACCGGATCTCCCCAACTTCGGGTACACATAGCTGACCACCTAGGCCATTGTCACATCTCAATTTTACACGACCAAACGCCTCAATCTTTTTACCAGCACATAGCTGAGGCACTCTTCCCTGATAAATGCCGACAATTATCCGTATGCTACACAACCGACGACCAATCCTCTAGCAGTCTCGTTCTTCATTACCTTCATCATCCTGGACGTCCTCAAGGACCTCTGCATCTTAGACAGCCATTGAAGAGGTGCTTATGGCTTGTACCACGGAATGTAAGCCCGTGGGCTCATACCCTCCAACGGGTGTCGATGTACTCATAGTTGGTACTGGCCTCGCTGGTCTAACAGCGGCAATTGAGTGCATTCGCAAAGGTCACAATGTGCGTGTGTTAGAACGAAACTCAGGCATCAACACGGTCGGTATGTGCAAAGAAAGGAACAAGCCTCCCGATTTCCTTCCCGAAACCATGAAGGAATTGCTTATCTGTCATTAGGCGACATGTATTTCATGGGTCTGAGTGCCACTAGGTTCTTCAAACATTGGCCTGACATGGCAAAGGAGTACGATGCAATTTCACTGCATAATACGTGGATCGAGACGTTCAAGCACGATGGCACACACATGATTCCGCCACTCAAAGTTGCCGATCGCCTGCGTGATGCTGGTCTTGACCCCGACACGCCTCCAGGGACCTTTCAGATGCGACCCCTTGTTTATAAGATGTTCGTTGCACAAGTTGAGCGGCTGGGAGTAGATATCCAGTTCGGAAAGCGCGTTGTCGATTATTTCGAGGACAAAGAGCGCCAGAGAGCTGGTGTGGTGACTGACCAAAATGAAAGATTTGAGGCAGACGTCGTCATTGCGGCCGATGGTGTTGGTTCCAAAAGTCAAGGGCTTGTTGGCGGCCAGGTCAGAGCAATGAGCTCGGGTAGAGCTATGTGGCGGGCCGCCTTCCCAAGACATCACCTCGATCAGGACCCCCAAGTCAAGGAGTTTTTCAAGATGGTTGATGGCGAGACTGGCCAAGAGCCTATCATCAGGACATGGCTGGCGTAAGTCAGCAGAGGAAAAACTCCAAGAGCAATAGCTGCTAATGGCAAGCAGTCCAGGAGCGTATGGTCTCACGTTGACTCGTCCCGACACAATCGTTTGGACCATAAACCATGATGTAAGTACCTATAATCACTATGCACTCTTGGCTTACCAGACACTCATCATGGGATAGGTGACTGGCTCAGAGAAGGAGTCATGGCGTAATACCGTAGAGTCTGATGAAGTCCTCGCCAACATGGACAAAGGCGTCGGTCCTAATGGCTGGGCTCCAGTATTCAAGCAATTGGTTGCACTCACGCCCCCAAGGACTATTGTCAACTTTGAGCTTTTCTGGCGCAATCCGCAGCCGAAGTGGGCGTCACCAGAAGCTCGCGTAATCGTAATTGGCGACGCCGCGCACTCCTTCCTCCCAGCTTCGGGCAATGGTGCAACCCAAGCCATTGAGGACGCCATCTCCCTGGCGACGTGCCTGCAAATCGGCGGGAGAGAGAACATTTCGCAATCCGTCCGCGCTCACGTCCGTTTGCGCTTCATCCGGAATGCATGCGCCCAAAAGCTGGGTTTCAGCAACGCCGAGTTATTGCAAGATACCGACTGGAGCAAAGTCAAACTAGACCCGCGCCGAGCTCAGCCGAAGCTACCGAAATGGGTCTTCAGCCACGATCCGGAGAGCTATGCTTATGATAACTACGAGAAAGTCGTTGAGAGCATGAAGAACGGGGTTGCGTTTGATGAGGATGACAGCATCCCACCAAACTACCCACCAGGATATAAATACGAGGAGTGGAATATTGAACAGATAATGGAAGACATTCGTAAGGGGAAACCGGTTGACCTAGGTCCGGGAGACTGGAGATAACAATTTTTTTTTTGATTGAAGAGATGTAACTTGCTAAGCTGCGTTTTCCAAGTACGTACTGTCAATCATCAGTCTTCCTCATCTGGCAGCTCATTAAACGGGAGCGCCTCAATGGCTGCCTCGAACTTCAATTCTTGCGGGGCCCCGATACACTCCTTAACTCACATCAGGAAAAGGTCCCCGGACGTCAAGGGAGCCTCAGGATACATTCCTTCTTGTAGTTGTTGCTCGCCAATGACGAAGTCCTTGAGTGCGCGGCTGTCCACGCTCCGACTTAAAAGAAAGCTCCATATTAATCGAGTCAAAAAAACTCAGCGAAAGCTGTCACACGCTTTGCATTGATGAACGAATGTCCTTAGTGCAACTCATATGAAAATAATATTGAATCCTTATGAGAAGGATGTTTAGTCAACAACAGTAAAGCCAGGATTTAACAGAACTCGATTGTCAGCATTTTTGGGTAGTAGACATTAACGGAAGAAGCTCTGGATATACAGTCTTCTAAATGAACGTTGTTTTCCCAATTAATATATGCTTTTCACGATACCTTCTATCTCAACTCTTCCAAGCGTCTAAAGATATCAGACAGGAGCCACTAGAGACAGTCCAACAGATCTGACATCGTTGATCGTCCCGTGGACTAGTCCCTGTCTGTGGGGTAAGGTGACATTTTGCGGGGTCTGGCTCTCCCAGGGCTCTGGGGCACTCCTACACCGAGCAACGTCATTTCTCACCCTATTCCCGGGACAGGTAGGCTCTCACAACAGCCGATCGTCAAGCTCCGTCGCCAGGCTTGTCGTCCTTTGTGTGGCCAAGACCGTCGCATCCAACGACTCAGAGCCCTCTGCCATCCTCCTTCACAGTCGACGGAGCGCAGAGTGACGTCGTATCACCGCACGGGACGAATCCTTCAGGCGACGATGGCACATCTCTTCACATCTGATATATAGGCGGACTCATCATGTTGCTCCTGGCACTGTGATACTTAGCGAGGTGCTTCTAGCCGGCTTATTCCCCAAGTACCTGTCAATGGGATTAAGGTTGTTTTTGACAGCTTGGGCGGGGCTAATCCACAGTGCCAGACATCCTCACCCTGGATGTATCATTCTCGACGCCAGCATCTCCCACAAATCCCTCCCAGACGGCCGACTTTATGTCATGGCGTCTTGGCCAAGCTCGTTGGTTCATTGGATTTGAGGGCCCGCTTGGGTATCACTTCGCAATCCCCGGACGAGGGTGGTAGGTTGAACAAGGTATAAGTAAATAGCTGTCTCTTCCCATCCATCATTCCATCCGGCCAGCTCTGTTGACATTAAAGCCCAGTGGCTTGAGCTTGTTTTACCCAAGACTTATAGTCGATTCTTGACCATCAAGTGGCCGTCTTGGACATCTCTGGGCAGTCTTGGAATTGCTTTTCCACCGTATTGGTGGTTCCCTTTCAAGCTCTTTTGATACACCCGTAGCTACGAGACACAATTCGGTCTTGTTCCCAAAATGGCAGACACTCACCCATCCGAGAAAGACCACCGCGGCAGAGGTTCATCTGACTCCGTCTCCAAGGCCGAGGTCGACCACCACAGCCTTGCTCCCTCTGCCGACAAGCCCTCGCCCTCGGGGCCTGCAGATGAGGACTTGCGCCAGCGCCACGATGCCTCGGCCAAAATGGAAAACCCGCTCGCTGGCTTCAGCCGCGAGCAGATCACCAACCTTTCAGAGGAATTCTGCGCCCAGCACGGGTTCACCGATGACGAGGACATCCGCGCCTTTCGGCTGGGCGCTGCCATCGCCGGCAACAACTTCGAGTGGGACACGATCGATGGCCTGAGGGACGACGAGAAGGAAGCCCTTCGGATGGAAATTGATCATAAGTGGAGGTCAAATCCAAAAACCCTATATGGTGTCATAGTTGTTTGCGTAAGTCGTCCCACCCATTCATTTCCTAATACTCTTGATATATCACATTGTACGACTTATAACCCTAACCCTAACCCTAGGCCGTTTGCGCCGCCGTACAAGGGATGGATGAAACGGTCGTAAACGGCGCACAAACGTACTATAAGAAAGCGTTTGGAATCGGAGACGATAAATCAATGCGCGACTCCTGGCTTGTGGGGTTGTTAAACAGCGCCCCGTATCTTTGCTGTGCTTTCATCGGCTGTTGGTTGACCGAGCCCATGAACAAGAGATTCGGCCGCCGGGGCACGGTCTGGATCAGCTGTCTCGTCTCCGCGCTGGCATGTTTTTGGCAGGCGTTTACAAGTGGGTCCATGTCTCCTTACTGTCTAACCGTTTGTGAATGCTGATGACTTGGGTTGAAGACACTTGGTGGCATATGTTCATTGCGAGATTCTTCCTGGGATTTGGTATCGGTCCCAAGTCCGCTACTACTCCTATCTTTGCTGCTGAGTGCTCGCCGCCTAAGCTGCGAGGCGCCTTGACGATGCAATGGCAGATGTGGACGGCATTCGGAATCATGATTGGATATGTCGCGGACCTTGCCTTTTACTTCGTAAGTGTCTCTTTTTCATAAATTAGGGTAAATCAGGTGATAAAGGGGAATGGCACCATTGCTCTTAAATTTCCCCCAACAACTTATTCTTGTCACAGTTGGGGCTAACTGCAAATTCAAGGTCCCTGATCACGGTATTCCGCTGGGATTGAATTGGAGGCTCATGATGGGCTCAGCAATGATTCCCGCTGTGATTGTCTGCTGTTTGATTCCGTACGTATTGGCTTTCTTCTCTGCGCTTACCGGCCCCCACATTCTCGCCTGACAGAGAACAATCAATTCGAGCTCTGGAATAGGTAATTAACACATCATAGAATGTTTCCGGAGTCCCCTCGTTGGTATCTAACCAAAGACCGACACCGCGACGCCTACAAGGCAATATGCCGGCTACGACTAAGCAAGATCCAGGCCGCTCGCGACCTCTTCTATATGGACTTTGGCCTCAAAGCAGAGAGAGAGGCCATGTCTATCGGCAAGCAAAGTCGAATCAAGGAATTTTTGACTATCCGACGTAACCGGAATGCCATGATCGGCTCGGAAATCGTTATGTTTATGCAACAGTTCTGTGGAGTCAATGTGATCGCGTACTACTCTTCCGAGATCTTCTTGGAGGCTAACCTGCCCGAGACGAGTGCTCTGTCAGCCTCCCTCGGCTTCGGTATTATCAATTGGCTGTTTGCACTCCCGGCTGTCTATAGTGAGTTTCGCAAAGAATAACTGCAACATGGCCACGGTATTTTGGAATTGACCGCTCGCAGCTATTGACACATTTGGAAGGCGCAATTTGCTCTTGACGACATTTCCACTCATGTCTCTCTGCCGTGAGTGAACCATCAGCTCCGACTCTAAGCATCACGAGGCCAAAGCCAATGAGGTTGCTAATATTTGCAAAACAGTGTTCTTTGTAGGCTTTAGTTTCTGGATCCCGGAAGATTCCACTGCCCGGATTGCCGTAAGTAACGATTAAAATATTTGGCTACTTTTGTGCGGCCTTCAAGGCGATGCTGTTTGGCCAGGCACTTCGAGCAGTGTTGGATGCTCGAGATCCCCGCCCCCTTGGGGGTCGAACAATACCACGTTTTGCCTCCCATTCACTTTGAAAAAAGTATTTCTAACATAAAGTGCTGCAGTGTATCGCCCTCGGCATCTACCTCTTTGGAATGGTTTACTCTCCCGGCGAAGGCCCGGTGCCATTCACATACTCAGCCGAGGCCTACCCTCTTTACATCCGTCCCATCGGGATGTCGCTCGCGACAGCCACGACCTGGTTCTTCAACTTCGTTCTCAGCGTGACATGGCCGTCGCTGTTGCAGGCGTTCAAGCCGCAAGGAGCCTTTGGCTGGTATGCCGGTTGGAATATTATCGGTTTCTTCCTAGTAAGTGTCGACTCTTTTGCATTACTATCTTCATCATGATTACGTCTATTGATATCTCATGACCGTGTGGCTGACTTGTGAAACCCCCAGGTCCTGTTCTTCCTGCCTGAGACTAAGGAAAAGACTCTCGAAGAGCTGGATGCGGTCTTCAATGTGCCGCTGCGAGTGCATGCCAAATATGGACGTAAGTGGCTCAAAAGCAACCCCATTCCACAATGAGCGGGCTAGATTTGGTTTTTGTGGGAAGTTTCGGACATTAGGATTTTCTCTGGCCACCCATGACCTTACAGCCTCTTGTGTTTCTCAAAGTGAAACTCAATAGCTGACAAAGTTCCAGTCCAGCAATTCAAGTACTTCATTCACCGTTACGTGTTTTGGCGGCCCGTGGATCCGCCCGCTGTTCCTCACGATGAAATTGTACAGCATACGGGGAAGTCAATTGCTCCGAAGGCTGAGCATGACCCGACTAAGCGTGTATAAGAGTAGTGTATTATTGTGCGATCTCCTAGGAGTTTGGTTACGAGTGGAGCCTCTATTGCGGCTCGGCTTACTAGCAAGCTGAGCAAGGAATACCCCTGGATGCTTACGGCCAGCAATGGGTGCCGCGGAACGGAGCCTCCAAGTGCAAGAGTTGCGGATGGGAGAAATTGATACATGTATTTGTCTTGGGATCTAGGATGGACATACCCTGTGCACTTAATGGATTTTTAACTCGGTAGAAATCCCCAAGCTCTGCGAATTCATGACTCTTTGGGGACAAACCTGTTACACGAATTGCCCTGGAGTCTCAGCCGCCAGCCAGCCGGTAAAGAATGCAAGTACACATCTATCTGGGTACCCAAGTCTGTTGTCACTTTCCACGGCTGCTTCCAAGTCGGAAGGTCCATTCATCGACCACTGTCAGTTCAGGCAGGTAAGAGGCGAAGTAAGCCCAGATGAGTGTAGCATTTATGCGTCGTTGAGAAGTGATATTCATCGCTTGTAGTGAGAGTCCAGGAGTGTCCGCGGTCGCCGAAAGCTAGTGTGGTACCCGGTGAAGTCACCCTTTGGGCTGCTTCAATGCGTCCAACTGCCCACCGCGAGCCGAGGTAATGCACTACCAGCTGCCCGTTACAGATCGGCGCCCTCGGAATGCCGTTCATCATGCTGCATCATCGCATAAAACTTGCCGCTGGCCGACGACAGTTCTTGCCTGGGCAGCCCGCTCCTGCTCTGGAATGACCCATTGCAAATCAAAGCTGATTTAATTCCTTTTTCCTCTGTGTTAGTCTTACCACGCTCTCCGATATCAGCCTCTTACAGCCGCCGAGAGCCAGTGAACAAGCTACTCAAGATGCCGGGCTCGTCGCGGATGCCCATCAGCCTGCGGGACGGCCTCAACAGTGTGAAGAAGTCCCGCCACGGCAATCCCATACAATTTCTCAACGTTGAACTGTGAGTGATACTTCCAAGCCAGGTAGTAATCCCCCATTGCAGCCCCTAGCAGCCCATGAGGCCATGTTTTCCAGTGTTCCCAGCTTCTTTGTCCTGGAATCGCTTTCAGGACCCCTCCTTGTATAGCCGCTACGGTCCGGAGCTGTCGCAATCTCCCTGATCGCTCTTATGTTACACCGTACAGCGCGCCCCAGCGCTCTTGGGTGACCCGGCGCTTCGCCGTCTACATACTCTATGCTGAGTGGACTCTCCAGCTAACCCCGGCTCTCCACCTCCAGACTCAAGAACATAATATTCTTCTACTTCCTCCTCCGGTGGACACGGCGGTCCTTCTGGAAACTCAAGGGCCGCGGACTGGTCGGCACGCTCGTAGAGCTGTACACGGATGCGCGGCGCATCGCGTACGGTTGGTTCCTCCAGGCGCCAGGCGTGCGCACCAAGGTGAAGGCGCAGGTGGACGAGGCCAGGGCGAACCTCCAGAAGAAGCTCGTGCCCGCCAACCAGACCCGCTACCTCTCGCTGCCCAAGCAGGGCTGGAGCGATGACGACCTGCGCGCCGAGCTGGAGCGGCTGGCAAACTTGGACCACACCCGGTGGGAGGACGGCTTCGTCAGTGGTGCCGTGTACCACGGCGAGGATGCTCTTCTGCAGCTGCAGACCGAGGCGTACGGCAAGTTCACGGTCGCGAACCCCATCCACCCGGATGTGTTCCCCGCCGTGAGGAAGATGGAGGCCGAGGTGGTGGCCATGGTGCTGTCCCTGTTCAACGCGCCAGCCTCTGCCGCGGGTGTGTCAACGTCCGGTGGCACTGAGAGTATCCTGATGGCCTGTCTGAGTGCCAGGCAGAAGGCCTATGTGGAGAGGGGCGTGACGGAGCCAGAGATGTAAGTCTTGTTGTACCTACCAGCTTACCCCCAAGTCAGAGGTGTTCGTCGGAGCAGCCCCGCTAACGAGCATGGTCACAGGATCCTCCCCGAGACCGCGCACACGGCGTTCCGTAAGGCGTGCGAATACTTCAAGATCAAGATGCAGCTGGTGCCATGCCCGGCGCCGAGCTACCAAGTGGATACGCGGCGAGTGGCGCGGCTGGTGAACGCCAACACGATCCTGCTGGTGGGCAGCGCGCCCAACTTCCCGCACGGGATCATGGACGACATCGCGGCGCTGTCCAAGATCGCGCTGCGACGGAAGATCCCGCTGCACGTGGACTGCTGCCTGGGGTCGTTCCTGGTGCCGTTCCTCGACAAGGCGGGCTTCGAGACGCAGCCGTTCGACTTCCGGCTGCGCGGGGTGACGTCCATCAGCTGCGACACGCACAAGTACGGGTTCGCGCCCAAGGGCAACAGCACGACGCTGTACCGCACGGCGGAACTGCGGGCGTACCAGTACTTTGTGATCCCGGACTGGTCGGGCGGCGTGTACGCGTCGCCGGGGTTCGCGGGGTCGCGGCCGGGGGCGCTGATCGCGGGGTGCTGGACGAGCATGATGAGCGTGGGCGAGGAGGGGTACCTGGACGCGTGCGTGCAGATCGTGGGGACGACCAAGAAGATCGCGGAGCGGATCCGCGACTCGCCGGTGCTGGCGGCGGAGCTCGAGGTCATGGGGCGGCCGCTGGTGTCGGTGGTGGCGTTCACGGCGCGCAACCTCAACATCTACGACATCGCCGACGCCATGACGCAGCGCGGCTGGCACCTCAACTCGCTGCAGGAACCGCCCGCCATGCACGTCGCCGTCACCATGCCCATCACCAAGGTGTGGGAGAAGCTCACCGACGACCTCGAGGCCGTCATCGAGGACGAGCGCGAGAAGGAGCGCGTGCGCATCGCCCAGGGCAAGGGCGCCAGGGGCAAGGCCATGGGTGACTCGGCCGCTCTGTACGGCGTCGCCGGCAGCCTGCCCAACAAGAGCATCGTGGTTCAGCTGGCCAGCGGCTTCTTGGACACCCTGTACAAGGCATGAAACCTGTACAAGGCATGAGGCGGAGCGGTACGGAGGGGAGAGAAGGCAGATGGGTAGGTTCGATAAGAGATTGGTAGGGAGGGGCAAGGGAAGGGAAACGATTTCATCAATTTCAAGCTGGGAGCATCTGCATGGCAAGGCACAACATGGACACTGTCGTTCTTAGACGGGCATCTCTTTCAGGTCATCGTACCTGTGTTATGTATACATAAACACATACAATCGAGAACGCAACCGAGCAGGGCGAATTGGTCGGCGTTGGGGGCATATTTCAGTTCTGCCCTCAGCCACCAACACATACATATCAGGAGGAGAAAACCCACTGCAGTTTCTGCAGGCAGTACGGTTACAACTGAAACAGCAAAGATTTTATGCTGCACATCTATCAGGAGTTTGTCCCTTCAAGAATGCTCTGTGTTGTATCTAGCTCTCTCTGCTCTCTCTGCTCGCAGCTCAATGAGGGTTGGCTTGTGCCTGTTCCATCTGACAACCACCTGTAGACGCTGGAGATACCACCCAGGCAACATTCTTCTTCGTCCATGCCTATCCCAGCTATTTCGTATCTAGTAGCTAAGTAGCTAAGTCGTTGTTTTGTTCTGTCTTGTCCAGTCCGGGTCCTGTCCTGTCCTCTCTCCTTGTTTTGTTCTCTCTCTTGGACCTTGAACAGTGATCACGATGCACCGCGAGCTCTTGATATCAAGCAGCCAAGACCGCCCCTCGTGCTTAGGCTTTTTTCCTTCCCTCTCAACAGGCAGGTGCCCTCTGACATAGACGGTGGGTGGGGGTCACCCTTTCAGTTATCCACGGGTCCTCCTTTCCTTTCGTGATCGAGGTCGGAAAACAGACACTTTCCCAGTGCTGCCTGTCCATGGCTGACCCTCTGTCTTCCCATTCCCCACCGGCTCGAATCAAACCGGAATATTACACTACTGCCTCCTCTTCTTGCATCATCGTCATTACACCCTCTTGTCCGTACCGGATGCGAAGCTTCCCTCCATACTCGCCGTCAAGCTTGAAGCATGAATACCAAAACAGACCTACAGGTCAGCACCCCGGTCTCGAAAGTGTCCCATGCCAGGGTCACTCTGCTTCACCACTTCCTCCACGTCCCCAACTTGCCTCCTCTCAGAGATCTCAAGCTGATGCGGGCTCTTCAGCCGCTTGTGCAAAATATATCTCAAACCCATCGTCAATCCTCGAGACCTTGCATCCGAATCCCTCATGACTACTGATTGCTATTGCAATGGCTCCGACGAGCTCGACAGTCTGTTCAGATGCAGGTACACGTCTGTGCCGTACCTGTTTCACGGGAAAAAAAAGATTTGTGTCAGCAGCCTTGTCTCTCTTTCTCATCATCACCGGCGCCCTCCGGCCTGTGTGATACTGGGGCTGACTCACCCTTCCATGCTGATCAGTTTCAGATCGCCTCCGAAGTACCGCGCGTACAGTCTCGATATGGGCAAGCCGTAACCGAAACCCGCCATTGGCGCTTTGAAGTCGCTCTTGTCGAAGTCGGGGTCCAGGCTCGGGGTCCTGTCCACGGTCGTGTACATGTACGTCCACACCAGTGGTATCGCGCTGCGCGGGATGCCGCCGCCCTCGTCCGAGATCTTGATGGTGATGTCCTCCTTACCCTCGGCCACGATCACCTTGGTCACGGGGAACTCCTGCTTGTCCTGGCCATGCGTCTCGACCACGGCTCGCAGCGAGTTCTTGAGGGTCTCGAACAGCATGTGGCTCAAATGTCCGGGGACGTACATGAAGTTCAGGTTGGGGTTGCACACGAGCTGTATCTTGGGCGCCTCGAACAAGCCATAGTGGTCCTCACACACAAACCTTGCATTCTCGATCGCCTCTTGAGCCAGGTCTTGCACGTTGGTCTTTGTGCAAATTATGCCGACATAGTTTGGGTCTGTGTAGTGACTCTGGTCGGTCAGGGCGATGTGCTGGCCGATGAGCATGCGGATGCCGATGCGCGACATGTAGAAGCGGTCCAGGAAAGACTGGATCGTGCCGTCGATCTGCATGCGTTGCCTTTTACGCTTATACTCGAGGATGCCCTGGGCCATGGTGGTCACGACGCCGTCATGACGCCGCTTGATCTTGTGCAGGGTCTGGGCAAATTTCTGGTTGTACAGATGCAGATCCGGGGGCCAATCGCCGCTGTCGTCGACCATGGCAAAGTACCGCCGTGCAGCCTGGTACTTCTTGGCCCAGCTTTCTCTTCCGTTGCCATTCGCTTGTGGCATCGACGTGTACTGGCCCTCCTCGATGCTTGGGTTCGGTGTTGCTTCCGGCAGCATCTGGCCTTTTCCGAGGGACTTGCCGGGGCGCATTAACCGCTCGCGCACGTCTTTGGGGAGCTGTGGTCGTGGAAGGTCGGTGATTTCCTGTTGTACCGCGGAGGGGCATGTGAGTCACCATGAACTTGCACATGGCCAAAGGGGGGAAGGGCTTGGGCATGCCACATACTTCAAATGACTGTGCATACCAGTCATGAACTTTTTTCACGGACGGCATCTCACTGAGACCATCGGGGAGGGTCTCGAGCTCCTGAACCCTGTGGGCCAGTCTTATGGGGAGTTCCTCGGAGAGGAACTGGGAGGCGCGGAATAGGGTCCCTGCAGAGAGAGAGAGACATGAGCATTTGGGCCGTCAATTGGCTCGACGGCGTGCAAAGTCGACACAGGCCAAAGGCATTGCAAGAACTCACCGACAGAGGGTCTCTCGCCGAATTGGACCATCTGGCGCAAGCTGACGCCGGTTGCTGGGAAGGAGGCATAGTGACGGATAGTATCCATCAGCTTCTCGGTCTTCCGCCACGACATCTTGACGGGTTGAGCGTGGATGCCCACGATTGCCTGAGGGACTTGTTGTTTGCCTATGATTGCCTCATGGACGACCAGTGCTGTCCCGGAAACGCGCTGGTTGGGCGGGGTTCTGAAGGAAGGGATCTCGAGTCCTCGTCGAAACTGTGCAATGGTACTGCGCAGTGAGGAAGTGCACCCTTAGCCGAGGCAACGCCGGGAGTTATCGATATGGAGAAGTATGGGAATGACGCAACGCTAACTTGTGGAGGAACGGGGGTCACGAGAGCTGAGAGCTTTGGGCTTGGGAGGTCCTAAAGGCCCACGGGTCATGAAGTTTCCGGGAGTCCCTATGAAGATGGCGGGGACAAAAATTCAAGGAGGAATTGAGATGTTCCTGAGCCTTGTCGGTGCCCAGAAAGGGTGCGTCTTGGTTCGGTGAAGAGAGGGCAGAAAGCTTAAGAGCGGCTCGGCTGGCTCGTTCGCAGACCACATAGTCTACCGAAAGGAGCTCAAGTACAGTGCACGCCCGGCATCTGGGGCAAGCATCTGGACAGTCCCGCTCGCTGCTCGCCGCTCACGTCACGTCACCTCACCTCTCTGGCTACTGGACTTCTGTTACAGTACGGACGTGCTTTGGGTACCTGGAATGTTACGCCTGGGAGTGCGCCAAAGAGGGTTACCCGTACCTATCACCCAACCTGCGTGGGTGGCCACGGCCTCGTGCCCAGCTGCATGCAGTACCTATCAATGCAGGCGCCCGGGTTCCTAGGTAAGCTTGAGGTCACCCCACAAAGCAGCGGGCAACGGCAACCTCAAAAATGCCTGGGTGCCGGGCGATGCGACGGTGACAGGGGAAAGGAGCTCCATGTTTCCGACTCGACCTCACAGGGGCGGCGGGACCCCACATGAGTGCATTACCGGCCGCTGGACCATTACTACGCGGTGGCTAGCCTGGCAGGCCTAGGTATCACAACAACACTCATGCAGCAGCCAAGAGCCGTGATGAGGACAGGCGACACCACCAAGTCTCTGACCACTGACTCAAGTGAGCTCCAACGGCTGCTCAAGCTTGTGTACTGACTGATGTCAACCACGACTACGGTTGAGGCCTTTTTAGAGCCATCTTGCCCGGGGGGACTGGCCCGGGCGGGCCAGACAGGGAGACATCAACGAGCCTCTGCATCACATGCCAGAAAGCCGTTCAGCCGGTTTGTATCGACACTCACAGGGCGAGACCTTCCTAGCACAACGCCCACCCTTGCGACGGCGCTCATCCTTCCCGACAATGTCGCTGGGCATTCAGCTTGCTGGTATAAACACCTGTCTCTGGCATGATACATGCTCTCTGGTGGCGGTATTGCCCTGATGAATGCTTACATAGTATATGATCACATTAATATGTGTATGCAGTAGCTCTACTAGAAGTCTAAACAGTGACACACTATTTTCGGACCCTGGTGGGGTGATGTGATCGACATGCACCAGGGAGGTCAAGCTGGGCAGAAACAAAGGACAGAGAGAGCTCCCCCCTTGCTCGTTCACTATGTGTGTCGGCCAAGCCCGCCTTGGGCCATCTGCCCATCCCTACAGCACTCTTGCGGCGCACACCAGGACAGACTGGTGACACAGCGCAACTGCTCACCCAGTCTGAAGGCTCGAATATGCCCAAGTGAGGAAAAAACTTTTTCTCAAATATCAGATGTCGGGCGATAGGAAGTCGTCCTTCTGCAGATGAAGCTGCAGGGCGGTGCGGCTGCAGGGTGGTCCAGACTCGGAGCCGCTGCCATCATACCACATCAGTCCATCTCGCTTTGGGCCGTTCTGGAAAACAGACCCGTAATAATATTGTTTCCCATTCACCACTCAGGGGCTTGCCAATCTACCATGTCACATCTGCGAAATTCCGATAATGCCTCTCGCCGTGGTCTGCACAGATCTCACGGATTATGTCCGACCAAGCCTCGCCGCGTGGTGGTGCTAGCCAGAGCTTCCTGCTTGTGCATGGTCTGATTTCCATCTACGAACAACTTTCTCGCGACAGGAGCGACGTCACACCTGCAAGCTCTCAACGCGGTCCTGCAGGTACCCACTCCTGCACTCACCATCGCGGCTTCTACGGCGACGACCACCACCACGATGCCCCTGGCCTGGAACCATGAACTTCCACATATCACCCCTCTCCCCTCTGCGGCCGCAGTTCTCCGGTTCTCTCAGCCCAAGCCCCAGCGCCGCCCGCCGCTACAGCCCCTCCGAGCCCGATGACACGAACCATGACACGGTGGGTCTTACCGGCCATCCCAAGATCGAGGTGGACGGCGTAGAGGCCGACGACGAGATGGCCAGCACCACAGGCTCCGACTCGGACATGACAGCCGACGACATTACACAGGACAGCAGGGATGTGCTCGTGCAGCGGCTAAACGACCTCGCCCAGCGCCTCAGCGGCGCCAACGTGCGGACCGAGAACATCGAGGCACTGCACGCGCAGGTCGACGCGATGGAGAAGGTGCTGTCGCGGCGCCACAGGAGCCCGAACCGGCTTTCCTCTGCGCGCCGGAGCGCGTCTCTGCAGCCCGGCTCGCGGCCGAGGTCGCTGGTGCTGCCGACCGGGAGCGACGGCCGCGACGCGCTGGGGATCATGGCGCCGATGAGCCCGTCCTGGCTCAAGTCACACTTCCAGAGGCGCCCGTCTATGCACGGCGAGAGGGACGAGACCTCGGACCTTCACAAGGCCAGCCCTGTGCCGCCGTCGGCGCGACAATACCAGCCACCGACTGAGCAATCGGGGCTCATGCATGCCAATGCGACACCCACGGGCGGTAGCTCGCCTAAGATCTCGTCCGAGATGGCCGATAGCATCGTCATGGAGGCCGAGGCCCTGTGCGCCGAGATGTCGACTGTGATAGAAAGCCTGCAGAAGCGGCGCGAAGAGTCAGATGTGATTCCTTCCCTTGATTCCCTAAAACTCGTCCCTGCGCTGCCTCTCCGTTCCTCTCTTCCGAATTGTTCCCTCGATATCGCACCATTTGCCCCCCTTCCCATCCCCAACTTATCCCTAAAGCTCACAACTCTCACATATGCTGACCCTTTTCCCGCACCAACAGCATCTACACGCAGTATCTGTCCAGCGAGAGGAAGCTGCAAATGAGCGACTGCGCGAGCAGGCAGCCCGAATCGACGAGCTCGAGGCGGCGGTCGCAGAGGACGAGTCGGAGCTCCGCTACCTGAAGATCCAGCTGCGCGGCATCGAGGCCCAGTGCGCGGGTTACATCCCTAGGGGCGCAGACCCGGAGCTGGACGAGAGCATCCGCTCCTGGAAGAGGGACTGGGCCACCCTCAGGGACAAGTGGGCCACTAGGAGGGGCACTTCGTTCGCGAGTGGTGACGAGTCGGGCTCGTTCTCCAATGTGACGAGTCCTTCGACGCGGGGATGAGGCTATAGAGGTGAAGGGATGAAAGAGGGGGGGGGGCGCACATATTTATACTACTTCAGGACGGGATGAGCTTGATTGATACCCATTGATTGATTTTGTTAATTGCGAGGGCAGAGGGCTGGCATGGTGGCCCGAGTATATCATAGATTCGCACACAGTGCTGGGCCCGGACAGGAGTTTCCTGGGATAAAAGCCTCAATCAGCCAGAGATAATTTATTCGCGGCGCCGCAAATTGCTCCGATGAGAGCGTGTCCCCAGCAGGTTGGTATGTTGCGTTAATGAGTTTAACATCGCACATGAGGCCGAGGAACCATTCGCAGGTATCATTGGAAATTTCAAGAGTGACTCCTTGGCCGTATACAAAACATATCAAGCATGTGAATATGAAATCTAGCCCCCTTTGCCCCCGTCCGAGTCTGCTTGGTTGACGTGAAGCCCTTGCTATCCACCATCCAAGGGAACAAAGTGCTCTGCCAGTTGCTCCCAGACGCCCATCCCCAAATGCTGCGTGAACACCACCCCATTGTGAAAAGAAAAGTCGCCGTGAACGCCGAGTCATATTCAGGCCTCAGAGTCTGGAGACACACAATGCGCACTTCCTGGAACGCCCGTGACAGAGGATGCGATTTGCTATGCCGAAAGCTGGGGAACATGTCCCCCTCCGTCTCATCTTACTGGCTCCTATAAGCTGATCTCCAGACCGATGCGTACGGCTCCGCCTCGGTTTCGCAGGTGGGTTTCTTAATCGACTTGGCGCATTTTACGAAGCGTACGGACAGGTCCCCCGTGGAGTACTCCTGGCCCTTCTCCGACTTGTCGTATGAGTTGATGACACGCTGAGGAACGAGGGCCAAGTTCGATAGGATCGTCGGGTGCCACTGCACGATGTGTTCCTGCACAGGCTGGTTAGTAGACGCTCTCATTGCTGCTTTCCCTGCAGATAACAGGTCTGCTCACCAAAGCATGCGTCTCCGCCTTTTGGAAGTTGTAGCTCCTATACGTGGGATCGAACCACGTCTCAAGGAAGAAGCGCGACCACTCCGAATTCCGGATCAGCCAGCTGTTTGTAGCCAGGCCGTCCTTGTCCTGTGTCACCACAAAGTCCACGTCCTCAGCCTTGAGATGGCTGAATGTGTGGATGATGCTGTCAGGCGGCACGACGGGCTTGTCCACGATCATCATCGCTTCGAGCTTCGCCGCTGACATGATGTCGCGCTCGATCGCTAGGGCGGGGTTCATGATGAACGTGTCGATGTCGACGTACCAGAAGTAGGTGGCGTCGGGGAATTTGGTGAGGGCGTGGCGCATCGCGACGACCTTCGTCCAGGACGCGGGCGCGCCCTTCAGGTCGTATTCGCCAACTTTGGGAAAGAATGTCTCGTAGCCTGGGCAAAGCCTGTCAGCCTGGTTCTCTAGATCATTTCTCCGTCTTCCAGCGACACCGTCCGCTGCTAAAGCATCCATCATGTTCTCTCGACATACCGTGTTTCTCCGCGTAGAGTCTCCTGTTTTCCTTCACCAGATCTGTGTATCTCTCACCAAACCTCTTTTCATCCACGACTGTCACTATCACTGTGGGCGGCTTCCCTGACGGTACGTGGTTCGCCATCCCTATGCTGCCGCTCCTCCCGCCGTGCTGTGAGCTGCCACTGCGTGTGAGCAGCCATATTAAACCGATGAGAAAGAGTGCTGCTCCTGCGAAGGCCTGCGATCGGTATCGCCGTGGTATCGAGAAGCCTAAGCCATAGCGCGAAGAGCTGCTGCCGCGGGGGAGGAATGGCTGGGCGTTTGAGGATTTCCTCTTGGGATATGGTAGATGCATTATCTATTATGTGTGTCCGAATTGGAGCATGCGGCGGGTGGTGAGGGGACTTCGGTGGGAGTTGTTCGCAGTCAGTCAGTCAAGGCGACCACGAGAGCCAGCCAACCCCTGAGGGCTGGGTAGCAAAAGCAACGACTTTCCAACGAGTGGCGATAGCGGGCGGAGAGATGCAGCCAACGAGTAGACGGCGCTGTCGTGATTGCAAATGGCAATCGAGAAGGTTGGTCTCGTATCCGTTGGTATGGTCGTCCGATGAGTGAGTAAGCTGCACGGGTTGAAGCACAAGCTTCCTCGTGCGCTGTGTTCTGGACGGGCAGTTCTTCGCGACCGCGCCAACTCGGAGAGCAGCTCAATCAAATTGTGAAGCAAGAGCACGCGACAAGCAAGACGATATTGCAGCACGTGTGTTGTTGCAGCTGCTCGCGAGGGACGGGTCGATCAAGTTGTGGGCGACGTGTTTGGGAAACGACAGGTGGTGGGTTAGGTCTCACGGGAGGATGAGTCCAAGTCCAAATCTAGACGCTCAACGGGCTGGAAATTGCCGAGACTTTAAGCTCGCCCTCGACACGGAAATTACGACGCGGCTTATAGTTGCGTACATAAGTGCAGGGCGTCTTTAATCGGCTGCCCGCTGGTGACATGTCTTCCTGTCTACGACATGCCTCCGCCAAAAAAGCTGGGATGAACCACGATGTAGTCGCGAAGCCGTTTGTCGCATTGCATTAAGGTTTGGGCGACCAAGGGGCAGCCCCTCGAACGAACGGACCCTGGGATTCGGAGTAGTCTAGATCCACACCTACATCTTTACCCACCTAATGGACCCTTAAGCTAGATCGATTGAAGGCTAGGACTAACATGGAGATGCATCCATCAGGTGCCTAGCAGGTCAAGAGAAACTACGGAGGCTATCCCACGGGAACTTATTCCACATGAGCTTATTCTATACAATATTATACCACAACAGGTCACACTATGACACTGTCCTCGAGGACTTTGTGCTAGGGAGGTCGTTATTGGTCTATCGCAATGGCCATGATCCTAGCCAGAACCAGCTACCGCTGACAGTAAACTCAGTTAATGTACATAGAAACATTTCACTTGGGGAGGTCAACTAGAGTGTTACTCGGCACAAGACGAAAGACTCAATTATTTATTTGATTACAATCAAACTGGATGATGATCCAGGAAAACTGTGGGAAAATACCGCTGTATCTCAGAGGCTGTCTCACTCGCTTACTGGCCGATACAACACCAATTGTCTTCTGAAGCCTTCTTTGGGCATGCTTCACCAAGCTCGCGAGCATTACGATGGTAAATGTGTCAGCAATAGCCAGCCTAAGCCTTCATCAGGGTGACCGAGAGGTCTGAAGAGTAGGTGTTGATTCAGACACGACCCAAAGGCCGGCCCGAGAGGCTCGAGTTGACATGCTCGTACTGATCCCATGTTGGAAAATGAACAAGACGCCCAGTATCCTAGGTAGTAACGAAGCTTTAATCTTTGCACACAGACTAGTTGACACAGCGCGGAAGAGCAGGTCCGAGGCAACTTAAGAGCGTGCATGTTGCATTTGATGAGCTTTGCAAAGAGTGATTCGCTGCGGTTTGGGATTGGGAGCGCGCTGGAAGGTCTCACTGGTCCTTCTTGGACTCTGCCTGCGGTTCTTGGTCCTCATCTTCGTTGTCGTCATCTCCAGGAACGTCAATGATATCATCGCTGACTTGGCTGAGGTATCGCGCACACGCCGCACTGACGCCTTTCCAAACAGCCTGTGCAAGGTCAGCAAATGCTCAATTTGAGGCGCAAAGAGGAATTTGGGAGCAGTGCAGACAGATGTGCATACCCCTATGAATGTGGCAACTCCGATGAAGACCAGAACCCAACTGACATTCTCGAGCCTGTCCCTGCCTCTTCCTCGTCTGCCGCCACCGCCTCTGAGATTTATCCAGTGCAAAGGGCCGAACCCGAGAAACACCTTGACGAGGCCCACAAGTCCCAGGGATACAAGGCCCTTCGAGAAGTGCATGAACCAGGTGTTTGCTTCTTCGTCGGGAATGTATTCTAGTATTTCTTCGAATCCATCAAGCCCTCCTCTCATGACGTCCGAAACAGCCCCAGCAGGGTCTACCCAGATGTTGATGATAGGATCGGCGACGAAGCCTAAGATAAACAAGGCCAGAACCATGATGACTGCAGTCAGAAACGCACGAAGAATTCCGCTGTTGAGCCACCTTGACCATCTGAGGTTGGATACTCTGTACTCATATTTGCAGGTCGGACATTGCCAAAGGTTTCGATCTGAAGGCGAGGCTCCTCTCCAGGCCCGGAGACAGCCCTCGTGGACATATTGCTGCGATCCTTTGCACTTGCAAGGACGCATGAGCCTGCCCAGCTCAGGGTCCTCTGAGACATATCTCACACGCGGCTTCCCTCCAAACAGGTTTGGAGTCTCAAACGTTGGCTCGACCTCGTCTAGGCAGATCCTGCAGGTCCGAGGCTGGTAGCGTCTGTGGGTCCGCGAAGACTCCTCCTCGGCGGCTTGCGCACTACCACCATGCGCAGGCTCATCGCCAAAAGACGAGGTTGGATCCGACGGTATCGGTTGAGGGGTAGTCTCCCTAGAAGGCGTGCGGGCGTTATCGAAAGACCATGTCGGTTCGGAAGCGAGTGGTTCGGACATGACGAATGCGGTACCAAGTGCGAAGAAGGAAATGAAAGGACGCTGTGAGTAAAAGTAGAAATCTGTGAAAGAAGTGCGTGTTGGCGCTTCGGAAGTTCAGAGTGAGCAGCTTGGGGTCATCTTCAACCGAATGAGCCGGCTCTCGACCTAGGGGCCGTGCTGTTCATAAAGGCGACGCGAGGTGAGGACTAGTCGAGCATTCAAGAGGAAGTGATGGCTCGATATTACAAGAGTTGTTGTTCGCGAACTATGGGCGCATAAGCCGGAGTGAATACTGTACCGATTGCGCTCGAGTTTTGCGTGAAATGAAAGTTCAGGTTGTTGAGCTTTTCGAGAGCTTTGACTTGACACCACGCATCTCCAGGATGGGTGGGGACCTAGGGTGTTAGGTAAGCTACTACCCCTGTGCCTTTGCCTAGCCTTGCCTGCCCGCCTGCCCCAGGGCTGGCGCCCGGCCGGGGGAGCTACCTCCAGCAGGTTGACGCGTGTGGACTCCTGCCTGGGTGGTCGCAGCTGCAAGTCCAACATCACCGAGCTAGCTTCAGTTGCGGTCGTCCATCTCTCTTCCACCCAAGAACCTTCAAGGACCTCCAAGGACCGCCGAACAGCCCGCCCACCGTACTCGAACCTCGCCAGTGTCTAATTAGCAGTCATGGCTGATAGATACTCCTTCTCTCTTACCACTTTCTCGCCCAGGTGAGCTCAGTCGCATCCCAAGCTCCCACTGCATAGACGTTTGTACTGACACAGAGGACAGCGGCAAGCTGGTGCAGATCGGTCAGTTATCACCAGTCGCTGAGACAAATCGGGGTCGCACATGATGCCTAAAGCTGAACGATCACTGATTTCTTCGAACAGAGTATGCCTTGAACGCAGTCAACCAGGGCGTTACAGCGCTCGGCATCAAGGGTCAGTGCTCTCCGCTCCCATCTACCCAGGCGGCAGCTTTGGAACTGACATGGCTGTGCAGCCACGAATGGCATCGTCCTCGCCACTGAGAAGAAGTCCTCCTCGCCCCTCGCCGATCCCTCCTCACTGTCCAAGATCAGCCTCGTCACCCCAAACATTGGCATGGTCTATTCGGGCATGGGTCCCGATTACAGAGTCCTGGTCGACAAGGCACGGAAGGTCTCACACACCGACTACAAGCGCATCTACAATGAGTACCCTCCCACAAGGATATTGGTGCAGGACGTCGCGCGGGTCATGCAGGAGGCCACTCAGTCAGGAGGTGTTCGGCCGTACGGTGTGTCCTTACTGATCGCGGGATGGGATGAGGGTGTTCTGCCTGAGGAAGAGGTGGAGAAGGCGGCCAAGTCAATCGAGGGTGAGAGTGGGGAGAAGAAGATCTCTGGCAAGACTGGAGGTATCCTCAAGGGAGGCCCAATGTTGTACCAGGTTGATCCATCAGGAAGTTACTTCCCCTGGAAGGCGACAGCTATCGGCAAGAGTGCGACCTCGGCGAAGACATTCCTCGAGAAGCGGTACACGGAGGGTTTGGAGTTGGAGGATGCGGTGCACATTGCGCTGTTGACGCTCAAGGAGACGATTGAGGGTGAGATGAACGGAGACACAATCGAGATTGGTAAGTCAAATTTTCCAGGGAGGTCACATGTACGGATTCTGTGCTAATTCCTATGTACAGGTATTGTCGGACCACCAGCAGACCATCTCCTCGGCGTGGAGGGTGTTGAGGGCGCAAAGGGCCCACGTTTCCGAAAACTGAGTCCCCAGGAGATTGAGGACTACCTTACGAACCTATGATTTGATACCGCCTGATGCCACGCGGATGTTACGATTGTACCATAGAACAGATGCATAGAAGGCAATGGACCGGAAAATGATGCCAATGATCTGTGTTTTGTTGCTAGATTGCTCCCTTGTGAACCAAGAGAAACGAGTTCCTTGCTCCGGCTTGCACTCCAACGACTCCTCGCCCGTCCTTCAAACCCAGCTCGACCCGGCTCCATGATTCTTCTGACTTGCTCGGCAGGCCTAGCTGCCCGTTTCCGTTCTCGCCAATGACAAAGACGTCGCCTTCTGTCGTCAAGACGATGATGTGTGTCTCGCCAACAGTGACGTCCACAATGTCCTTCTCTTCGATATCGATGGGCGTTGGTTCGTCGGTGATGTCCGCTGGAACGGTCTTCCTGCCGGGATGGCCTCCCCAAAGGTACAGATCGTTTCCGGTTGTCAACGCTGCCAGTATGTATCCGCCAGCACTTATTTTGGCGATAGGCCCCGTGGGCAAGTCTTGGAGGGCAGTGACCAGGCCGGGCTCGTCCGCCGGGCTGGCTGGGGATGTTTCCCGGCCGAGACAGGCGGAGTACCGCTCATCGCCCAAGGTATAGACCTGGCCGGTGTGCGTCAGAGCCGCGAAGCCGGTTTCATATGCCACGACTTGTTTACACGGCGGAAGCTGCGGGAATGTCTGACCCTTATCCTGGCTCAGGAATCTATCGAGCGACTGATACCACCGAACGGAGCCGGTCTGATCAAGGACTGCCTGTTTGGTAATGTAAGCTTTGGCGGCCCATCTAAGATTGCATGCCCAGTAGTTTGCGTACAACGGATCCGTTCGATGCCTCAGCGAGCATATGATCTGATAGGAAATCCTTGCCCCATAGTGGTGCGTGAGCCATGGGCAGGTAGCCTGCGGTTCTCGCTCTGCCGTCGACGACCACTGAACGTACTCAAGAGTAAGTAAATACTGCAAGACAGTGAATTGAGGTCAGGGCGTGTCGACCTCCTGCCAAGCTTGTTTCAGAAAACATGCTGAAATACAACTGCAAGAAGGCCACATGACGACGACAAACAACTATTAGACTCTGTCTATTCTAAAGGGTCAGCAGCCTACCTGTAGTATGTGACAAGGATGTTCGCGGGCGCCTGATGGCATCCCCCGTTAGCACGCGGGTAAATTTGCGCAGGTCATCTGGCTCTGCGCGGCTCTCCGAGCCGTGGAATTGAAGTTGGCCCCAGGCATTGAAACCCGATGCGTACAACTCCATTTGCCAGGGTTGAGTCTGAGCAGTCAGTAATATGTGTGGGTGTTGTCAGTGGCATGGAGACTTTTTGGTGAATGTGGTTTGTGCTGCTGGTTTGCAAATTGAATGCCCAGATACTGGGCCAGAACCCGTTCATTGGGATTGCAAGTGGTCGGGTGATTCACCAAGAACGAGCTTAAGCTCGGGTGTCCGCTTCATGAATGAATAAAAGGAAAGAGGGCTACAGGATAATCAGCTATGGGGTAACCTCATGTGGGATAACCTCATGTGGGATAATCTCTTGTGGGATAACCTCAAGTGGGATAATCTCTTGTGGAATAACCCTTCACAGTTCCAACAAGCTTCACGGCCGGTCATACGTCGCGCACACTGAACCCCGTCCCACAAGTAGCACACCAAAACCAGCTTGACCTAGGTAGACTAGTTCCTTTTGAGGAATTAGACCTCCTTTCGTATAAGTTCCCGTAGGCCAGACTCCTGCTACTTATTTGATACAGTACATTTTGATATGAATTATACCAGAGTTTGCATATCAGGATGTCGCTGAATGAACCCTAGCCAATCTTCGGCTTCTCATGTATCTGTGTCTGCACTGCAACGTTTCGGACCCCTGGATGCTGCACGGTAGCTTTCCATACAAATCGTGACTGCAGCCTCCCTTCCAAGTCCTGTCACTGCAATGTATATTCACCAAACGAAGCCATCGGGGTTTGACGTGACTGGAGACGGTTGGTCCTTCCCGACCTGTCAAGGGTTGAGTGCAGCGGCGCATCGAGGAAGGAGTAGGCCTCCTGCATCTCAGAACCCACCGGCCTCGGATGTGCAGCTCTATTTCACACACCTTGCCCCCAACGATGGGCGTCGGCTCGATTCCTCTCTGCTTCTCTCATTGTCATTATGACTGCTGCTCACTTCTCTGTATAATCAGCAATCTTGACAATTTCTGCCACTTCTACATCACCGGGACTGCCCCTTAGCAGAGCGCCGGGTGACAAACGACCCTCTCGCAACTGACCATCGCATTCTGCACTGCCTTCTCACTAAATCCGTCAAGTGACAGTCATGGCGCACTACAGCGACTCTTCCGGATCGTCCGAAGATCTCGATGATGCCATCAACGAGGCCCTGGCGGCGGAGGATCCGTTAGGCTTGTCATGGCAGGCAGAGTCTGAGCCAGACGAAGTTCTCGCAGGGGATTCAAAGGATCCTGTCAGTATGACTTCAAGAGCTTATCAATTGGAGATGCTCGAAGCTTCTCTCAAGGAGAACACCATTGTCTGCATGGAGACGGGTAGTGGCAAGACACAAATGTAAGTTGCCCCACGATGCAGTAGCGTTTCTTTTCGCCGGGCTGATTTATTCTCGGCTCAGCGCTGTCTTGAGAATAAGAGCAGAACTCGAGAGGATGCCCTCTGAAAAGGTATCAAACGCTACCGAAGTCTACCCCGTTCTGCTACTGGGGCCTTGCTAATCGCCTTACCAGCTGATCTGGTTTCTGGCGCCGACTGTGTCCCTTTGTGCTCAACAGTCCGGCGTCATCAAGACCCAGATACCGTCTATACTGTCCAAAATAGTCACTGGATCCGACAAAGTAGACAGCTGGTCCAAGTCCACTTGGGAGGGTGTGCTCTTCAACGTCAATCTGGTGGTTACAACCCATCAGGTGTTGTTGGACGCACTAATGCACGGATTTGTGCATATATCGTCACTTGCACTGATCATTTTCGACGAAGGTAATACGATCCCCAATTGCTGCAGACGTTTTCGGTTCACTGATTATATGTGCAGCACACAACTGTACCAAGAAGCACCCTGGCAGCAGGATCATGAAAGAGTTCTACTGGGAGGCAAAGGATGAAGATAGACCTGTTCCTTATATACTGGGGTTGACCGCAAGCCCTGTGATCAGATCGGACATCTTCAGTCTTGAGGACTTGGAAAATACACTCGACGCAATATGTCGAAGCCCAACAAGGCACAGGGAGGAGTTGTTAGCACACACACAGCGTCCATTGATGTTCCACGTTCAGTACAAGTCTAAGTCGAGGATACTTCGGAACGAGTATACGGAGTCTATCTCTAAGCTCCACAACGCTTTCGCAAACCTAGACATCAAGGAAGATCCGTATATCCAGTGGCTCTGCGCGCAAGGCACCGATCGTTCCAAGAGAAAGCTCTACGACGCCGTCATGAAGCAGGAGACCTACATTCAACGGACGAAGAGGGCATTTTGCCGGAGAAGCGCAGAAATCTGTCGGGACATGGGAAGCTGGGCAGCGGACTGGTATATCTTCGAAGCTATCAGCCGTTTCCTGGACGGAGTCAAGAAGCAAGGTGTTACCAGCCAGAGCTATAAGGATGCTGAGGTGGTTTACATGGCCCGAGTCTTTCAAAACGCCAGGATCGATCCCCCAATGGGGTCCTACGACGATTCAGCTCTTTCACAGAAGTTGCGACAGCTGATTGATGTTCTCATCAAGTACCAAGGCGATGCTAGGGGCATCATCTTCGTGAAAGAACGGGCCACCGTAGTGGTGATAGCACACTTACTCAAAATTCACCCGGCGATTAGCAAACGATATCTGATCGGTACGATGGTCGGAACGTCCTTTGTACCAGGTGTCAAGCAAGACTTCCTTGACCTGGCTGAAAAGAACTACAATATTTCACTGGAGGAATTTCGTGCTGGTCGCCTCAACCTTCTCGTGGCAACCAGCGTTCTGGAGGAAGGTATCGATGTCCCGGCATGCAACCTGGTAGTTTGTATGGACAAGCCAGCCAACTTGAAGTCTTTCATTCAGCGCCGTGGAAGGGCACGAAAGGGAGAGTCACATCTCTACCTGTTCGAGGAGATGGAAGATGTTGATTCGAGAAGAGAATGGGGGCTTCTCGAAGCCGAGATGAAGCGATGGTATCAGGATGAACAGCGAGAGCTGCAGACCTTGAGGGAGCTCGAGGACTCCGAGGACCCTGATTACCCTGATTTGCGAGTCGAAAGCACTGGAGCTCGTCTTACAATCAACGATGCGAAGTCTCACCTCGATCACTTCTGTGCGACATTGACTTCCAGAAAGTTTGTCGACTTCAGCCCAGACTATATCATCGAAAAAGTTATGGACGAGCAGGCGCAGCCCGGCACTCCGAACTTGCTCAAAGCCACTGTGCTCCTTCCCGTATCGTTGCCTCCAGATGTGCGCCAGGCTACGAGTAGCAGGACCTGGATTTCCGAAAGCAACGCTTGCAAAGATGCCGCTTTCCAGGCCTATAAGGCTCTTTACTATGCAGGCTTGGTCGATGAGCACCTCTTGCCACTCAAAGAAAAAGATCTGGGGGTCGAGATTGAGGGCCGTCCTGGCATGACGGTAAGCAAAACCCTAGCATGTTCTATCTCATGAGTGTGATGTTGGCCGTTCTCCTTGGGTATGAAATATCACATACACTATTGGAACAACACCTCCGCACTCAAGAAAAATGCGAAAACATCATTCCAAGACGTCCCGTGGCTTATTATTTCCTTGTATAAAATACATTCAACAGGAAAGTACTGTACAAGAAATTATCCCACGGGAGGCCATCCCACAGGAGGCTATCCCACGGGAGGCTATCCCACCGGGGGTTCTCCCATGTGAGGTTATCCAACAAGAGATTATCCTATAGCTGGTTATCATATGGCGTACTATCCCGTTATTTCCCCTTCTTCTTTCCTTTATCCATTACAGAGATACTGCGGCCGCAAAGCGGACAGTCGAGCTTAAGCTCGCCTTTCCTGCGATCGGCACTATTTTGCGAACCACTTGCATTTGCTGTCCAACTTACTCGGTTGAGGTTACTGACTGAAGCATAATAGGAAGCCAACGCACAGTTCCTTCCGTGGGTTGATGTTGCTCATGCCTGGAGAACGGAGGAAGTCACTCTCTACCGGCACCCTCTGAGATTACTTGACCAAAGCAACTACGTCAAGTGCGAACTTCAACTCGTCCTCCCTGTCCTCCTTCCTCAGATGTCGAAAGTTACCTTGTACCTGGACCACAAATCCCATTGCGTCCTTCACATAGATCAAGGGGTAGTTGTGGAAGACACTGGTGAATTTGTGGATGTCACATCTGCTCTACTCTCGTCCGCTTATAAACATCGCCGCTATGATATCAGACAAGGAGATTTCGCCGTGCAACTACGCTCACCCAAAGGTGTTTTATCTTCAGAGTGCTCAAGCGCACCCTTCGACCTGGACAGTGTGACTGGTAACAGACCTCGGGGCCTAATCCGAGACATGCACGACCATCCATACCGATTTGAATGCGGTCTGATGTCGAAACCTGCAGTTGAATCCATCCAGAAAACCTACAAGGGATTCGATGAAGATCCTGAAGACATCCCATACGTGATAGTCAACAAGTATCCCAGGGGGCCCGGCTCGTTTCACCAACCACTACCTCCTCAGCAACCGCCAAGCACGAAGCCTTATTCTCGAATACTTTCCGTGAGGGATAGCACCATCGACCATATCCCTCTCGAATACACAGAGCTTGGTCTTCTGACACCTTCTCTGATACACTACATCGAACTCTATCTGATAGCAAGCGAGCTCTCACAGACACTTCTGGCGCCACTGGGACTGTCGGATATCTCCATGGTCGTGGATGTGATCTGCGCGACGAGCGCTCGAACGCCGACGAATTATGAAAGGATTGAGTTCCTCGGGGATAGCATTCTCAAACTTTGTACAACTGTGAATGTTGCAGCAACCAGTAAGCCACCTTCCTCTGTGCTATATTTCTTACGGCGGAGCCCTGTGGATTGCACCTTCTCAGTAATTTACTCGGCTTCGAAAAGGAGCCTGTACCTTGTAAAAGCTAACCTATCTGCCAGATCTTCGAATGCCAGAAGGGTTGCTGTCACGTCTTAAGGACAGAATGGTATGCAACGCAAGGCTGTGTAGAGCAGCTTGTGAGTCCGGGCTGGATCAGTTTATCGTGTCAAACCAGCTCTCACTCAAAGGGAGTGGTGGTGATGAACGATGGCGACCTCCCTACATCTCAGACCTACTTGAGCATCCCAGTGAGGCAGCGAAAAAGCGAGTGATGTCGTCAAAAACTCTTGCCGATGTCGTTGAGTCTGTCATTGGCGTCTCATTCATCGATGGAGGGCTGCCAAAGGCTCTGAAATGTATGTCGTTGTTCCTTGGAGAAGGTCAATTCCAGGACTTTGAGAGCACCAGGAAGGTGCTCTTTGAAGCAGCGGAGCCCAAGCATATGGCTCTTCCTGCAATATACAAACCTTTGGAAGAGTCTATAGGCTACACCTTCAACGAGAAGGCACTCCTCGTCGAAGCAATTACTCACCCAAGTTACAACGTCCCAGGAGTGTACACTTACGAGCGTCTTGAATTCATCGGCGATGCTATTCTCGATCACATCATAGTTGAGGGTACGTATGAGCTTGTCTGTTCCTAAAATCCCTTATTCTTTTCCCAAAACAGCGTCCGGAAAACTATGATTTGGGCTCCAATGACAAATAGCTGACAAGTCGAAGAACTCTTCGCTAAAGACCCCAAGGCACTGCAGAATTGGGAAATGCACCTGCTCCGGACCGCACTTGTCAATGGCGACATACTTGGCTTTCTGGCCATGGAGTGGGGTCCCAAGCTGTCAAGCAATGATGTCGTAGTTGACGATGGCAGCGGGAGCGAGGATGAGAATAACGGCGGGAGGCGTAGCCCAGATCTCAAACCAGTCGAGATCACCAGTCCTCTCTGGTCCTTCATGCGCTACCAGTCATTCGAGCTGACTGTTGAACGAGAGGCCACTTGCAAGCGCCACGCCGAGCTGCGCGAGCAGATCCTCGAGGCCATACACTCTGGCACACACTACCCGTGGGCGCTCCTAGCACGGCTACATGCGCCAAAATTCTTCTCAGACCTGTACGAGTCGCTGGTGGGGGCTATCTGGGTGGACTCGGGCAGCTTTGACGCTTGTAAGGCCTTCGTCGACCGGTCAGGGCTGTTGCCGTATTTGAATAGGCTCCGGCGGGCAGCTGTCCATGTCCTGCACCCGAAAGAGGAGCTGGGACGGCTGGCCGACTCTGAGACAGTGACCTATGTGCTCAGGGAGAACGAAGGGGAGGTTGCTGGACGAGGGCGGTTCGGTTGCAAGGTGTTTCTGGGGGACAGAGAGGTTGCGGACGTGGATGGTCTTTGCTTTAGGGAAGCAGCGAAGGTTGTGGCCGCTACTGAGGCTGTGGCGAAACTGTCCGCGGGAATGCTGTAGACAGGCGTAGAAGGGGCGGGCAAGCTACCCTTTTACAATGATGACCACACACACCAGTCCAGTCTAAATTTCTATTCATATTTCTCTCGGCAACGGTTTTATCCTGCGCATTTGGAATTTACGCCACTATATGCTCTCTTCGACCACCCATGTCTGAAGATCGAACCCCAGGCGTGGTTGGCGAGACACAAACACCGCATGAGAGTTGCGGCCAAGAAGGTGTGGCTTACAGCTCAGGACATGAGAACACATTCTCATAAATGCTCATACTTGACAATGCATACGCGCGTGGTGATTGCAGGCCTGGAAATGGCAAACAAAATTGGGCGGTCCGGCTGCAAAGGAAGCAACCGCGGTTTCCAGCGCATGCATATTTCGATGAGTCTTTTGTGACAGAGAATTTATCTAATTAAGTGACAAGATCTGTATGGTGATGCGCTCTGACCTTTGAGGGCACATCAACAGGATAACAGGCCATTCATTCACACCAGTGCTGCGTATGCACATTAGCCATATGCATGATCCATAACCGTCCATCCGTCCATCCGGGCTTCCGACCCAAAAGTCGAGTTTATCGAGATCCGCAGCTGCATTTGAGTGGCCAGGGCTTCAGTCGTCTTCGGTGAGATCAATGGCTTCCCTGCCGCCACTTATCTTCACAATTTTTCTGGGTCGCTTAGGAAGCAGGTCTTCGCCAGGCCCTCGCTTGTCGACTCTCTCCAGGGAGGTATTATTTCCTTTCTAGCAAGATTTAGCTGGCCTGTCGGGACGTTAAAGATACTCAGGGTCTTACTTTGCTGCCTAAGAACCGCAACCGTGCCAGACGATCAATCTCAGGAATAGGAAGGATGTCTCGAGGAGAGGGCTCTCGGGAGCGTGGAATGATCAGTTGTTCTTGGAGAGCAACTGCTGGTTGTCAGCTGTCGTGCAATATCCAGACGTATTTATGAGCATAACTCTACATTTCGAGCGGTATTTGAAGTAAAAAACGGCCAGCGGAACATTGACAGGGTCCACAAATGTGGACGTCGCATAGGTAGTACCTATGGTTGGGACTGCATCAGAGAGCCTAGAAAAGTTGAGCTGAGTATTACATCAACTTCCGTGACACAAGGATACTCACGTAACCCTGTGAGAAAGTGCTTTGCCCTTTAGAGCTTTCTCAGCCAACTGAAGCTCTGTCTCATCAAATCCAATAGTCTGACTTGGACTTCCCGGTAAGTTGCTCTCAATGACTTCGGCACGCCAAACGCGGACACGAATGAGTCCAAGGAGTCCGGCAATCTCCTTGTCCTTTTCTACACGCATCATGTCATCGTCATCGACTGCTGAGGTGTTAGAACTTCAGTTCTGACTGCAAAAGTTTTCGGGATATGTACCGGTGGACATGGTAGCGAACCGGAACTTGCGCATGGCATACGTTTGGCCATCGTAGTCGACTTGGCCCTCGATCAAGACTGGTTCACCCTTCGATCTCAACAAGAAACCTCGGAGCTCTTCGTGGTCATCCAAGTCAATTTCAAACCGGAATCGCTGCCTGTTGCTGTTCAGGTAGTTGCTGTTCGGTGTGACACGAAACTGTACACCAAACTCGGTGTCGCCGACCACCTCCACATAGCGTCGACACTTGCGAATTTCGTCGCCGAAGCCGTCGTCTGTGGATTCCGTGTCATTGTCTTCGTACTCCTGCAACGGCGAGTTGTTGACGAGGACCTTGACCTCCAGACCAAGATCCTCGAGAATGGCCATATTACAATGTATTATGATGAAATTGTAGAAGTAGAGATTAATAGTCTGAGAGACGTCTGGGTGCCTCGCAAAGAAATCTGCAAAGGTTGGTTTGTTGAGGCTCTGGTGTTGGTGAAATAAGTGTGTTTGGGAGGGCCAAATGCTCAGCGAAAATAATGAGATGCGGCGAAAAGTGGTCAGTCGATGAAGAGGTGGAATGGCTTGCTGTCTCTTCAGGCCGCAGAGAACCTTGAAAAGAAAGTATGGATGAAAGCCATAAGGCCGGCCGAAGGAAACTCAGGATGAACAGGAAAATACCACGGGTCAGAGCAAGGTCGACAGCAGCGGCGAGTTTTCAACAAGAAAACACCATTGAGAAGTCATGACTTTTCCATTTGGGAACAGAAAGCTTGTCTGTACTTCTTATCAAGCTTATAGGAAATACAAAAGCATAGCTCGGCAGATACTACAAGTCTAAAAGCCTTAACACGACTCTCATTTCCCTCTCTGAAATGATAATTGGTGGTGTCGATGCGCAAGAAGCGAGGGTGATCGCACAAAGGGTATCACGGAAGTACGAACTCGACAATCATCAGGTCGTTCCTGGTCAATCAAACAAATGGCACCCTTAATCGTCCTCTGTCAAGTCGATGGCCTTCTTCCCACCCTCGATCCTAACAAACTTGAAAGGCTTCTCAGACTGAGGGACTTCAGCATCGTCCTCATTCTTGACTGTCGCAGCTCGTTTTTTGCCGCGCTATAATTTGGTGAGTTATTGACTGAACCGCATGAGACACGACACATACCCTAATCTGTGACAGCCTCTCGCGTGCCAGGCGGCGGATTTCATCAGGTGAAAGGTTCCCCATGTCGGACTCCATGGAGAGACTCCTTGGGCGTCTGATGACCAGTTGCTGCTGGAGCGCCTCTGCCTCCCGTCAGCGGCGAATGCAAGGATAAGCGGTTATCCAAAGATTGCTTTACCTTTCGATCGATACTTGAAGTAGAAGACAGCGAGTGGAGAGGCGCACTGATCTATGTATTTAATCGAGTGAAGCCGCTTTTTGGTAAGTCCAATCGGGGCAGACAATCTAGAAAGTAGTCAGAGGCGTTATGAGACCGTCATTCTGGACTTCCTTACGCTGTTCCATGGGACACCGCTTTGCCTTTAACAGCTTTCTCTGCTAAGCATATTGTGTCCGCTGCGAGGTTTGGAACAGGGTGTGGAGAGCTACGCGTCTTAATTTCGTTTTCGATAATGGTACGATAGACGGAGACCCGAATGAGTCCGAGATCCTGGGCGACTTTCATATCCGTAGCAACACGAGTCTTGTCGTCATCGTCAACTAGAGATGTTAGTCGTTTCCAGATCATCAAAACGAGCTGGGAGCCTACCAGTAGACACAGGAGCAAAACGGAACTTGCGCATGGTTGTGCGTGCCCAATTGTGGACGCCTTCCAACAGAAATGAGTTGGAGCGTTGGTGAATCGTTTTTCTCGCTGCATCACGGCCGCCATCGAATGCCAGCCAGAATGTAAGGGCGTGCTTCCGTGAGTGACGGATCCACTTCTGCCCAGCGTTGCTTCCCGAGGGGACCCCGACATGGATGGCGAACTCGGCATTGTCGATGGACTCGACATAGTGATAGGAAATCTTGGTGGCCGGGCCCCAGGCATCGCCGTCAATATCAGGCTCTTCGTCTGGGTACTCAGCGGCCACAGAGCCGTTGACCTTGACCTTGACTTCTAAGCCGAACTCTTCGATGATAGCCATCTTGTGAGAGTGTAGATGGCGCGAAGTCAAAGGCCCAACGAAAAACGAGTGGCCGGCGAGCGATAACTCGTCCGCACAGGTCAGGTGCTGTGTTCTGATGGGGAGGCAGACTCGTGAAAGAGACGCGTAAAATAAACGCGCTAGCAATCACTGAAGCCGGTTGGGATTTGCCTGCAGTTTAATGTCAAATGTGCATCTCATCGAGGTATGTAGGCAGGCGCATACGATGGTATTTTATGGCTGCCCATCTGCCTTCAAATCGTGGTCAGTTAGGGGGAACAGGCTCCATCTAAGGAGGCAGTCTCGAGAGATATCCCGTGAATCTTGGGAGCAGGACGGAGAAGGACGTTGCTGGCTAGCATCACTGCAACTCAGAGATACGCGCAATGTATGAAACCTTAAATTGTGACTGGTATTTCACATCTGAACCCTTGAGGTGTACTGCATGCACTACATGTCCATATGCTACCGTAGTATGGATATCTCTATGGCGTGTGTAAGAGGATAAGTACCCAGGTACCCAGGTGACTTAAGTAAGCATAATCTGACCCCTGGCCGACCCCAAGTCATGCAGAAGCGACCAAATCGTCACGACCAAACGCAGCTGCTGGTGACTGCACTCCTGCTGATACTATTACCTCACCCATACCAATAGACCTCACCTTCAATAGAGCTGCTCAACGTTTCAACCACCTGCAGGCTGCCACCCCCTTCTCCACCACAGCGATGTGTAGGCCGAGTTCATGAGGCTTCTCCCAACACTCCTTCATCTTGAAGGAGCTCCATCATGTCGCCGGACTCGGGCAACATTCGAGTGTTCGTTCGCTTCGACGATGACGGGACCAACCTCTTCTCCGGCGAGGAATTGAAGTGCACCGTCGTCTTCAAGAACGTAGCCCAAGCCGCGCCCACCAGCGCCGGCTCCGCCAGTTCGAACCATCATCAATTGAGGCCTCCTCCCTCCCAGTCTCGAGCCGCCATCCACCATGCATCCAGCCGCCTGGCCCCGCCCCCGTCCACGTCCACTTCCGGGCCCCGTCGAGGGCATCGCCCCAGCTCCTCCATGAGCGCCCCCGTCACAAAGTCCTCGCGCAGCCGTGCAGGCTCCATCCAATGGCCGCCTCCATCCCAGTCTCCAGAAACACAATCGAGTAACGGCCATGGCCATGGCCAGGGTCATAGTCATAGGCGATCTGTGTCAATCGTTTCCATCGGGTCCGTCAACTCAGTCGACAGTCATGCGACGAGCAACGCCGGCTCAACTTCCTCCCGGCCAAGCCGTGGCCATGGCCGGTCCGCGAGTCTCCAAATAGTTTCTCGCGGCTCGGTCATGTCCGGCCCAAGATCTGGTTGGTGACACTCACTATAGGAGCATGGGACCTCGTAGCGCTGACTTGCCGTAGCTTCACACCCCCAGCGACCTTTCAATACCCCGACCTCACCTCTGTACAATGCGTCATATCCACCGGATCGAGGCTCTCCCTTCCATCGGCCCTCAGGGGCATCCACCGTACCAAACACTCCTGGCATCGGTTCCCTGAGTTCTCCAAAAACGCCTTCAGCCGCCTTGTCAGAGTTCAGATTCCCGATGGGCCCCTCGCCCCTGGCGGATCTGCCCGTTGGTCCTATCAAGACTGCACCTGAGACTAGTTCGAAGGCCTCTGCCACGCCTCTTGGCGAGCCCGCGAATATACCGATGCGCCCGAAAGACCCAATACCGATAATCAATGAGCAAATCACCACCCCTGCTGCTAGAGTCTTGTCAACGAGCAGTATAACTGGCACGCCAAGGAGCAGTGGAGAGTTCTATTCCATGAGCAACAACTCTACAGAGACTCTGGCCTCCGAATATGTATTACACCAGCCCTTGAGAACCCATGGGCGGCCACCGCACCTGCGTCAAAAGTCGACTTTCTCCCCTCAGAAGGCCAAACGACCCGAAGCTCTAATGATGGGATATGCTCAGATTCAGGGTTCTTTTACACTAGATGGCTCCTTGGTCAGTCTCGCGCCATTCGAGCAGGTCAAGCGGAAGGCAGTGGTAGGAGGGCAGGGAGGTGGTGTTGTTGGCATAGAAACCTCCAAAAGGGAGAACGGATTCATGCGTAGCTTTGGCTGGGGCAGCTTTACCAACTCGTTGGGAGAGCTATTGGGCGCCGGCGAGCTGAGCAGCATCAAGGAGATGCGCGGGATTGCCAGCTCCAAATCTGTGCCTTTACTATCTACGCCGCAGTCCATATTGTTTGTGGATTTACAATTGGCTCCTGGGGAAAGCAAGGCTTTCGAATATTCCTTTCGATTGCCTAAGGGCCTACCTCCAACACACAAAGGGAAAGCCATGAAGACATCATACAGTCTCGTCATAGGAACACAACGCCCCGGCGGCACCAAAGAGCAGCAAGTCAAGTCGGTCGAGATACCCTTCCGTGTGCTGGGAAGTGTCAACAATCATGGCGAGATCCTTGGGCACGACCTCATGTCTCCATATATCATGTTGCGAGACCAGGCTCGAATCCGAACTCTCAATATCGGGGACGGCCTATACATCGACAGGAGATCTAGCGTGACAGAGGCGCGGGACAAGACCGGCAAAGAGACAAACCCGGAATCCACGATGAACGGATTCCTAAACTACGTCGACGAGCTAGTGAACAGCTCTCGTCATGGCTCAGGTGCAGGTTTATTGTCGCCCACTGCTGTCACGGGGTCCAGACGGCCATCGCTTCATGAAGAGGTAAACAGCGCCAAGGACGCCATTGACCTAGCCATCATAAGGAGTAATCTCACAGCCGAAGGCCAGCAAAGCACCAACCGCTTTGAAATAGCTCGCAACGGCCGTAAAGTCGGCGTCGTCATGCTTGCGCGGCCAGCATACCGCCTGGGCGAAGTGGTGACTATGGCAGTCGACTTCTCGGGCGCAGAGGTGCCTTGCTACGCAGTCCACGCAGCGCTCGAAACGTCTGAAAGGGTGGACCCTAGTCTGGCCATGCGCTCTGAGGCAAGCATCCATCGCGCCTCAAGAAAGGTACATGTTTCCACATCCGAGGCGACGCTTTTCTCCCGGCGGATGGTGTTTAATCCCACAATACCAATTACCGCGACGCCGGAATTTGTCACAAGCGGCATCAGCCTGGAATGGAAGATCAGACTGGAGTTCGTTGTACCGTCTCAGGATGTGGAACCGCAACCGGTAGAGGATCAAACTCAGGAAGACTCCGACCAGGAAGGTGAAGAAGGGCAGGAAAGACGGCTCATGCCTGCGGAGAAGTCCAAACCACACCAGCAAGGGCCTCACCCGCTCTTGGAGGAGATATCTCGCGATGACCGCGGCGGCCTCATCCTAGTAGCGGCGGAGAACCTCGCCTGTGAGAGCTTCGAGGTTGCCGTGCCGCTCAAGGTGTACGGTGCTGTGTGCAAGGGGCTGGAAAGGCTGGAGAGGGATGAGGCTCTAGAGGAAGGGCTTGTAGTATAGCGGATGCACCGCATTTGATGGCGCACATGACAAAACGGGGGAATTGAAGTGGGACTATGCATAGACACAGATGACATGGCAAAATTTGATGGATGTTTTCACTGTGGGATAGATTCAATCTATACAATGACTTAAGTATGACAAAATTGGCTCCAAATGCTCATCAGTATCAGTGCAAATTGCAGCTCCTTGTTGAGTTCACAACAAACTGTTGTTAAATAACTCCCTCCAATATCTTGGACTTGGTACAACTTTAAGGATCCATCGGGCGCCTTCACATCATTTTATCACGCTTTGGAAGAGATAGGTTGTTTGCCCTGTCAGAACTTTGCATTCCATCCGCAATCATTGTGTGAATGTTTGATCTTTCGTGTCTAAGGCCGCGCCAAATTGGCCTTTTTCACAGATATCCCCTACTTCACAGGACGCTCGGTATTTCCTGCGCATCGCAAACCCCGTTTTTACGTTTATCTCTTTTACATAGGAATACCGTTGATGCCAACCCACGCCGGAGCCGCAAAGTGAATATGTTCCCAGTCAGACCGTTCTCTCTTCTCGCCGGTAAAGATAGAGGAAACTCCGCCAATTTGAATAAAGACAGCCTGATATGTGTGAACCTCAACCGATCATAACCGGGACGCCTTGCCGAGACATTTCGCCGACTAGCCTCACTGAAACAAAGGGAAATACAAATTACGTATTGAAACAATTACCAAGAACTGGTGGGTTCGCCTCCTCAACCCGAGGCCTTCCTCGCCCCCTCGCCAGCTGTCCGCGGCCGCACGCGCTCAATATCGAAAGTACTCGAAGGCGTCAAAAGAGTAGGGCTGTTCTCCCCACTCCTGCCGCCCCAGCCCCCGTTGAACTGGGCCTCGGACAGCCGCAGCCTCAGCCGCTCGTCAAGCATGCTGACCAGCCTCTCGCTGTACTGGTCAAGCAGCCCGCTCAGCACGGACTCACTGACGGACTGCTTGTCTCTGCTCACCCTGTCGCCCAGGGCGGTAGCCGTCAGGCGCAGCTCGTTCTCGAGCTCTGACATCATCTCGAACGAGATTGGCTCAGCAGACGACAACTTACTGCGGTATGTGCGCAATTGTCGGCAAGTCTGCTCGGTTGCCGTTTGCAGGGAGCCGGCTCCATAAGACGAACGCAGGCTAATCGCGCTGGACTTCTTCCGCGCCGTGGGGTGAGATGGAGTGGCGCCGAGAGCTGGAAGAGATGGCCTTCTTGTAAGACGTGACGTTGCCGGGCTCTCTGGCGACGGGGGTTCGCCAGACCTACTAGATGAGGTGCGTCGAGCCGGTTTGTCTTCCGTTCGCGAACGAGACGGGCTGGTATGGGTAAATTGCGTACTGGTCGGTGTCTTGACTGAGGATGAGGATATGTTTTGTCGAGATTTTCGATGACGAAGTGATCTGGGCGGTGATCGCCGGCCTCCCGAAGAAGAAGGCCTTGGGAATTCAGCCAATTCAGCCTTTGACAGAACACGTCGTAATACTGGCCGGCTCGAACCCCCTGTGGGCGAGGGAGACCTACTCCTGGCCCTCAGATCGGGATCTCTCAAATCCAAGGCCCATATCATGATCGTCCCATCGCAACCTACACTGACGACTTTGCGGGTTGCCTCTCCATTGTCCACTAACGTGACACCATTGATCGACTCCGTGTGGCCCCATTCACGGTCCATGAAAACCCCACTTTGAGAATCATACACCCTGACAGACTTGTCTGTGTTGGATATCCCGAGAACAGTGGGGATCTCGTCACCTCTGGACTGGCCAAAAACGAGCGAGTCCACCACGGCATTCTCGGTGGCGTTCTCATCTGTGCATTTGAATGTGCTCATTTGCCGGCCACTATCAAGCTCGAAGCGACCAATAGACCGATCCAGGCTGGACACAAAGATCGATCTGCAGTCGGAATCCAACACCATGGAGACGGGGGATGCCTTGAGCGAGATAGACCGGCAGTAAATTGCCGCTAAAGAGTCTGCGTCTCCTTGCTTGCTGACCAGCTCGTGGACCTGGATATTGCGATCCTGGGAGCAAGTAATAACTCTGTCATCTGAGGACAATATCAGGTGGGTCACTCTGGCCGGGAACTCCAGCGTCTGCAAGAGATCGAATGAGCCATTAGACAACCGCTGGAAGATTTGGACAGTGCGATCTCGTCCGCACGTAGCGACAATGGCCTTCGAAGCATCGCTTTGGAAAGCGATGTGCGTTATTTCGGATGAATGAGCCTTGGTCTCCAGGAGTTGTTGACCTGTTGAGCGGTCTGTTACTCGAAGTATGCCCGCCCTATCGCCAGAAGCAAAAATACGTCCACTGGCGTCCGCCTTTACAACGCACAACTGGTTCTGTGGGTCCATATCATTGCTCAAATGACATTCGTTCACAGGGATGTCAAAACTGTGCTTGACTATGCCATCCAGGTCCCAAAGAAGGACTTTTCCAGCCTTTGACCAGGTGAAAAAGGCAAGTTCCATCTCGTCAGACGCGGTGAGTGGTTGAACGCCAAGCACAGGATCGTTCTGTCCTGCAAGCCTGATCGGTGTCGACGCCTGGGCAGACTTGCAGGGCAGGTGGTTTGCCTCCCAGATCTCAATGGACCGCTCTGAGTCTATCGTCACAAGCTGGTCTTGTACAACGCCCATGACGGCGAATCCGCTCAAGCCTGATTCCCCCTTGGCGAGACTGGGTGCAGAAGTCGGCGCAGCCTCAGCATTGAGTGTCTTAACGTCGAGGGTGACAAACTGGCCATCCTTGCCACCCAGCAGTGCGACTGAGCCACGTCTCGTGCAACAAGTGACGGAGAACCCCGTCTCGGCTGCTCGTGTAAGCTTTATCTGCCCACTACTGTCGTCCAGAACACACACGTCGCCAGCATCGGAGCAAAGGAGCGCGTGAGTCTCGTCGAAGGGTATTGCGCAAGTGAAGCTGGCCTCCAGCAAAGACCCAAGCAAGACATTTCTTCCAATCAAAGTCTTTTGGGCTTCTTGTGGTGTCAGGGTCCTCTTCGGGGGCGAGGGTGGTCGCTGTACCTCATCGACCACTTTCCAGGCCTTCACATGTCGAGTCCCAAAAGTTATCACCGTGCTGCCTAGCCATATCATCCCATTGACTTGGGCCGTGCAGCGATTTTGTTGGAACAGTCTAGCAGATCCAGTCCTCGGATCGATCTTCCAGATGAAGAGGAAGCCATCATTAGGATCGCCGAGGGAGGCGAGGAACTTGCCATCCGGAGACCATGCCACCGCTCGTACACCGAAGGCGTGCTCATTTATCGAAACCAGAGGCTGATCAGAAGACGAGCCTTCCTTTAAAGTGAAGATGAGGACCCTGGGAGAATAACCCGTCTCGCCGACAGCCAGAAATCTTCCGTCCCTGCTCAAGGATACGCATGTCGCAGCCTTGATGCGTTCGCGACTGGTCCATGTTTTCGCCGCCGGTGAGTCGCCCCAATCGGACGGTGATGAGTAGGAGGAGTCTCGCGGAGCGGCTGCTACCCTGTTCCTTGCATCGTTCGCCTTAGGAGTTGCGTAAGGGCCAGAGGAGCCGTGTTGAACCGGGGCGACGCTAAATACAGGTACTGCTGCAGGTCGGGCACGGTAGAAACGTTGACTGTATTTGTTGCCGTCGATGTCCGCCACCACAACAGCTCCTCCTGCTATATAGCAAAAGCTTTGCTCGACCGAGTCAAAGCCGGTGGGCGAGGTGCAAGTCGTACCAATCACTCTCTTCAGAAACAAGCACGGCTCCTGGGCCTTTCCTCGGCTCGGAAATCTGGAGTTTGGCGAGGTGGATTGAGGGTTTGAGGATGCCAATTTGAGATGGCGATTCGAGGGAGTGGATGCCATGGCTGAAGGACTGGTGGGGTGTCCGTCCTTCCTTGTCTTACTTCGGGTCATGGACACGGCATCCTCTGTAGGATTAAGGACGGCACGGAGCTCGGAGTTGAGTCGGCGCGTAGTTGATTAAGTGAAGCAAAACTGGGTGTCTTGTTTTTTGCTAGAAGCCCGATGGCAATAACGTAAGAAAAGCTAGGAGCCAGGCTTGAGGAGCAACGCAGAGGCAGGCTAGAAAGCCTATGTATGAAGCAGGTCAGCGGACAAGGTCCGTTTGTTCGAGGAGCTCCAGGGAGCTGTGACTGCTGATGTGTACAAGTCTCCAATTTACCGAAACGTCGACACTCTATTTACGTACTGTACAATGGGGTAAAAGGAGCGGATGGAGCTTCGACGGCTCCCAGACAGTGGCAGAATTAGTCGGCAAGCGCGATTGAAGGCATCGAGGAAAGACGCGTCGAGGAGCTGCTGACAAAACGGCAGAGAAATTAGAAGCTCAACAGAGTGAGGAGGGCAGCCACAGCCAAAGAGGCAGAATGTCGATGGTGATCAGAGCGGCAGAGCAGCAAATTCCCCCCTCTCCATCGTCACGTTGGTCTGAGGAGTAGTCTCATGGTCGAAAAAAGGTCCGTGTAGAGCTCAGGCAGGTCCCGACGAAGAAGAACTGCTTGCGGGGATGCCGCTGCCAAATCAGCACAGCTCCATCTGTCGACATAGAATCATTGGCCAATTCATCAGGGGGATCCTCCCGCCTAGTGTGTGTTTTGTTGGCATGGGGCACCCATGCTGGCAGGCTGGCTGCACTGGGTGTGCCCGCCCGGAGCGCGGAGATGAGAGAAAGGGGCCCCTCCTGGAGGTGAATTCTCGGTGCAGAGTTGCAATGCCACGTGAAGAAACTTTATGCTATCCATCAAGCGAAGACTGCTCGTCACATCGATCGTCGCCGCGGTCGATGCGAGAATTCCATTCTCGGAAGAAGTTAATTAGAGCTCCCAGGGATCCTAATATCAGCACCAATGTGTGTTGATTACAGCGTGTCAGAAAAATCAAAACACATGGTACTCTGCACGAGCCTATTCTAGACTGTCACATCACAAGAGATTTGCGCTTAAGAAGCTATCCTATCGGGGCAAGGCTATACTCAAACAGGCCGCCCTATAGGAATAGTCCCAAGATCGCGCCAACTTTGAAGCTCCCCAGAGCTGTACTGAGTGGGTATCATGATGCCAAGATTCGTGGGACCCAGGCTTCCTGCCAGCGTGTATAGTAGAGCGGAGAATAATTCTCGTCCCTGCATCGTCACACAGGCAGTGAGTGAATGACACGGCATCGTGTGGAGAGGGGCCTTTCCATCTGGGTATCCATCGGTAGCGGCCCTCGGCCAACATCTTCACCTCACAACAGGCTCTTCGACAGCTTCCTCTGGGCCTGCAGCCGCGTGGCAGTCTCCCGGTCGACCTTGACCCCCACATCCACCTCTTCCGCATGCCCTCCGCGTGATGTTGCCCCCGTCCAGGGACTCGCCTCAACCCCGGCCTCCCGCCACCTGCGTGGCGGCTGCCTGCCCAGCTCCGCGTACCGCTGCCATACGCTCACGCCACGGTTGAACCATCTCCTCTGGCGATCCTCGTCCTCCTCGGCGGTCGGCTCCCACTTGGCCTTGAGGATCCTCCGGATGGCCTCGGGGGACACCTCGAACTTGGCGGCCAGCGCCTCCGTGGTGTACATGTCCGGGAACTGCTGGTGTAGGACCCGAATGCCCTCGAGCGCGTCCGGTGACAGCCTCTTCGGCGGCCTCCAGCCGTCGGGGAACTTCTGCTTGAGCGCCTGTTTCTGTTTTGCCCAGTCCGGTCTCTCGTCCACCTTTGGCTCTTGATCCTTGGCTCTCTTAGCCCGGCGCTCGTCTTGTTCCGTCCGTTTTGCGTTCCTGTCCCAAGTTTTCTTGAGGTCGGTTCTTTCTTCCGTCCTCTTCTCCGCATTATCCCAAGATTTCTTGACTCTTTTCCGTTTCTCCTTCGCCTGACCGGAATCTTCTGGGGATGGCGACAATTCGGAGTGTTTTGGATATCTGGCCGCTTTGCGAATTGCATTCTTAGATCTTAGCTTTATCGAAAAGAGGTTGCTCTCCTCTGCTGTTGACCCTGCTGCTGCGGACGGTTCAGAAGTCGAGGCCGGGTCCTGTTCTGATTGCGGTTCATGCTGCTCTTCAGGAAGCGCTCGTTGTTCATGACCTTCTTCTGCCACGGGATTGGATGCCCCCAAGGAAGAGTATGCCCGTCTGTAGCTCGCGGAAACTGAATTGTTGCGGCTAGGGAGCCGGGGATGGGCCGCAATCCATGCCGATCTCACATGCGGCGTCTTTGGAGCGTGGACCTGGGCTAGGCTCCGGACAAATATCTGCAGAGCAGCTGTGCGGCATGAACAAGCCATGGCCGTGGCCGTCGGTTCGGGTGTGGAATGTTGAGGAGGGTCGACAAGTGGTGTCGCCGGCAGTGTCGCGAAAGAAAAGAAGAATGACGATTTGGAAAATTTCACAGGCATCGCGAATCCCTGAAAGATGGCTGTACTCCGAGCTACTGGGCTAGGTAGGTATGCAAGCTTAAGCAGGGGATCCGCTATCCCGGGATGTCACCGCTCGCTAACGCTTATTAGAGCCCCATCCCGTTACACGCGCTTGACGTCTTATTTAGTCCATACATAGTGTCTGTTCAGGTTCATAATCACGTCGTCGATTTGCATATTCCCCAAAAATTCACTACCACGATCCCCAGGGAACGCCCTTTCGAGGAACGTGCCTTGTTTCAAGTTACGCTTCCCCACTCCTACATGGTTTCTTAACTAGACCACATATCATGGAATGCTCTCGAAGAAGTAGATACATCCCCGTCTCCTCTGCCGCCGTTGGGGAATCCGCAATCGCAGGCTTAACGACAAGACTTAAGTATTGAGTGTAGCACGCTGCGGGCACAGCACGGGGACCTTATACGCATATACGATCGTATTGGTATCATTGAACCCCGCCTTGGGCTCGTGATTGTCGCCACAAGGCCGGATCATATCTCCACCCCAACTGGCCCGAAGCTCTCAAGTCTAGCACATGTCAGGGATGGGAGCCGGGAGTTCAATGACACGCATAACCCCTACACGACCCTTTCGGCTTCGTAGCTTCAAGTGAAGCAAGTTTTGTCTTGCATCGTGCGAGTGCTTGTAAACCTGCTTCTTTTCTCTTCGCCCCGAATTCTTGTTTGCCTGATAAGTGTTAAGTCTGGTCTTCATTGCATGTCTTTCTGGAGTCTCCTGAGGTGCCGCATTGCGAACCATAATCGGCCGAGCCTCCCCTCTCTGCGTTGATCAAATCGCCTCGGCAGACAGTGTACAATGCTATTCACAAAGGAGAAGCGTGACATACGCCATAGCTGGGGCTACAAGTATGAGTGGACTCCTGAGCACCAGACCAAGGAGCAGATGCGGCCACTAACCTTCAGCTACGACTTGCTCGGTGCGGACTGTTTGGACCGGCTTGACGCTATAAGTCCGCCTCGATCAACGAGACCAGACCCAAAGTCGACTGTGGACGACAATACAGCAGGAACACCAGCTCCTGGCGACGGCAAGGACGCCAAACCGCGCCGTGACTTATACGCCCTTCTCGAGCAACACCAAGCCTCAGACCCCAAGCTCAACGAGCTATGGACACAGGTCCACACGGTCCCGTCCTGGGTTGACTGGGACCAGATAAAAAGAGGGCAAGACGTCTTCTATCGGTACGGCGGGCCCAGCATTGTCAGCCTGACCTTCCAGTCCCTAGTCGGCGGCATGGGCGGGTGGCGGGTGGTCGAGACGCTCGCGCGGACTGGTGGGTTCGGGGCCAAGGTTGCGAAGCGGCGCCTGCTGGAAACGTTCCAGCACATCTTACAGGTCACCAAGGACCTGGACAGCATTCAGCCCGGGGGCGAGGGCTTCGCAAGCAGCGTCAAGGTGCGCCTGCTGCACGCCAGCGTGCGGCGGCGGATCCTCGCACTGGCGCGCGAGCGCCCCGGGTACTTTGACGTGGACGCCTGGGGCGTGCCCATCAACGACCTGGACTGCATCGGCACGGTGCTGAGCTTCTCGTCCGCGCTGATCTGGATCGGCCTGCCGCGGCAGGGCATCTACCTGCGCGAGCAGGAGATCGTCGACTACTCGGCGCTGTGGCGCTGGGTAGGCTACCTCCTCGGCACGCCGGCGGATACCTGGCTCGTGGACTACCGCAGGTCGAAGGTCCTTTTCGAGTCGCTGATCGAGGCGGACATCAACCCCAGCGACAAGTCGGGCGTGCTGGCCAACAACATCCTGACGGGGCTGAGCTGTCAGCCGCCGACGTTCGTGAGCCGCGAGTTCCTCTGCGCCGAGGCGTACTGGCTCAACGGGTGGGAGCTCTCGCGCGCCCTTGGGATCGAGCGGCCTAGTCTCTGGCACCAGGCCCTGGTGGCAGGGCAGTGTCTCTACTTCATGGGCACTTGCTACCTGTACCGGTCAATACCGCAGTGGGATGAGCGCAAGAATGAGGTGGGTCATCTCCTCCGCACCCGGGGGCTTTTCTTTCCTCCTTCCTTGCTTCCTTCCTTTCATGATGTCCAGACGGCCTGCTTGGGGGCAAATCTAGGGTATAAAAAATTAAATTACTGACTTGGGCATTCTCTTTGCCCGCTCGCAGCGAGTCAGGAAGTTTTTCTACCACCTAACAGTTCACAACAAGGAGATCGGCCTCGGGCGCGAGACCGACTTCGACTTCAAGTACGTGCCACAGCTAGGCCGGACCACGGAGCTGGGCCAGTTTGAGAGCTCGAGGCTGCGGATCGGTTCATCTGAGCGCCAAGGGCTGACGACGCTGGTTCTGGCCTCCGCGCTGGTCGCGGCCGTGGCTTGGTCTGGCTTCAGGGCTGCCACAAACCTCTTGGCCGTCGTGCACGTGGTTTCGTGACGTGAGGAATCAGGGGAAGAAGTAAGTGGAAATTCGGCAGAGGCCAAGTCACTGTGAATGCCGCGTATTGCTTACTTGCACAAGCACTGGTTATTGGGACGAGCGTTTCTCTTGGCATCGCTTATCATTCTCTCGGCTTGTTGAGCCTCAAGCCTCTGAGCATACTTAATGGTATCGTACATACAAATCTATACCTCCAACTCATAGTCATCATGTCCACGGTGACCCCCGTCTCTCTTCTCTCTAAGAAAGCCCAATAAGAGCTGCCATCTGCCCACCAATTTCTATCATGATGCCACCAAAGTAGCCGCGTAAAAATGTGCATCAAACAGATGCTCCCTGATATGTAATGCAGTTGTCAAGTGACTTAAACACACCGCTAAACGCCATGACCATTAACACCTTGCCACAGTAAAGACCGTCAATGCTCCTCGCCCGCGAACCTATGCGTCGCTCATCAGCTCCACGGGAGGCCGCGAAGTGTGTGCCATGATGGGCTTTGAATCCACGTCCATGGCGCTGAGGTTTATGTCGTCCTCGGGGGCATCCGTCATGTCGTCGACCATGACACACGGCAGGTTCGGGCTGCCACCGTGGTCCTCCGGGTGGAAGATCAGCGTTGAGCTGCGGCTCCTCGTCTGCCTGCCGGATGCCGCGCTGAAACCTCCCGGCGACCGTCCCTCCGTGGGGCTGATGGGCGAGTCGGCCACGATCTTGTGGTGGTGCAGCTTCGCCAGGGCCTCGGCCAGGTCCTCAGCATGCACCTGCTTGTTGGGGGCACCCTCGACAATCTGTTCCCAATCGTGGGGAGGGGATGGTGGCGGGGAGATGAAGAACAGCTTGCCGGCGTCTGGGAGCGCCAGATGTGTGTCCTTGGGGGAGGTATCGACAGGTGTGTGCTGGCCGAAGTAGACGCGGCACCGCTCGCCCAGGATGGCCTCGCCGTCCCAGACAGAGCGGACGGCAATGGCGTCGGATATCGTGTAGAAGGAGACGAGAATGCGGCGGAAGGACTTGAGAGGGGCCCAGGTGTGGATGAGGGCGGTCTTGGCGATCAGCTCCTTAATGGTTTGCAGGTTGTCGGGCTGGAAGATGGAGAGGTCTTGGAGGTTGGTGATGAGCAGGGTGTTGGTTGCGGGTGTTGGTTGTTGGAGTGCTGGGAGATTGGAGAGGTCGAGAGTGAGCGATTTCCTGGAGGCGCGGCTGGATGCTCGCGACGACCTCTGCTCTGGTGATCCGGAAGCCATGTTGACTGGGTCTTGTTGTGTGTTAAGGTGCGTGCGTGTAAATGGTAGGTAGTAAATGCAGCACAGTGGTGATGGATCGAAAGTCGGTTTGCGACGGGATATGTATGTTTTTGAGGTGGCGAGTGACGGCTGAAGTGTAACTCCAAAGCAGTCGTGATCGATGACAGTCGTGGGTATGTGAGTGTGACTGGTAGTAGTGGTTGTGGATGTGGTTGTATTGTTGGATGTGGTGTAGTGGTGGATGGATGAGGCGCGGAGGTGTGGTAGTTCTTATGGATGGCGGGGGAAACGCCTGGCGTCTGGAGTCTGGAGTCTGGGTTTGCCGTTCGTGTTGACGATGGGGACTCAGGAAGGGCCCGTAGCGTGTAGGGATGGCTGGCCTGGAGTGTGGCTTAGAAAGTCAGTGATTTGCCTCAATGATTGCCGGAACGGGCGCCAAGCGAACAGACCAAGCCAGCACGGAAAGTGGGATAGAACAGACAGACAGGGCACAGGGCGGGGGGTTACAGCAGACCGAGCAGTCTACTGTAGACCAAACGATGCGGTATTGGCGGTGGTTCCCTGAGACTTGCCCGGATGAAACATTCAGATGGGCAAAAGGTCGCAGGATACACGACCAGGTCCGCAAAACAAAGCGGCAATGCAGGTGTAAGGATCCGGATGAGGATTGCAGATGACCAGGGACCCCATCGATCTGGATCTGGTGGCCTCTTACGCCTCTTACGCCTCTGAGCTCGTGCTGTGCTGGTGCTGCTGAGCTGTGCTCTTGCTGCGCTGTGCTGTGCTGTGCCTTCACTTACGTACCCAACCACCGAGCCCCGTTCCGCCCGTCAGTGGCCTCCGCAACTAACGAGTTGCCTCCCATCCTCATCCTCATCCTGACTCCTCTTCCTCTCCATCCTCGCCACGGGGCATACGAGACAGCGACCTGCCTAAACCGAACTACTGTGCATCTAGACTATCTACATGATTACTTGCTGATGACTGCCAACGCCAAGAACAGCCGCGCAGATACTTCGGAACGGGGGAGATGGACCGATTGGCACGGCTCATCTTTTCCCTCAAGACAAGACAAGACAAAGACACTTTGCTGCTGTAACTGCAACCAACAAAGGTTGTGTGTGTTCTGGGCGTGGTCTGGTCGGGCCTAGCTTGGTCGAAACTACACAGCCTCATCGCCGCCGCTCGGTGCATTGTAGTACCGTGTTGAACCGTGTGTGAACCGTACCGAGAGCGTGGCACGGAAAGGCCTCGCCAAGGCGGCCTCTGCACGAAATGCGCAACTGGTGCATTGGCATCCATGTGTGGCCAGGAACGTGGTACTGACTGTTAGTCTTTCCCGATCCCGACCTGGACAGGGACGTGTGAACACTGAACAAAGCCCACCAACCATTGCCACCCTCATTGTCACCCAACCACCGATTACTGGTTAGCAGCACTAGGCCTAGCATTCCAGCTGGTCCAGTCCCCTGATTCAGGCCCGCAGGCCCGTGGGCCCTCAGACAGACGAGCACGACACATAGTTTTGCTCTGCCTCGCCTTGCCTCGACGTATAAGCCTCAGGGGATAATTTGCTTTCAGACGACATCGTAGCTCAGCCTTCCCTCTTCGCCTGGCGTTTATCGGATTGATGACGTTTGAGCCATCGCTGAGCCAGTCACCCAACCATCCGCTTTACCCCATCGTGACGCCTCATACGGCCGGTGGACCGGCATGCGCCAGGGGAACCCTCGACTGTCTTGAAAGCTTGGAATGACACGACCGTCCTCCTGCCCAGCAGCTCCTAGTCACCATGTCCATCGGCGACAAACCTGAGCGAGGCTGAGCCAAGCCAAATCTGGGCAATACAATCTGGGGCAATACAATCTGGATGGCAGTGAATGGCAGGCAGAAAGGCGTACCTGTTAGTACGGCCAGGTCACCTACAATTCACAAGCCACAACCCGCGTCGACGCGTATTCTCTTGTCTCTCTGACTCTAACCTCGTTCATTTCAAGTGAGATTCACAATCAATGCGGGACTGTCGGAACAAATGCTGCTACGCCCGCCAAGTCAGGCAGTGTTGAAAGGATTTTCCCAAAGTCGAGGTTATTATCACACCAGCGAGCTTGGTCGCTCGCTCGCACACTACGTGCCCACCTATGGGCTAACACACCTTGGCTCGGGCCAGACCTCGGAACCACCTTGAGATTTCTCAAACTCCTTGGCCTGCCGTCGATCGAGGACTTTGTCTTCCCGGCCTCTCAGAGTTCATGTCAAATGCCGGGAAGAAAAAGTTGTTTCTACTGCACAGCCACTCAATGCTTGCTCCCATGTCCCTAGCTCTCTCTCTCTTTCTCTGTCTCTCAAACTCCTCGCTCGTTTGACTCGTCCTTGCCAAACAAACACACTTGGCCTGCCAAGTACCGTGACGGAATTTATGTCATCTGCCCGCACCGCGCCGGCCTTGGACTGAGGGGTTTTGGGTGGCTCTGCACTAGGTCAGCATGAAATGGAACGTCTCCCGCCTGGAGATACCTTCAGAGCTCCCTTGGCACGGATGAGCTTCGAAATGCCTTTGCATTCTCCCAACCGCGTGGACCAGACCCATGAGTTGCATTTACGAGACAATCAGATGCGGCCATTATCCGCCCGTCTGCGACTATAACGTGAGCCATGCCTCCGGCTCGAGTTACGGATGCCCGGGTGAGAGTGGCTCAGCCCGTCCCTCTGACGGTCCTGAAGCATCACGCGTGCATCACCAAGCCCGCGCCATCCTCTTGAAATCACCTTTCCCCTCATCCGACTCTGACGGGACTGTCTGCTGGGTCTGTTGGTGCTGGAGCTCGAGGTGTGTCGACTATTATCAAGTGCATGCGAGACTAGGGATCGGGAAGCTCAGCGATGGGCAGTGCCCGATCTTCCCATGGTAAGGTGATGGATCAGCTTCACCAAGGCAACCCCCCGCTTGATTCTACTGGTGATTTTGTGCAAGTGCTGAGCTTGATTGTGTGCGAGGACGAACACGTTGTCCCCAAAGCTGAGCCACATGAGGACAACAGGTACAGTCTCATGGACCCCAAAACTGCGCCCGAATACTCAGGAGTGCGTGGAGGGTGTAGGTGAAGGAAACAATTCTACTCAAGTAGGAACATGCGTCTATGGCCGAAGACAGAAGTCCTCCCTTCAGACTGGCATGCGAGGACTGAACAAGTTGCAGTTCGACACTGGTCCTCGTGCGATCAGTATCGCCCATATCTGTTCAGCCCCAGAGGCTTCTCCTATCTAGATAAAGGCTGCGTTAGTGCGATGACAGGCTGACAATCAAGTCACTGCGAGCTCTGCATACAAGAGCAGCAAATTGCTATCTGTCTCACTCGCATTTCAAGGAGCGGCCGACGCCAGTCCCACACTGTCATTCTGCCCATGCACTATATTGCTTTCAACTCAGGCGCTAGAAGCACAAGACTCGTAGGGAGAAAGCACCATGTCACAATACTGTATACGGACTACAGGGGAGACGGGCCTCGCGAGCGATACCATACTCTCGTGCTCGTCTAGTGATCGACAGAGGCCGCTTCAACTGCCCCTGCCTTCCGCCGGGGTCTGACTCGACCTCTCGGCCAATCTATATCGCATGACATGGATTGGGAGGCTGAGAGCGCGATAGCCGCGAATTGTCACAATGCGCCGCGTAGTCAAGAGCAGGTTCGAGAAAGGAGAATACTGCTTGGGTATCACATTGCCATTTCCTAACACTCACTGGCCTGTACCCGGAGCTATCAACGGTTTGGAGCGGGGATATTTTCCTGGCCTGTACAAAGTCGATGCTGTAGCTATGATTCGCACCCACTTATTCCACGGCGCGTAGCAAAAGCACCTTGGATCCGCACTCGGGGCGCTTGTGCGTGCCGACCTCCACTGCCGGTCTGGCTACCTGATCTCAACGCCCAGCTTCTCCACTAACGCCTCCGTGACCTCGTCATGCATCTTATTCGTCTCGGCGTTGGTCAAGGTCCTCTCGAGGCTGCGGTAGTTGATGCGGTAGCACATGCTCTTCCGCCCTGTCTTGGGGTGTGTGAACTCGTCGACGAGCTTCACGTCCTCAACCACGTCGCCGCCCACGCTACGGACCACCTCCATGAGGTCGTTCTCGTGGAAGTCGTGCGCGTTGGCCTTGGTGTTGCCGCCGGCCGCTGACGTCGACCGCAGCCAGAACGAGACGTCCTTGTAGCACTCGGGGTGCCTAGAAAACGGCACGAACCGCCGCACCAGGTCCAGATTGTCCGAGACACCGGCAAACTGGCCTAGGAAGCGCTGGTCCTTGGACCAGAACAGCCGGATGTCGGGGATGTTGAACAGCAGCATCGCGATGCGCTCCAGCCCGATGCCGAACGCCCAGCCCAGCTGCTGAGGCTGCCCGGCGTTGATGTACATGCTCTGCTGCGTGACGCCGCACCCGAGCACCTCGAGCCAGTCGCCCGCGTAGTACACCTCCAGCTCCCAGCTGGGGCTGGTGAAAGGGAAGTACGCCTCAACCCACCGCACCCGCAGCGGCTCGTCCTTGTAGTCCGGGTCTGCCGCTGCGGCGGCCTTCTTCGCGCGCGTGAATATCTCCACGACCATCAGCTCCAGGCTCCGCTTGAGGTGCGCGGCGATGGCCTCTGCCTCTGCCGGCGAGTGGTGCTCGGCCTGCAGGGGGTTGCGCTCGGCGTGAAAGGGCGGGTTGGGGTCCTCCACCTTGATACTGTGCTTGGGCAGCCTGTCCACGTCGGCCCACACGGCGGCTGCCACATCGCCGTTGGGTACCTTTGACCTGTCCCATAGCCGTGCACCTTCCATCTGGTGGAAGACAGGGTAATGGCTCCTGTCTACCTCATCCCGGCGGTAGACGTCCGCGCTGATGAGGTAGCCTTTGCTCTCGTTCGCCTTGAAGATGGCTGCTTCGTGTGCGCTCGTGTGTGTCCGCAGTAGTGTCGACTCGTTCACGTAGTAGGTATCTGAGCGGGCACGACCTGGGTGGTCTGGTGGGAAGCCCAAGGAGTCGAAGTTCTCTTCGACAGAGACGACCGGGTGGAAGTTGTTGTAGTATCTGTAGGTCGGCGCGGGAAACACAGACTCGATGATCTGCCGCGTGATGGACACAGGGTGGTCTGGTTGCAGGTGCAGCTTGCGGGTTGCTGCGCCGATCACGTTGGTGGGCACATTGTACCAGCTGTCTTTGGTGTAGGTCCGGCCATCGATCTCAACCGTTGAGGTGCTGTTGGAGCTCGTGGCGGCGGGAGCGGCAGCTTGGTCATGTCAGCGGGGCTGCGTCGCATAGAAAGCGTCGAGGCTTTGTGAATTGTATTCACCTGTCGAGTAGGCCGTCCAAGGACGTTGAGGGACCTTCAATGGCTTGAAGGACGTGGGACGGTACCGAGAGAGTGGGAGACGGGACGGCGCGGCCAGCTTGGACGGAGCCACGCGAATTATCATTCGACAAGGAGACGCCATTTGGGCTGTGAACTTCTGTTTTCTTATGGCGTCATGCCATGTCCATGCAACCCGCCCCCTAAGCCGAAAGCCAGCCCGCTAGGACGCTCGAATGGAGCTTGAGGATCGTGAGGGTGAGGTCGAGCAAGTTGGGGGGTGAAGAGGGCTAGCTTACCGATGTCGAGACAAAATACTGCTAGCTGCCGCGGAAAGAGTTCCACAGCATGCAGCTATCACTTGCTCTCGGCCCGTTGCAGCCCCTGTCCCTGCACCTCAGACGTCACTCCACCACGACCCTGCATCTGATCAGTTGGAGGGTCTAGACGGCTGGATGGCCGGGAGAGACGGTCGAAAACTCGATCCTCCTTTGGGACTCGGCCGGAGCAGAGAGCCGTTGAGTGGCCGTGCTATCCAAACTTGTCGTCATCGTCGACGGCCCCAGGTCACTTTCTCTTTACCTTGAGGCCCTTGTCTCTCTCTGTTGCATTCTTGTCTTGCATTTGTTCCGTCTCTACTCCCCAACTCGGCCCCACGAGGTTATGTTCCCATAACCTTGTCCTCCAGAGATGCAGCCGCAAAAGGAGGCAGCGGCCTCGGCCTCGGTGCCGGCCAAGCAAGCCTTGGCTCCGAGACAAGACACAAAGAGCCATGGCCCTTCAATTCGGTATCCCTTCTGGTTTGGAGGGTCTGCGAGTTCTATGGCGGCGTGCGTAACGCACCCATTGGATCTAGGTGAGTCTCGACTGAAGACTGTCTGGCCTCTGAGTCGCGAATGGCGCTAACGGTCGCCTGTTCACAGTGAAGGTACATACATCTACACCACAAAATGCGATACCTACATAATTCGGTACTCGTCCTTATGGATCTTTTCTCACCATGGTCTGACACACGGGAAAGGTACGGCTGCAGATGCGCTCCGGCGACATGCCCAAATCCATGCTAGGTACATTCAAATACATCATACGCAACAACGGCGTCCTGGGCCTGTACAATGGCTTGTCCGCGTCCCTCCTCCGCCAGCTCACATACTCGACCGTCCGATTCGGCATATACGAGGAGCTCAAGAACAACATGACGCAACGAAACGGCGGCAAGCAGCCCTCCTTCCCCATCCTCGTCGCGCTATCTTCGGGGGCAGGCTTCATAGGCGGAATCTCAGGGAACGCGGCCGACATCTGCAACATCAGGATGCAGCACGACACGGCCCTGCCCCCTGACCAGCGGCGGAATTACAAGCACGCTCTCGACGGCATGCTGCGCATGGCCAGGGAGGAGGGCCTCATGAGCTGGTTCCGCGGCGTGCTACCCAACAGCATGCGCGCCGCCGCCATGACGGCCAGCCAGCTGGCGAGCTACGACACCTTCAAGAAGCTGTTGATAGGGTACACCCCCATGTCGGACAACCTCGCTACCCACTTCACGGCCTCTTTCATGGCAGGTGTGGCGGCCGCGACAGTGACCAGTCCCATAGATGTCATCAAGACGAGGATAATGTCCCAGAGTGGAAAGAGCGTGGGCATCGGGACGCTGCTGAAGGATATCACTGCCGCCGAGGGACTGGGGTGGATGTTCAAGGGCTGGGTTCCCAGTTTCCTGAGGCTTGGACCGTGAGTTTCTTCTCCCTTTTGCTATCATGTCAGGCTCGTTAAGGGAAACTCGTGATAAGCTAACTCGGATCAGGCAAACCATTTGTACTTTTGTCTTCTTAGAGATGCACCGCAAAGCATATAGAAAGGTGCAAGACTTGGATGCTCCGCAGTGAGGAATGTCCGTCAACTTGGGGGCAAAGGTGACCAGGTCAAACAGTACATAGGATACAAAAGTTGTTGACGTTCAGCGACAGCATTGGGCGCGGGGGCACAGCGGTCACAGAGCATTATAGGGGCGTTCTCATAGAGTGGCTTCTCAGTCTATTTAGGATGGCATCGCTTGACTGTTCTGCTATCCACCACAAATCGCAAAGAATTGGGACTCTCGTTACCTCCCAACACCTCTTGAGGCAGATCGCAAGATTCGTTTTCCAGACCGCACATCATAACACCCCTGCCGTGACCAAAACCCAGGGAGCCGAACGCCTTCCGATGCAAATGTTTTATCGAGCTTTTCGTCCGCTGTCGTCAAAATTTTGGCCGATCATATGATACATACCGGCCGCTTCTCATAGTCGGTCGGTATCTTCAGTGGGCGCCCTTACCTTCTCTCTGGTCTTCTCCTTGGTCTTGAATGCCCCCTCTAGAATGCCGGCGTCCACGTGCAGTGGCATGCCTCACAAAACATATTGGGGACCTATGCCAACCAGGTAGTCACGTGCCTGAAAGCATTGCCAAACCGCGGAACTTGTTCAAAGGACACACTCGTCTGCCGCCCAACAGCCAGGTCGGCGACTCGCCTGAAGACGTTACCGCAAGCATATTACTGGAAGCTTGTCAAATTACGGGTTCTTTCTCAACCCAGACAAATGCTTCCACTTGAACAGATGTCTAGTAGCCATTCTGTCCAGGGTTGCCGTAGGGTGTGGTAGTGCCATAGGAAGTCGCTCCCCCGAAGTCACCAGTGCCGTAAGGCGTGGTGTAGCCCTGATCTTGCCAAGGATCGCCCCCGTTCATGCCATCGGGGCTGCGAGGGCCGCCATAGTCACCAGCGTTGTCACCCTCACTGAGACCGTGTATCAAGCCAGCAAGTTTCTGCTGCATGACCATGATGCCTTGCTGGATAATGGCATCCGGCTCCAGATTCCCGGCACTCTCGACCTCGAAGTAGAACTTCTCGGGTACAGCGTCGTACTTGAAGACTTCACCGGGCTGGGGCGGCTCCTCGAACGCGGCGTACTTGCTCTCCGGCCTGCCCTGGTGTCAATATTGCGCGACCTAGCTCGCATGGTTGCGGAGACCTACCATTCATGCTCGGGCTTTGCGCCCTCGCCCTTGCCTTCAAACCACAGGTCCGTGTGTCCAAGCTTGTTGTGTGGGTCATATTCAAACCCAACAGCCGCAGTAGGCGCCCACTTGGCATGCTCTTTTGCGATTCCCTTCTTGGCGATGCATGTCAACTTCAGCTCCTGACCCTCGCGCAGCTTTGCGATCAGTGGTCCCTGGCCATCTGGATCTGTGATGACGGGGTTGCCAACCCACTCGTTGGGGCGCATAGGGTCGACAACGAGGTCGCGGGCATAGATTTTCATGATTTCACCCTCGGTGGTGCACTTAGCATGTAGGGTGATCTTGACGCTGCACATTTCGCAGTACTGTTCGCATTCGCAATCACGGGAATAGAGGACATCATCGGCATTTTTGGAGTTTAGCGGTAGCAAGCCGAGGCGATGCGCAATGAACTCATCGGCCAGGACACTGCTGTTCTCCTCTATCTCGACCAGGTCAATAGCCATGATCGGTATCTCGGCGAGGATGACACGGCGCAGGGCATTCGCAAGAGAGAGTTCGACGTTGGCAAGGTTGAAGTTGACGTGGTGGTTGTCCGCCTACCGATCCCGCACAGGATTAGAACACTGCAACTGGGCCTTGACGCGCTTCCATGCGTCGGGCGCCGTCTGCTCACCTCTGTGATCTTGACCTCCATCTGCTTTGGTGCCACCTCGCCATTTCCATCCAGGTTCATAGGGTCGTACTCCATCTTGACTGAAGTCCCCAGCTCCGAGGAAGACGACCGGGTGCTAGATGGTATGAGTTTTGTCTTTTTGGTTTCAAAAGAGCCTCCTCCAGTATATGCGATAAGACAGAAGAGCAATGAGTGTGCGTGGGTGAAGAGGCGCGTCGGATTTGAATGGGCGAAAGTGCAGTTCGCCGCAATCTGCACAAGAGCCTGTCCTTCTAAAGACGGCGTTGAAAGCTTGCAGGGTACCTGGGTACTTCCAGGTGGGAATGTGCTTGCAGCAGCGCTGTCACCGATTTGTGCAGTAAGCGGGATAGAGCTTACAGGGTGGCTTATCGGCGGTTATCGGAGCTTCCGAGGTGCAGGTGGTGCAACCTTGGACTATGGTAGCAGCTCTTCTACTGGGAAAAATTTCCCTTGCGTCATAAAACTTTTCCATTCTCTCCAGTCACACAAGCCAAAGACCACAGAGGCCTCATACCCAAGCCAACATGCTGCGACAAGCCCTGATTACTCCTTCCAGAGCCCTCCGCTCATCAGCCCGATCAATTGCTCAGAGGCCTCTGGCCCGGCCCCAGACCATAATAGCTCCTCTGGCAGTGCGGAGGGCACAACCCGCTGCCGCGAGATGGTACAGCGAAACTCCCAAGGCTTCGCAAGAAGCTGAGACGAAGGTCGACGAATCCGAGGCCAAGCCAGCAACCGAAGGAGAGTCGGCACCAGCTGAGGACCCAGCCGTGGCAGAGCTGAAGAAGAAGCTGGAGACCAAGGAGAAGGAGGCGATAGACTGGAAGGTATGCAGCGCATCACGCGACAACCATATATCATAACCTTGAAAGCTGACAACACTTCTAGGACAAATGCTTGCGCTCCGTCGCAGACTTCCGCAATCTCCAAGACCGGACCCAGCGCGAGGTCAAGAACGCCCGCGAGTTCGCCATTCAGAGCTTCGCAAAGGACCTTGTCGAGAGCGTGGATAACTTCGACCGCGCGCTTTCTATGGTTCCCGAGGAGAGGTTGAAGGCGGCAAAGGAGAACGACGAGCTCAAGGATGTCGTCCAGCTGCACGAGGGTCTCAAGATGACCGAGAACATCCTCATGAACACCCTGAAGAAGCACGGCCTGGAGCGTTTCGACCCCGTCGGCGAGAAGTTCAACCCCAATGAGCACGAGGCTACGTTCATGTCCCCTCAGGAGGGCAAGGAAGACAACACCGTCTTCTACGTCCAGCAGAAGGGTTTCAAGCTCAACAGCCGGGTGCTGCGCGCGGCCAAGGTTGGCGTCGTCAAGAACAAATAGGCTGGACCATGACCTCAGGTCAGGCGGGACGAGCGCTTCTTGATCTTTCCTTGTACTACTATCACTACTACTCTCATGTGCTACCAAAAGTCTGGCATTGGCGTTCAGGCGGCTAGGTATTGATGACTGCTCCTCTCACGATAACCGGGGAAAATAGCTTCATGGATGATGGCAGGGTCACGTTCACGAAATTAGACGAAGGATCTGCATAGTCCATTCTTGTATATAGAGACTACCACCTCACATTAATACGGGAATAGTTCTCCGAACCTACGATAGTATAAAGGTCCGGAGAAGCTGGACAGCTGATATGGATGCAGGCAGGGTATTGAATTCTACCCAAAAATGCGCCCCGAGTTTGCTAACACAAGTCAGGATGTGGAATTACAAACTCTATTCATTCGTGTTGCTACATTATGCCCTTCCCTAGACGAGCCCGAGACCGTTAGCTCAAGCGGCCTTCGAAGTCGAAGTCGTGGCAGCGCCGCCGCCTGGTTCATAGGCGTGGACCAGTTTCCCGTCGCCTTTTCCCTCCTCCCCCCCCCCCCCTGCATGAAGCAGATCTTGACAGTACGTCAACAGACAGATGTTTTACAGTGTTCGTCGCCATTCGACCCTTGCGGTCCTTATGTCCGTACTTGCGCAGGTCTCGCTCGCGGATAGCGTGGCTACACCGAGCCACAATTATACGAGCCGCCCTTTCCTCCTCGTGTACACACGCATCAATGAATTTCAGAACTCGCAATAATCTCGTCTGGGTGCCCCCTTGAGCTGGAGAGCAAGTGCCATTGATCGAGTCCAAGCTTTCATTCCTGTCCCCTGATTTCAGGGTCATCGTGGGCTCCGGGCATCCCAAGCTCTCACGAGTAGTTCCTGCGGTTCTTCCTGATCTCCTCCGGCTCCCATATGTCGGGGTACATCGCAAACACCTCATCGGGCGTCTCCTTGCCAAAGATGGCAAGCAACTTCCGCTGCACGTCCTGGTGGGAGTCGAGCTCGCGCTGCAGCGCATCGCGCTCGCGCACGCGGGCCTTGCACTCCGCGAACTTTGCCTTGGCGATGTAGCTGAGCTCTCTGATGTGGCGCTGCACCTGCTTCATGATCCGCCGATCGCGCGTGCTGCGGCGCTCTTCGAAGCAATCGGCTAGCTTGCGGTTCTCGTGCTTGAAGCGCTTGGCCGCGTGGCGGAGCCTCTCGACCTCCGCGTTGGCCTGCTCCTCGGATTGGATCAGGTGGGCGACCTCCATGTGCTTGTTGGCGATGACCTCCTGTGTGAGCGCGAGACCCCAGTACTTCTCGGTCGCGGCGTCGACCTCGGAGGGGGTGTAGTGCTCGGGCTCCGATGCTGACTTCACGCCCCAGGAAGGTTCGGGGGAGGCGTTGTTCATGCGGACTTTGCGCATCAGCTCGGGATCCATGCGGTCGAACATATGGTTGTAGTAAGTGTAGGGGAGGGGAGGGTCCAGAGCTGTCCAGGTGTTTTCTTTCAGCAAATTTTCCCATACGCACTATGGCAGGGTAGCATGGAGCGAGAGCTTACGAGGCGGCGACCACAGAATCGAAGGCTCAGATCTTGCGAAAGAACTGCACGCTGGACTCAACTCATTACCGTCATCCATATCATACAGGCTCTGCGTATTGTAGCGCTTTGTCTGCCGCGGTAGGGCTGTGTTGGGCGAACAAGGCCGCTGGCGATCATTCTGGTGTCTCATTTGTCAGTGGCGGCGTCGGCATTGCGGGTTGAAACCGTCAAATGAACAGAAGCGTTTTGATTTCACCACTCACAGGGATCATGTAAGTCCTACGCTCCTCCCAAGCCGACTTGAACTTGTCGTCAGGCGCATCCCATCGCTTCGCGCCATGAGACCATCGCGCGAAAGTACAGGGAGAAATCCGACCATTTGCAGGATCGCCCTCGCCGTCGTCAGAGACATCACTGGCCGCGTACTTCCTCCATCCATCTGCAGTGTAGTCGCTGCCTTGACAAATGTCGTCCAGCTTGCCGACGTCAAGGCTCCCTGGCAGCTCTAGACTTCCAGGCCCAAGGTGCTCCGTTCTGGAACGGTCAAATGTGAAAATTGTCTTGCGCTGCCTCTCTTGGTCCTCGTACTTGGATGGGCCACGGGAATTCCACTCGACCTGCTCCTTGACTGAGTCGTGGATGTCACCGAGCATACTGAAAAATGAGCACTATTAGCACTCTGAGGCATGGTGGGAATCGGCAGGTGGTATAACGTACGTCGGCTGCCCCTCGGCCTTCTTACCACCTTCCTCGCTGGAAATCCATGCGATCAGAGGATCATCCATGTCAATGCCTGGACCTCTCATGGCAACATAGGCCTGCATTGTCGCGCCCGACAAGGTCCACGTTGTGTTGCGATCTTGCTCCTTGCTGCATCCTTGGAGGAGAGGCAGGGACGCGGCAGTTGCTACGCGTGTCAGTTTGCGTACGTACGAACGCAAATTGTCTGTTGAGGTGACATACCATGGCTGCCATCTTCTTGGGCTGGCTCTGAGTTCAAGGAACTCATTGAGTATGTTGGCTCGGAAGGTCCTGGCTGGTGGTCAAATCAATGTCAGTGTGGGAGGTGAGGCACGAGGATTCGAGCGGCGGAGAAGAGTCTTACTGTCTCTAGTATGCGTAGGCTCTGGGGAAGGGGGGTTCGATAATCTGAGCAGTAAGAGAATGATAAATCTTACCTCCGTGGTCAAAATTGTTGGGCGGGCTGGAATTTGACGTATCTTGAAAGGTTGAACGGTATCGCGTGGGTGGTGACAGTGATGGGACGAGAACAACCTATCAAACATTCCGCATGGACCAAGCAGCACAGTGACAATAAAAGAGCAAACAAGATGGAGAGCACACATAGCATCACGTAGTCAGTCTATATTCGAGAAACTCGGATTTAGCATTGGTTTCCTAGCTCTGGCGAGTCTCTCTGGAGGCTCCTGTTCGGCTGTACGGCTTGCCTGTGTACAGGAAGCAAATGTGCTCCATTCTATACTTCTAATGGCTCCCTCATCATTTCATGGAATCAAGCATGATAGATAAGCAGGCCATGCGGTATTGAGGAGTCATGAAATGGTAAATATGCCCAAGGGAAAGGTAGCACAGTTCGACTCCTGTGTCGGGTCCAAGAAGCAGCAGCAAAATAATTCCAATCATACCTTGATTCCATGGTAAACTCTCCTTCGTTTCACTGCATCACTTCTTCGCCTTGCCCTTCGTAGCCGCCTTGCCCTTTCCACGGCCCTTCGCAGGCTTGGCATCACCGTCGTCTCCTTCATCGTCATCGGCAGTCTTCTTCTTGGCAGCTCGCTTAGGCTTGGCCTTCGGTTGCTTGATATACTTGTCTTTCTTGAGGTCGATTTCATCTTCGTCCTCGTCCACCGGTTCGGCAACCTCAGCCCCGTCGTCTTCTGCTTCGATAGCATCTTCGATGTCAGGTACATCCTTCGCAGCCTTCTTCGGCGCCGTCACATTGCTGGCTTTCATAAATGGCACAGCATGGGACATCGAGTTATATCTGTTCATGTTAGCTTCCAGCTTGTCATGTCTGTTCGGGACGAGACTTACGTTCTGGTGAAGGCCGACTTGGTCTGGGTCTCGATCTTCACCAAGCTCTCATCTTGGGGCCCAACACCAAGCTCAATCATCGCATCGAAGTCCTCTCTTGTGAGGTAGTAACTGTCCATTAGGTTGATGACCTCCTCGACACAATCCTTGCCCTCAAGAGAGAGGCGCTTGACGATTTGGTGCCATAGGGCAGGCAAGTACTGCTGGCGGATCTCGCTCACATCTCCAGACGACTTGAGCCGCATGTGCGACTGGATCTCTCTGACGTAGCGTGCAAGTTTTCCCAACTTGCTGTTGTTTCCGAGCCACTTTGTGAATTCGGTACCAATCATTTGGCCAGAAACAAAGCTTGCCGGGCGGACCGTACTGAAAACCGCATGTGCCGGCATAAGGCTCCAATGCTGCTGCGGACCGTGTATCATGCGATCAACAAGGTCACCGTCGCTGATGCTCTCCGCTGCTTGGTCCACCATTTCAAGGTATTTCATATTCGCCTCCCTGCTGTTGTAGCCCTTGCCGCTCAGGCCCGCTGGCTTTGCCTTGAGATAATTCTCCTGAATCATCAGATAGCTGAACTCGTGATCATTGAAGTACAACTCGATCTTGTCGTTCAACGTGGACTTGCTCGCTGGATTAAACATATTGCCCCCCAATAGTTTCTGGCAGATATCCCACGGCTTGAGAACGACATGCTTCTCCCACGCCTTGGACATCGATTTGGTTTGGTCATAGTCCATGGAAGTTTGGTCAAGCTTAATCGTCGAGAGCATGTTGATGATTTGCCTAATGTCCTTGTTGCTTCCTTCAATAAGGGCGTCGACAACCTGGAGGGGCAGCTTGAGACCCTCTCGATGGCAGATGGTCATGATGCGAGATCGGACTTGCTCGACTGTCGGCCGCCTGAATAGGATGTCGAAAGCCACGCCATCAAAGGGTTTCATCTTGGGCAATTTGCGTTCGTTGCATATCAAAATGAGCGGTATGTCTGTTTTCTTGCAAAACTTGGCCAATGCTCCGACACCACCTCGGTCACCGGCTGACATGCCGTCAACCTCGTCCATGATCAGAACGATGTTCTTCTTGGCATCTTCGACCTTTTTGCCATCACCAGCGAAATAGCCAAGTAGGGAGGTGTTGTTCATTACTTCACTGACCCCGTTCTCGACCATTTTCTTGCTTCGGGTGTCGCTGGCATTACTCTCAATGACATCGAAACCTGCCAATTTTGCTGCGAGATGCGCCGCAGTCGTTTTGCCAATACCAGGAGGACCGCTCAGAATGACTGCTCGATAGCCGCCCATGCCATCAGCTCCAAACTTCTTGAATTCGTATTTGCGGTTTTTGGGCCAGGCTTTTAGCCAATTCTGGATTCTCTCGACCGGAGTCTTGTTTCCGCAGATGTGATTGAGCTGAGAAGGCGCGTATTTGCTCGTCCATAGCTGTGAGTTGGCAGCAGGGGTTTGCGCTGGAGCAACCGCACCTCGCTGGACAGCGGCCTTGCGAACTTTCTCTGCCTCGATCTGGCGAGCTTTCTCTTCTCTCTCCAGCTCCGCAGCGGCTTCCCTGACCTTCTTCTCATCGGCCTCCTGCTTTTCCTTAGCCTTCGCAGCGTTCTTGGCAGATCCGCCATTCGCCGGTGCTTTCCGTATCAAGTCAAACAGACCGTTCTCGTCGATCGTCTTGATTCCATGCTCTTGGATTTTTCTGAGTTTTGAGGGTCCTGCGTCATCTCCCAGGACCACGAAGGTGGTTTTGCTGCTAGGTGCTCCCGTAACTTTTCCACCGAGGCGTTTCACGAGCGATTGTCCCTCATCTCGGCCAAGTGTCTTCAGCTGACCTGTGAAGACGAATGACATTCCAGTGAGACAGTTCTCCTCGCCCTCGGGGATATCAACTGTGCCCTCCATCGGCGCGGGGCCTGAATTGCCTCCCCCGGCAGCGGCCTTTCTCCAATCGAATTTCGCATCTGGGTCCTTGGGAGGCGGAGTCGGTGGTCTGACCGTGGGCACGGAATCGATGATTGCCTGAAAGCCGGCATCTTCCGGCTCTGCTTCCTTCTTCTTCCTCGGTGCTCGAGGCTTCGACGCCGCAGCTTTCTTCCGTGGAACCTCTTCGTCGAGGTCTTCATCATCGGAATCCGGAGATTTGCGCTTCTTTCCGCCGTTACCAGCCTTCTTTGGTGCTGGCGCGAAGTCCTCGTCTTCATCCTCGGATTCCTCTGCCTTGACAGGCTTAGATCGGGAAGCAACCCGCTTGGGCTTGGGTAAGACTTCCTCCTCGCTGTCTTCCTCGAGATATTGGTCGTTCTTTCTCTTATTTCCACTGCGCGCGTTGGCAGCGAAGATATCGTCTGCATCCTCGTCACCGTCCTCCATGTACGCATCCTCGTCGTCATTCAAATCAACCTTCTTGTGGGACGTGACAGCCTTGGGCTTTGCAGCAGGCTTACCCTTCGTAGGAACTGCGGCGGCGGCCTTCCGCGGACTCTGGCGGACAGGCACACTGGGTTTCTTGGGAGTGGACTCGGACTTCTTATTGTTTGACTTCGAGGACGAGAAGTAATCGTCGGCAGAGATCTCCTTCCCCTTCACTGGCTCTGATTCCGTGGCTTTCTTTTTTCTTGGCGTAGATCTTGACGCCGGCTTGTTCGGTTGTGCAATCGGTTCGTCATCCTCTTCGCTGTCATCGACGACCTTACGTGGTCTGCCACGGCCCTTCTTGGCAGGCTCCTCCTTCTTCGGCGCAGGCTTGGCCGGGGCAGCACCCCCCTTGGGAGTGAAGAAGCTTCGTATGTCAGGCATTGTGACCAGATGGGCGTGAGAGAATTGAGACTGTGTCCAGATTTCGTTGATGATCTCCAGTAAGGAAGATTCCACCGGGACGATTGGTTTGGCGGACCGACCCTCTGGGGATCGTGTTCCCGTTTGTTAAGGAAAGCAGAGGCAGAGGTCAGTCAGAGAGGAAGCTCGAGACGCGTGCGTGACGCGATGATTGCTCGGATCACTTAAAAATTAGTGGGTCACCCAAGGCAGACATGGCCCGAGCTCCTCCAACTCCGTGCCTGCCTTAGCATTTTCCGGAATTTGACATTGAGAAAGCAAGCACGGCGCAAGTCTACAACTCCCCACCCAGCGGCACCTCAGGTTGCGAAACCTGGGTCTCAACAGAAGATGAATCGGCAAGGCCCATCAACACTTCTCAATGCCCTCAGAGGGCTGAGGGTGTCCCCAGCGACCCCTCTACAACCCTTGTGCGCCACAAAGGTCTCTTGCCTGGCCGCCGCTGCCAGGACATTCACATCCACAGCCCCTCAATTGGGATCATGGCTGGAACCATTCATCGACCGAACGAAGAAGAAGATGAAGGGAAGACCTAGAGTAGCCACAGGAGGCTCTGTGAAAGGCACGACGATCATGATTGGAGACTACGGGCTGCGAATGATCGACCACCACAGGAGGATAAGCGCGGCACAACTGAAGCTCGCTGAGGCGACCATCAAGCAAAGACTTCGTGGGCAGAGATACCGGCTGTACACCAGAGTCAACTGCAATATCGGCGTCTACATCAGCGGAAACGAGGTTTGTCTGATTCCGTCTCTTTCTGCGGGTGTCGAGGGCAGCAGGACTGACACACGAGCAGATGCGTATGGGTAAAGGAAAGGGATCCTTCGACCACTGGGCAGCGAGAGTGGCAGTCAACCGTGTCATATTCGAGATCAGGGGGGCATTGCACGAGCAGGTTGCCCGGGACGCTTTCCGACTAGCTGGCAACAAGCTGCCCGGCCAGTACGAGTTCATCAAGAAGGGGGAGCCGGCTGTTGTTGGGATTACAAAGCTGGATGGCGTCACTCTTGAGGATCTGAAGCGACCACGAAAAGAGCTACCGACTGTGGAGGCACCAAACGTGACACCAGCAGTGACGACGACTCCGTCATCTGTTCCCCCATCGCCTCCCGCACCATAAGAATAGGGATGGCTTCGAATGTAACAAAAATACATCTAGCTGTATAATTCATATACCACGGGCTGCTGTTGCTAGAGCAGATGGACCAATTCCGGTCTGGAGTCCCCGGATCGAACAGAGATGCGTGCTCATCATTGGGGAGCTAGCTATCTCAAACTTAAAGCAGAGGGCAATCGAAAGCCCAAACCACGACATCTTATGGGGAGACCTCTACTGATATAGAGTTATGTGAGGGACAGAACTCAATAGAATCGAAATCCACCAATTGCTGCACATATGCAGACGAAATATTGATTGAGTATATAAGCTCGCCAACTGATAGCCTGTGGACGCCATAGGCAACCCTGCCCAGGTCGATCCAGCTGCTCATGCTGGTCTGCCACACACCTGGGCAAATGGCACTCGGAATTGAAGAAATTGAAACAAAGCCTGGTATGGCTGTGCTTCGGACGCAGGGCCGCCGATCCAACATCAGCATCAGCTATTCGCTGAATCAGGCGCTCAGATGTTGAATTGCAGCGGAAGATAGACACACCATCCCTCTATGCAGTCAAATTGAGTCATGTAGCCAGGGACAACAACAAATCCAGCTGAGATACCTCTTCAACCTTTCCGAACTTTGAGTTGCCATGTTGGTCTTCGGGTCTCTTGCTATTCGTGCTACTGCCTACGACCTGGCAATGAACAATTCAAACAGGAGGCTTCACCGAATTCATACTCCTGAAGCACTTGGTCGGGGAAATCAAAGAATTTCATTACCTATTTCTTCGATACTATTGTCTTGGTCTCACCAACCTCTCTGACCCCCCCCCCCTTCCCCACCCTCCAAAAAAAGAAAAGAAAGCCCTCCTATCATTTGCGTCATTGCTGGATATCCCATGTCTCGACAAGGCGAGGAGGTGAAAGACGGTACTCATTGCTATTTGATTGCGCCGGTCTGTTGTCAGGCTTTGGGTGTGAAGAGAAGAAAGTTAGTCCAAGCCCTAAATCAAAGTTTTAATTTGGCTGATAATGATAGTGGTATCTTGCAAGGTTGAACTTCTCGCTCGCGAGAATGTAGTATTGGTTGTGCCTCATCACTCCCTCAAATTTTCCCTCGCCGAACTTATTTGTCAACTAGGCAAACAACTGATCATTAGTATAGCCTTTTTTTTCGGACCTCGTAGTCTGAAATGATCGTTTCGATTCGCTGAGGCGACGCTTCCGGATTCTGTTTGCAATCTTCGGGTTGCTGAACTGGATTGTCCGCGATTTTCGAGTTGTCCATACTGTCGAGTTTTGGTTGTGGTATCTCAGTTTTCAAATGTTGTGTGTGCCGGCTGTTCACGTACTTGGGTCTCGAGTTGGTTCCCAAGTTCCGAGCCTGGATGTGTAGGCTCACAGGATGCTTATATACCTTGGAAATGGCTATACAGCTGATAATCCTCTGTAATGACATCGAACAAGTTGTAAAATAGCAGATTGAGTGAGATACATAGTTTCGTGACTTAACATGAACAATGAACTCCCCAGAAGCGTTGGTCTAAGATCCCTCCTGAGTGACCATTCATGAATAAGATGTTGACCTGGATCATACAACCAATGTTTCAACGCCTGAGTGCCTATCACATTGGAGATTGAGGCCCTTATGCCAAAGTCGATCGGCCTAAAGATCAGCATTGAGGAGCAAATTGCTATCCGCACGGGGTGCATACTGGCGTTGACAGCATGGCTTCAGACCACCCCGGGGTTCAGGCTGTAAGTGAGCGAAGTCGATCCACGCTCGACTCGTCTTTCGATATATGCTAAGAACTTTAGGACCGGTCGTGGTAACGTGTCTAAACGTTCAGTAGTTCGAAGTCATTCAGGTCTACTTATCCTGTGCTACCCACTGTGATGTGCAACGTGTGGCGGCTAGGGATGTTTACATTGAAAATCGATCCGGCTTAGGCAGAAGAGGCAACTAGTGCAGCGTTCACCAACATGGCCGCCTTCTAAGGCCATTTTGATGCGTGTCAGCAATCCACGTGCAATTCTCTTACACGGATGATACGGCGCCATAGAGTGCCCGCAAATCAGCTTCGGACAGGGGCCTCTGTCTAAAGCAGGCGCCCAAGGTCATGGGCGCTTAATCCTACTTAAATGTTGATATTCGCCCTCAAAAATTTGGCTCGTTCCAGTCGTAATGACCGTTTCCACCGAAGAGCAGTCCAGCGTAGCTCAGGCAACTCTACAATTCAAGTCTAGTAATACCTTGCCAACATGTTCTTCTCGCTGGCCTCTCTGCTCGCGATAGCACATGTAGTTGCTGGAATATGTTACTGGCCCAATGGATCCGTCGACACATCGGGCTACGAATGCAACACTACAGCGGTAGCTCAAGGTGGGCATACCTCATGTTGCTTGCACAACGATGCCTGTTACGAGAGTGGTAGTTGTTTCCAGGACTGGTCAGGCATTATGTATAGGCAGAGCTGTACCGATCCGGATTGGAAGGATCCGAGTTGTCCGCAGTATTGTCTCCAGAAAGGTGAGATACTATACATCCCAGCGCTTGTGCTCTGTCGCTGACTTGAGTTCGTCTCTGCTCGCAGACCAATTGGAAGTCGGAGTCTGGATCCAGTCCTGCAGCCTACAAGACATGAAGGCATGCTGTGTGACGGATGCTCCTAGTGCAAGCTGCTGCAACGACACCAGCAACTTGTTCACCTTCACGCCGGGTTATATACAAGCGGTCATCAACGGCGACGGTACGAATCGCCTAGGCCCATATGTTGCGGCAGATCAGAAATCCGCGTCGACCACGACAACACCAGCGGGGTCTGAAGCCAATTCCTCTATTGATGCATCTGCCAGCACCATTGCCGCTGCCACCACCGGTGACACAGATGCGCTGCCGACTTCTGTCAGAGACGCCATCATTGCAGTAGGAGCTGTCCTCGGAACAATCCTCTTGATCTCACTTGTGTCACTGGTATTTGTGTGGCGGAAGTATTCTCAAGAGAGACAACTGCGACGTGAGGACCGAGAGATAACGAGGCGGCAACAGAAGGAAGATTGGCCTCAACACACATATCAAGGCACATTCCAAGGAGACGGAACGGACGTGGCAGGAGCGAGAGGCGAAATGTACGCTGGGGAGCCCAAGGGTGCATGGTCCCAAAGGATACATGAGCTGCCTTCATCTCATAAGATTGGCGAGCTAGATGCTCAGTCCTAGAACTGCGCAGTGTCAAACAAGTCGTCAAGGAGGCGATTCTTAATAACATATTTAACACATTCCACACGAAAATTTCTCGTTCGTCTCTAATAATAACCACAGTGATGAGCTTCATGATTCTATTTGCCTAATACTTACGGCTTAGAGGCTGTAGTGTAGATGTAAGCCATGCTGAGGAAGCCCCACTCTACAGGGAGCCCCTGCTCAGCTACAAGGGTGGGTCCAATTAACCCGCTGGATCGTCTGCCTGTGCGAGACGCGTCGCGCAAACCGCGACTTAACTTTTGAAGGCCCGTCATCACTCCGCCTATATTTCGGCCGCCAACACAGCGCCTTGTAATCACGTCCGCAGCAGTTTTGGCGTCGAGACGTGCTGCCGAGTGACGTCTTACGTATCAGAGAGAAAGGAATTCAATTCAACATGGCGTTAATCGTCGACAAGCATCGGCCAAGGTCTCTGGACCAACTCACTTACCACACAGAGCTCTCCGAGCGGCTCAGAGCACTTGTACGTAACGCTCACTGGTGATGGCTGACTACACGACTTCCTACTGACACGACCTTCCTGTCAGGCTCAAAGCGGCGACTTTCCCCACCTCCTCGTCTACGGACCATCCGGCGCCGGCAAGAAGACCCGCATCGTCGCAACACTCAAAGAGCTCTTCGGCCCCGGCGTGGAGAAAATCAAGATCGACGCGCGCGTGTTCCAGACGACGTCTAACCGCAAGCTCGAGTTCAACATCGTCGCCTCCGTCTACCACCTCGAGATCACGCCCAGCGATGTGGGCAACTACGACCGCGTGGTGGTGCAGGACCTGCTCAAGGAGGTCGCGCAGACGCAGCAGGTCGACCAGGCGGCCAAGCAGCGCTTCAAGGTCGTCGTCATCAACGAGGCAGACCACCTGACGCGGGACGCACAGGCAGCGCTCAGGCGGACGATGGAGAAGTACAGCCCCAACCTGCGTCTGATTTTGCTGGCCAACTCGACAGCCAACATCATTGCGCCAATTCGGTCGCGGACGCTGCTAGTGCGGGTCGCGGCTCCCACGCATGAGGAGATATGTACGGTTTTGGCCTCATCGGCCAAGAAGGAGTCGTGGCCTGTGGTCAAGGGCCTCCACCAGCGCATAGCCGAAGAGAGTGGACGAAACCTGCGGCGGGCACTGTTGATGTACGAGGCTGTACATGCGCAAAAGTACGTTGGTCCAGCATCTTCAGACTTCTTGTCGAGCCGGGGTGCACACCTGCTAACACCGCTGTCCTGTAGTGAGAAAGTCACCGACGCGACGCCACTCCCGCCCCCGGACTGGGAGGCTCTTATCCACCAGATTGCCAGAGAGATCATGGAGGAGCACACACCCGCCAGGGTGCTGTTGGTTCGGGCGAAGCTCTACGACCTCCTCTCGCACTGCATTCCGGCCACCACCATCCTCAAGACTCTCACGTTCAAGCTTCTGCCATTGATCGATGATGCCCTGAAAGCCGACGTCATAAAATGGTCGGCCTTCTACGAACACCGGATCAAGACGGGTACCAAGGTCATCTTCCACCTTGAGGCCTTTGTGGTGAAGTTCATGCGGATACTGGAGATGTATCTGATGAGCATGGACTTCTGAAGGATGTCATAGGACGGATGTGAATTGACGCTGGTAATAGTGGTGGCTGTCTCATCGATCATATTGCTGCAATGAGCGCGTCTGCATGGATTAAGAAGCGCCGGGCACCTCGGGCAGGGAGGCCTCATGAGTTACACGGAATGAGAGGACACATGGTATTGTTTCCGGAAGACCAATTTTATCACACGCGAAGGCGTTCGGGACCAAGGCGTTCGCAAGAGCGGTAAAAAGTACCTGGAGGGAAGGTTTGCTTGAAGCTTGCTAGCGCCCGGCAAGCCACCGGCCGGAATGAATCAGAGGCGTCTCGATATGGAAACCATTACACACAAGCGAGAAGCTTGTGCCGGTCAAGCAGCCTTGCATTTGTTGGGAGGCGTGCCACCATGCTGCAGCGGTGCACGCATTTTGTGTACTGCGGAGAATATGCAGTGCACTGCAAGAGGCTGCTTACAGACAGCTAGCCACTGCTTGGGCAGCCCAGCTTGCCCCATAAGGTCCGATTGCGCAGCAGAAGAAGTGCTGTGGATCTGTGGTGCAGTCGCGTGCTGCATGTTACATTGGCTGAAGACTGCGGGACGACAGCGCGGGATGAAGCGCGTTTTGTAGCCCACAGATTAGACCCTGACCTGAATTTGATCGTCAACAATCAAACCACTTGGACAGAACAATTCAATTATCATCTTGTTTTTGGCGGGCACGACGACTATCAGCTGCAGTCACCGTACTGACCCTGAGGAACCAGTGACCACCGAGCGAGGGCCAAGGTAACTCTATCGTTCAGCTATGCCATCGCACAAAGAAATATGTAGCTCGTCGCTCGGCTTGGCTGCCCAGCCCTGTGACAGGTTGGACAAGGGTGAAACTATAATCGCTAGCTGTCTGGGCCTGCATGGGGTGCTGGCTTCCTTTGGTCCATGAGAGGTGCATCCTTGCGCCGAATTGGCTTTCCGCCGGCGAGGTCAGCTCTTGTGCAGCTTGACCCAGACCCGGGAGTCTGGGCGCAAGGCGGTCATTCGTCAGATGGGCTCCTGGCCCTCCTTGAATCATCCTGTGCCAGCGAGCCAGCTAGCTCGGGTGTGAAGTCATCAGGGCTGGGCCGTGCGACGGCGGGGGAGATCCTGGGGCACGGTACCTGAGAGCTCGAGGGGCACGGGTGGCAGGAAGTGTCGCATCTTCTGTTCACCTAACCTCGGACACCCAGTGGATGAGCATTGTGACATCCGGATGTTGCCGCCAGACAACCGCAACCCACGAGCGGTATAGGGTCCAGCTCGCTCTCTAACAAAGTCCGAACTACAGCGAAGTATCAGCGGAGCTGTCTGAGCGATTTGTTGAGCTCGAACCTGTCAACCTGTCTGGGTCTGTATGGGAGAAATCCCGTGCATCCAGCGGCTAATGGTCGGGGCCAATACCCAAATGGACGGTATAGGTAGTATATACGGGCCAGTCAGCGAGCGCGACCAACGACAATACCTGCAGTTGTGCTGACGGTAGTGCACGTAAGTTGCCGTCTCCACCAGCACGTCAGGTCCTTGTTGGTTGACGATCTCTCGGGGCTGTACCAATGTACCCACGGGCACTGTTGGTCTGATCCCAAACGAAAGTCCAGAGCCCAGAGACCGGCTCTAGGGACCGTCGAAGGGGATGGGCCCATTGATATTTGAATTAACAGCCTGCATACTGTCGGCTACCTACTGCAATGGGCGGTAGGGGTTCGGCGGCGGTCCAGTCGAAGGCCCCGTGCCCACCTCTCCACGATTCATCCCCTACCGCGCCGGCGCTACCCCAGGCCAGAAGGATTGATGCGGGGAAGCTTAGGAGCACTTGGGAGTAGCTTGGCGTTCCGGCTTTGTTCGTGGCTGCCTTTAGCGGCTGGATGGGCTGGATCAGACACGCCTGCCTGTCTCTCTCGGACGTTGGGGCTGAAAGGGGGGTGTGGAGGGGTTGCATGTGCCGGCGAAAGGTGAGGTGTCTGCGGGCCTGGACGTCAAACCTTCTTCCAACCGTTGTCCCGAAAGCTTCTTTGGTTGGAGTCATGGCCCGTGGCCGGCTAGGCGCCTTGCTTTGCCGAGCGTCTGTTCGGCTTGGTTCTACATAGTACAAGCCTGCAGGTCCCTACTGAACCGGGGCGATATCGCATCGAGCATTGTCGACAGTAGGGTCCTCTGACTCTGACGAGGTGGGTGTGAAGGGGACCGAGGGGAGGGACTAAGGGGTCTGGCCAGAGCATAAAGGGGGGCTGAGCCTGGCTGGTGTCGAACGACTTGGCGCTGAAAGTCTGGCGATGGGGCCAGGCTACCCAGGAACAGTGACGCATCCCAAGGCTGCTGGATTGCCAATCTCGTAGACAACTCAACAATCCCTCCGCAGATGGCAGGTCCCAGTCAGAGGGAGGCCGACTTAGGAGCCCATGGCCAGATAATCGCCAGAGTGATGGGGTTTTCGGGCTCTCGGTTCTCGGTCTCAGACGTTGAGGCGCGATGCATACATACAGAGAGCCCCGATGGAAAGCCGGAGAGGTCACAGCTGGCTGTCAAAGCGAAACAGTGAGCTTTCTGCCCTCGGGAAACGAGACGATAAAGCATGAGTTGAGAACAGAGCGTCTCGAGAGCTCCGTGGCTGCGAGCTTACTGGCCTAGACCCTAGCTGCCGCGTCTCTCGCTTCGTAGGCTTGGGTAGGGGCTCATCTGAGGAACGAACGAGGTCGACGGAGTCCGGACAGACGGAAAAGTTGTCGCTGAGAACCCTCGCTCCTCACCTCATGGCAGTGGGGAGTCAATCCCGGCCGGGTGGAATTGCTCTGCACTAGCTCGAAGACCCCCGTCCGGGTGGGTATGGATTCATTCCCGAACAGGCAGTGTTCGGACACAAGGGACGAGGGGCCTGCGTGCATACTGCGGTAGGAGCAAGAGGTTGAATTGAGTGACTGACCAGTGACCAGTGGCCAGCGACCACTGGTCTGGATTCCTCCCAGTAGCAAAATAATACAAAGCTACCCCCCCTTGACCTCGCCCTCCGTGTCTTAGCCCTGGCTCTGTCTTCGACTTCTCCGTCTTCTATTTCTTTCTTGCTCAGAGACTCGAGAAACCTCTCTCACTCCCTCGTACCTCCTCTCTTGACCAGCTTCAGAAGCCCACCACTTATCCTCTGCAGCTCTTGACGTTGAGAACTTAGGTCCGCGGATACGGAAATAGACCTAGACCCTCATCAAGCATTCTCACGCCCCCAGCTCACTCCAGTAGCTACCCCGCCATCACTACAAACACCAACAGAGATACCCAGACCTCGCCACTGCTCATCATGGCTGAAGGCGCGCCCAAGGCCCCTGTGGTCGCAGAGGCCCATGAGGTCGACACCTTTCGTGAGTCCTGCTGCGTCCAGAGCCAGGCTGGCTGTTGCTCCGGCCGCTCTGGCGCTCAGACAACGTGGAATCTGTTGACGAGACGCTAACAACTGCTGCTACAGATCCCCCCCAGAAGATGCTTGACAGTACGTGCACCGTGATTCTTGAGTGACTCCGCGTCAACTCCATGCTAATTGGAATCCTACAGAGCATCCCAGCAAACCTCACCTGTCTGGTAAGTCTGCAATGTGTTGGGAAATGAAACCCCACTGCTAGAAACACCGCTGACAGTGGATCAGGCCTGGAGGATTATCAGCAACTCTACAAGCAGTCAATTACGGAGCCAGACAAGTTCTGGGGCACCAAAGCCAGGGAGCTCCTGACCTGGTCCAAAGACTTCCAGACTGTGCACACCGGAAGCCTCGAGAACGGCGACAATGCCTGGTTCCTCGAGGGCGAGCTGAACGCCTCTTACAATTGTGTGGATCGCCATGCAGCTAAGGACCCCGACCGCGTCGCCATTATTTACGAGGCCGACGAGCCGAGCGAAGGCCGGAACCTCACCTACTCCGAGCTGCTCCGAGAGGTATGCAGAACAGCCTGGGTGCTGAAGCAGATGGGCGTGAAGAAGGGCGACACGGTTGCCGTCTACCTGCCAATGATTCCAGAGGCTCTCATTGCTCTGCTGGCCATCACTCGTATTGGAGCCGTCCACTCCGTTGTGTTCGCCGGTTTCTCCTCAGATTCCCTTCGCGACCGTGTCATAGATGCCCAGTCCAAGGTTGTCATCACCACCGACGAGGGCAAGCGTGGTGGCAAGCTCATTGGCACCAAGAAGATTGTGGACGACGCTCTGAAGCAGTGCCCAGACGTCAGCCATGTGCTTGTGTACAAGCGCACAGGAGCCGATGTGCCATTCACCCAGGGGCGGGATTGGTGGTGGCACGAGGAGGTTGAGAAGTGGCCTGCGTACATTGCCCCTGAGCCTATGAACTCGGAGGACCCACTCTTCCTCCTGTACACTTCTGGGTCGACCGGCAAGCCCAAGGGCGTTCTGCACACCACGGGTGGCTACCTCCTAGGTGCCGCCATGACAGGAAAATATGTGTTCGATATCCACGACGGAGATCGCTACTTCTGTGGCGGAGATGTCGGCTGGATCACAGGACATACCTACGTCGTTTATGCGCCTCTCTTACTCGGAGTCTCAACAGTCGTCTTCGAGGGCACACCAGCGTACCCCAACTTCTCAAGATACTGGGAGATTATCGATAAGCACCAGGTGACACAATTCTATGTCGCGCCTACCGCGCTACGGTTGCTCAAGCGTGCTGGCGACCATTTCGTGAAGAGCAGCATGTCCCACCTCAGGGTTCTCGGCTCAGTCGGCGAGCCTATTGCCGCCGAGGTATGGAAGTGGTACTTTGAAGTTGTCGGAAAGGAGGAGGCACAGATCGTCGACGTAAGTTCCCCAAACACCACCAAATTATGAACCCGCGGCAGTGATATTGACTCTGTGTAGACTTATTGGCAGACCGAGACGGGGTCCAACGTCATCACCCCTCTTGCAGGTGTTACGCCTACTAAGCCTGGCTCTGCGTCTCTCCCATTCTTCGGTATTGAGCCTGCCATTATCGACCCTGTATCTGGCGAGGAGATCCACGGCAATGACGTTGAGGGAGTTCTGGCATTTAAGCAGGCATGGCCTAGCATGGCCCGTACAGTATATGGCGCGCATAAGCGTTATATGGATACATACCTGAATGTTTACAAGGGCTACTATGTGAGTACAGTCCCCCTTCACTTGTCATTGCTACTTGCTAATAATCTGCAGTTCACTGGTGATGGTGCCGGCCGAGACCACGAGGGTTTCTACTGGATCCGTGGTCGTGTTGATGATGTTGTAAACGTCTCTGGCCACCGTCTGTCAACCGCCGAGATCGAAGCCGCACTGATCGAGCACCACTCAATCGCCGAGGCTGCCGTCGTGGGTATCAACGACGAGCTGACTGGCCAGGCAGTGAATGCGTTCGTGGCCATCAAGGACGGTACCGAGGCGAGCGATGCCCTCCGCAAAGAGTTCATTCTGCAGGTGCGTAAGAGCATCGGGCCGTTTGCGGCACCCAAGGCGGTCTACATCGTGCCGGACCTGCCGAAGACGCGGTCGGGCAAGATCATGCGGCGTATCCTGAGGAAGATCCTGGCGGGCGAGGAGGACCAACTGGGAGATATCTCGACCCTCTCAGATCCGACAGTGGTGGAGAAGATTATCACTATAGTCCACAGCGACCGGAAGAAGTGAGCGAGGGAAGCTATCCTGCGGTAGCAGATCTGAACATGATTTCAGTTCTCACGGGTGAATCCCGGAGTGAATGGCGGTGCTTGAGACTTTTACGCATGACGATGCTTTGTAATATCAAGACGATATCTTTGGGGAGGAGGGATCGGAGTGGCGAAGTCTACTTCTTGCGTTCATACATACAGAGACTTGATTATCAAAGCCATCTAGCCGGATTTAAGAGATACGACTGCCCCGATCAGAGACAAGTCTCGGCCGTGCGCCTCGCGTAGTTTGTGCGTATTTACGACCTTTCTTGGCTGTGGCATCATCACCTCGTAGGATAGGGCCCACCGCCTGTGCGTGCACCGCACACAGAACAGTTCTGGAAGTCACAGCGCAAAGGGCCCCAGAAAAAAAGTTTAGAAAGTCAAGTGCCGTGTCTTCCAAGGACTCGTCATCCCCCAGCTTGGCAACAGTCGGCCAGCGTCCGTAGCGGGCTTGGGAGCAAAAAGGATTGGGAGTGGGTGTGGCATAGCCGGCCGCCTTTTCTCTCTCTTATCCACCAAGCAAGCTTTCCGATTGCCCCGCCGCTGTGACTGCCGTCACCACTTCCCCCCTCCTCTCGCTCACCTCCAGAGGTTAAGTGATAGTAAGCTGACCTCTTGTTGGTAGATAGCTGGAGGGCCAAGAACTGTCTACGCTCTCCCTTGGTGGCTGTGTAGGTTGCGTCGTTCGGTCCTAACAGGGCGCACAGTGTGCTCGACACGGTTTGGAAGGAGGGCAAATCTCACGTATCACAAACTCCGATGAGGGAGGGAGGGGGAGGGTTTCCCGGGTCATTCGGGTTTGCTAGGGGTGCAGTCATTGGCTTGCGTTGTCAGTAGTAGAGGACGATGGATGAACATGCCTGGCGAGATGCTGGGCGGGTGGTTTTGGTGGTGTTTGGGCACTGGCTAAGCATCATCCGCCTGGACAAGTAGTAACGGGTGTGTGAGTGCGAGTTCACGGCCGACGAGTTATATATTCAGTAAACTATTGATACACCCTGACACAATACCCAGGGTTCGCTAATACTTTACGATGTTGATAATTTGTTCGCGCGGTCGAAAGGGGCCCATCTCGTGTCGGGCGAATTGCCCTTTGTCTGCCCGCCCAGGCCTACCCTGGCAAATGCGTTGCCTAGAGGCGTTACATTGGTCCTCTCGGCTGACGGCTCTTGAAACCCATCCGAAGCTCAGGGTTGATCTGCGCTAAGCTGACAGACCCATCCCTGCCACGTCCCCTCTCTGATTTGCCTGCTTGCCTGCGAAGGGGTGCTGAACCACAGCCCTGTGGTTTGACATGTCTAGACCGCGTACACTTTTCAAGCACGTTCAAAGACGTGTGGATTTCTGCATCTCTGGTCGCTTCGATAAGTACGATGCTGGCAGCTGCTGTTTTCTCGTCCCATCACTCAAGCTCTCGGCAGATTCAACTCGGGCAGTTGTTGAATCGCTCGGGCGGCCCGAATCCTCGAGGCTAAAGTGTACCATGCACCAAAAGTACATGCTAGTCTACTTGCGTATGTCCAATACGTACAATCAGTGCAGTCTAGTTTGCTGTATACCCAGGCAGTACAGAGTTGTCCCATGGACAGAGCAAGCGGCGCCTAGAGAAAGATCATGCAGTTGTAAGCGGACTGGCGACCCCAGAGTTTCGTGTCATCCCGTCTGAAGTATCTGGCTGGCTCGCCTGCACCGCCGGGGGCCCTCCTAGTCGCCGTACCCCTCAGGTGCAGGCCCCGGCCCAGCCCTGACAAGACATGCGAATCACACATCCCATGTAGCGAGCCGAATTGTCGGTTCCAGTCTCGAGTCTGTCGACTGAGTGCAGCTAGCTGACGGTGAAGGATTGGTTCGCGAATTGGTCGGTAGGTTGGTCTGTTGGTTGGTTGTTTGGCGGCCACCAGAGCGGATCAACAGACGTCTCTTCCGGCATCGTCCAGTCTAATTGTGGACAGCAATCTACGATATAGGTAAACTTGCGGGATGCACGCACGCGCGCACACCCATATTAAGGTTATCGGACTTTAGATTTCTAAGTGTGCTTGCCAGCTCGGTTCCTACCCACCAGCTAAAGTAGCCCCCGTCGTATGGTCTCTCTTGTCGCCCGTGTTCCATTCCAAGGCACTGTGCGTTGTTAGTACATGCTGCCAAGATCCCTCGGCCAACAATCGTGCACATCTGAGATGATGCACCGCCTCCCTATTGCCTCGCCTAGCGACGCAGGCCGCCTTGGGACTTGTTGGAGGGCAGATGGGGACGGGGCAAATGAGCGCCCAGTGGAACTGATGAGACTGGAGCCTCGGGCACGAGAAAAAGAGAGAGGGCCCCCCCAGCCAGCCAGCCCTCCTGCCCTCCAAGATGCCAGCCCACCCTAACCACCTTCTATATGCCTGCTCGCCCGCGGGTCCACTCATTCAATCTATTGCCCAGATCCCCAGCGTTTTGCCTCTGGCCCATCCCGACAACATCGGACCGACCTAATAAGTCCTAGCCTCCTGCCTCCTCCTTCCTCACTCCGCAACGCAAATTATCCTCTTGCGCAACCACCCGACGTTGTTCAACTTCTACGAGGTCTGACCACCAGACTCTATTCTGTCTTTACTTGCATTTGTGGCCGATCACACCTTCGTTTCCCAGATACCACCAGCACAGCACGACACAAAGTAACACGCAGTCCTACTCGGGAGGCGCGCTGCTACTTCACCTCTTACCTTGTCAACGGATCGAGTCCAGAGACCCGGTTGGCGTGTTGCCCAATCCTTATTTATCTACAATCTCACACATACCTATGTTGACGAAAATATATTCGGCGCATAAGTCTTAGAACGCAAAAGACTTAGGTGCTGATTATGAAGCCCTTTGGCAGGCTCGCACTTGCGATTGCCAGTCTCCTAATAATCCCATCTGCGATAGCCGAATCGAGACAGCGGAACCCGCTTCGGACTGTGACCCGCCTCGAGTCTCCCACCCTCATAGCACCCTCACACCGAGTCCATGCCCACTCTCACTTCCAGGCAACCTTCTCCCTCGGCGACTCGCCACAAAAGGTGAGGTTATCGCTCGAGCCCAACCACGATGTTGTCGCCGAGGGTGCCACAATCACCTACCTGGGTGCCGATGGCAAGATCCAGAAGACCGAGCCCATCGACCGCTTAGATCACCGTGTATTCAAGGGTAAAGCCTTTGTCCAGTATCCGGGAGAGACCGAGTGGGTCAACGCCGGTTGGGCAAGAATACATGTCCACAGGGACGGGCCGGAGCCCCTGTTTGAAGGAGCCTTCCAGGTGTACGGCGACCACCACCACATTCAGACCAACACCAACTACCAAAAAACTCGCCTCAGGGACGATCCCGAGATTGAACCGGCGTCCGATGAGTACTTGATTCTGTGGAGGGACTCGGATCTCAAGGTCGATGCGGCGTCCCACAGCCCCGACGAGCTCAAGCGAGCGCTAGCTGAAAAGGAGACATGCACTTCCGATCACCTGGACTACAACGCCGATGCGAACCATCCCATCTACCGTAGTCTCGACGGCCTTGACGGTTTCAATGGCCTCGAAGAAAGGTCGTCGTGGTCATCGATGGCCTCGAATATGCTGTTCGGGCGGCAGATGGACGGCACGACGGGTGGGAACGGTGCAGGCGCGAACCTGGTCTCAACCATCGGTTCGACCTCCGGGTGCCCGACGGCCAGGAAGGTCGCTTTGATTGGCATTGCCACCGACTGCACGTACACGGCCGAATTCGACGGCAACGAGACAGCTATCAGGTCCAATATCATCAACCAGGTCAACACAGCGTCCCAGCTGTATGAAAGTACCTTCGACATCTCCTTGGGGATACGCAATCTTACCATCAGCCCCCAAGCTTGCCCAGCCACCGCCAGCTCTGACGCGCCATGGAATGTCGGCTGTTCCGATTCTACCACCATTACCGACCGCCTCATTCTGTTCTCGGAGTGGCGCGGCCAGCATGAAGACAACAACGCGTACTGGACTCTGATGAGCACCTGTGGCACTGGATCAGCTGTTGGCCTGGCCTGGCTTGGTCAACTCTGCACGGTTGGCTCTTCGACCTCGTCCAGTGGCGGCAACGAGACAGTTGCAGCAGCCAATGTTGTCGTGCGAACAGATGGATCCACCGAGTGGCAGGTCTTCGCCCACGAGACTGGGCACACCTTTGGCGCTGTCCACGATTGCACCTCTACGACGTGCGCAGACGGCACGTCGACCAAGCAGCAGTGCTGTCCGCTCAGCTCGAGCTCCTGTGATGCAAATGGCCGCTTTCTCATGAACCCCTCTACCGGAACTGGCATCACGCAATTTTCAGCATGCAGTATTGGCAACATCTGCTCGGCTCTGGGGCGCCAGAGCGTCCAGAGTACTTGCTTGACAAATAACAGGGATGTTGTGACCATCACCGGAAGCCAGTGCGGCAACGGTATCGTGGAGTCAGGGGAAGATTGTGACTGTGGCGGAGAAGCGTCATGCGGCAACAACACATGCTGCAATCCTACAACTTGCAAATTCACCACAAATTCGGTCTGCGACCCGACCAACGAGGAGTGCTGCACCGATCAGTGTCAATTTTCTAGCAGTGGCACTATCTGCCGTGCTAGCACAGGTCTCTGCGATCCCGAAGAAACCTGTCAAGGGAACTCGTCTTCATGTCCGACTGACAATAATGCGCCTGATGGGACAAGCTGCGGGGATGGCCTGCAGTGCGCCACGGGCCAGTGTACGTCCCGGGACCAGCAATGTCAGTCCCTCATGGGTTCTCTGGTGACGAACAACAACACTGAAGCGTGTGGTTCCTCGAGCTGCCAGATTCAATGCCTCAACAACAATGTTTGCTATGAGCTGAACCAGAACTTCCTGGATGGCACCACGTGTGGCGGTGGCGGCAAGTGTAACAACGGAGTGTGCAAGGGCGCCAGCGCCGGTGACGAGATTCTGTCGTGGATTAACGACAACAAACAAATATTTATCCCCGTTGTGTCTGTGGTGGGTGGTCTCATCGTCCTGGCGATTGTCACCTGCATCTTCTCCAGGTGTCGTCGGAGCAGTCGATCTAGGAGGCGAGGACCTTCGAGGGCGCCCAAGCCCCCACCAGGATGGGGACAGATACCACCGCCCCCACCTGCTATGAGCAGAGGACCGAGATCAGACCCCTTCATGAATGGACCTCCTCCATCGTATAATCAAGGTGGTTACCAGCCGTACCGAAATGCACGGTACGCCTAGAAAGGAATACACTCCACCAGAATAGTCGAATCGGAATACTATTCGACGGAAGGGCCGTCGTTAATCACGCCTGATACGAGAGGGGAGTCTTACACAGCATTAGAAAAGGCTGGCAGGCTACCACCACTATTTTCCCTGCATGGAGACGGCGTTCAACGGGCATTGATAGGAATGGAACAAGGGGCCTGGCAAGGCCCCCCGGATTACCTCGAGAGACAGTATCTGTTCTGTAGCCACTTTATATAGTCAAATGCATTCTTATTGTTCACTCTGGCTCGCAGCCATTCATGCAACCCTTCGGACAGCATAGCAATGTCACGTCTACCTGAATCCTGCGGTTTGCACTCGCTACATTAGGGGCATCTCCGACACAGAAATGAGGACTCGTATGAGCTTATGAGCATGCAAGCCCTTCCGATTTCGCTATAGGATCTACAATGTGGTCGTAAAGTCGTAATTCATTGCTACTGTACAGCGTCACCGACAGCCCCTCCCACCTCCCCTTCTGCCTTCCTAGTCTAGCCTACCGCCTCCCACTCCTCGAGCCACCATCTCCCCGGCCACGTTGCTGCTGCTGCTGCTGCTGCTGCTGGCGGGAAGACGAAGAGCGCAAGGGCTGCTGGCCCTGGCCCTGGTACTTCTGCTGCGGGTAGCCGCCGCCACCGGGCATCCGTGTCTCCGGGATCGAGTCGTCGTCGTCTTCATCATCGTCCTCGTCCTCGTCGAGGCCACACATGATCTTCTTGAACCTGAACCGCGTTGCCGGGAGGGTCTGGAGGGGTTTGGGCTGGTGTGAGCAAGCAGGCTGCGGCTGCTGTGGATGAGAAGGGTGATGTGATGTGATGTGATGTGGTGGGTTATAAGTGAGGATATAGGCAGACAGAGCAGGGGAACATGAAATAGAAAGCGAAGGTAGGCTTACGGCGCCGCTGCTCTGAGCATACATCATCAGCAGCTCCGGGTTGTCGAGCACCGTCTCGGCCCAGTCGCGCCGCTCGATCTTGGTGAAGGGCTCCTTGGGCTGCCTGTCGGGTGTGCAGTGTGATCAGCAGGGTTCACGGTGTCATCTCATCTCATCACATCCGGGGAAGTAAAATCAAACGAACTACAACAGCTTCACCCCTTGAGGACACATACCTGGATGAAGCAGTGCGGTGGTGGTGGTGATGGGAGTGTGAGTGGTGGTGGTGATGATGGCTGCCCATCCTGCCGCCGCCCATGCGCTCGGGGCTGAGGTCGCTGGCGTCGGAAGCGTCGCCGGCGTAGGGGTCCTTGCCGCGGGCCTGGAGGTCGCGCATCTCGTCGGTGAAGGGCTGGTCCATCATGTCCGCCGGGGAGCCGCCGCCCCAGTGGCCGCCGCCGTGGAAGGGCCCGCCGCCGCGAGGCGACGACGAGGCGAGGCGGGCGGTCGAGCTCCGCGAATGCGAGAAGGGGTTCTGGGAGGATGACATGGCGACCCCCGGGTTCCTGCTCTGTGTCTGATATGTGAGTTGGGGCGGGGAGGGAGAGGGGGAGAGAGGTAGATGTGGTATATGGCGCTCGCTGTGAGGATCAGCGGTGGTCATGAGCTGAGTAAATCGTTGATTACTCTAGGCGCTGCTTTCCTGCAGTGTATAGCACTACACGCATGTGTTGGGGTTTGGAGGGCCGGCGGTAGTGGAGGCGCTACCACGGAAGAGGCAACTAACACGCCCTGGTTCCCTGGCGGTGGGCAGTGGGCGGTGGCAGGCCCCGAATATCTAGCTGCGTGGGCTTGCAGCTGCTGTGCCACGCCACGCCTCGCTCGTCTTTGCTTCTCTCGTCCAAGGCATCCAACGGAGTCTGCATGCTATAACCGTCGTGTGGCCAGCTAAGTATCATTCATGCCGCCGGGCTGCTGCAAGTCCAGGGACTGGACAAACGGAGGTCAAAGGCGACAAACCAAACGACGTAACCTACGCCCGACTGGAGTGCTGCCGTGAAGCTCATCTGCTGCCCATGCGGGCGAGCATCGCTCTTTGAAACTCATCACCATGCTTCACTCGTTCCAAAGGAACTCGATGATCAAATGATGTGCACCAAAGACTCGGATTTGGACAATGGCATTGTGCAGCACAACGGCTCCGGGGGTGAGGACCAGCCAACACCAGCCAACAGCACCAAGATCCTCGGTTTGTCAACCAACTCGTTCCCAGCCGAGTCTCTATTGTCTATCTAAGCTGCCAGAACTCCCAAAAAAATGACACATCAATTTCATGCAGACTTCCACCGCAGCAGCGTGATTGAGTGCTTGGGGAACACGAAGCTGCCTTGGCCATCCCATTCGGTCTGCTTGACCACAACCTCCTCCTTGCCCGCAACGTTGACCACGCTGGGATCCGCCCCGTTGACCGAATGAACCTCGACCTTGCCAGACACGCCCTTGAGCGTCGTCTCGAAGTCCTGCTTGTCGTTGATGTTGACGGCCACGACGTTCACATATCCCTTTTCGTCAGCCACGGCGCTGACGTCCAGCCACGGTGCACCCTCCTCCAGCACGCCCTGCAGCCATGCCGGCGTCGTCTCTCCCGTGTAGGAGCCGCACTTGACGTGCGCTGCGACGGTCCAGCCCCGCATGTACCGGCTGAAGAGCAGCAGCGGCCACCAGATTGTCTGCTTGACGATGCCGTCCTTGCTCGTCATGAGCGGCGAGATGACGTTGACTGACTGCGCGATGTTGGCCATGCCAATGTACTTGCTCTGCCGGATGAACACGTTGAGCCAGATGGCCACCGCCAGCGCGTCCGATAGGTTGTACTTCTCCTCAGCTCCCTTATCGCCAGGAGCACGCTCGGGGTCCCAGACATTCCACTCGTCGAAGCAGATCTTGACTGGTGGCTTGGAGGGCGCGACGTTATTCTCGATGCGCGCGATGTCGATAAGCGAGGCCGCTGTCTGGATGGCCCGCTCCGCCGACAGGGGCGCCGTCACGTTGTGGAGGTGCTTTGCCGACGCCGTGTAGATGTGAATCGAGTGCATGTCCACGACCGACACGCACTCCTTGAGCACGTGGTGGTCCCACGACGTGTGGCCCGTCTCTCCACACAGGATCAGGCAGAGGCTGGGGTCCAGCAGCCGCAGCGCCTTCGCCCACTGGAACGCCTTCTTGGCGTAGTCCTCCTTGGTCATCTGCTCGACCTGCCACGGGCCCCAGATCTCGTTGCCCAGCGCCCAGTACTTGACGTTGTACGGCTCCGGGTGCCCGTTCTGCCGCCGCAGGTTGGCATAGTACGTGTCCCTGGTGCCGTTGCAGTAGTCGACCCAGGCGAGCGCCTCGTCCAGCGTCCCGGTGCCCATGTTCAGGCAGATGTAGGGCTCGACGCGCTTCTCCTTGCCCTCGCTGAGCACATCGAGCCACTTCATGAACTCGTCGGTGCCGAACGTGTTGGGCTCCGTGCCCAGCCATGCCAGCTCCGGCCTCTTGGGCCGCTTGTCCTGGGGCCCGACGCCGTCCAGCCAGTGGTAGGTCGCGACAAAGTTGCCGCCTGGGTAGCGGATCACAGGGATATCGATATCTTTCAATGCTTCGATGACATCCTTTCTGAAGCCGTTCTCGTCAGAGAGGGGGTTACCGGGGTCGTAGATTCCTGCAGAACCTTGCGTCAGTGCCTTGTCGTCTTGACATACAGTATAAGACGAGGTGAGGTGTCTCGCGCTGCCGAGCTTAAGACTTTCTCAGAAAGTCTCATTGACACTGAGACAGGTGAGGAGGAAGGGTAGTGACGCTCGTACCTCCATAGATGCAGCGTCCCATGTGTCTGGATCGAGTGTTGTCAGCTACATTCCGTTGTCTACCATTGTTGTGTCTCACGGCATAAAGCAGACTCGAGGCCTTCACTCCAATACAGACGTTCAGGAAGCAATGGCACAATCGCGCGGGCAGTACACATACTCTGTGAACCCGCCATAGGTCATAGGATCTATCTTGGAGAGCTTCTTCTCCGCGTCCACCTCGATGAGGGGCTTCTCACTGTCCGAAACCTTGGTAAACGTCGTCATTTTTGCGATTAAGGCTCACGATAATATGCAGGAAGAGAGAAAGTTCCAAGGTCTCTCGTATTTCTCCTGTCTGCTGGGCACTCCCTATCTATGTCTTATTCCGCATGCCAGGACCCACGAGGAGAAGCTCTCGTTTGGAGCATCTCATGCCCGTCGCGACTTTTCCCCTCTACTACCCCAATTTCGAAACCCCGAGCATCACAGTATGCTCGCAGCTGTGAACAGGCGCATGCCACGATATGCAATGCGGCATGGGTCATCTACGCCCGAGCCCGGCCTTGTCCCGGTCGCTTAGCCGGCGCCGCTGATGATTGGTGCGCATCAGCGGCTCGAGGTGACATCGCGCGGTCGGCTCCCAAGACAGGAACATGTCGACCGCATTCCCAGCGTTCAGCCCAGAAGCTTTTTCGAACGGGGGGAGCTGGTCATGTGTTCAAGGCGTCATTCGTGGGTTGATGAATCGCTTCAGGTTGGACGAGATTGCCTCGGTCGGCCTGCCAGCAAAGCACCCCGAGGCAAGATTATGCAGTCATTGTCATCCTCTCCAGACCGTTGACATTTGCCCGGGCTATCCTCAAATCCTCACTAAGACGCCGCCCCTGCCAGCGGATGAGCTTGTGATAGGAGGAAAAGAGGTTTGTCCCCCGGCCGAAGACACTCGATACCCACCGCCCCGGTACCGTGTGGTGATGCAGTATAGTTCGCTGCGTCTTACAGGTCCCCGGCGGGCTGGGACCCATCCATCAGCTGCGCCGTTGTCTCCTCCCCCCAAGACGCCCCAGACCGTGCACACCCTCCCCCGCATGAGTGCCAACAGGGGTTTATCTGGGGTTTGGGGTAGCGGCCGAACATTTTTGTTTCTTACGAGCCTTGGGCCCCCGTCGCTAATTTGATGGACAGGGGAAAGAAAGCTTCGGGGCGACTGGAGAGCAGGGGCGTCGCCACGGCTGCTGCATACCGAAGGAGTGCGTTGGGCGGAGGAGGAACCTCTGCTCGATCCCGAACTATACCAGACCAGCCTGGACTCTGCAATGTCACCTATATATATGACGGGAGCCCATCCGAGGTAGGAACGGTGAGTCGATCCCCTCCTGTCTCCCGGAGCACTGCAACCTTTCATGCACTGAAAGGGTCCGTCCTACCTTTTCTTTATCCTTTTCCCTGGCCGTGATATCCACCGGCCCAACTCGTCAAGATGGTGCTCGCACCAAAGACATATCAGGTAGGACAACCTCGCCTCACTCGCCTCATCATGGACACACTTGACTGACGCCTTGCCACGCGTAGTTCCTCGTGAGCGTTTTCGCCTCCGTTGGTTCTATCCTTTATGGTTATGACCTCGGTGTGATCGCAGAAGTCATTGCCTGCCAGCCTTTCAAGGATGACTTCAAGAACCCGACTTCAGTCGAGACGTAAGACAAGCCCCAGATCCATGTTCTCAACAGCTGGACCATCACGCCGCTCTTGCTGACTCAAGGCCGTGAAACAGAGGAGTCGTAGTTTCGCTCTTCACCGGAGGTGCCTTCTTCGGCGCCTTTTTCGCCGGGCCCGCCGGTGACCATTTAGGTAGACGATGGACCATCTTCCTGGGAGCGTTAATCTTCATTATCGGTGGCGTCTTCCAGACAGCTGCTCAGACTATCCATTGGATGTGGGGCGGTAGAGCCATCGCTGGTCTGGGAGTTGGCTTCTTGGTGATGATCATCCCAGTGTACCAAGGTGAAATAGCTCACCCGAGCATCAGAGGTCGCGTGACTGCTCTACAACAGTTCATGTTGGGTATCGGTGCCTTCGTCGCCGGATGGCTCAGTTACGGCACTTATAGTCTCCCGACCTCGGCAGCATACAGGAGTACGTGCTCACACTTACATCACCTTCTCGTTGAACATCACTAACATGGTATGATCGTACAGTTCCGTTGGGCATTCAAATCATCCCGGCCGTCATCCTCGCCGCCCTCATCCTCTTCTTCCCGGAGAGTCCCCGTTGGCTCATCGACCACGGCCGCGGAGAACAGGGCCTGAAAACACTTGCAAAACTCCACGCCAATGGCAACGTCGAGGACGCTTGGGTCAAGGCCGAGTTCTCCCAGATCGAAGAGGCAATCTCCTTCGACCGTGAGCACGAAGCCAAGAGCTACATGGAGCTGATCAAGACTCGGTGTGTGGTCCTCTTCCACCTCGCACAGCGGTAAAACACTGTTTAGCTAACATTGGTCCCAGGTCTTCGTTCCGCCGACTCCTCACCGCGTGCGCGCTCCAGGCTGCCTGCCAGATGACGGGTGTGTCAGCCATCCAGTACTTCAGCGTCACAATCTATGCCCAGGTCGGCATCAGCGGGCAGGATACGCTCAAGTACCAGGCCATCAACAGCATCCTCGCGCTACTGGCGCAGGCAGCCTGCGTGCTGTTCATCGACCGCGTCGGGCGGCGCTGGCCGCTCATTTGCGGCAACCTGTTCAACTGCCTCATGTTCACCATCGCCACGATCCTGATCGCCAAGTTCCCGGGCGGCGAGGCGGGCTGGGGCTTCATCGTGGTAACGTGGCTGTACAACATCTCGTTCTCGGCGACGTGCGGCCCGCTCAGCTGGATCATCCCGGCCGAGATCTTCGACACGCACACGCGGTCCAAGGGCGTCTCCATCGCCACCATGACCTCGTTCGCCTTCAACACCATGATCGGCCAGGTCACCGACCTCGCCATCAAGAACGTCGGCTGGCGCTTCTACCTGGTCTTTGTCATCTGCAACTTCACCAACGCCCTCTTCTTCTGGCTCACCCTGCCCGAGACAAAGAACCTGCCCCTCGAAGAGATGAACTATCTCTTCACCAACGCGCCCTGGATCGTCCCCGGCACCGACAAGAGCGCCTACACCGCCAACCTCGGCGCCGACCTCGAGAGGCGCGCCGGCGAGATCCGCGAGAAGTCCAATGTGGCTGGGCATGGGGAGCATGGAGAGCATCTTGATGAGAAATAGGAATCGCGCTGTGCAAATTCTGGAGCATATATCTATGGTACTCTTTAGATGATTCCCTGGGCCGCGAGGTTATCTAGGACCACTATTGTATGTGTATCTAACGGTCGTTGGAGCCAAATTTGGACTTGAGAAACCGTATATACCCTAGTATTTATTCTACTCTTGTTGCTTTGTGGTTGGAGGCACATCCGTAGTACTTCTTGGAAGACCCTCTTTGTAATGGTGTTTGAAACCGCAAGGACGACCGCTCGATGACGGCCTACGTCGCCGTGATCTTGGTCAAAGTAGTCTTGGTCAACGTAGTAGCAATCGCGTCGCCAGCCCACACAGGCTCTCCATTCGATTCGCAGGGCCAAGACCAAAGACACACATGCGCGTATACGAAGCTCGCACCAGGACGTAGCCCACAGTATCTCGGACAGCTTCCGACTCGCTCGTACGACCGCGGAGGAATGGCGTAAGCCTGCCGACCGCTTTTTGTATGTTTGATGTCGTTTCTGGACTTATTTATCCCTGCCAGAGGCTCCGCTGCTTCCTGAGAGGCTACTCATACTGCGAATAATTGTTCCGGTCGCTCCGGAGGCGCTCCCTTCGTGGTTTCGGTGTCTGCAGCATGTGCCGTATGTGCACGCTGGAAGTTGGAAGCGCCAGCGTTCTGAAAAAGTCAAAGGGAGATTCGCTTTGCATCGCTGCTGGGTTTGCCAGAGTCGTTTCGCTTGTTCCTGTGCAGCATAATCACCATCGTCATCCTCGGCGCCGCTTCCCCATCATGCCCGACTCATCTGGTGGCAGACATTCAGGCCGTGAGCCTGACCTCCTCGGCGGCCGAGCAGTAGTCTATATCTCAATGATTGGCATGATGGGCACCATCGTGCCTGAGTAGTATATTTGTCCGTCGCTCATCGACTGTGTCTTTTCGAGAGGGGGGGGGGGGTTAGTCGGATGACTTGAGCTCTGTTGTCGGCCGAGAAGCATTTCGCTTTGGAGCAGCTACGTATAGATTACCAGACTCACGAAGACTCGCGCTCGTTAGTCAATCTACCGGCAGTCCCTTGCCCACTTCAACGAGCAACGTAGGCCGTAAGATATGCCCTGTCCATCTCACCGATACGCTCGACGTCATGTTTCAGGCAAAGTAGTGGCAGACGGATCCCTCCTCAGGACCTTCAATACCCCATTGCGAGGTCTTACGTTGGTGGCTGTAGGATGGAAATTCAGCCAGCTGGTTTTCAAGGAGGCGGTTTCGAAGGGAAGTAAAACAGTGAACTGACTTCAAGCTTATTCAGTATCAATACAAATGCAGCATCATTTGAGTCTTCGCAACAGTTTTGAAAGTAAGTCTTATATGAAGACACCGTCTGGTAGCCTCAGATAGGCAAACTTAGTAATGCGTTGAGAAGAGTTCTACTCGTTTACAGGGGTTGGGTCACAATGGCGAGAATGCACAGAAGTCAAGGGACTGTCGCGGGCACCGGTTTGCTATTGTTGAAGTGCCTCTATTCTGTATTTTCTGTGTATGTTAATAATATCAGAATATTTCCGGCGTACCGCATGGGTATTCCTCCTAACAAATCCCGCCCTGAACTACACTATCCAGCAGATGCCTTTTTCGTTCTCGGTTTCGAGACACAAGATAACTCCTCAACGCCGGTTGCCAAGCTGGTTCATCCCCACCTCCACATGCCAATCCCACATATAAGTACATGAGCCGGTGGACCGGGCCCCACTTTATCGATGAGTGTTATCGTGTATCAAATGTTCGTTGTATCAATCCCGCACGCCCTCCACCATGTATCCAAGAACCCATGCCCATGATGATGTCTATAAACATACTTCGTGACATGCTTGTGGCGATGCATTGAATGTCCGCTCTCATTGTGATACGTAGCATCGCGCCTTGCTGCTTCTTGACGCGGGCGTTGGGAGCTTTGCGTCCTTACTCTGCCTGACTGCTTGGCAAGGTGTCGCGAGGAGCGAATCGATTGTGGCGACTCTATGGACTTATTCGGCTTTGTCCGGCTTGGACAAATCTTTCATTGCTTTTGAGAACGCGGGTTGGATGGGCCCCATTCCTTTCGTAGTTTGCACGATGTGTCGTTTGATCGGGGCCGAAGAATAGCGACCAGGTTTCTCATCGAAAATTGACCACAGCAAGCTTCAAAAATTAGCAAGACGCGTCCAATTGATCTTGGCAGGGAAGCTTACCAAACCATTGACACCAAACGCGAGTCTCTGACCGTTTGCGTCCCAGCTTAAGCAGTGTTGATCTTCTGTCTCTGGTTCGCCGTTCAGGCCATTTATCTTGGGACTCAACCCACCAGGCGGCAAGGTCCTTTTCCAAGCTGCCCGGGGGAAGGCATACTCTCCGACTTTAAAAATCAGAATTCGGTCTCTTGTGGCACCGGCGAAGAAGGCACCGTCGGGCGTAAAGGAGAGACCAACGACAGGATTGTCGTCAATCGTTCGTTGTAGCCTGGGCCTGCTATCGGGAGAACGGGCGTCCCAAATGGCGATTGTGCCATCTTCACCCCCGGACGCTAGTAATAGCTCGCTGTCAGTTGCCCGGCCCTGAATCGGTTGCCACTGCAAAAATGTGATCTGGCCATCGTGGGCGCCATGGATGGTTCGGCGTGCGCCGGTAGGATCCCAAACCTGGAACAGAGTGAGCATGAATACATGAAGACTTTGGTGATAGAGGTCAGATGAATTGGCTTCGAACTTACGTCGATGTCGCCCTTAAGCGTCGCCGCAGCAAAGTGTCCGGTGCCGTCGTACTGAATCTGCGTCAAGGGATCGTCTGTCCTCGTTGAGAGTTCCTTGGATTGCGTAATTGAATCATCCGTGCATCGAAGATTGAGCACCTTGTTGCCCACGCTCAATAGGAACTCGTGCTCGTCAACCCAAACGGCATCTGGTTGCTGCACATCGACATCTTGGTCCGGAGGGAAGGTGTGCTCATATTCAACGGGACTGGACTTTGGAGAGGGGAAGACGGTGACCATCCATCCTGTTGTGTCTCCCGAGGGATTTGAAATGGGCGTGATGCTCAAGACCTTGCGGTTGACTGGGTTACATCGCAGCTTGACGATGGGCGCTTCCAGACCGGTGTATGTGTGCATCTGTCTGCCGTCAAGGTTCCAGAGGTCGATGCGGGCTTTCTGGCCGTCATCAGTGGCGACGGCAATCTCCTTACCGTCGGAGCCCCAGGCCATGACGGTGACTTTAGAATGGGGTGGAAAATCATCGGTAACGAGGTTGATGGAGGGCCAGTCGGGATCCACGTGATCAGCCACCTGCTCCGGACCGGTGGCACGCGAAACGGTCCAAACGCGGGCTAGTGCGTCAGTCCCGGCAGCCGCCAGGCGGGATGGGTCCTTGGGGTTCCACTCGCAATGCAGAAGGATTGGGTTTTGACTAGCGCGTGGATGCGACACGTCGGCGATCGGGGTTGCTGCGAGTGAGGAAGAATCATCATGAGCAAGGCGCAAGTAGACTGTCTTTGCCTCGAGGTCGTCGACTTTGTCAGTCTGAGTACCGTGATCCGGGCCCTCTGTTCGGGGAGCTGGGGTCGGGGCTTGTTCGCCTTCCAGGGGGGAGGGATAAGCGTGGTTGTCGGATTGGTGCTGATCGATTTCCATGGGGCTTGTGGCTGCATCCGCCCCATTTTCGAGGCCGTTGGCATTGCCCAATCTCGGTCGCTTTGGGGCATTCCCATTTGCCAGCTGGCTCTGAGAGTCGACCTGCCGCTTGAGTGACGCCTTGTCGGCCTCATCGACAGCTGGCGGCGGATGGGATGCTGGCTGAGGTTCTTCTTCCTCGATCTCATCCTCGAGCTCGTCGTAATTAATGGGGTGCTGGGGCACAAGGGGCCCAAAGACTCCAGACTGAGGCTTGTCGGCCGTTGCTGCAGCATCGGCCGGTACCTGCACGTAAATTTGTTAGTGTGCTGCCACAGACCTGCGGCTCGGCCAGAAGCAGAAGCAGAAGCAGAGATTGGTTTGGTGGTGAGAGGCGCCATAGCGCCAGCTCCGGGAGACGGGCGGACGAAATGCAACGAGTGTTAGAAACAGGAACAGGGTCAAGTTGGGTCATACCCGTTGCTGTGCGTAGTCCCGCTCGAGTCCCTGGTAGATCAGGCCTTTGTTGAGGACGGAGACGAGGGCATAGTTCTTGACATGAGACGCGAAGTCGAAGTGCCGGTGAGGAGCCTCAACGCGCCATTCCTTCTGGAACTTGGCAGCGGTTTCTCGAAAGTCTGTAATGTCACGCGGACGCCTTGGTTAGCTGGCCACGGGGGAAGGACTGGGACTTTGGGGGGGGGGAGAGTGAGGTGATGCACATACTGCCTTCGAGCAAGTATCTGTGACCCGGGTGCAGCGGGCATGGTTAGCAAAGGCGTCAAGAGCGAACGAGTGAGTGAGATCAGATTTGGATCGTGAGCAAGTGGGTGAGAGGGAGAGTGAGTGTGTGTGAATGTGAGTGAGTGAGTGAATGAGTGAGTGGGCGGGCGGTTGTGCTTGGCTGGGCTGTGGGCGGCGCAAGGCGTGGAACTGGGCGTGGAGCGTTGCGGAGGAAAACGAACCTCCAAATGAGATAGTTGACTCTGTCCGAGTCGAGTAACTCCTTCATCGCGGGCGGCTGGCGGTGTAGCAATGGCGGGAAGGGAGCAGGTGGCGGGGTCAAGGACTGGATTTGAGGGTCGTGAGCGATGTCTGAGGGAGCTGGCGAGGTGCTGAGGGAGTGCAGAGGGCAGCAAAGTTGCGAGTTGAGGCTTTGTCGAGAGACGCACCGGTCGAGTTGGGTGAAGAAAGAACGAATCTACGTCGACATGGTCGATTTTGGAAGGGACTCCAGTCCCCAACTCCAAAACTCGCTAGCCCCAGTCCAGTGGAGTGGAGTGGACAAGACAGGGCAGGGCCGGGCAGGGCAGGACAGGGCAGGGCAGCAGCACAGGGCAAGAGGAACAGGAGACACACACACAGAGAGAGAAGAGAGAGAGAGCTGCAGGCCTCTGTAACCCTGGCTCTTTCTCTCTCTCTGGCTCTGGCCTCACTGGCTCGCTGGCTCGCTGGCTAGATGCATGGATGACGGATTGGCTGGGCTGGCTGGCTGGCTGGCAGGTACCTGGGTACCGGGGTACGGGGGTACATGATCCATTAAGCTAATCTGGGATTCGTCCGCATTCAAGGATTTACGCAGCAAAAGTGGGCTGCCGCTGGCAGATCTTACCAAACACTCGACGGCTTGCTGGGTGCTCGGGGAGCAGGGGTCTGCCACACACTCCCGCACCCCCAACGCTCGCTCGCTCGCGCCCTCGCCCATGTGAGCTGCTGGTCCTTGTGCGGGAGAACACTTCTGCCTTGGGGAGTTTGCCAGGTTCTGAACAAAGTGTCCTTCGCACAGAATAACAATTGCCTTATCATGCAGTCGGCCATCCTGTGAGGGCTTACCATCCTGCAGCTGGCTATCCCACTGGAAAGGATGTGTGTGTGCGTGTGTGTGTGTGTGTGTGGTGGTCAAGTTACAGCCGATGCATTGTGATGCCCTCTCCCACTGTAAATTTCCGAAGCTGCTTTGCCATCTACCCAGCCAGCCAGCCTTCCTTCCTACCTGACTTACCCGAGGTACCATGGCCACGGTCCTACTTTTGGCACTGGCACACACTGGAGGAACGCATGCATGCACTCTGATGCACCTCTGCACCTCTGCATGGCGGTATCAGCACCGCATCTTTGCCCGATGTTCTTCCATGCACCCCATTGTATCCGTTGATTCCTGACCTGTGGTACGGTTCTCTGTCTACTGTACCTGAGCAGCAAGGGTTCGGGACCAGTGCTGTACCGTACTGTGCCCAGGTCTGGGCCTGGATAGATGAGACCCCGTCGGCAGTCAGGCAATTGAGGGCTTGCATCTTGCCCCTCTGATCGAACACTGTAGCCATCTACTGTGTACTGTCATCTGTCGACAGATATTCCGCTGCTGAGCGCCACCACCTGCAGCTGTGTGTACCGGTTTTAGGTTCAGCGGAATGCGTGGCTGGCCTGGCTGGCTGCCGGACGGCCCAGGCAGGAGGAACGGCGGGTGCGCACGGATCAGGTCACGGAGCATGGAGCACGAGTCTGCTTCCTGCCCAGGGGGGAGTCCTGGGCAGACCTGGACCTGGACCTGGACCTGGGACCTACGCACCTGGGGCTGGGGACCTGGGGACCTGAGGACCTGGGCAGCCGGCTCGGATAGGATGAGAAGACTTGCGCCTCAAGTTGGGTTGGGTTGAGTGTCGGCCGGCCGCGTCTGCGACTGAGTCTGAGTCTGAGTCGGCTGTTTTAGCCTTGAGCAAACGATCGCCGAGCTAGTTCTGCTGGGCTCTTCTGGCTGGTGACATGACAAGCCGGTTTCTCTTGCCGCCATCCGCCAGAGAATGCTTCATGGAGGGGCTTTTGGGCTTGGGCAGATTGGGTTGGGCAAGCTTCATGATCCTTTCAGATCAGCACCGTCTCCCACCTGCGAGCAGATGATGTGCAGGCGACCCGGATCGGAGGGCCAGGACAGATCACCCAGTCGTGTCTGGCCTGCTCGGTTGCAAGTCATCCCCCTTCTTGCCCCATCCACTTTGTTGGCAGATCGGACATTGACAATGCGAGCCCGTTGCGTCGCACTGCGGGGATGGACGCTGCTGGTGACTAACCCCCCCGAAAACTCAAAAAGGATCTCGGCTTCACAGACTCGGCGTCATTAGTCCCGCAGCTTCTGCCCAGGGCATGGCAGGGCAGGGCAGGACAGGGCCGGAACAGGCACAGATCCAGATCAGATCACAACCATACAGCAATGACAGTGGGTGCTCAATCGAGCATGCGCACACAATAGCCTCTGCGGACGCTGTGCCACCACGCCGGCACCGTCATTCGAGGCAGACTACATGCTGTGTATCATCTGTACATGTCATATCATACTGTACGGGCGTGCAGTCAAGGTCAATCGCCTCCCTCTCGGCCTCTGCATCTGGCCCGCCAGGCCCCGTCAGCCGCCAGAGGGCCAGCAATGCAGCCGGGCATGCGGCCCCGGCCCATCTCAGAAACTGTTTGAGCCCTCTGGCCCTCCTCCTCGTGTGGGCTTTCGTCCTTTCTGGGGCGGCCCCAAAAGGGGTGTGGGGCCCGTCGACCAGGGGGCATGCTCGGCAGCCCAAAAAGGCTCCAGATGATTCGCTTCCGCGATCGTGCCACAGGGCTCCGTCACTCTATTGCACCACGCTTGCCGGCTAACTACTTTGGGTATGTGTCAGTCCCCCCAACACGCCAGCAGCCACCTCTCCAGGCTGTTGCAGAGACGGCTTCGTGCCCGCCACACGCCACAATGCCGAGCACTACTTCGGCTTCTAGCACGTCCGGCTATCTTGTCCTGCATCTCCTACATGCTTAGCACGCCCTACGCTTGGGCACATGAGGAGGGGAGAGATAGAAGAGGTGCAAAGGAGCTGGGAGACGATCCATTTGCCCCTGGCTGTCTTTGAGGTGATTGAGAAGGGGGGGGGGGCAAGCATAGCTCGCAGAGTGATCTCCGGACAAGGGTGTAGTATCCGCCAGGACATGCCAAAGGAGTGGCGTGGATGAGAGAGCAAGAGGCCGTATCCTCTCATTGGCACGCGATCCCCAGCTCCAGCAAGCACTTAGGTCAACATTGGATGGCCACATTGTGAACCAACACAAGGTCGGCACTGCCTTCCGGAACGCTACACTCCCACAGTATGGCGGTACACACACTATCGTCGATCTAGGACAGCACGTTTACTCGAAGCTTGGAGCCAGGCGGCCCAGCTGCTGTGGTCAGCAGCAGCTGGTGGGCACACCTGCAAGGGTGCATGAGCGTCAATGGGATGGGTCGGGAACTTGGATCTGCGTCGGTACACTCTCATTGGCCTCGCCTCATTGGCACACGTTCGTCCTGGGGAAATGCCCGACAGGCATGTTTCAAGGGGATGCTGCTCTCTATGTACGTACTATTCTGTACCTGCCATTTATCCTGCAGCGTGGTTTGTCCAACCCCAAGCGAGACACGCCCGTACGTCTCGGTGCAACATTGATCGGTACAACGCGGGTTGGCTCGAGTGCTCGGGGCCTCGGTATCGAGGAACAGCGTCATCAGGTGCAGAAGTCACAATCGTCGTCATGAAAAGAGGCAGGCGAGAACACACGGGTCGAGTGCACAGTAAACCTTGTTTGGTGACAACCGTGGGTATCCACTGTCTTCGTGGACGGTGCTGTAGGCATCAGCTGTCCCGACAAGCCACGACCGTCCTGACTCTTGTACGGTACGCGTATTATGCCGTGGAATCTGGATTACCAAGACAAGTCCCCATTCTACCCTCTGTGCCACCGCCACCAAGCATTGTAGTGAATATGTGGCATCATGGCTACCTAGGCAACTGTTGACACTGCTTGAGCTTGATAGACGTCCTCTGTGTTGGACGACCTGCCAAACACTCAATCATCCTCTCTCTCACTAATGGTTTGAGCGTATCTTTTGCTGTGTTTTCCTTCATCCAGATCTCGGACTGCAGGACAGTGTTGTCTCTCCTTCGCTGCAGTGTGCTGCGTGAGTACTTGGCTTCACGCTTACGAAAGCCGCGGCGCGATATGATAAGGCTGGAATCTCAGGGTCCTCTCTCTGGGACACAGATCACCTAGGGGCCCGTGCACCGGCAGGGGCCTCTGTCTGTCCAGGTGTTTTGCACCTGCTTCAAGTGGCCCTCGACGCCCTCCAGAGTCGGCATCGTGACCGACCACCCTTGGGCCCAAAGAGCTTCACTCGGAGCTGCTCAAGCCCTCAAGGCGCGCCCACCTGCACCCTGCACCCTGGCCAGCGCCTCCAGCCAACACCGCCGCGATGCCTCCCAGAATAAACATCCCCCCAGTCACCCGCATCCTGCTCATCACCCTCGGTCTGCAGAGCATCCTCAGCGCCGCCATCCGCTACAAGCAATGGAGCGCCAACTCGGAGATTGTCATCCCTTACCTCAACCTCATCCCACAGCTCTCTCTGATATATCCATGGACCTTCCTGACTACCACACTGGTAGAGAGCAACATCTTCACCTTGGCCATCGCCGCCGTCACCCTCTACCATGGCGGTCGGTATCTCGAGAGGGCTTGGTCGTCTAAGGAATTCGCCAAGTTCCTCCTGATCACCGCCCTGGTACCCAACACTCTGTGCTTTGGTGTCATGGTGACCTTCTTCACCGTCACTCGTAACGAGAGCTGGACGTATGTCGCCCAACGTCCCCCGCCCCCTCCTTGTTCACAGCAACTGACCGCGTCTCTCTCCCTGCCCTAGGCTGACCACCATCGCCGGCACCATCCCTCTCCAGATCAGCTTCCTCGTCGCCTTCAGCCAGCTCGTCCCCGCTCACACCGTCACCCTCTTCAGGGGCATCCTCTCCCTTCGTGTGCCCCGATTCCCACTACTCTACCTCGGCCTGGTATTTATCCTCAGCCTGACGCCCCTCCTCACCGTCGCGTCCTTCCTGCTCGCCATCTTCGGCCTCATCACCAGCTGGACCTATCTGCGCTTCTACAAGACCGTCTTCCCCGACCTCGACTCCTCGCAGACGCCCTACTCGCTGCGCGGCGATGCCTCCGAGACATTCGCCTTCGCCGAGTTCTTCCCTGCCCCCGCGAAGCCCCTGGTGGCCGCATTGAGCGACCAGATTTTCAACGTCCTCGTGGCCCTGCGCCTGTGCACGCCGTTCTCGCAGGCCGAGGTCTCGGCTGCCGGGGGCTCCGGGGGTTACCACCCCTACAGCCACCGCAACGCGGCACCGGGCAGCGCGAGGGCTGAGGCGGAGCGACGGAGGGCACTGGCGCTCAGGGCGCTGGATCAAAAACTGCATGCGGCGACTGCTGGGCGTGGAGGGGCCGCCGGCGCCGGGGCCTCAATCGCAGGGGGGCGATCCAACTCGCCCGCGCCTCCACCGCCTGCGGTCACTGCGGAGCCTCCGCCCACAACCGGTCCCACGGTGCTGCAACAACCGGTGTCCAACAACCAGACGGCTATGACATCACGGCCGAGCGACGGCATGCTGGGGGAGACGACCTACACGCCTGATCACGATGACGGGGACAAGGGCGCGGCATAATCCACGACAGGTTGAGGGCTCTGCAGGCCCGTACGACTCATGTGGCAAGACGCACAGTAACGTAGCACGACAAAAAATAAAACCCAAAACAAATGAATCTACTGTATAAGACGGGGGATCTTGACGGGAGATGGAGGGTGTCTAGCTCTTTCAGACGGACTCGGTTTGTTGCGTTTTTGGGAATTCACGCGGCGTTTCGAGCAAGCGCTGGCATCTCGTGTACAGTAGCAGACTACTCAAGTGCAGGGTCTCAACAAACGGTGTTAATGGGCGACACGGCGGGTATGTAGACCGGGCAGCGTCACGATTAGCTTAATACCGGACCTATTTTTCTTGAGCTTGAGTTCTCTCAAATCTAAGCATCGGCTTATTTCTGCAAAGAAAGAACACAGTGCGGCAAACCCACGCATCACGTGTGGCTATATAATTGCATTTATTTCGTGTTCTTGAGTCTGAAATACATACCCTTTCAACCACATTTTCCGTCTCAAGGTAGGTACTCAAAGGAAGGCTGGGAGGAGAACCAGGGTATTTGATATGTCATACTTCCTTTTGTGGCTCGCGGGAAGAAGCATTTGAATAACCAAAAATAAAAATAAAAATAAAACTAGAGCGCAGCCACGCCGGGTGGCTTCGCCCATCTTTGTAAGCACGACTGAGACTCGGTGTTCAATATGGGTTTTGTTCTCACCAGCACTGGTCAGAATACGAATTCGAAGCCTATGGATAAATTACTTGCGACAAAGGGGGATAACAATGTTACTCCGTATTTTTTTTCGTCTTCCGCCTATCCACCCTCTCAGTTTTCACTACCAAGGCGATCGATTTACAGTTGTGAACAGAATGATATTCTTGCCGTTGCGTGAGCAAGCCGGGACAGGTATAGCGCAATCCATGAACCTCACCAAGGCATAGATACCAATCAAGTACAGAAGATGACATTCACCAACAACGAGCGCCATCAAGATCAATTCGAACACAACCAAATGACAAAAGGATGAATTACAACAAGCATCGGTTTCTGTGCAAACCACCAACCATCGATCATGTCGGCTACCAACATAAGCATGAGGATCGAGCTTCTACTCCGTCTTGGGCCCACCATTTTGCATCAATCCAGTGGGCGATGTATTGTTCTTCAGATCACCCGCGGTAGACCCTGGGCCGGACGCGGTATGGACAGCCTTCTTATCGTCCTCTCCGTCATCGTCGTACTCCTCATCAATGTCCATCTTCCTAGCGGCCCGTTCTGGCTCATGGTTTTGAGGAGGAGGCGGTGGTCCCTGCATGGGAGGCAGCTGGCCCGGCATGTTATGAGTAGGTGCGTGATGTGCCGCCTCCGAAGGGTGATAGGCATGGGGACGCGGCTCCTCGACCCGTCTGTGCTCCGAGGACTCACGGCGATAAGATTCAGCCCGAGCCGGCGTGGAAGGGCGTGGCTTCTTCGAGGCCGTCTCGTCTTCCCACTCGCGGAGACGCTTGGGGCCGACAGATGGAGGCCGATTATCATGCTCGTTGCGATGAAGCGCAGCCTCAGCAGCGGCGGCCGCAGCAGATTGAGGAGGTGGAGCTCCGGACTCCATGTTGCTTGGCCCGGCAGGATCCTGCTGAGGATACGGCGGCTGATGTTGCGGATAAGCCGACTTTGGCGAGGGCATGCGGTTGTCATGCATGGGACGCAACTCAGGTCTGGGGCTGTTGTTGCGGTACGCCATCAGCGGGGTTGGTCCCGGTGGTGGTCCGTTCACTCCATTGGTGGGCGGCGGGGGAGGCCCAGCCGAAGCAGAGGCAGGGGATGGACCGCTGTAGTTAGGATTAGCAACGCGAGGTGGCGGTTGCGAACTTGTTGGTGGCAGAGGCTGCTGCTGAGGTGGTGGCGGCGGAGGGTAATGCAGAGGAGGCGGTGTTCGCGCTCTCATCATCGGGCCCCCAGGGCCTGCTGGCCCGCCTTGCCGCGCGGGATCCTGGTATTGTCTCATTTGCTGCTCTTGGCGAGGGCTAGGTTGACGAGGAAAAGATGGTGGGGCTGGTCCCCGCAGAGGCTCACCGCGCTGCTCATAAGGATTTGGTGGTTGCGGAGGAGGGTTCACTTCCGAAAGCCGCGCCCAGTTGCCGGCTGGTCCAGGAGGAGGGCCAGGTGGTGGCTGGGTTTGCTGAGGGCCAGGTCCCGAGTTTGACCATTGTGGACCTGGGGGTCCAATGGCTCCTTGATGCTGATACGCCTGAGGATGGACGTCAGTGGGCATGGGAGCAGCACCAGCGCCGTTTGTCTGGCCGTTACGAAGAAGCTGCAGCCTGGCCTTGATGTGAGGGTTGGAGGGATCCAGCTCGGCCGCTCTCTGATAGGCATCCAGAGCATCATTGATCTGGTTGTTGCAGCTCTCATACTGGAAAGAAAGTCAACAGTCTGTACAATGCAGGTGGAAGGAATTGTTGCGACTCACAAGAGTCCCGAGGTCATACCAGACCTCAGAAATGAAGGGGTTCAGGCGAATGGCCCTGCTGTAAGCATCCAAGGCATCCCTGTACTGGTTGATCTGATAGTACAGCACTCCGATGGAGCACCAGAAGGTGGGGTTACGTCCATCCCGGTAGACAGCCTGCTGATATGCTTCGTATGCCTTTGGATATTTTTGCTGCGACATATAGCATCGGCCAAGCAGATACCAGCTTTGCGCGTCGCTGTTGTCTTTGCACGATGTCAGCACATTTGTACAGCTAGGAAAGCGAGGATGATGGACGGCCTACCTGCGGCGACAGACTTCTCCAGAAACTCAATGGCCTTCTCTTGGCTGGCGAAACTGTTGCTCTGTTGGTGATGCAGCCAGCCCAACTGCTGCAGAACCTTGGCGTGGTTCGGGTCTCGGTCCAGCACACGCTGATAGGCATTTTTGGCACTGTCAAAATCCTTCTGCTGCTCGTGGACATGACCGATCTGGAACCAAATGTCCTCTTCAGTCAGTGGCGGCGGCGGCGAGTTTACAATATACTTGAAGCACTAGTAGAATGTCAGCGAACCAGCCCAAGTGAAAATATTGCTGGATATCCTACACACCTCAAGGCTCTGGCCGTATTTCTGCTGCTGCTTGTATATTATGCCGAGCCGGAAATATATCTCGTTCGCCTTCTCGAAGCCGGGCTCCATCTGCATGACTTGGGAAAAGGCTTCCTCGGCATGGTCCAGGGATCCGTAGCGGTCGTACAAGATACCGATCCCGTACCAGAGCTTCGGTTCCTGCGAGTCTGGAGTCAATCGTCTGTCGACAAAGCCGGCGGACTGGTGTTTACCGACCTTCGGGTTGCGGAGGTTAATCAAAGCATTTTGGTAAGCGGCATAAGCCTGTTGCAGATCATCCATCATGAGGTAGCAGTGTCCTGCGCACGATTTGTCAATCACCGCACGGTCGCGCCGAGTTTTCGGTAGAGCATTTCGGGGTTACTAACCAAGGCTGCCCCATGCCTCTCCGTTGGCTGCGTCGAGCTTGAGGATCTGGTTGAGATATTCTATGGCCTTGGGGAAGTCCTCGCGGGTCCTCAGAATGGCGCTGATGGAGTTCATGGCTTGGGTGGAGCCGGGGCTTGCGCGGATGGCCTGCTCATAGGCGAACAAGGCATCCTCGACATTGCCTAGGATCTCGGACAAGCTGCCTGGAAGGGGTATCAGCTAGCTGCACATAGCCGGTACGACGACGAGCGCCACAATAGGTATCGCGGGCAGAGCCAGCGAAGGCAATTGCGCTGGCGCAATCTTGCAAGGCTGCTTGCGAAGTGCTCTAAAGAGCTCGGAGATGTGCACGAGGCAAACATACCTATTTGCATCCAGACAGCCTCGTTCATAGCAAGGATCTGTCGCGACGGTGCCCATGCGCCCTGAGGCGGAGGCGGAGGTGGAGCGCCTACCGCATGATGCAGAGGCATCGAGGGCGACTGGTGGTGTGCCGGGGCAGCCATCAGGTTGGGGGAGGGATTGAGCTGGAGAGATGGAGACGGAGCGATACCGACGACAATATTTTGTGCAAGAAGAGGGCTGGGTGTGGTTTTGGTATGGGGTATGGGATAAGGTACGGTGTGTGGCTTGGGAGATAATTACGGAATCAAGCAAATCCAGCAGCCACTGCAACTGTCAACAGGTTGCCTCATTGAAGTGTGAAGGGGAGTGCGAGCCGTTGTGAAGGGGACACAATTGAACAGCAAGAGCCGGGTGAGGCAGATGCGGATTGTGTGCGGCGGGCTGGCGAGACTGCGAGGAAAGAAGGGAAGAGTGGAAGGTTGAGGCGGCTCCCTGGATCGGTGGGCGGGAGGAGAAAAACCAACGGGGGAGATGGGAGCAGATGAGAACGCAGCTTCTGGCAAACTCCCCTTACCCACGGATTGAGGCACGGCGGGGCGTCTGGGTAGCCCCTAGCCGTGGAAACAAATGAAGGAATCCTGACCAGACCAAGGCCACACGAACCGAACCCTCCAGCGTGCTTGCATGGGTACGTACCCAGCCTGCCAGGCCGCTAGGCCGCCAGCCAGCCCGCCCGCTCTCCAGTGTTCGGGTCAGGGGTTGGCTGCAGCAGCCGGCAGGTGGCAGGGTGACGACTTGCTGCAGCAGGGCGCCTGGTCTCGGTACAAGGCTCCAGCTTCGGGCCATCTGCGAGAAGTCCACGCTACCTTACATTAGCCCCAGAAGGGTGTGGAGGCCCTGGGGGGGGTGCTGGGGGGTGCTGGGGGGGAGGCTTACGGAGGTACGGGGGTACAAGGCTACATGCCTCACCACCGCCGATGCACCTTGCACACCCAGGCCCAGACCCGCTCGCCTGCAGCCCGCAGCCCAAAGCCACCCCTCCCACCCCACCTTTGCACAAAGGCGGGTCGCCCAAGACAAGCCTCTGTCTTTTGGTTTTTTTGGGATCATGGCTGCATGGGGGGGGGGTCCCCCCTCGACTGATCCAATGGTTCAGGGAAGGTGTCACTGAGCGCACGGCCCTGTTCGGGTTTCTTGGGACCTGCCACAA